CGTCGTAGAAAAAGACATTCGTCGTCGCTTGTTTACGCCCTCCATAAAACTTGCAATTAGGCATTTTCACGTCGTAGAAAAAGACATTCGTCGTCGCTTGTTTACGCCCTCCATAAAACTTGCAATTAGGCATTTTCACGTCGTAGAAAAAGACATTCGTCGTCGCTTGTTTACGCCCTCCATAAAACTTGCAATTAGGCATTTTCACGTCGTAGTCGTGCAAGGACGGTAAAGAAATCTACAAAAAAGCGTGATGCACGTACAAAGTTGTTGTTTTGCTCAATAATCCTATTGCTTTTTTGACGTCCTCCTTGCCGTCGCCGTCCTCGTTGCTAAAGCTCCCTAATAACCAAACGCGCGGTGGATTGGGTCGGGTATGTGCAACCGGAAACAACCGTTCCATACGGCATGTGGAATTTCCGAAATATAAAACCAGAATTTTCGTTAAATGGAAAGCGCCGGAGGTTTCTTTGCGGCAATATGGTTGATATTAGTATTATGGATGTTCGAGCCGTTCGCTGTGGAATGTGGGAGACTGTGGAATAATCAAAATTTGGTGAGATGAGTCGTATTTTCGTTTCCAAAAAAAACGGCTGCGAGGGAGACTAATTTGGTGCGAGTTCGTTTACAATTTTGTGGAAAAGGATACGGGAAAGGCTTTGTTCGCATAAAATAACTAGTTAATGTAACTATACTTGCATTTTCCCCAACATAACGAGCTTCCTAACTTTCGCTAGGCTTCGAAAAAATTCTGCTCTTAAAATGGCTTATTCCGCCTGCCAGCAGTGCTCGTAAAAGTCGCTTTTTCTGCTCAAAATTCTGCTCGGACACCCTTATTCTGCTCGAATTGTGCTCGGTATCGGAAAAAATTTTCGGCACATATTTATTTTCGCAAATATAGAAGGGAGCCTCGGCCTAACCCTTAAAACCTAATTAGATATTCATTATGTGTTGCAAAATTGTCATTATTTTCCATGTGTATTTTATTTTGTTTTAAATTTTTCTTTCAACTGATCGATGTTCATATCATTAGTGCCGCTGATTTTCCCTTATTCTTCTCCTATTCTGCTCGAAAATGCCTTATTCTGCAGGCAGAATGCTCGCCTCAAAATTCGCTTATTCTGCTCGAAATTCTGCCGGAAGAATTTATCCAAGCCTACCCTTCGCTGAAAACACTTAGCGCCAAGACGGGAAGTATATTGACAGATCCATCGAGACATTAGCAGTCGAAAACATAGAACTTTTTAAGTGCACTTTCCAAATGTTTTGTAATTGAATAGAAGAATAATTGAAATAACAATTATGAGCTTTCGCAAATTGGTTTCTGTTGTTTGACCTGTTCACTGTGAAAGCGAGACGACCACTCCTAACGAATCAGGGGCACCCAACGAGGATATAGTTCAAAACCACTTAATTAACATAGCATTGTTGAACGTATTTTAGTATTCAAACGGTAGATATAGGCATATTTTTATCCCCTAAAAACTTTTCATCTGTTCGGATTTCCTAGCTGAAAGTCTAATGATCCGAAAATTATAGGGATAAAAACTTACCTTCTCGAAAATTTTAGCCAGGAAAAGGCTCCCGAAAATTCTAGGTGGCCTTTTTTAGGGTAAAAATCCGTTAAAAATGGGTAATTATACCATTTTGTAGATGTTCGAAAATCCTAGGAGAGGCAGGCAAGCAAGAAATTTTACAACAAATGATCCGAAAATTCTAGATCTCAAATCGTCTTCCGAACAGATATTTTCCCGAAAATTGCAGTTGGGTGCCCCTGACGAATCAGATGAATTACTTGTAAACATACAGATCACAATAAGCGTGAAGATCCCAAGGCAAAAAGTTCAGAAGGTTTTCTCTTCACTTGTACCATCACTGCAGCAGTAAAACCTTTATCCATGACGAGATATAATCTTACAAAGAGTTAAGTCATTGATAAATTTAGAAACAGGTAGAAATCAGAGGCACTGACTTACCAGAGGAATAATCCAACAAGGCGAAGCTGCGAGGCCAACATAAATGTAGCGGATTTGAAGAGTGTCCACCAATCCGAGAACGAAAAATAAGACGGATATCGCAATTTGGAAAGAAGACAACAATGTCAGGGTTCTCTTGTTAGTATTTTCCATTGCAGTTGCAAATTAACAAATGAGGAATCGAAGCTTGTTTAGACAGCGCAGTTTCATGCAGCACAAGGAAGTGTCTGTTGAAGAATAAATTTAAAATACGGTGACGTCATACGCATATTATCTTACAGCTGTTCAAGTCATGCTATTTTTCAAAAGTTAAACGTGTGTCTTTGCATCAATTGAATTCTGACAATAATGGACCAGTTTTGTTATTTAAGACTATAATAAGGCCTGTTTTAAACTGTTTTCTGTCGTCTGTCGTGGATTAAAACTTGTAATAGTTGGGCCAGTTTTTTACTTAGCGATTTTTGATATCTTTTTCCTAACTCGACCGTTTGAGGAGAATTTTATGTATGGCTTAAGGCACTAAGAAATGACTTCAACACATAATTGACACAAAACAGCAATATCCTAGTGCCATAACCCCTTTAAACAACCTAGGGAAAAAAACTCCCACGGTAAGAATTATAATTAACTTAACCGTTAAAGGCGGCCGCGGTCACTTTCAGGGTTTACGAGTTAGATTTTAGCTTTGTATTTAAGGTCCTTTAAGTAGGAACCTGAAATGAAGTCTCATTCAAAGCGCAAGAGGGTCTTCCTACCTCCGACTTCCGACTTCCCATTTCCAACTTCCACCTTAGCTTCCGACTTCCGCCGTCACGCATTCGCCTCTGAATCTTGTATGTTAATGCGTCAACTTGATATCGCTGTTCGTCACCATGAATTTATATCATTTTCAGTATTTTCTTTCTTTTTTTTTTTCACAAACATGTCTGTCCACTAAAAGACTTGAAATTTATGCTTGTGACTGAATTACAACATTGTCAGAACAACAATTACGTTGTAGGCAAACACTAAAAAACAGTTTTCTTTCTATTGTTTTTTTTCATTTCCAACGTTTATTTGTAGTTAAGCAAGCTCTCGTAAGCGGCCATTTCACTCTTACATCTATATTGGCCATTAATGAGAACCATTCTCGAAAGCGGCCCCGAGGTGTCCGCTTATCAGAGATTATTTTACTTGGCTGAGGGGGATGATAATGACATTGATAATGATGATGATGATAATTATATAGAAATGACTGAATATAATTATTAATCGCTGAAGCTCAATACGATTTCTTAATGCAAAAAACAGATATTAGGATCCATCGAGAGCATTGGCAGTTAGAAACTTAGACCTTTAAAGGTGCGGTTAAAAGATTAGTTATTTTACAGCATATTAGTGCCACATTTTGAACGGTGAAAGTAAGAACTAGTTTTCGCAAATTTCTCTCCTTTGAGCAGGTCAAGAAAAACAGACTTCCTAATATAAGCTAATGAATACACACACTAAAGTCGGTTAATATCTCATAGCGACGAGTTCAGAAGGTTTTCTCTTAACTTGTACCATCATAGGAGCGATAATATCTTTATCCACGATAAAATATAATCTTAAAAAGATTTAAGTGCCTTACAAATTAGAAAACAGACAAAATTCACTTACCGGAGGAACAATCCAACATGGCGAAAACATGAAGGCTAACATTTACAAAGCGGATTTCAAGTCCGTCCATCAATCCCAGAATGAAAAACATTACGGATATCACAATTTGGAAAGAAGACAATAATGTCAAGGTTCTTTTCTTAGTATTTTCCATCGCCGTTGCAAATTAACGAATAAGGAGGTTTGATTAGAGAGTGCGTAGTTTTGTTCCAGTAGCAAGTGGTTTCCAAATGCTAAGTGCGGTTGACTGTGCTCTAACGTATGTAGTAGCACGCTATTTGGAATCTTTCTGAAAAGCTAACATAAGTCTTCGCATGAATTGAATTCTAAAAAAATGGTCATGGGTTCATTCGGTGAGGGTAAATTGTAATACAGAATGTAAAATTAATAATACGAGTTTAAATGAGTATCGTGTTTAGCACTTTGTTAAACACCGGAGCTAGAAGGCCCAAAAAACCTGTTGTTATCTTTCGTACTCTCTAACGAATAAGGGGAGGTGAAGAACCTTTCAGACAAGAAATGGTTCGCGGCTTTTTTCTTTTCAATTCTAAAAAAAGTGCGAGAATGCAGTAGCCCACATCTTTGTTCCATAAACTCTCACTTACAAACGACGTCATGTTGTGGAAATGCATGACAATAAAAACTCATTGTCATATCAATAGCTTTGCACTTAGTCTCGCTTTGAAACAGAGGCATGGGGCAACTCGGAAATAGCCTATAAAAGAAGTGGTCATTTTGCCTTGATGATAGCAACCTTCGGTGACGTTAAATATCACGCCAATTCGAAATCTGCGCATCTCACATAATACTCCTTGTATACTCCTTCCTTTTTAAGGAGAGAGGGGGAACAAGGTGTATTATGGGAGACGTGCCAAAAGGTAAAGGACGACCTAGACACGTTAAGGTTGCAAGCAAAGAGCTTTTTTTGTGCCAAATGACATCTTGGGAAATTTGAGACATGCCCTTAGCTGCCCTTAATTTTACGGTATCCCCTTAGCTTGGTGAACGATGCTATTGTTCAACAGCATAATAAGGCGGGGAAACAATCCATTATTAATTTATTTTCAGTACATATCCATCGTAAAGAAGGGAAGGAAAGTCAATTAATTCCAGTTTTAACTATTTTTGATAGAGAAAACACGTTTTTTTTTGTCTACAAAAATCGAGTCTGGCTTGAGGAGTTTCCAAAAGAATAACATAATAGAACGCACTTGTTGCGAAAGACAAAAACAAGTTATAATAATTTTCCTAATTTAACTTACGTTTTGTTTTCTACAATAATATTGCCTGAAAAATGCTGAAAAGAGGTTCACAGTTGCATTTACACGTGTTTGTAGTTCCTTTTCCATGGGAAAAAGAAAACAAAAAAGTTACATAAGTCAGAAAATAGTGGACATTGTTTTATGCGCAAAAGAATACTGGTAAAATGTACCATAAACGTTTAGTTACACATTCTTTTATGGAGAAGCTGTTTAAGTTCTTTTGAATAGCCCTTCGTTGAGGATCTTTTCCGGTGTTTTTTTTTCCGTCGATTCGACAGAATACCGGTAAAATGAACCAAAATCTTTTAGCTACACATTCTTTTCTTGAGCAACTGTTTAAGTTATTTTATGTGGCCCTTCGTTGAAGATCTTTTACCGGTGTGTTTTCGTCTTTTTCGTTTTATTCCGCGGTTTGGTTATTTGTGCTTTTTTCTTGCGCTTATATACAAACATTTTCTTTTTTCTCCCAACATCACAGCATATTTTGGGGCAGGTAACAGAACAGTTTGAGAAGCACGAAGGCTCGCATAGCTTTAAAGGACTTGATAGTAACTCTGAAAGACGATGTACAACTTTCGACTTATAATCGGCCTCTAGAACCGCAAGAGACCTTCCAACCGGTGATACTGTTTGTTCCGGGGTTTTGAATAGGTATGGAGATATTTCTCGCCCCACGCAACAATACTGGGGACAACCGTGTGAACAGTACGACGAGCAAGAACTGGGGCATGGTGTAGGTGCTGCATAGCTTTGCGGTGGCGAAACGTTTGGCTGAACATTTCCTACTGGCGTTGATTTTGTTAAAAATGACGATTGTTCGGATGAGGCAGGACAACAGTGCGCCGGGCACATGTTGTCACAGCGAATTGCACATTGAGATGGACAGATAGGAGGTGACTGCGTTGAAAAATTAGGAGGATAGCGTTCTTGACAACAATGTTGTTGGCATGGTGGAAGGCAGCTGACAGAGCAACTGCTTGGACATGCGCTTGGCATCGGCGGAGACACCTTACAACAAAAAGATGGGCACGATGGTAGGCAGTTGGAACTACAAATAGTTGGACACGATTCTTGTACTGATTGCGACTGTTCCATAGCAGAAACGTGTTGAGACGCACAGCAGTGTGGAGGACAAGACGATTGGCATATTTCCTGGCAATGATCTGGACAGGTTGAGGGCAGAACAAATTTGAATTTGCAGCAAAATTTGGGGCACGTAGGGAGACAATGCGACTGACAAACTGGATTGCACGTCGGTTGCAATTCTTGTATTGATGGTGCCTGTTCCATGGAGGAAACGTGTTGAGATACACAACAGTGTGCGGGACACGACGAGTCGCATATTTCCTGGCAATGATTAGGACAGGTCGAGGGCAGAACAAACTTGAATTTGCAACAAACTCTCGGGCACTTAGGAAGGCAATGTGTCTGACAAACTGGATTGCACGTCGGTTGTATCGGGGCAGCGGCTGGAGTTAGCTGTTGTGAACAGCAGTGACTGGGACATAGAGGATCACACGTAGTCTTGCAATGGCTTGGACAAAGAGATACGGAAAATGAAGAAACTTTACAGCAGTGCATAGGGCATAGTTCATGACAGCTTGTGTGGCATTCAGAGGGACATATCGGCAGAGTTGACACAGTAGGAGGCTTGCAGCAATGATCAGGGCACGCAGTTCCACAACTAAAGCTACAATGACTTGGGCAACCAACTGCCGCATGGGAATCAGCCCTTTTACAGCAGTGATCCGGGCAAGTTGAAGGACAAGTGGTTACTTTGGTACACTCAGTAGGACAGCTTGGAGTCAGTGACGGTTTGTGCACAGCGGCTTTGGGAAACAGGAAGAATATCAAAACGTCAGAAGTCCAGTCACGTGATCAACCATCTAAGGTGCATGCACTGCTCCTGCTGCAAAAGGAATTTTGACGTTTTAAGCCCTTAAGTCCCAAGAGTGACCAAGGTCAATTTTCTCCCCAAAAAATCAATACATAATCAAGGGAAAATGTGAGAATTTATAAAATGATCACCTGATGGGAAAAGCTTTGATATACAAACAAATTCTCTTTACCAGTTCATTGCGGAAATCTATGCAGATCAGTTTGGAGAATTTGTATTTGGATATTGGGGCTTAAAGAGTTAAACTTAAGCTACGTTCACACTGCACAGGACGAATTTTCGACCGGCTGAAAAATTTGACCGGGCACTTCGTTCACACGGGACTCTTCAATATTTTCGCTCCGTTCACACGGAACTTTGAACTGCCAGGCGTCTAAATTTTCGTACGGTTAAGGTAGCTTCGTGTGTACGGAACAACTAAACGCACGAAATTTCAGCCGGTCTAAATTTTCGTCTGCTGCCGTTATAACGCAGCCTTACTTCAGAGAGAGCGGTCGAGTGTAGCCAATCAGAGGGCGTTTTACATGACGTCACGGCGGCCATATTGGTGTGCCAAACCAATGAAAAGGCAGCCATGTTAGTGCACAGGGCTCGTAAAGATTTTTGGATCCAAAATTCAAGACTTTCTCCAAAACAATAATTTCTTTTTCCAGACTTAAGGTTATGAAATGGGTGATCAATAGAGACCTAAAAAAAATTGAAGGAACAACGCTTTTTCCATGATGCGCTGTAAACGTACAGGCGAGATTGAATAAGATTTGACCAGCACGAAAAAAATTTCACTTGTAAAGCACTTACTGTTACTTTCAAAAAACTCTCTTTATAATTTTTTCAAGACTTTATCTCTATTTTCCAGACTTTTTCCAGGTCTGGAAAATTTTGGGGCAAATTTCACGACTTTTTCAAGAATTCAAGACTCTGTACGAACCCTAAGTGTACCAAGAAAATCTTTTCTCAAGTAGTCTTTTCTCACGTAAACACTTCCCTTTTTCCAGGAAATTTGCATATATTTTGGCCAAGAGAGTAGAAACGCTCCACGCAGTAGTTGTAAACTACAAGCGAGCATGAGCATTTGCTTATCTAGAATTGTTTTCGTCATAGCATAAGCAAGCAGCATCCAGGTGAGATAAGCAAGAATAGCAAATTTGTACAAGAAGGGTTGTTAGAGTGTACGAAACAAAAACGAATCCCCTAAGATTGGTTAAACAACACTTTAGCATTGAATAATGCAGTCTCAATTAGCTATTAATTCGAGTCAATCCTTCATTTATACTATGTAGGCCATGAAGAGGTATAGTTTACGAGTGTGCGGTGTTCAAAGAAACAAGAGCTTTCTTTCTACGAGGACAATGCCATGTTCTAGTAAATGGCAGCAGAAACTCAGTTTAAATCAGTAATAAGCAAGCACCAGTAAAATCACAGTTGATTCGTCAAGAGATGGTATTTCAGTTCTTTCTGCCGATCTTATATTACCAATGAATAGTTTTCTCTTAAGCTCATGTTTTTGAAGAAATAAATATAGAGCTTTAGATTTGAGGACGGGAACGAGTACAAGTACGAGATTTAACTGAAAGTTTTTGCGCGTGTTGTCCGAAAAAAGACACCTCGGAAAGCTTTATTTTACTTTTTTCACCAAAAAAGTTAGTACGGTTATTTATACTGAAGGAGGTGAAGCCCTCTCCCGACAGCAGAATGATAAAACTACTTACTTTGATAACTTTTTCCCGCCACTACGACATACTCGCTAAAACTCGTGGTAGAATGACGATGGCTATCACTTCGTGACGTTTTTCCCGCCAAATTGACGCTGGTTCACGCGTGAGCAATACTCAGTATTGAGAAAATCTCGTACTCGTAGTCGTCCTCGTCTCAGAATCTAAAGCTCTCTATTGTGGTAACAAAGACTTGTATCACGTACTTACCAACACAATGATGACCATCAAAGTAGTAACCTGGTACACAAATGCAAATTCCCCTGAGGCAATGTGAATGGGGTGGACATCCTTTGCAGTCGTCCTCTATAGAAAACAACATTCTAGATATTACCACCTAACCCTCCCCTAAATCAACATTAACACTTACTTGTCACTTAGGGTAAAATGTTGGCTTAGGGGAGGGGTAGGTGTGAAGTTTCCCAGAAACGTGTAATGATCCCAATTTCCTAAGCCTTTCCATTTGATGCAATCAATAATTCAGTCCCACGCCAGCACTGATATGAAGGCAAGACGCTGTTTATAAACTTTCCTTTGTGAAAGGTTTGAACCCAGGAGTCATTTCATAAGTAGGTTGAGCATGATCGTCCGGGTGAACGTAGTCCTGAATAGGACTGTTGTTGTTGACAGTGACTGACGTTTCGTCAACCTGTGCGGTAGTCATCTTCAGAGTCAAAGTGATTCGTATCACGTTACTTGATGGTATTTAACTCTGGTTGACCTGATTGGTCAATTAAGTCGTGATATTATCAGTGGTCTGTCAGTTAAGCCGCAATGTTATTGGCGATGAAGACTCGTAATAAAAGGTGGTGATTCATACGGTCCTTTTCAACCTAAAGGTTTTTAGCTCCGGAACAATTATTTTTAATGTCAAGGAACGAAAACAGCGCTCACTGAGAACTACAATATGGAATATTAAACGTTCTTCTATTTTATTATACTACAGTAGAATCCCGATTTCTCGAACCCTCAGTTTTTCAAAATTCCCAATAATTCGAACCAAACCTAACCTCCCTTTACCAGTCAAACACTGTAATTTTACCCTCGATTTTTCAAACCGCCTGATAATTCGAATTTGCTTTTATCAAGCTGGTTCGAAAACCCGGGATTTCACTGTACCTCTACAGCGATTTTCGTATGACCTTCAAAAATGGTTTCGGTAAAATTAGTGTTCGTTATTTGTTTTATCAGCCAATGGATGAAAAAATCAAAACATGGACTCTTCGTTTTCCCGCCAAAGAAAACCCTAATAAGGAGATTGCATTGTTCGATTGGCCAATCGTGTTGCAGTATGTCGTCAAAGCGAAGTATCGATTAATTTCTAGAAAGTTCTCGAGCATGAAGTTTTTTCACCCGAGCGTTCGCTTAACCAACCAAAAGCCACGCGCGTTTGTATCCGTTGGATAAACCAATCAAATCGCTCTACTTTCGTTCGTTTGTACGTTGTTTCTGTTTTGTTCGCGAGTTTCATCGCTCATATTTTCATCATACATTTTTATAATGACCTTATAAATTACCTTGACAGTGTTTCCCATTTCCAATAAATCCCGGTTTGCAGACACATTCATCCCTAACACATGTTGCATTCGGACTGCAGTGGCCACACTTTTTAACTGTAAAATAAATTAAATATCTTATGCAAAATAAATACAAAATTTATCTTTTACCAACGTCACACTCGACTGTGGAACGGAAAATATTCACTCTCAGCTAACTTTGCTGGTTCCTGGGGGGGAGGGGTACTCAAGGAAGTTGTATACAGATAGGCTCCGCCCCCGAGGTACAACCCCTTATCCTGTTTATACAACATTTTTTACAGAAAAAGGTAACCCTTTCCTACACCTTCTATTGACAAATTTTACCCCTTTCAAATACCAAGGCTTAGAACTTTGCTTGCATCCCTTTCAGCTGCTGTAAATGCACTGTCTATCAAACATTAATAAATCACAAAACCAGAACGTCTCCTCGACTCTTTCACAGCCCGCATAAATGCATCTATTAGCCCTCTTGGGCCTTTTTACAGACCGAAATGACAGTTTTCGCTAACCGTTCATATTCTTTAACACGTGAAATCACTACCCTTTCATATACCTGAGGCCTGAATAAGGTACCCCTCTCGGGTGGAGCCTCCCCGTATAGGGAGTACCCCCCTTCCCCTATTGTAGTGACTATGAAAGTTTTTGGATCATTATACGTTTCTGCGAAACCGCCCACCTAACCCTCCCCTAAGCCAACATTTTGCCTTAAGTGAGAGGTAAGTGTTAAATGTTGGCTTAGGGGAGGGGTAGGTTGGCAGTTTCCCAGAAACGTACCCAAGTTTTTTTGGTATTTTTATATTCGTACCCTTTCCAAACTTGTTTTTGACACGAGGTTTTGTTGGGGATTCCATGCAATTACAGGCCCTTTGTCGCTTCCCATTCATGAGGTACAAAACCGCCATGCTGGAGAACAAAAGTCGCACTGGGACAAGACAAACAAAAGGCATACTGATACATAATTGTAAATGGTAATTTCCTTTACGACTTTTGCTCTCAAGCATGGCGGCTTTGTGCCACGTGAATGGCTAGCTGCAATGAACGGATTTAAAACTTTTCTAACTTTATGACAAAAGTAAAAGTAGCGTTAAAGTATTTGACTGACATACATGTTTACGTACCCTTTGTACACTCGAACCCATCGCCTTTATACCCAATTCTACATCTGCATGCTCCTTCCACGCAAATGGCATTAATATCGCACTGATCACAATCATCCACTGGAAAAAGAAAATAATATCATCGTTAATGTTTTTAGGTTCAATTACAGTGAAGGGGCTACAAGCGTGTTCTTCAATAACTTGTCTACAGTTGCAGCGAGGAAGCCTCTCTTTTAAAGGAGTGTATAGTACTTAGTTTCCGCACAGAGAACAATGGAACTGGGTTGGAAACGCCTTTGGGATCAGGGTTTTATCTAGGATTTATCGTTTGAGGGAGAGGCCCCGAATCTGGGTAGTAACGCGTCATCAGTATTGAATTTCTGCGTTCGTTTCTCAGACGTCACTTGGCGGGGAGACCAGTGGTAGCGTCGCCAAATGTCGGCTGTTTTCTCAGGCTATACAATTCACTTATCGCGGCCAACGCCCTAAGTTCCCCTCTCTATCCCATCATTAGGGACCTTAAGAAGCGAGGACGACGACGGCAGGTAAAACGTCGCTTAAAAAGTAAGTTCGCGGTTTTTAAATCTTCATCGCGATTATTCCAACCATTTACTTTGTCGAATGTATGCGAACCCTCCCGGAGTTGAATTCCTAACAGCCTTATCCAAATTAAGAGAGAGAAGAAAAATTTGTCGTTGCTTGTTTACATCCTCTATAAAACATTAAATTCGGTAGTTTCACGTCGTAGTCGTGCAGTGACGGCAAAGAAATGCACAAAAAAGCGTGATGTACGTGCAAAGTTGTTGTTTTGACGTTCTCGTTGCCGTCGCCGTCGCCGTCGCCGTCGTCCGATCTTAAGGTCCCTATTATCTCTTGGTTGCAGAGAATTGATAGTTATACCTTCACAATTAGTTCCTCTGTAGGAGCCTGGGCACTTACAAGTGTACCCATCTTTTATATCAACACAAGATCCACCGTGCAGACAGGGGTTAGGATGGCAATGGGACTTTGCTGCAAAAACAAAAAGGTTTTCGCACCGATTACAAAATACCTTTGTTACATTGAAAATTACTACTGCTCTATTCGTTAAGAAAAGAGTAAAGTAACGCCAAAACTTTACCTGATTTTCGTCTTGCTGAAATGATCGGCAAACTAAGAAATGAGCTAAAATAGCTTGATACATTACAAGCAATACTCTCGTGCACATGGGGAGCGTTGTGCAATACTGTCAACTAGTCTCTAGTCGTATCTTCCAGCGTCCCATTGGAAAACCGAAAATCTTCTACCACGTGTAGGTAATCCATTGGACACGACTAGATTCCGCTGGAGAAGTGCATTTTCTATTTATGAGAGACTCAGCATGCATTCACCTCGTTGTTCACATGTTGGTCCTTGAAATCTAGCTGAACAAAGACAGCGAAACTTTGTTCCTTTTGGAACACAGACCCCGTCATTCAAACAAGGCTCTCCAGTGCAAGGGTCCGGTGTTCTCGTAATAGGAGGGGCAGCACCTTAAAAAAAGTATAAAAAGAAGAGACAATCTAGAAATTAACCAAATTTCAAACTAAAATAGCTGCTTTATAAAGACAGAAAAGGTTTAGATTAAGAGCGGAGTAATATCTTGAATACCGCTCTTTTCAATCGTGACCTGTTTCTTTTTTTTTTTTTTTCCACTCCAGAAAATGAAAGGAGAATGGGTACAAGCTTTCGGTACAAAGGTTTTTGGGATCATTTTGGTGGACAAGCGTTACTTATGATTGGTTAATGGTTGCCTTGAATACCTTCGCTTGTACCTCCAAACTATCTCAGAAATTGTTTTGTCAAAAGCTTGAAACTATTCCCCTGATACCGCTTGTTTCTGGAGAGGGGAATTATCAAGAGACACCAGCATTTATAAATCGAAGAGCATCTGGCAGCACGTACACGCAAGTCTTTACACTGAAATCAACTCTCTTTAAACGGACACTTATAAAACGGCCGCCTTGCTGAAACGGACATATCGAAATGGGCTCTACCTTTCTTTACTCCTTACAGTTGACTCTCAATAAGACGGATATCTCCCAAAGGAGGACACATAGTGTCGGTGCCAAAGGAGTCTGTCTTGTTGAATGTATCACCAAATCCATCATCAAGAGTATGACTCAGTGTAACTTGCATTGCTTAGAATTTTCATTAACCAACGAACTTCATATTACAGTCAACTCTCGCCTTGCTGACACCCCATACAACGGACAGCACCTAAATCTCTGGCAAAAATTAATTGCAGATGTTTGACTGAAATAAACTCCCGCTATCCCGGACTCTCGCTAATGAGGAGACTAACTCGAGGTCCTCACAGTGTCCGCTATAAACGAAGTTGACTGTATACAGTTTTTAAAGTGCTAATTACCAATAGAAAGTTCGCAGTTTCCGCCTTGATAACCGGAAGTACAGAGACATCGATGGCTGTTAGGCTCTTCAAAACAAGACCCACCGTGTTGGCAAGGATTGGGGACACAGAACCTTGGATTAGACGCTGAAAGAAAGAAAGGTTTAATTTGGTATTACTATATTTCGGATTTGTTTGAGACGGTTTGCCACCAAACACTTGGCTATTTAGACTGTCTAAAAGCTCGTTTGGTCTTGTTTCGAGGTTTAAAAAGTCGAAATGTGGGCTGGTTTATTTGGTACACTGCGCGTTTTAATTTATCCAAAAAGTTGTTATTTTTCTTTCTTTTTTGTCTTAATTTTATTTTGTACTAGAGCCTTTAATTCGGACAGCTCTATTATTTCAAACCTTCTCTTGATTCTTGGTTTGCAACCACGTGACAAGGCGGCCACGCTGGGTATAAAAACAATATAATTTTTTCTCCAAGAATTTACGTGAAAATAGAGTTTAGTTACCAGAGGAGAGAAATGCTTTTGTTCTTGACCTCCAACACGGCCGCCGTGACGTCACGTGTAAACAATATTCTAAATAAAAAGTATTCCACGCACGTATACAGCGTTTTCAGTTCAGTCACGTGACCAGTAGCTGTGCAAATTTGTTGCATCAAAAGAAATCGTTAAAATAAGAAAAGAGTTCAACTCCCAGAGGATATTGCCGATGTTTTTTTTGTTGGTTAACACTTATCTCCATACTCCAAACTGACATTTACCTCTCAGTGGCTCTTACAAGATATTTTCCTTTTCCAAGATGACATTTCTGTCTCTTGAAATTTCTGCCTGATAAAATGTTCATGAAAGTCTAAGTCTATTCAGTGGTTTAGGGAAAAAATTTCAGGATAGCACGAGCAGGATTCGATTCCGAGCATCGGATCTGCAGTCCACCACCTAAACCACTAGATTACCAAGGATTTGTTGGGAAGAATTGGTTTGGGTTGGAAGTATATAGCAAAAACCTTAACCCTTAAAAGAAGCTAACCGATTTTTGAGTCGGTGCTTAACCCTAATCTCTATTCTTAGGGCTTAACTCTAATCAGTAATGATAGTCAAGCGGTTCCTTCCTTTGTAGAGAATTACTTTGTGTACGAATCATTAAGTGTCAACGTCATTTTGGGGTATGGAGATGAGCATTATTAACCTTTATTGTTTTGGGGCAACAATGCGGCAGACGTGACGTCATGTAAAAACGCACTATCAACTCACCTCCAATCCGAAAGCAATCCCCTCGGTACCCCCCACCATAGAAACCACCATCACAAACGCACCTTCCATTTTCACAATGCGCATGGACATCGCATCTAGCACATTTGTCCTCTACAAAGAAAAAAAAAATTCTCATCACTCTAATAAATTATTTTATGGATGCTTGTTCTTCGTCCTTTGATTTCCATTACATGGAATTATTATAGTATGTTTCGAATAACATGCAAATGAGCTGTTCGCCAGCATCAAGGATCGGTTTCTTGGGCATAATTGTTAAAGAAACCAAAAGTTAGATAGAACTTTCTAAAAGTTTTAAAAATATATACGAAAAAAAAATTAAACGGCAGTGACTTCTCTAAGAAGTCAATACCTCAATTTGCAAATTTATAATAACTTGTGAAGCAGTATCAGGTCCCTCAATCGCGCATTAGGTTTTACCCTGCTTATAAAAGATATTAGCGTTGCTTTTAGATTTTCTGAGAATAATTGCATAAGATAACTCCTCCATGTATTATCAAAAAATCGAATCAAAAATGTGAAGTCGATCTTCCTTTTAAAAGTTTGGTTCAAAGGACATAATGTACAAGACAGAATAGCAATTTGACATATACCGAGGCAAACACTCTCTTCAGCTCATCAAAGGCATACGCAATAGACGTAAAGACATAAAGACGTAAAGGGTGGTAAAGGCATTATTTGACTCAATAATTACCCACCTGTGCAGGTATGTCCTTCAAAACGATCTGTGCACTGACAAAGGTAAGTGTTATGGCTCTGACGACAAGTGCCGCCATTTTGACACGGGTTTGGTAGGCACACTCCAGCATCTGAAAACAAAATACGTAAAGTATTCTCGGTTTGCAACCACGTGACATGCCGGCCATGTTGTTGGTCAATACAATGACAATAGAGTTAAGCCCGCAGGGGATAGAAATGCTTTTGTTCTTGACAATCAACATGGCTGCCATGACGTCACGTGCAAACCAGCAATATATGTAAGTGCACGTCAGAAATTGATAAACAATGTTTTCGTGATGATAGTGTACCAAAACGACGTAATATTGTCAAGGACTTGCGGAGCTAGCTCTATTGAACATAATATCTACATGATTTTGAGATTTTGATGAGTCGGCATTAAATAGCATACAGCAGTTAGAAAGCTCATTAAAAATTATTAATTAAAATTAAAATTGTTTAATAGGCCATTTACGAGTCCCAAAAAAACTGTTGCCTTTAAACGAGGGTAAGAGCAAAACTTTTCTTTCTTGTTATTTGCATGGGAATAAAAATCATTTTCACATCGAAGGCTCTGCACTTAACCTCACTTTGAAACAGAGGCTTGGGCAACTCGGAAATAGCTTGTTGGAAGTGATTCTACCCGACATGAGAGTTGTCTGGACAGTATAAAGTTAACATTTGTTTGTCAAGTGTCATGAAAAGAAACTGAAAGGAGGATATCGGGATCAACTGAGAGAAAATGCCAGACACTAAAATCACGACACACTGTGTTAATTAGTCAATATTAGGGATATTGAAGAATGGGCCATTTTTCCGACTTACAAAAACCCTCACTTTCAAAACGAGGCCAAGTGAAAAACCTTTCTTGAGAAAATGAGTTTTATTTGCATGAAAATAAAAAAATAAATAGTGATCAATAGCTTCGCACTTAGTCTCGCTTTGAAACAGAGCCTTGGTGCAAATCTGAAATGGTCTATTGCGATAATTGGGAAACTGAGTATTTTACTTTCACCACAGATACAAAGCTTTATGATCTGCGAACATACCTTCACAGTTTTTGCCGTTATATCCTTCCTTACATCTGCAAATGTAGTCACCAGCAAGTCCTTCGTCGATACACGTTCCTCCATTTTGACAGGGATTACCCAAGCAAGGTTTTATATCTGTTTTTAAATTGAAAAACAACTTTGTAAAAGGTTTTACGGGACAGATAACTCACTAACGAACTTCATATTCAATGTTTTATGGGTTAGCCTTCATAGAAAGCATAACAGGAGACGAGAAAAAGGAAGAGAAACCTTTGGTGGACATAAACGCCACACAGGTATTTGGCAAAAGCTTCATATTTGTCAAAAATTGTTAATGATGCAACATCTAAGCTGCCCCATTACCATCTCATGGGGATCGTTACATGTTTCAGGGAAACTAACAAACTACCCCTCCCTAAAGCCAACATTTTACCCTAAGTGAGAAGTAAGTGTTAATGTTGGCTTAGGGGAGGGGTAGGCGGCAGTTTCCCAGAAACGTATAATGAACCATGATAGCTGGACCTTATGATTTCGTATGTTCAGTTCATTAACTTGATCAGGATGATTTTGGTTTATGATAGTCATAAATAAACTGATAAGTCTAACAGCATATTTTAGCGACCACCCTAGTTCGACTAGGTGAAGTCAAACCAGCGGATAGAACGGGCCAAAGTATTGTGCTCAGAATCCGTGGCGCCTTAAGACGAATGTTAAAACAAAGTTTCAAACTGAACTTATGACTGAATTATTAGTTATAAATCTTGTAGTAAATAGTTATATTTCTTCACATGTCTGATATTATTTTTATACTTATTGTTACATGTACCATACCTTATATTTTGTCAACTCAGTCTATGTAATTAGTTAATTTATACTTACCTTCATTGTATTTTATTTTCGATCCTGGCCTTACTGTTACCGTTAACTTTATTTTTACTCTGAGGGAGCCTCATGTCTATAAGCCTCATGGTTTCTTTTTGGGCTTCCTCGCCACTTTCATTTGCTTTTGTGTAACTGTCTTGTTTTATCGTTATTTGTATTTTGTGGTGAGTCAAATAAAGTTACAAGTTACAAAGTTACAAGCGACGCGAGCCGCGAGAGAACGTCGTCTTTCGCGTCTCGTCTCGCGTGCCGCTCACGCGCGACTCTCCCAAATGGCTCTCCCAAACTTGCTCGCAGGCTAACTGAAAGACAACTTTTGTCTTTTTCAAAGAATGGTTAACGAAAAGCATAATCTTTCTTACCTTTACAGAAAGGTCCCGTGTAATCTGACGGACAGGCGCAAGAGAAGCCTGTAATTGCTTCACTGCAAGTTCCTCCATTGTAACAAGGATTGGGATGACAGAAACTCTGATGTGATATCGCTGTGGCCGGGATACATTACAGTTTTTAACATTAGGAAGAGTCTGGTTATGCTTCGACATGAAGTTGGCTTACTCACTAATAGAGAATAAAAACTACTGAAACAGTGCTTGTGTCGCGCTCTGGTGTTTACTTCTGGGTGTGTGCATTGAAGTACTGTAAATGACCAACTGAACCCCCGGGGCGTCTATTTAATTTATAGGGTCCAAGTGGGGGCGTTTAATAGCTAGGAGGCGTTTATTCTCATAACTTTAACACGCTCATCAAAACTTAAATATGATTTAAGCAAAAAATATCAAGAGAGTTAAAAAATAGCGGAATATCCACCCCATCAATTGACACGTCTAGGCTGTCCAAAGACCCATATCGCCCTTTCAAATCCTAGAATCCTCGCTCCAGGTCAGTTATTTCCCATCGTTAGTCTAGTCTATTTTGAACTTGACCACATTAGATAAAATGCGCAAAGCCTTGTTAAACAAGCAAGAAACTGAATAAATTGGATGATTTTACTCGTTTTGGCTGATTTCTGGTAATTTGGAGTAATTCTCACAGCAGGTGTCTATTAGACAGGGGGCGTTTATTAGAAAGGGGCGTCTATAATTTTAACAGCGTAGAGGGGGCGTTTATGAGGTCATTCATTGAAAATGTTGAGCAATTAAAAGGAAGTTATAAATGATTATGAGCAATCAATAAGCCATTCAACAAACTGAATATATTAGAGCAACGGTAAGGGAAACGTTTTTTTCCTCCTTATTTGTTTAATCGCCCCGTCTACATGACGAGTCTCTTTGACACTGGCTTGTAACGATATTTTAAAACATGAAAAACTTGATTTTTTTAGCACAAATATCATCCTCAAAAACTCGATCATATGCACAATTTCACGTGACACAAAATTCACAGTGACCTTACCTATATTTGACTGAGACCTCATAGGAGATGAAGTTATGTTTATGACACTCCCTTTCAACACTGCAAAATAAGTTTCATTCTGTCAGCTACCTTTAGTCAAATAAAGCTTTCCATAAATAAAACTACAGTAGAACCTCGATGACTCGAACTCCCGCTAACTCGAACTTAATTTCCTTTCCCGTGATCAAAATTTCACTAAAATTTACCCCGATAACTCAAATTCCCCGCTAACACGAACTGTTTTTCGTTATCCCTTCAGAGCACGAGTTACCGGGGTTCTATAGTATTTTACACTGTTTATATTTTTTAGCCATCGTTGCAGTATGTTTAACGAATTAATGACACTACTGATTCATACAATGTAAACTCCCCATACTTATGTTTCGAACGTTTTTTTTTTCGGTACTGTTGCAAAGTGCAACATTTAGGTTTTGTAGGCTAAGTTTCACTAAGTTTCAGAACTTCCATTCCTGACGGTTCAGCCATAAGCATATAATCCCATCATGCCACGAAACGATTTCTTTCGGGCGTAGAAATACATGTATACGCGTTGCAAGCTCAACGTTTTTAGCCTCGAATTCTCTGATTCCATATTTGGGCAAAATAATTTTCCGCGCTTCTTATTGGACGGCTAAAACCCCAGCTTGATAAGGGGAAGTAACACGCTGCGCGGTTATATGCTTCTGGTTCAACTTAATCCTTCATTCAATGTTTATTTGTATTATTTTCATATACGATTTTAGACAGAAGAACCAAGGATGATCATAAGTTCACATCTTGCGGGTGATCGTGCATCATAGATATTTTCCCTATTCAAATGCTAACCTTTTCTTGCCAGGTTATTATTCTTTGATGAAACACCTAACGTAATACATAATTCGTTCTCCAGTGATACTGGAAAATCTATTTATTCTTATCTGCACAATAATTCAACTGTAGTAACTAACTTTCATAGATACCTTCACATACTTTGCCGTTTCCAACGTAACCATCAAGGCAAACACATTTGTCATCGACGCATCTCGCGTACTCGTGGCAGTTGCTACAAGTTGGAAGGGGCATTTTCACTAGATTTAAAACAGAAACACTAGTCACATTATGTTTATTGCTAAAAGTGAGTACTTCTAAACAAGGGTTATACACATACCGTAAATATCCGAAAATAAGACCCTCCATATATAAGCCCCTCCAAATATGTCCCCCAAGATCGTAACGCAAAAAACCCTCCGTTAAATCTTCCCTCCGAATATAACCCCCCTGGGGGACGTGTACGTGGAATTTGACCTCGAATACAACGTAAAACAAAGCAAAATGCTAAATTTCCTTTCCACTACAAGCTAGCCCAGCCGATTTTATAACGCAAATTTCCCTCCGTCCATAAGCCCCTCAGAATATAGGCTCCTCCAAAAATAAGCCCCTCTAAAGGGGCCTTTGAAAAATATAAGCCTCGGGGCTTATTTTCGGAATTTTACGGTATGTTGTTTTCTTTTCGCTACCACCTCTTTTCGCCCCATATAAAGTAATCCAAGACAGTCTTGGATTCTGGATTCCACAGCGGTGGATTCCGGATTTCAGGTACTGGATTACGGATTCTGTGTCAGTGGAACTTGGATTCCGGATTCCAATCGTTAGTGGGATTCCGGATTCGTTGAGCCGTATTCTGGACTCCAAAGCACATGATTCCGGATTCCACAAGCCAAGATTTCCCGGAATCCGGAATCAGGACTCCATTACATCGGGCGACTCTTTAGTTAGTGACGAACTCAAGATCAAGGGAGAACAAAAGTCAAAATCGGTTGTACTTTAACTTGCGAGATTTCTCTCCTTGCGATATATGTACCCTGTTTTGCGATAGACAGGTAAAAAGTAAACTAAAGAACATTGTAATCCGTCCACATAGTCTACATACCTTCACATGTCGAGCCATCATATCCTTCTTTACAGATACATTTATAAGTATCGGCAACGTCAATACATTTTCCTTCATTCAAGCAGGGATTCTTGAAACATTGGCTTCGTAAGGCTAATATCAACAATAAATGAAAAAAAAAGGGTTATGAATTGGCATCTGGCAACAGTTGTCCATTGTTTGGATAGCGTTATCCGACGGATAAAGCAGTATCCAGTGGATAAGAGTTAGGGAAACCAATTGCAATTTCCAATGGATAGTGATTTATCCGGTAGATAACGCTATCCACCGTTTGAACAACTGCGGCAAGTTGATTTCAGAGCAAACGGATATTTAGGATTTTCTTCTATACCTTTCAGTTACGCGTACAATTCAGTTAATAAAAGGGTCGTGAACGAGTAAAACTGGGATTGGGGTAGCTTCGACGGGAAAAAATGATTCAGTAATAGACTTGAATTTAACAACGTAGTTTTTTGTCACTGGGAATTGACGCAAATTTTCAATGGGACACTGCGACCTAAAAATGGGCAGTCAAAGAAAATAGGATTTGTTCACCCTTCTCTCCTAGTTCACGTTTCTATGAAAAAAGGTGCTACATCAGAACTATTCAAGTCAGCAAACACTCCTTGTGTTTCTGGGAAACTGCCCACCTACCCCTCCCTTAAGCCAACATTTTGCCCCGAGTGAGAAGTAAGTGTTAATGTCGGCTTAGGGTAGGGGTAGGTGGGCATGGGCAGCTTCTACACCAGGTATAACATTTTTTCTTCCCAGAGCAGCAAGGTGTAACCACATCGAAGTCTGCTTGAAATTCTACTAGCGGGATGGGCCTTTGTCTTTTGTAAATGTCGAGTCGGTGTAAAAAGAAAAAAAACCTTTAAGGTAGGTTTCTACTATCGCGAAATTTTTACGTGTTCACGCAGGTAAATTTTACGCGCCTTAATTAAAGTAGTTCTATATTGCCTCTACTCTATTTACCCGCGTACGCACGTACAATTTCCCTGACATAAGAAATTAACCCTTCATTGGGTTTGAATCACCATCATATGAATTACGTTTTGTACCTTGACAATGTTTCCCTTGATATTTTTCAGAGCAAGTGCATTGGAATCCTTCTTCGTCATGATCATCTTCCACACACGTTCCTCCATTGTGACAAGGCTGTGTCTCGCATTTTGGTACCCTTTCTGTAAATGGAGTGAATGTAGCAATAAAGCATTCAAAAATGTTATGGAGAAGTCCTTGATATGAAGGCTTAAAGTTTCATTAAAAAAATCCTTGGGAAAAAAGCGACAGAGATTGGGTTAAGGAAATCATGGCTATTTCCTCAAGACTTATACCAACACATTCAATTATTCACTGCGTTTCTATCAAAATTGTATGTTTGGCATGATCGCCTTGCAGATCAACAAATAACCTACGACAATTTACCTTTTATAAATCTTTTCTTAACGAAATCCTCATAATCTTCGGCTGAATCCAAGACGGCGGCCATCTTTGAAATGACGTCATCACTTGTTCAAGCATCGCTATAACTTACAAGAGCAAACGACCCTATCGACTTGAGTGGTCGCTTACAATAATCGAACCACCGAGGGTCTCTTTCGAGAAGAGGTCCTGACACATCTACTTTTTGGAAGAAAAGTTATTGCATGCCATTTCTAAGTAGTGATATGTGTGGTTTCAAGCTGTTACAGAAATCTCTTCGTATATTCCAATTGGCGCAGTACATTCAGCTAACAAACAGACCATACTATGCGTCAAGTGGCCTCTAAAAAGAAGTTAAAACTCATGGCCGAAAATTGCACAACCGTAGCACCCCAAAGTAATAGCGGTTGCTAACGAGAGATGGTCTTTAATCATAGAGCTTTGACTCGAAAACCTTAGGTGTTTTGGATCTATGGTCGCATATGGGAGTCGATCGCTTACGAGAGGTGGTCGCACACGAAGGTATAACAGAGGGAAGACCAAAGAGAAATGGAGAATGTACGCCCTTAGGTGCCACAGACATTGTAAGAACGTTTTCGTTATCTTACCTTCACATGTTATCCCTCTGAAGATTGCTGGACACAAACACATAAACTGGCCAGCTCCGGCATTATGACAAGTTCCAGCATTTTGACAAGGGCTCGAAAAGCAAACATCTAAATCTGTTGGGAAAAAAGATAAATGATAACAATTAAATAAAAAGGTACTTTCCACTCGTTCTTTTTGTGTTCTTCGATTCAGTTCAATAGACTGACTTCTCTAGCATGTGTGCTTTGTTTTCCCAGTGTGGGTCATGTGATAATACTCCAGAGAACTGTTCCTTTCAAATTTGTCTTTTTCACGTGCATTATAGGTACGCATAATTTATAAAAAGAAAAATGAGCAAATTCCCCTAAAAACAAAACAAAACAAAACATAGAAGCTAAAGAGGTCTTTGATCAATGTAATCAGATAAAGTTAAGCCTACAAATAAAAATTGACATGAAATATAAACAAACAAACAAACAAACGAGTTTACAGCTAGCCTGCACCTCAAACGGATCTAAACTTCTGGTTAAGTCCGTCTGCGAAACAGGACCGAAATCCTGGTTCTGGGCCCCCACCCGTGTGTTCCAGGATTTGAGTACGTGCCATGATTGGCCCGTTAAAAAGCCATTGTCAATTTGCCAATCAGGTTGAAAGGAAATTTGAAACGTACTTCCGGTAATTCATTGAGTCCTTTGGGGGCTCAGAACAAGGATATGGACGCTGCTTCGCAGATGTTACTAAACCGGGTTAGATGACGTCTACGACGCATGCGCAGCCACACAGGCAAGTTTAGATACCATACCTCCACAGTCTTTTCCATAAAAACCTGGCAAGCACTTGCACTCAAAGGAATATTCTCCGTTAATGCATATGCCACCGTTTTTGCAGAGGTTGCTGACCGCACAGTGATCTGCGGCTGAAAGAAAAGAAATGCAAAAATGAAAAATTTATCAGTTATTGACTTAAAAATAATAAGTTCTTGAGACTAACAGAAATCCATTTAGCCCTTCGGACGACAAGTCAGTTCTAGTATTTTCTGACTGACAACCAATATTAATTGACAACAGCGGTTTACTGACTAATATATAGGTACATGTACCAGCACAAAAGAAAAAACTATTTCAGGGATTCATGACATCAGTCGCAAGTTTTACAGATCCTGATTAACTTTGCCGCACTCTTTGATCCTGATACCATAAAGTTAAAAAAAAAAAGACAAGAAAGTGGGGAAAAGAGAGGTTTGCAAGCACACCTTTCAAAGGCCTCTCTCAGGGAACTTATATTTTGGGGGCTCGAATTTGGCCGCCCTCATAACAAGAGGAGCTTATCCTTTATTCCGAAGATTGAAAGAGAACATACCTTCACAGTTACTCCCTTTGAAGCCTGAAGGACATGAACATTTATATGACTTGCCATCCTCTTCACACGACCCTCCATTTTTACAAGGACTTGGAATACACTTGCTGATAACTGACGAGATAACATTAAGATAAAAATTTCATAAATACGATACTATATTAACCTAGTCTGAACAGATAAAACGATCATCTGAAACTTACAATATCGCCGAGAAATCGAGGCTGGTAAGCTATTACTTCTATTTGTGAGGTTATTCTTGCCTGTTCTACCACTCGGGCTAAGGTTGGGAAACTTCCCACCTACCCCTCCCTTAGCCAACATTTTGCCCTGAGTGAGAAGTAAGTGTTAATGCTGGCTGAGGGGAGGGGTGGGTGGGTAATTTACCAGAAACGAATAATGATAAGTAAACCTGTGGCGCAGGAAACGACGCTTTCAAATGTAACAGGCACTGTCTCTAGAAACAATCCCAGAAGTCTTTGCGAAAGTTAAATCGGTCCTCTCTCCTTCTCGTTCCTAAAGTGGTCAATTATGGAAGATCCCCTATTGATATTTTTTTCATTTTCATGTCTTTTTTCTTAATGTATCAACTGATTTACAGTAGTTGAGTAAATTTAACATGTTCTATGTAGAATTGGCACTTACTGTCACAGTTTGGTCCCTTGAAACCCTTCACGCATGTGCAGTGATATCCATCTTTGGTTGCATAACAATTGCCCTCATTTTTACATGGGTTTGGAAGACAGTGATTGACATCTAAATCAAATATGTCCACAATATGTTACTTGTTTGAATAGTTTCTTTCCTGATATCCGAGAGTAATATTCAATCGGTCATTTGTATCGTAAAGCGACTCTGAGGGCTAGACAAAAGAAACTCCAAGGCAACGGGAGTTGTATAAACAATACAACTTCCCTACGTCTACTCTGCTACTCTTCTCTTAAAGCTAAAAAATGTTATTAGGGAGTTTAAGCAAAGGCATTTTTGAGAGAGATAGTGAGACCCTTTCTCTTTTTAATAGCCATAAGGCTTCCAAATTTGTATTGCTAAGCGTGTATAGTTTATTTAAGGTAATTTGACCGAAAATTTGGGTAAAAAAAAAAAACTGCCCAAGAATGGATACAGTCTACTTCCGGTTACGTGCGTCGCTCGAAAATAGGGAACATAAGCAAACACGTTTTTGAGCGATGTAAGTCAACTGGAAGTGAGACCTTCTCTCGTTTTCTATGCCTTGACGCTAACAAATTGTCATTACTAACTTTCTTTTCTCTTTTAGAGACGATTTACCCGAGAGTTTTAACCAAACCACTGCCCAATGACGCAAAACGTTCACTTCCGGTTGACGTCCGTCGCTCAAAAACGCTGTTGCTTAAGCTCCCTAACGCCTTAGCTCAAGCTTACTATTGACTTTTATGGAGGAAGGAAAATGATCTAAGAGACACCATATTTAGAAGAAGAGACTGGTTGTGAAAACCGGAAACATCCAGGATGAAAACGATGCTGCTGCGGTTTATGTTGGATGCTCCCTGTCGGTCGCTGGACCATGCGCAATGCTTAGTTGTTTATTTTTCGTTCACAAATGATGACAGAATAAATATTTGCGATGTTCCTTTTGGTCAATAAGTTCAAACAGATGTGAATGCTATTGAACGTTGTGCACCGTCGACTCAAAAAAAATCTAACAGAAACATAACAAAGAAGTCTAACGGCTTTCAAAACCATTTCAATATATTAACTATGAAAACACATAATAATTCGAATATGACTATTACCCTTCACATACCTTCGCAGTTCCTTCCCATATATCCAACTGCGCACGTGCACTCGTAGTGTTTGTCGATCGCTGTACACGTGCCTTCGTTTCTGCAGGGGTTTGGAGTACATCTGGCTTTGGAAACACCTGCAGACATGAAAATCACCATCGGCAATAAAAAATTACAATACTAAAAGTCACACCCAGCTTTCCCTTCAAAAAAGTAACTAGTCACAAAATTATTTTGAACGTTGTTAGTGGTTTTAAGGGGATAACTTGTAGGGTGTGATGTGCCAATAATTTAATGTGACATAAACAATATTTGTTACTTCTCTACTATCGTCAAACAAAGTATCACGCTGACTGGAAAGGTATCGGTGCTCTAAAAGAAGGCATTATCATCGTTTTATTGAAAAGCAGACAAGTAGAGTGAAGCAAGCATTATTTTTGAGCAATTGTGTTTCTATCTGTAACACCATTTAGATGCTAATCGTTTAATCGCAATCTTTTTAAAGGACAACACAGCAGTATAAGAATTATTTAAGCAAAAGACCAGACTTCCTATGGGTTTACCGGCGTGATAACCTACGCGGTATGTTGGGAGAACACGAGAAAAGCTTGTAATCACGCCGGTAAACCCGGTGGAAAGCTTTTTTCGTCTCTTTTATAAAATAAGTTATCACGCCGTTTTCTAGAAATGAGTTTTGTTGCTTTTACAAAAAACCTTTAGGTTTTAACCAGTTTCAGAACGCAAAAACCATAGGTTTTTAACCAAGATAATAATAATAATAATAATAATAATAATAATAATAATATTAATGATAATGATGATGATGTTAATGATGATATTGATGTTGATGACGATGACGACGATGATGATAATAATAATAATTATAATAATTATCTTAACTTGCCTTTGTGAACGTGACGGTTAACGTTTTCGTGGATTTCCCCCGCGAGCCAAGGAAATGGCGGCGCAAACATACTGTTGGGTGGTTGAAAATTTGGCGCCATTTCGGGGCTGATATCGAAGGTTCTTGGAACCATCTGTGGAGCTGGAACGATATCATCAGGAACTGGAGCGATATTTGGAACAGCATTTATATCAGGCGGGGGGCCTATATCGTGAACAGGATCAATCTCCCGCACAGGAGCCACATCATGCATGGGGCTTAAATCGCGAACAGGACTTATCTCCTGCACGGGAGCCATATCATGAAAGGGCCCTATTTCATGAACAGGACCTAGCCCCTGTACGGGAGCCATATCATGCAAGGGACCTATATCGCCAACAGGACCAATCTCTCGCACAGGAGTCACATCGTTAAGATCCATTCCGCGCATGCGAGCTACTTCTTGATCAGGTGCAACCTCACCAACTGGCCCGACTGAGGGAAAATCATGCGCAGGGCCTACATCCTGTTCTCGCGTATGCAAGGGGCCGAGTTCATGCAAGGGAGGAATGGGTTCAAGGGCTGGAGGCGCAAACTGCACTGGCCCTGGTAGATTCCTCACAATTGGTGGTGGCAATCTTTGTCCCACGCTCTGAAAATGAATGGCTCGAGGAACAAGCGGAAGCGATCCGCTTGGATGTGGAAACGGCAAAATTCGTCCATGAAGTTGTTGCTTTCTAAAAGCATTTAAAATTTGCGCTGGAAGAAATAGTCTCTTTACTGCAGCTCTTTGGCTTTGAATATTCTTTAGGTTCAGCCTTCGAAGATTTTCTATCACTGTCCTGAATGGCGTCGGTCCCCATATGTGGATTGCTTTAAGTGGTCGCGGACTTTTTCGTCGGTTTTTTATTACAGCCGATGTTGCTACTACACGCAGAGGTTTAGCAGGCTGTGGTAACAAAGACGAATGGTGCGAAAATATTTTACCTAACTTTCTTTTATCTTTAGAGTCACTGTCATTTTTCTCTCGTCTAAATCTTCTCTGAGAGTCACTGAGAGAATCACTGGTCTCTCCAACAATTTTTGCTGCCTCATTTGAAAATCTCAAATACACAACGGTTCCGTGTGGATAATGATATTCGAGTTTACGTTTATGATTAAATGTATCCAATGAACCGGTGGCTTTGTGACGAAGATGTTTACATCTTGCCTGGTAAATCGAAAGAAGAACAGTCCATAACACAACAACCTGCGGCCAAAATTCTTTCATCATCATCACTGCATTTGCGTCCTAGTTAAATAATCCACCAGAGTTCGTTGCATTTTTCCCATTTCATTTGATTTAAGTCCCAAAATAATACAAATTTCGAACAAGGGAAGTTAATTGGGATCGAGTTTCGCGGGTTTGAGTGACTTCACCGAGAAGATGAAGTCATCCATTTATTACTAACAATGTACTACCCAGTCAAAACCCGCTCGATGTCAAGTTTCACAAAATGGGCGTTTTTTTGTGATGTCTGAATCCTTAATAAAAAAAAGCCATTAGGTTTCACGACCTGCTCACGGTTCACTGGCCTCAAAACCTAAGCCTCTTTGCTTCGTCGCGGTTAACTGATTTGAAAGCTAACTTAACAGGTTTTCACTTAAAAATAAAGTTTACTTGAAATTGCTGGAAGTTCTTCATCCATACATGCTAGATCGCTTGACTGTAGTATGAACTTGTGTTTCCAAGAAATTATAGCTTAAATAACTTTTGATTGAGTGTTTTGGATAAAGAAACTGTGTTGAGGGATGGTTTAATTGCTCGGTGTTTTCTAGTCACCTGATATTAGGACCTTGTTTTCCTTTACTCTGTCAAAACGAATTAACAACGTCTGTTTTATAAATTACACTCAGACACATTTTGACGCTAACATAACTGAACAGGTTAAAAGTACATTTTTTGACAACTTAGGAAATCGAAGTAATGCCGGGATGCAATTTTAACTGCTGAAATTGACATTATCAGTTTCTCACGTAGTGACATCTACTAAAGTCAGTTATAAAAATGACGCAAAATCTGAATGTCATCTACATGGATGGCGGCAATAGCTTTTTTTAGCGTCCATTAATTAGGGGATCTGGACGCTAATTTGTGGCTGGAACAGGATGAGAGCCCGTCATACCATGGATGTGATAAAACCGTTTTTGCAGAAGAAATTAACCCCCACCCCCCTCTCTTGCAAATTTACGGAGGTTAAACTTTTCTCAAGTGTTTTATGCAACCACCGATTGTTTTCTTACATTTATTATCAAGGCTAAAAAATATCGCAGTTTCAACAAATCTCAAAGAGCTATTAGCGTCTCATCTAACGTGTAATTGTTGATTTGGAATGTTCTTTTCCCTTTACTAAAAACTATTGATGTTAAAAAATATGCATAACGGAATTGTAACACAGTTAAAATGGTTACTAATTAATTCTCACTTGAGTGTTTGATTGAATACTGGAATTCCAGCACAGTTCATTGAGCTGCTAACGTGTGATCTAAGGTATCTTCTTGAGGGAGTTGCTTTTCGCATATAATGCCATCATAACCGTTCAAACAGATGCATGCAAATCCGTATTGACTGTTAGTGTGTGATCCATCTACGCACGTGCCTCCATTAAGACAAAGACTGGGAGTACAGGCTTTCTTAACTATAAAGAAACAGATTGTGTTAAAAGTGAAGGAAGAAACAGGGGTTAAAATTTATATATGCCCGTGATTTTGAGGGAGGGTTTGAAACAAGCCAGAAAAAAGGTACTGACAATCTTGGAGAAAATACACGGAGAAGTGAGACTCCCCCATTCCCCTCAAATCAAGGATTGGAAAATAGTGCGTCTTGGCGTTCGCGCGGCTTCATCCTTTTTTTTAGGGGGATGAGGGTACGTTTGCTGTTCCATTTTATTCTTTCTCCCCCCTCCCCTCCCCTCCCCGGGGCTTACAATAAACCAGACTCATTTAGGCTATGTCTACTCCATAACGGATAGCTTCACAGGACTCAAGAAAATAATTGAATTCCAGCTTGTTGTTTGAGCAAGCACCATTCTCATTTTGCTTACCAGGGGACATTTCGTGCTCATCTTAGTTAATGATTTTTTTAGAGGATGACTTCCCCAGGCCTTTGCCTAAGGGCAAGTGGGCTTTACAATTCCTTGCCCAGCAAGAAATCTATTTGTCCCAGACTACCGGACGGGACCTTTTTCGAGCCCTGCTTTATATATCTACATGAAAAATACTCCGGCCTGGTATAAACGGATCATTATACGTTTCTGCAAAACTACCCACCTACCCCTCCCCTACGGCAACATTTTTCCCTAGGAGAGAAGTAAGTGTTAATGCTGGCTTAGGGGAGGGGTAGGTGACCAGTTTTCTCCGGATACGTATTATGATCCGTATAAACCTGTCCACACTACCACGAGAAGTGGCGCAGAAACCGCTCCGATACGTGACGATCCACTTCCACGGTCGGCGCGGCGCAGCATCATCCCTTTACAAATTCTGTCCCCAAATCACGGTTCTTTTGTGTGAAGAAAGACTAATCCGATATGGTTTTTGTGCCGGCACAAGAGCTAGCCAATTCAGCGTAGACACAGCCTAAGAAGCTGTACACACTTTCAAAGGAATTCCCTCACTATTTTTAATTCTAACAAGACAACATACCGAGTAAACGGTAAAAGTAAAATTGACCGCGTTCAAAAGTTTGACCAGCAAGGTATAGCGTAGACCTTAGATTATTACAGCAAGAAGCCCAAAAGTTTGACCGCTTCTGATTCATTCACATTCTTTCCTACAGATTTCATCCAATCAGAAGCCAGCTGGAAACTGGCTTCGACTTATGATTGGTTAATGTCTGCATAAAAGAATGTGAGTTACTTAATGTACGTCACACTTTGGGCTCCTTGCTGTAGGGGTACAATCCACCAATCCTGATTTAGGCGGCACGATTTTAGGTCAACGAAATGGAAGCATACCTTATCTCCACGGAAAAGTAAAACTGCAAAGTCTTCATACCTTCACACCCCTTTCCAGAGTATCCTGTTTTGCACTGGCAGAAGGATTGAGTACCAAATCTTAGACAAGCCCCATCATTTTGACAGGGATTAGGGTGGCATGCAGAGGCTACATAAAGATACAGTATTCGACTAGGGTTAGCAGAGGTTACGTACAACTACATTTAAACTAAGAAAGCCAGTAAGAAAAGTTACATTTTACCAATCATAATCATAATTATAATCATTATTAAGAAGATATAAATTAATAGAACAAATTAAAGCAAAATTCCAGTGAGAGCCACAAGAGACTAGACAACGTGTTAAACATTTAACTATTTCCAGATTCAGATAAGTGGTTTCAAGGGCGTGTTCAGTTGTAACAAGGTTGAAAATGAACAACGAGTGAAAGGTTGAAGCTAAAAAGGAAGCAAAATAGAAAGAGGACCAGTACAAGCTAACGTTAGAGGTCAAGGGTATGGGCAAATTTTTCGAATCAGGGCCGAGTCGTCGGTAGGGCAAAACGCCAAGCCAATTACATTGCTGCCATTAGTAAGCTTCATTGAAGCAGAGATGATCGAATCAATCACATTAAGGCTAAAAATAACCAAACAGGACCGACTTGATCAAAGCCCAATAGAATGTAGACTAAGAGTAGTCCCCATTTTTCCTTAAGGTTGGTAGACCAAGCGAAAAGCGAGCACGGGTTAAAATCACCCCACGCGAGAAGGGCGAGAGCGGCGGGAATAGAAAAAAATGAGGTCAAAAGGTCAAAAGCTTGGACTTTGTCTGTAGTCCCTCATTTTTCTCTCTCCCCGCCGCGTCTCGCCTTTCTCGCGTGGGGTGATTTTCACGCGCGCTCTACTTTCCCTGAGGAAAAATGGGGACTTCTCGTAGTCCAAATAGAATGCAGACAGAACTATCAGTTGCCATAGGAAATAACCCTGTTCGGGGGCAACTCGTACTTCACCTAACTTCACTTTAAAAACAATTGCATCGCGCTGCTACATTAGCCTCACCTTAAGCGCTGTTTATTAATGTCGTAAATGTCGGCAGTCTTCTGTGGATTATGATTTTTCTCGTGCTTTGAGTTATGTCGGTGTAAAAGAACTTTTCCATTTTTACCATGATCTAACAATGCTAACAAGAAAGAGTCGATCGATGCCTTATGTAAAGAGCAAACAAATGAGTGGATTTTAATGAGCGGACTATGAATTAACACCAAATTGGACTCCAATACGTCGCCAGGTGATTAATTTATACGTTAAATAAGTACTATAAATAAGTTCTATGACTGGCTTGTTTCTTCAATCTACCTTCACAACGTTTTCCATAGAATCCAAACTGACAATCACAGTGATACCCGGTTGGTTCATCTCTGCATGTTCCTCCATTCAGACAGTACACTGAAGAACATTCACTTTTGACTATAAGAGAGGTAAAAAATAAAAACATTTTAGATAACGTGGATAAGTTCGCAATTGGAAGACAGCTGTAAACGTATAACTTTGCAAACGGAATTACAGGAAGGTAGCTTAAACTGCTAATGTTGAATGCCTTACTCCCAAATAAGCAGTATCATGAGATTATCTAAAATTATAACAGTTGTCTCATGAACCCTTTTAATGCTATATTAAAAGAGCCTCTCGATGGGTACTTGCGGAAGTCGTTTTCGTGGCACCTTTTCCACCTTATCTTCGGCTTTTCAACGAAATCGTTGCACGTAAAGAATTATTTGTGGGGAAACGGTACTGGCGAGTTCGACCAACCACGGCGAGGAAATCAACGACAGAAATGAGAAACGACAAGTTTAAAAAGCAAACCAAAAACTCAAACGTGCCGCACATGATTTTTTGGCAGATTTCGTTGCCGTCATCTCCATACTAACGTTCTCACACTCGATGAAAATGAGTGATCGTTGCCTCATCAATAGCGATCGTCGCAACTTCGATTTTGTCCAATATACCTATGGTGAGTCTCGTAGATGAACGTACCTTCACAAGTTTTTCCTTTGAATCCTTGTGGGCAGTTGCAGACGTAATCATCCTCAAATTCAGAGCATGCACCCATGTTTTTACAAGGGTTAGGTGAACATTTGTTGATGGCTGTCGAGGTGAGAAATATTCCATAAGAAAAACAAGCCAATATAAGGAACTCTACAATAACTGGATTAACTGGTTTAACTTCGCGATTCAACGAAAACGACTTTTCACGGGTTTTTCCTTCCTTTTTCGCAAAAAGGTATTGCAAGTTTGCACATGACGTCACGGCGGGCATGTTGATGATAAGAACAAAACTATATCTCTCTTAGGGGAACTGAACTCCCCTTCATGTAAATTCTACCAAAATTTATTGTATGACCACCATTATATCCGCCTTGTCACGTGATTGCAAACCAGTAATTGCCAATGGTTCAGGACGCTACTCCGTCTACTACAGACACCCAAGTAGGGGCTGTCACAAAGGATCCGGGGGGCCAGGGATTTCCCCAAGGCTACTAGGAGCATGACCCCCCCGGCTCCTTTCATGGGAAAAAAGAAAGAAAACTAGAAGCAATTCAATTCGGTTCAATTCTACGGCTAGTACTTGCATATACCCGGCAACATAGAATCTTAGCGACAGCCCTACCCAAGGGACTGCTACAAAGTACACAAAGTAAGTTGGCTTTTAAGACAGTCACGGAAAACAGAAGAAAAGCGCAGCATTAAAAGCTGTTTACAGACTCTGTACTCACTCACTTTCGCAGTTCTTTCCTTTGTATCCCTGTGCGCATACGCACATGTAGGACTCATCAATCTCGGTGCATGTGCCTCCGTTGAGGCAAGGACTGGGGTGACAAAAGCTTCTTTCTAAAAGGACAACAAAAACTATCAATACTGAATAACCCTACAATACTGAATCCAATAGTAGTGAGATTAAGCAAAGACGTTTTTGAACGATGCACGTCAAAAATACTTTTTGGTCTGTGGTCGTGCCCAAATTTTCAGAGCAAATCTTCACTTGCCGATACAATTTGTTCGCGTGAGGCCATGTTAAAAGGTGAAAGCCGGCGATTTACAGTAGGAAGATAGCGATAGAAGACTCTGAAGTAGGATTTCAAGAAAGCCTGATTTCTTGTAAAACTACTCTCTCTGACTTTCATAACGCTATGTTGATCTATGTCGGATCATTATAAGTTTCTGGGAAATTGCCTACTTACCCCTCCCCTAAGCCAACATTTTGTCCTAAGTGAGAAGTACGTATTAATGTTGGCTTAGGGGAGGGGTAGGTGGGCAGTTTCCCAGAGAATCCGAAAAAAGGCCTATAGAACTGAAAGTAGGAAACTAGAGATGGGAAAGTATTTACACTGAAAAAAAATGTAATCTTTAAAGAACTGGCCCTAGATAACCCATTGTTGGTACGAATGATAGGTTTGAACCTTGTACCTTCACAATTATCACCAAGGAAACCAATCGGGCATGTGCACAGATGTCTCCCTAAAGCTATCTCTGTACATGTTCCTCCGTTCTTACATGTTGTAGGCTTGCATTCTTTTTTCACTGCAATTTAAGATAAAAAAGTAGATATAACTACAATAGTGCTGTTTTACTTTCAAATAAACCAAAGAACCCTTTGATACTTAACGACGACATATAACGCAATAGAGACTTTTAGATTCTGAGACGAAAACGACTACGAGTACGAGATTTCCTCAATACTGAGTATTGCTCACGCGTGAACCAGCGTCATTTTGGCGGGAAAACGTGATAGCCGTCGTCATTCCACTACGAGTTTTTGCGAGAATGTCGTAGTGGCGGGAATAAAGTATCAAATATAAGAAGTTTTATCATTTTGCTATCTGGAGAGGGCTTCACCTCCTTTAGTATAAATAACCGTACTAGCTCTTTAGGTGAAAAAAAAAAAAAAAAGCAAATTGAAGCTTTCCGGGGTGTCTTTTTTTTAGAACACGGCCCACATAAAGATGGTCGCGGCCACCTACACTTATGGGATTCTTGCTACCACATGGCGGTGAAACTCTCCCATCGTCACCATTATCGTTTTTGCTATCGTGATTGTGATAATCGTACTCGTTACTGATATCGCTTTCACTATCGTTATCATTGAATCAGTATTGGAAAATGCACACTGACTTGAAAAAGATACACGTAACAAACCTTCGCATCTTGTGCCCATAAAACCTGGTAGACACTCGCAATAGAACCCATGACGACGAGCCCTACACATTCCTCCATGATGGCACGCGTGAGAGAAACATGATCCTGCAAAGTAACATGGCAAATTAGAGCACTAATTTAATATAGCTACGTCAGTACTGCCTTGTTCAAAGCTTCTGCAACACGTATATCCGAATCCGGGAAATTTTGGAATGTGGAATCTGGAATTCGGAATCCCACTAACGATTTGAATTTGGAATCCAAGTTCCACTAACATTGAATCAAGAGTCCAGTACCTGGAATTAGGAATCCAAGGCGTGGAATCCAGAATCCTAGACTGTCTTGGATTTCCTTATAGGGGGCGAAGTGTGGGCTTTCCCTTGAAAAGGCAGATGTTAATTCTGACTATTAAATTAGACTTTGGAAGCAACGAGCCTTACTTCAAGAGGCAAGAAGAGTATAAAAACAATCTGCAGAAAAGTTAAAACGCGGTGGCAAGTGCTCTTTGATTAGTTACAGTGATTTACAGCAACAATCCTGGTCAAAACTCTTGAGACATCAGCGCAATAGCTAGTCAAAATGACGCATTTTCCCTACCCCTTCCCCCCCGTACAGTGTTGACGTTATGCATTCAAGTCTTTTTCAACACGATCAACATTGCTTGGGGGAGAGGGGGACAGCAGATATAGGCTGAGAGGTAGAAAACGAGTTAATTTAGCAAAATGCGTCTTCGCGCCTTGTTTCCTTAAGTGTCCCAAGATGTTTTGAACAGGGTTGTAGTTAGAGACTCCCAAAAAGTGAAATCAAAAACCCTAGTGTACAGCCTTATGCAACTGAACCGTGACACATAGAGCGATTATGTTTCTTGTTTAAGTAAAAACGTACACAAAAGGACATTGAAACTAAGAGGTCAATATACCATTTACCTCTCCCCCCGCGGCGAATCAGCATTATCCTTCGAGGAGTGATCATTTGGCTAAATGGAGATTCCGGTCTAAAAAAGAAGTCTCTCTTTTTGTTTCCACCTGAAGAAACCTCGCTTTGCTTCTTAATCCTTTTCGTTAAATAATTTTGCCCGGGTTTTCTTTCATGTAGAGAAGTACTTCTTCGACGTCGTACACGATTTCCATTTGGTCCCTCTGGTGGAAGCGCATTAAAGTGTACTTTGGACAATAAATCATTTTTGACCGAAAATTTATCTCTCTTTTCAAGGTTATTTTTAGATTTTACACTCTTGATAATCTTGGTAGTCTCAACAAAAGCTAAAAAGCACAATATTATTGTCACGCATTTCACCGTCGAGACAGATTTCCCAATCTTTGGCATCATATAACCGTCTTTCACATTTCTTGAAGCAACGCCGTTACTTTTTCTCTCACAGATTATTGCAGTAATCTAGAGACAAACTATGCAATTTTCGTGGAGAAAGGTATCAAAGTCTAGTTTAGCGATATTCAAGTAATCAAACATTAAAAAGTCAAATCACAGCTGTCACCTGTCTATTGTTCGCAGTTTCATTGTTTGCCCGACCGTAAGAGGGTCACCTGCCCTCAAAGAACCTTATTAACGCTAAATCAAATACGACTGACCTTCTCAGTCGTTTTTATCTCTTGAATCTTACGCCGGTAGTCGTCGGTTCTACAACTGAGGGACGTTTGTGGCAGATATCAAGACCAATTAAAATGACGCAGTTGTTGATTGCTCTCAAGTCAGTTGTATTCACGCGCAAATATTGAATCTGATTCCCGTGTTATTACATTTGACTGCAAATATGTCATTAGAGGCAAGTTACGGAGAGATTTTTTTTTCCAGTTAAGTTGCAAAGATAGATCCCGTCGCGTTCTGCACCCCAGTGGCTCATTTACACACGCAATCTGTTTAAGTAAATACAATAGCCGACTAACGAACACAAGGCAATAATAAAACAATAAAGAGAATTGTAAGTCTATCTGTTATAAGCATTGTTGATCTAATTTGTTTAACAAGCAGCAATTATCTTAGTGACGATTTAATTTCATCGAGGGCTTCGTGCAGGACGGTGCAACTTACTTCACTGAAAGAATAAGCAGGAAAGGGGGACTGATAAAAGTGTTCAGAACTTTCGGTAGTGGTGACTGCGCTCTACTTTTGAAAACCTTAACCATCTTGTTCACTTTTTGTCAGAACTATCTAAAGCAAACTTGTCGGTTTGTTAGGATATGAACCTCAAGCAATTACAATTTAAAGAAGACGGTCGGAACTACTAAAACAGATTTCTGCTGGGGCTTCAAACAGCAAAATTAGATATCAGGGACACGTTTTCCCTGACAATTGTGTGTGGTTTTAAAAACAAGCCTCCAAAACGTTGACAATAATTACACGCTGCACGGAATAGCCTGAGGTCAAAAGCTTTTATCCTTATCTTGGAAAGCCTTCGGTAATCAAAATTTATCTATTTCCACGCCTATTTGTCCTTCCTCTTTGCGGATCACCGGTGTGATCAGTTTCTACGATAGAAAAAAGGAAAACTAAGGGCATTCGCTATAACACCCCTCATTTTACTGTGACTTCTAAAATAAAACTGTCCGCGATAGTGTTTAATATTTTATGCCCATTGAAATAAATGAGATAATACATAGCAATAGCATTTTCCCTTCTCCAAAAAATATCGAGGCGTCAAAACAAATTATTTTTTTAGGAAACTAAACTTGAATCTGTTCTGCCTAACAGACTGTAACACGGAAATGGTTCGCTAATATTCAGATGAAGTGTGCTGATGAAGATCTCAACCGGACTATTCTTGATTTTGCACCTTTGCATTACGTTAGCACTGGTTGAATCAAACAAAAGTGCAGGTCTTGAGATCAGTGGGAAAAGACTGAAAGACGAAAATGTTGAGAAAAATACACCAAATCGTGAAAGGAACAAGACAGATCATTTCCAAGGCAGTAATGTTAAAAATGTTAACAAGAACCATAACATGAGCCACCTGCCGTTTGTTAGTCCTGGTAAGAAGACACCCTGTTGGGGAATTTCGTGTTTGAAGAGTAGTGAAAATGTTGGTGGCAAAAAACATCGTTTGCGGAAAACTCCTGTTCGTCGTCGCAGAACAGAATCTGTTTTTCTGGCTAATGCGCTTGACTCCCTGGATCATTCAAAACCTCGCCCTCTATGGCAATATAATACTCGTGGGGAACCAGACAAGCCATATAAACAATTTACTAATGGTACAGCGAAAAGTTACCACAACGCAAATAGCACGACAGCCAAAATGATGAATAAACCCCTAAGAAACCAGCCCGGGGACAAAAGGCAGCAATGGTCAGATAAGGAAAGTGAAATGCGACCCAGATTCTTTTTCAATAGTGCACCAGCTGAATTTGTGGAACAGAAACCACTGACGCTGCAAAGACACGGCGAGAGAGTAATGCATGTAACATTTCCTCCCAGACGAGGGCGTCTTCGCGGACCTCATCATTTCCAAGGGCTTGAGCGTGCTTTTCACGGTGGTCGAAACCACATGCATATGATAAACAACGCTAGAGGCGTTTCTCGAATGGCAATGAATTTTTTTGCTCATCCTTTAGCACAGCTCATCCCTGGCCCACTCAACTTCCACGGTCACCTCCATCATAGGCACCACTCCCCACCAACCATTTCTTATGCTATTCACATTAATGCACCTCCTCGAATAGAACCTCCCCCTACCAACGTTCTACCGCGACCACTTCACACTGTAGATGGCCCACCGACCATTCCTGTAGATATGATAGGTGGGCAAATACCCCCTATAAGTCCACCACTAATTCGGCCTCCAGATGAACCAATTCAACCAAATCAACCGATTACAGCTCAAGCTATACCTCCAAACTTTTCCGTGATGCCACCTCCAGACATCCCGATATCATCATCACCTCCAATTGATACTCAGAGAAGGCCTCCTCTTGTTCGTCTACCACCACCGCCTATGCCACCACCAGACATTCCAATACCATCGCCTCCTAACGTTATCCAGGGAATGCCTCCACCCATAGATCTACCAGGGCCACCTGTACCACTCCCGCCAGCAGTTGAAAGAGTTCCGTTTCCTGTAGCGATTCCATCGCCACCAAAAGTGGAACGTGTGCCATACCCCGTCCCCGTACCAGGGCCGCCAACCGTTCAACAGGTCATGGTACCAGTACCATCGCCACCAAAAATCCATGAGGTGCCTGTGCCTGTTCCGTCGCCACCAGAGATAAAAAAGGTTCCTGTGCCGTATCCCGTCCAAGTTCCGTCGCCTCCACAGATACAAAAGGTTCCATATCCTGTACCCTTTCCCGTCAAAGAGCCACCACAAATCCAAAAGTTACTCCTTCCAGTACCGATTTCTCAACCAGCGCAAGTCCGCAACGTACCGTTTCCAGTATACGTCCGTTATCCGCCAGAAGTAAGACCAGTTCCATATCCTGTTCCATCTCCTGCCAAGCCTTATCCAGTTGCCGTTCCATCGCCACCGCGTTTAATGATTCACCAAGTGCCTTACCCAGTCATGTACCCTCAAAAGGTTCCTTTCCCGATTCCTCTTGTTGTACACCACCAATCCATCAGTCACGGAGATGCTTACGGAGAAGGTAATACCAAAAGTTAAAATGACCTGCCCATCTAAGGCACCAAAAAATAGGAACTATTTTTTTGACAGAAATTTACAAATTTTCAAATTTTACATAATGAACCCAGGTAGTTAGGTGTTGGCTAGAAGCAAACATGTTTATTACTGACAAATATTTATGCTTATTTTTGCTAGAGTCTGTCATTAATGGACAATGCCTGGTTAATCTCTGTCGAAATGGAGGTACCTGCTCAGCTTATATGAATACTTATAGATGTCACTGTGCAAATGGTTACCAGGGAAAACATTGCGAAGGTAAGAAGTGGCCTATGCGAAGGTAGACCTAGCCTTTGTATTACTGCACTCCTTGGTTTGGGCTGTACTAAATACTGACAGATAGATACTACCATCTGGCAATAGAAAACACAGTTTGACTCTGATTAAAATAACCTACTTGTCGTTCAAACGTAACTGTTAGCAACAATATAGCACTCGGGACTACCTCACCAGAAAATCACATGCAGCAAACTTAGAATATTGATATATTTTTTTTGAATTGAATTATTTTTTGTAGAGCAGAACATGTGCAAACCCAACCCATGTAACAATTTTGGGATTTGTTCGCAAGTTGAACGCGACTACGAATGCACTTGCACAAAAGGATTCATTGGAAAGAATTGTGATAGTAAGTACATGTAAATACAATAAGGCTTCCATCCTTCGTTTCATAAATATGAGGTTTTATAGGCAAAACAACAACTTCGCACAAGCATCACGCATTGATGTCGTCACGACACGAGTACGTCGTGAAAATGACTAATTCAGTTCACTTTTTAAAAGGGAAGGTTAACAAGCGACGACGAAATTTCATTTTTCTTTCTTAACTTGGATTTGCCTCTTAAGAATTCAGCTCGAGGACAGTTTACCTACATCTGACAGTGCTGCCAGTCTGACTAACGCGAATTCACTTCTTAAGCGACATTTTCGCCCATGTCGCCGTCCTCGGATCTTTAAAATTCCCTACTAAGTGACGAAAAAGGCGAGAAAACACCGTTTTTAAAATTCAGGGGTCTTTCCTTTACAGAACCAGATCCTTGTATCCCCTCTCCTTGTGAAAATGGTGCTACGTGTTCATCTGATGGCAATTCATACGACTGCACGTGCAGAATAGGTTGGATGGGAAAAAACTGTCAAGGTAAATATTTATTCAATATTTGTGTAATCAAAGTGAAACCAATTACCAGTTGTGGATTTCAGTCATCCTACTGATGAGCGAATACGATAATTAGATGTATTTGCATTTGCAATAATAGTTTAAAGTCTGTGTCAACTTGTAAATATTTGCCATTTTATTACTCCTGCCCAACTAATCAACCTCGCCCTTAGTCAGCAATGGGTGTTATTACCATTAGTTTAACCAAGTAATGCATTCAATGCTGTTGTTATTTCATCTCCAGCTCAATCAGATCAAAAGAACGTCTTCTCATGTTTTTCAGTTTTAACAAAGTTGCTTTCTGTTAAAATAAGTCACACTCGTTTATGAAGTACACAAAGAATTCATTCAAACGTACATAGCTAAAGCGTCGCCAGTACGAGGGGTCAAGTAAAGTAGTGCACCACCGTCCTTTTTATATGGGAGTCGCTTCCCCCTGGTTTGAATATATAATGAAACATCCTGTTTATCTATTCACAGTGGAGTCTAAGTGTCTACCACTGAATCCTTGCCAAAACGGCGGAACATGCACTGAGGCGCAGGGATCATACAAGTGTGATTGCACACCCGGGTGGACTGGACTCAGTTGCGAAGGTAAAAGCACTGTTTGATTACAAACGTGGTTATGAAAATTTCGATAAACCATAGCAGATCAGAATAACCATAGAAAATTTAAGAGCCTAGCCTGTAAACGCGCACGTATTTCGGTTCGTGGCTTCTCTCCATCCGAAAAGAAACGGGTGGAGAAAAGCGAAGCCCGGAAATACGTCTACGTTCGCAGGCTAGTAAGAACCCACTCGAATGAAATATCAAACGTGCAATGATTAGACGTTAAACTCACTGTTTGGTGTTTTGGGAACAAGTTGCATGGATATTGTCAGGTTGGTCGTGTAAAACTTAGTTTTGAGCCAATTTAGCTAGTATTTTCTTTGAATACTTTAGTTTTTCGGATAATAACTTTGGAAGTTGCCATCCTCTTCTTTAAACCCCCTAAGAATATATCACCCACAATCATGAACAAAAGTCCTTGGGACAGTACTGCAATATTCATATTTTTCTGTCATTTCTCGGTTCCCTCATAAAACAGTGCAAACCTTTTCGAATTTTCTTACAGTTCTCCCTCCCCCAAGCTTATGCAAAGTTGAAACTCGGAAAAAATTCTGGATACACGCGTCCAACATTGTTTGTGGGGTGGGGGAGGGGTTGGACCTGTGTGAATTGGAAAACGCCCCAGAAAAGCAAAAGTGTCTCAAGACTTTTGTCCACGATCGTGGATCCTTCAGTCGCTTTAGAACTCACTACGTTTACTACGGTTAAATAGGAGATTATGGTGCTAGGTTTTGCACAGGGCACTCTACTGTTTTACCTCATAATTCATTATGTTTTGCCTTTCATAGTCACAGCCCCTGAGACACTTCACCAGCCAGGTATTTGAAATATCAGTTGGCTTCGATCTGATCCCTGAATCTAGCGTAAAATCGCTGACATTAGGGAGCTTTTAAAGACGTTTTTGAGCGACGGAAAGAAAAGGCACCACTTCTGGTTGACGCTCGTTAACCAGAACGTTTTGTTAAAAACGTCTTGACGCTACCAAGTATGTGTTGCTAACTGTCTTCGCGCTTATAAAGACGATCTTCCCGAAGATTTAAGTAACTGCGCCGCCCAAGAATGCAAAAAGTCTACTTTCGGTTAACTTTAATACGTCGCTCAAAAACGTCTTTGCTTAACTCCCCTATCAAACACTTGTAACAACGCCGCTTAGCTCTTCGGTAATGATGATGACCACATCAATTTTAACGTTTACGCTGGCGATGCTAATGGTGCTGTAACGGTACTGATGGTAGGTAAGGGCAATGATAAGTTGATATCGATGTGGCTGTGATACTAATAATAGGGAAAAATACTAACGGTAATGATGTTGCTAATAATGACAATGCCCATCTTAATGTGTATATTTATGGTTTTAATAGAATGTAAGTAATAGCTAATAAATGGCGTAATATCGATGCTGTTAATATCACACTGAAAAGTAATTGTGGCAGCGCTGGAATTAGTTGGTTTAACATAATGATAATGTAATCGAGATATTAATGCTGGAGGTTAACAATAACATCGATATAAATAACTATGATAATTCCGTAGTGAATGATTCTTTAAGTAACACTATAATTACCTAAAGGTTCTTTCACGTATATTACTGACTCCATTTGAAGGCAAATCTCTCGCCGACAACTGTCTACAATTGGCAGGACAATTCTTTCAGATATTCGACAATCGCGTGTATGGGTAGCCTTTGAAAAAAGCCGTTACTGCGGGACGCAAGAGTAAGGAGCGGACCATTGCTGCCAGTAGTTTTTCTTACACTGTATTGCTACCTAATTTCGTCTCACTCGGAATAATTCATCTAACTCTCTATGTCACTAATACACCATGTAGGAGAAAAGAAAAGAAAAAACAAAACAAACTAACCAACAAACAAAAAACCCACCCATTTCTGACCATTCATTTACCTTTGTCTAAGTCAGACATACAAACATGAAGTGTAAGAGATGGATAAGAATACTTTTTACTGTGGTATTTACGCCAGCTTTGTATCAATCTCTATTTTCTTTAGTGCTCTGCGATAACTGTAACCCATCAGACGGACTTCTGGGTCAAATAAAAAGAAACGAACTTCGGCGAAGGATAACGAATTTCAAAAAGGGGAATGTTATCGAAAGATACCAACAAAGGGCCAAACAAAGGTACGTTCGCCCGTCCAGCATCTAAAAATGTCTGCAGAATTCCTTACTAAGCATTTCAACTCGACGCTTAAATAACGAACATTCCTTCCTTTTTTTGCATTGACTATTGCATCGGAGAATTGATGATCTGGGCGCGAGCATAAAATTGGACCTTATTATTCATCAAATAGTAGCTCCGTAAAAACCGAAGAACTAAACAACTGGTCGCGATTTGTTCAAACGTTGGATAGTGACCAATATCCAGCGGAAAAATCATAATCCAGTGGAAACCAATTGCGTTATCCACTGGATGGAGATTTATCCAGTGATAGCGATATCTACCTTTCGAACAACTGGATCCTGGATTCTTATCTTTATTACCTTTGCTACAAGTAAAATAACAAAAGTTGGGCTTAACTGGTCTTTACAAAACAATACGATAACCACGACACAGGGCACTAGTATTTAAAACTGAAGATTATATTTCAATATAAAAGAATAATCTTACCAGTTGCTTTCTTACTGCTCCTTTATTTTCAGAACTTGAAATGTATCCTGCCTTTAGTGGTTCACACGATTCTTGCTGGCTCAAGACCTCAAATAAAAGAAGTCAATGAACACCAGGAAGAGTACAAGCTACAAGTTATTTATTTTGTACAAGTATCATGCAATTGCCAGAAACGGACATTTAAGCCCGTGATTTGCCGGCACCCTAACCAAAATATTTGAGAGGTATTTTTGTTCTGTGCTAGGCGTAAAAAAAAACCCTTAACGCCAGCCATTCCTTTCGGAGTCGAAGGGTTTCAGAAGTAGCATCACTTTGTAAAAATCACTCTTTCGACTAAAAACTGATCTTTAATTTTTTTTCTTTGTTTCCTGTTCCATAAAGCCTGATAAAAGAAGATATTTTTTTGATCACGTTTTTTGTAAATAACTGAGAGATGATTTTAATGAACTGAATAAAAAAGTTTTTAAGAGGTTATCACTTGTCCATATTATATATTTTTACCGTAAAGAGTCTCATCTTGTTCAACCTATCAGTTCCTGATCCGTTTATTTCGGACCTCACGATTTTATTAAATGTTAGCAGTCAAATACTAGAAAGGAAGAAACAGCGAAGACTTCGGTGGACAACAGAGTGCTTAACCAAACTAGCCGCTGGTATCACCGAGTGCGAGATTATTATATTTCACAAGGTGAATTAAGTACCATTGCTAGCTCGAGAGAACAGTTTTTTTGTGTATTTAACTAAACACATTTCCGTGTAACTGGCAATAAAGCGCTTATCAAGCCATTGCATTATTTCCTTTTTTTAAAGTGACATTTTTTTAGTCAGTTTTTCTTGAAGTTTACATAATTTTACGCATTATCAATATATAAAATTTGTACGGACGTTTGATAAATGGCTCGGAAAGGAAAAAGTGACTGTATCCATGAAATACATGGGAAACTGTTATGAGGTTCTTTATTGAATGTAAGGACAAACGCGGAGTCTCGGTCGCTTAGGAGAGGTGGTCGTTTACGAGAGTTTCCATGCAAGTGTAGTGAGTTAAGTGGGAAGTTTCTTGTGTTTTGGATACAAAAAATGTACTCAAATATGACGTGATTGCTTAATTCTTATTCCAAGAGACTATCAGTAAAAGCACTACTGCAAGTCAACCAGTTTATTTTTAGAACGATTTTGGCTTGAATGTAGAAAATCTTTTAAGGCCCAGTCAAAAAACTACACACTTAAAGATGATATTTTCGATCTCTTTATGACGTTTAGTGTTCCTTTTTGGTGTCTTTTACTTCGGAGGGGCACATACAAAGCGAAGCTTCAATTATTGCTAGAAAAAGCTTCCCATTAGAACAATGTATCTAAAAATGAAAAGATCCGTGAAAATGCCGTGTCTTAGGCTGGTATGGGAGTTGCTCACTCCAGGTTATGGGCTCCTGTACAAATATATACTAGGCTTAGTTTTCAGCTAGCCACCAGTTAAACTTCTTGCCTGTCAATACTGTATGAAGCTTACCAACAATGCAACCCGCTGAGAGACAAAAGGTATTCATTGAACCAGATCTTTCTCTTGACAGGATTAAAAAAAAACATTAATCGGTTCATTGTACAAACCGATTTTTAAAACGATTAGAAAACTATTGTTTATCAACAAACAAATTAGTCATAATTGCACCTCGATTAAAAGTAACATCCAGCGGCTTTCTAGATGTTGTGGCTATCTCTAACGAATTTACGAATTTCGTTCATTTTGCAGTCAAAAAGAACACTCTAGCATACCTTTAGTTCTGCCACACAGTGAAGGGCTTTCTAAGGGCTCATAGTGCATGATACCATGATGTCATTTCAACTTTTAACAATTGGAAGTAATGCATTATGAATCATATTTCACGGCGGCGGCAACACCAGAAGTAGGCCTTGAGAAAATGGAGGAAAAATCAGAATGCAATGCTGATATTACTGCTTGGGTTTTCCTGTAAGACGGAAGTCACGTCATGAAGGTCTGGTTATGGCCTAGAGCACTAATTTTTACAGTAGTTGTTTTGTTGATTTACTGGCTGAAAGTGGATGGGAGATCAAACGCTGGTCAAGACAGCATCGCACTGTCAACAACATCGAATCGAAGACAAAACAATTTTTATAAACATCACAAGAAACATTCGTCCAGTGAACATAGTGCCTTCAGAGCAAATACAAAGAGAATCAGAGACGACATTGAGTTACCTTCTCGTGGAAAAACTGCGAAAAAATTTATGACCGATGATGAATCTAGAGGACAATTTCCGTTGTACAAGCGGAATGCAATGCAAAATGACACGAACCATAAAAAGGAAAGAATTACAGTTAAATCAAATGCTTCTAAATTACCTGAGGGTTGGAATTTAAACATTTCAGAGGAGGCCGAAGATGGTCTTACCAAGAGATCACGAAACAGAGTACGATTAAAATCGCAAAGATCTTACCTAGCGACGACGCAACAGAAGCAAAATGGCTTTACAGCGAAGATAAACGTTACGAGAAGTTCTGGCCACAGATTTTCTGTCAAGGAACAGAAGAGACAGGAGATACTGGGAGGAAATACAAATGATGTGCGCCCCATAAAACTATACAACAGTTACACAGGAGAAACATCTGAAGATGGCGCGCGTTTAACTGAAAACTCTGACCGCTTTTTAACTAATTTAGTTGAGGCAAACACTGGGCTACGAGCCATGACGCCTACCCACTTCTACGCCCGTCCTGTTCACAAGTATTTGGGTCCTCAACATCGCTTCGCTAAAGCTCCTATCCACCGATATATTTCTTCGCCGGTGGTATTCAAAGGTGCTAATGGAGAGAATAATGCAATAGTAGGTGAAGATGTCGTTGGTAACAAAGGATTATCGGTAACTGGAAGACAATTTGGTCTTGAATCTCAGCCTTTTTTCCCAGGACCGCCTCGCCACAGTCCACATGTGATAGTTGTAAATAGGCCTTTTCATTCTCCAGTACCAGTACCTGTCCCAGTACCCCCAAAGATTGTTGTTCTGCCTCACCCGATACCTCTGCCACCTCAACGAGTCCCCATGCCTCTTATGTTACCTAGACCGCGGCCAAGGCCAATATTTATTATACATCACAAAGTGCTTTCAGGTCCAGGTAAGTTCTTGCCTCTAGCACCTCCATCCATTGAGACAGCCGGTGTAGTAACTTCTTCAAAACAATAATACAGTCAACTCTCTCTAAGACAGACACCTTTAGGACTGGCGCCACATGCATGTGTCCGTCTTAGAGAGATGTCTGTCCTATAGAGAGTCAGCTAAAAGAATAAAATAAAGACAGGGACCAACTTTAGGTGTCCCTTTTCACAAGGTGTCCGTCTTATAGAGGTAGCAGTCAAGTTAGGAGAGAATCGACTGTAACATTATTGTTAAACGAACACCTTGCAAACGATGTAACTCAGATTGGTTCAAGCTCCAAACCACCCTCTGACGTTGGATGGACGCACACATACTTTCAAATACTGTACACCAAAGTCTTCGTTGCACTCTTCTTCCTGACAACAAAGCAGCCTGCTAACGACCTCATAGATGAAAACGTTTAAGATGATTGCCAGGCACGTTTCTACGGGGTAGATCCTCGCGGGCCGAGCAGTGTTTTCTGCATCTTGATATTCACAAAAGTTTTCAAGTCTTGACACTTGAATTCCCATAACGGGACTTGCCTTTAATAATACGTTGTCTTTTGTTTGTTAAGTTATTGACCCCTGTGCAGCAAATCCGTGCAGAAACGGCGGAACATGCACTGCAGTGATGTATGAATACAGATGCATATGTCCTTCTGGCTACAAAGGAGAAAAATGTGAAGGTAATATTCTATGATGCGCTTTGCATTAAGTTGATGTTACAAAAGCGCCCTCTTGAAGCCCTGTGATGCCACGCAAAATGACCGCTTTTCTTGGTCACCATCTTAGCTTGTACTAGAAATGATGATTTATCCACATAGTGTAACGATTAAACAATTTCAGTGCATGAGATATAAAAATTACATGTAAAAAATGGCATTTGCTGAAGAAAACACATTCCAGCTCAAAATAGCCCCGTAGGTCCAATGATCGAAACAAGGCACCGCCCAACGCAAAGCCCTCTCCTTATTTATTCCGACGTCGGCAGGTATTATATTCATGTACACTTTGCGTACGGTTTGTTTGCAGTCCAGAGTAAATGTACTCCAAATCCTTGCAAGAACTTTGGCAAATGTACAGAGCTACCGGACGATTATGAGTGCACCTGTCATCCTGGTTTTCACGGAAAGAGCTGCGAAGGTAAATGACCTAGCGCTGATAAACATGACTTGTCCGCGTGCCGTACTTAGCCTGCGCGGGAGCTGCAGAAACAATGCCCTGCCACGGTCTCCACCGGAAAAGCCCCAGCTTGTTGCCATTCTCTCCTTGGACGTACACAATATGCATTTAAAAATCTGCAGTTAGATAACATCATCTGGCTTCCTCTCCCTCGGACGTATAAGGAAGTCCATAGTTTCACCTTGGAAGTTGCAACCTCACTCAGCTGTATATTTTGTTTGCTTGTTTGTTCACCAATGTTGCTGCTGTTGCGTGAAGATGTTTTGCAAAGATTTCACTTTTAATAGATATTCTATGATGTGCTTTGTAAGTTGATGTCACAGAAATGCCCTGCTGAAGCCCAGTAATGCCACATAAAATGACCGCTCTGTTGGTCACCGTCTTAGCTTGTACTAGAAATGAAGATTTATCCACAATTTATCTTTAAGCTGGAAGTTTGCCAACCACAAAAGAAGAGTGAGCGTCAGCTGTGTTGCTTACTAATTATGTTATTGCTTAAGGTTACTTCTGAAATAGCCAAAAGTGCAAAATAGCAGTAGTTTTCTGAAACATTAAATCCAAGAGGGGCGTTTCTGGAAAACTAAAATTGCTAGTTTGTACCTCAGAGCCTCAGTCACTTTGTCTCATAGACGGTATAGCTAAACCTAATACCTAAACCTAAATGTTATTAAAATATATCTTAATCTACTGTATCTTTCGAACGCTGTATTCTGTTTTCAGTTGAAAGCAGGTGTGAACCGAACCCATGCAGGAATGGCGGCGTTTGTACGGAAAACGTTGGAGCGTACGTTTGTTCGTGCAATGCAGGGTTCATGGGACAGAACTGCGAACGTGAGTGAACTGTAAAGTTATAATCTGCGATCATTAACAACTCGTCAAGCTTGGTGTTACGAAAACCATTGTTGTTCACGATCAACCACTGCCGGTCTGGGGCAGCTACTCACGTTTGATTGCTGAGTGACCTGAGTCTTTATATGCGACATCACTGACTTCGCAACAGGCGACTACCGTTAAGAGGTTCCCGTCTCATAAAAGTTAAAGTAAAATCAGAATTCTCTAAAGAGGGACGTTATATAATCTAGATTGCCCTATGAGGAGGGGGGCATAGCAACAACCAAATTAAACCCTTCAATGATAGAACAATCGTTTGCCAAAATATTGCTATATGTCAGCGACAAGCTATGATAAATTGTAAAAATATTTACCGATTCCATGCACTCGTCCACATTCTACCAGCTTTAACGTAACGTATTTTATCATCTTAAGGCGAATCAAAATGTTTGCCAATAAATCCGTGCAAAAATGGAGGCGTTTGCACTGAAGACCTCGGAGGCTACAAATGCAACTGTAAAGATGGCTACAATGGATTAAATTGTGAAGGTAAACAGAGTCAAAAGATTATTGTTTAATGTTACTCAAATCTTTTTTCCGGAAGATGATGATGAAGAGGATGAGGATAATAATGAAGATGATAATGGTGAAATAATAAAGATAATGACGATGATGTTAATAATATATTGAATGTCTTAATAACTTTTCCACTGCAGTTAGTGAAGCTAGAACCGCCTGTGATAGCAATCCTTGCCGTAATGCCGCCACCTGCATCGCCAGTATCTATGATGGCTCCAAATATACATGTTACTGTACCACAGGATTCACAGGAATTAACTGTGATGGTAGGTTTATATGGTGCCTTAAAAGTCTGCCTGTACTGAAAATGCAATGCTAACAGACAGTTATGTTCTATACCAACAGCCTTTATACATGTTATGTCAGACGAGCACAACATATGTTTCTAAATATTCGAGTTGTCACTGTTGTCGCTGTTGTACCTGTTGTCACTGTTGTTCCTCTTGTCACTGATTTCACTGCTGTTGCTTTTCTCACTGCTGATGTTGTTGTTACTGTCGTTGCTTTTCTCACTGTTCTCACTGTTGTCGTTGTTAACACTGTACCACTGGAGTTCCTGTTTCCACTGTTCTCTCTGTTGTCACTGCTGTCCCTGTTAGCACTGTTGATCCTGTTGTCACCGTTGTCACTGTTGTCAATGTTGTCGCTGTTGTCACCCTTGTCACGGTTATCACTGTTGTCGCTGTTGTTGCTGTTGTCGCCGTTGTCACTGTTGTCATCCTTCTCACCGTCGTCGCTGTTGTCACTGTCGCCACCATTGTCACCGTTCTTGCTCTTGTTCCTATTGTCACTGTTGTCGCTGTTGTCGCTGCTGTCACCGTTGTCACCATTGTCGCTGTTGTCACACTTGTCACTGTTGTCACCATTGTCAGCGTTGCCGCTGTTCTCACTGTTAATACCCTCATCACCGATGTTACTGTTGTTGGTCTTGTTGTTGTTGTCACTGTTGTCGCTGCTCTCACTGTTGTCGCCTTTCTCACCGTTGTCACTGTTGTTGCTGTTGTCAACCTTCTCAACATTGTCACTGTTGTCGCTGTTGTCACACTTGTCACCGTTGTCACTGTTGTCACTGTTGTCGCTGTTGTCACACTTGCCACCATTGTCGCTGTTGTCACTGTTGTCACTGTTGCCGCTGATGTCACTGTTGTCACCCTTGTTACCCTTGTCACCGTTGTCACTGTTGTCACGGTTGTCACCCTTGTCACCCTTATCACCGTAGTCTCTGTTGTCACACTTGTCACAGTTATCGCTGTTGTCGCTGTTGTCACTGTTGTCGCTGTTGTCACCCTTGTCACCGTAATCACTGTTGTCACAGTTGTCACCGTTCTCACTGTTGTTGCTGTTGTCACTGTCACTGTTGTCACCCTTGTCACCGTAATCACTGTTGTCACCCTTGTCACCGTAATCACTGTTGTCACTGTTGTCACAGTTGTCACCCTTGTCACCGTTGTCACTGTTGTTGCTGTTGTCACTGTCACTGTTGTCACCCTTGTCACCGTAATCACTGTTGTCGCTGTTGTCACCCTTGTCAAGGTAATCACTGTTGTCACTGTTGTCACAGTTGTCACCCTTGTCACCGTTGTCACTGTTGTTGCTGTTGTCACTGTCACTGTTGTCACCCTTGTCACCGTTTTCACTGCTCTCACCCTTGTCAACATTGTCACTGTTGTCGCTGTTCTCTCTGTTGTCACTGTTGTCAGAGTTGTCACACTTGACACCGTTCTAACTGTTGTCGCTGTTGTCATGCTTGTCACTGTTGTCGCTGTTGTCACTCTGTCGCTGTTGTCACTCTGTCGCTGTTGTCAACGTTGTCACTGTTGTCGCTGTTCTAACTGTTGTCACCCTTGTCACCATTGTCACCCTTGTCACCGTTGTCACTGTTGTCACCCTTGTCACCGTTGTCACTGTTCTTGCTGTTGTCAGTGTTGTCACACTTGTCACCATTCTCGCTGTTGTCGCTGTTCTCACTGTTGTCATTGTTGTCGCTGTTTTCACTGTTGTCACCTTTGTCACTGTTGTCGCTGTTTTCACACTTGTCACCGCTGTAGCTGTTGTCGCTGTTGTCACTGTTGTAACCTTGTCACCGTTGTCACCGTTGTCACTGTTCTCAGAGTTCCCACACTTGTCACCGTTGTCACTGTTGTCGCTGTTGTCAGTGTTCTCACGGTTGTCAACGTTGTCACCATTGTCACTGTTGTCGCTGTTGTCACCCTTGTCACCGTTGTCACTGTTCTCACCCTTGTCACCATTGTCACTGTTGTTGCTGTTGTCAGTGTTGTCACTGTTGTCGCTGTTGTCACTGTTGTCGACCTTGTCACCGTTGTTGCCCTTGTCACCGTTGTTACTGTTGTCAAACTTGGCACTGTTGTCGCTGTTGTCACCCTTGTCACTGTTGTTGCTGTTATCAGTGTTTTCACTGTTGTCACTGTTAACACCCTTGTCACCGTTCTCACTGTTGTCGCTGTTGTCACTGTTGTCATTGTTGTTGCTATTGTCACCCTAGTCACCATTGTCACTGTTGTCACCCTTGTCACCGTTGCAACTGTGGTTGCTGTTGTCAGTGTTGTCACTTTTGTCGCTGTTGTCACACTTGTCACCATTGTCAATGTTGTCGCTGTTGTCACTGTTGTCACTGTTTCCACTGTTATCACTGTTGTCGCTGTTGTCACCATTGTCACAGTTGTCGCTGTTGTCAAACTTGTAACAGTTGTCGCTGTTGTCATTCTTGTCACCGATGTCACTGTTATCACCCTTGTCACCATTGTCACTGTTGTTGCTGTTGTCAGTGTTCTCACTGTTGTCGACCTTCTCACCGTTGTCACTGTTGTCACCATTGTCACTGTTCTCGCTGTTGTCTTGTCTTGTCTTGGTACCATTGTCGCTGTTGTCACTGTTGTCACCGTTTTCACTGTTGTCACCCTTGTCACCGTAGTCAGTGTTGTCGCTGTTGTCACTGTTGTCACACTTGTCACTGTTGTCACTGTTGTCACTGTTGTCGCTGTTGTCACCCTTGTCACCGTTGTCACTATTGTCGCTTTTAACACTGTTGTCACCCTTGTCACCCTATTCACTGTTGTCACCGTTGACACCATTGTCACCGTTTTTACTGTTGTCGCTATTGTCACTGTTGTTGCTGCTGTCACTGCTGTCACTGTTGTCACTGCTGTCACTGTTGTCGCTGTTGTCACGCTTGTCCCCGTTGTCACTGTTGTCACCTTTGTCACACTTGTCATCGTTGTTGCTGTTGTCGCTGTTGTCGCTGTTGTCACTGTTGTCGCTGTTCTCACCCTTGTCACTGTTTTTGCTGTTGTCACACTTGTCACCGTTGTCGCTGTTGTCACGCTTGTCGCTGTTGTCGCTGTTGTCGCTGTTGTCACTCTTGTCACTCTTATCACCGTTGTCACTGTTGTCATTGTTGTCACTGTTGTCAGTTTTGTCGCTGTCCTCACTGTTGTCACTCTTAAAACCGTTGTCACTGTTGTTGCTGTTGTCACTGTTGTCACTGCAGTCACCGTTGTCACTGTTGTCACCCTTGTCACCGTTGTCACTGTTGTCACCCTTGTCACCATTGTCACTGTTGTCGCTGTTGTCACTGTTGTCACTGCTGTCACCGTTGTCACTGCTGTCACCCTTGTCACCGTTGTCACTGTTGTCACCCTTGTCACCATTGTCACTGTTGTCGCTGTTGTCACTGTTGTCACTGTTGTCACACTTGTCACTGTTGTCACCCTTGTCACCGTTGTCAGTGTTGTCGCTGTTGTCACTGTTGTCACACTTGTCACTGTTGTCACTGTTGTCGCTGTTGTCACCCTTGTCACCGTTGTCACTATTGTCGCTTTTATCACTGTTGTCACCCTTGTCACCCTATTCACTGTTGTCACCGTTGACACCATTGTCACCGTTTTTGCTGTTGTCGCTATTGTCACTGTTGTTGCTGCTGTCACTGCTGTCACTGTTGTCACTGCTGTCACTGTTGTCGCTGTTGTCACGCTTGTCACCGTTGTCACTGTTGTCACCTTTGTCACACTTGTCATCGTTGTTGCTGTTGTCGCTGTTGTCGCTGTTCTCACCCTTGTCACTGTTTTTGCTGTTGTCACACTTGTCACCGTTGTCGCTGTTGTCACGCTTGTCGCTGTTGTCGCTGTTGTCGCTGTTGTCACTCTTGTCACTCTTATCACCGTTGTCACTGTTCTCATTGTTGTCACCGTTGTCAGTTTTGTCGCTGTCCTCACTGTTGTCACTCTTAAAACCGTTGTCACTGTTGTTGCTGTTGTCACTGTTGTCACTGCAGTCACCGTTGTCACTGTTGTCACCCTTGTCACTGTTGTCACCCTTGTCACCATTGTCACTGTTGTCGCTGTTGTCACTGTTGTCACTGCTGTCACCGTTGTCACTGCTGTCACCCTTGTCACCGTTCTCACTGTTGTCACCCTTGTCACCATTGTCACTGTTGTCGCTGTTGTCACTGTTGTCACTGTTGTCACCCTTGTCACTGTTGTCACCCTTGTCACCGTTGTCACTGTTGTCACCCTTGTCACCGCTGTCACTGTTGTCACCCTTGTCACTGTTGTCGCTGTTGTCACTGTTGTCACACTTGTCACTGTTGTCGCTGTTGTCACCCTTGTCACCGTTGTCACTATTGTCACTTTTATCACTGTTGTCACCCTTGTCACCCTATTCACTGTTGTCACCGTTGTCACCATTGTCACCGTTTTTGCTGTTGTCGCTATTGTCACTGTTGTCGCTGCTGTCACTGCTGTCACTGTTGTCACTGCTGTCACTGTTGTCGCTGTTGTCACGCTTGTCACCGTTGTCACTGTTGTCGCTGTTGTCACCTTTGTCACACTTGTCATCGTTGTTGCTGTTGTCGCTGTTGTCACTGTTGTCGCTGTTGTCACCCTTGTCACTGTTTTTGCTGTTGTCACACTTGTCACCGTTGTCACGCTTGTCGTTGTTGTCACTGTTGTCGCTGTTGTCACTCTTGTCACTCTTATCACCGTTGTCACTGTTGTCATTGTTGTCACTGTTGTCAGTTTTGTCGCTGTCCTCACTGTTGTCACTCTTAAAACCGTTGTCACTGTTGTTGCTGTTGTCACTGTTGTCACTGCTGTCACCGTTGTCACTGTTGTCACCCTTGTCACCGTTGTCACCCTAGTCACCATTGTCACTGTTGTCGCTGTTGTCACTGTTGTCACTGCTGTCACCGTTGTCACTGCTGTCACCCTTGTCACCGTTGTCACTGTTGTCACCCTTGTCACCATTGTCACTGTTGTCGCTGTTGTCACTGTTGTCACTGTTGTCACTCTTGTCACTGTTGTCACCCTTGTCACCGTTGTCACTGTTGTCACCCTTGTCACCGCTGTCACTGTTGTCACCCTTGTCACTGTTGTCGCTGTTGTCACTGTTGTCACACTTGTCACTGTTGTCGCTGTTGTCACCCTTGTCACCGTTGTCACTATTGTCGCTTTTATCACTGTTGTCACCCTTGTCACCCTATTCACTGTTGTCACCGTTGTCACCATTGTCACCGTTTTTGCTGTTGTCGCTATTCTCACTGTTGTCACTGCTGTCACTGTTGTTGCTGTTTTCACGCTTGTCACCGTTGTCACTGTTGTCGCTGTTGTCATCTTTGTCACACTTGTCATCGTTGTTGCTGTTGTCGCTGTTGTCACCCTTGTCACTGTTTTTGCTGTTGTCACACTTGTCACCGTTGTCGCTGTTGTCACGCTTGTCGCTGTTGTCACTCTTGTCACTCTTATCACCGTTGTCACGGTTGTCAGTTTTGTCGCTGTCCTCACTGTTGTCACTCTTAACACCGTTGTCACTGTTGTTGCTGTTGTCACTGTTGTCACTGCTGTCACCGTTGTCACTGTCGTCACCCTTGTCACCGTTGTCACTGTTGTCACCCTTGTCACCATTGTCACTGTTGTCGCTGTTGTCACTGTTGTCACTGTTGTCACCCTTGTCACCGTTGTCACTGTTGTCACCCTTGTCTCCGCTGTCACTGTTGTCACCCTTGTCGCCGTTGTCACTGTTGTCGCTGTTGTCACTGTTGTCACCCTTGTCACCGTTGTCACTGTTGTCGCTGTTGTCACTGTTGTCACCCTTGTCACTGTTGTCTTACTTGTTACCGTTTTCACTGCTGTCGCTGTTGTCACTGTTGTCACCCTTGTCACCGTTGTCACTGTTGTCGCTGTTGTCACACTTGTCACTGTTGTCGCTGTTGTGACTGTTGTCACCCTTGTCACCGTTGTGACTGTTATCACACTTGTCACCGTTGTCTGTGTTGTCCATGTTGTCACTGTTGTCGCTATTGTCACCATTGTCGCCGGTTTCACTTTTGTGGCTTTTGTCACTGTTGTCACGGTTGTCACCCTTGTCACCATTGTGACTATTGTCACTGTTGTCACCGTTGTCACTGTTGTCGCTGTTGTCACCTTTTTCAACGTTGTTACTGTTGTCGCTGTTGTTACCCTTGTCCCTGTGGTGGCTGTTGTCACTTTTGTCACGCTTGTCACCGCTGTCACAGTTGTGGCTGTTGTCACTGTTTTCACAGTTGTAACCGTTGTCGCTGTTGTTGCTGTTGTCACTGTTGTCACAGTTGTCAGGCTTGTCAACAGTGTCACTGTTGTTGCTGTTACCGCGGTTGTCACACTTGTCACGGTTGTCGCTGTTCTCACTGTTGTCGCTGTTGTCACTGTTGTCACTGTTGTCAAAGTTGTCACACTTGACACTGTTGTTACTGTTGTCGCTGTTCTGATGCTTGTCGCTGTTCTTGCCGTAGTAACTGTTGTCACTGTTGTCACCCTTGTCACTGTTGTCACCCTTGTCACCGTTGTCACTGTTGTCACCCTTGTCACCGCTGTCACTGTTGTCACCCTTGTCACTGTTGTCGCTGTTGTCACTGTTGTCACACTTGTCACTGTTGTCGTTGTTGTCACCCTTGTCACCGTTGTCACTATTGTCGCTTTTATCACTGTTGTCACCCTATTCACTGTTGTCACCGTTGTCACCGTTTTTGCTGTTGTCGCTATTCTCACTGTTGTCGCTGCTGTCACTGCTGTTTCTGTTGTCACTGCTGTCACTGTTGTCGCTGTTGTCACGCTTGTCACCGTTGTCACTGTTGTCACCTTTGTCACACTTGTCATCGTTGTTGCTGTTGTCGCTGTTGTCACTGTTGTTGCTGTTGTCACCCTTGTCACTGTTTTTTCTGTTGTCACACTTGTCACCGTTGTCGCTGTTGTCACGCTTGTCGTTGTTGTCGCTGTTGTCGCTGTTGTCACTCTTGTCACTCTTATCACTGTTGTCATTGTTCTCACTGTTGTCAGTTTTGTCGCTGTCCTCACTGTTGTCACTCTTAAAACCGTTGTCACTGTTGTTGCTGTTGTCACTGTTGTCACTGCTGTCACCGTTGTCACTGTTGTCACCCTTGTCACCGTTCTCACTGTTGTCACCCTTGTCACCATTGTCACTGTTGTCGCTGTTGTCACTGTTGTCACTGCTGTCACCGTTGTCACTGCTGTCACCCTTGTCACCGTTGTCACTGTTGTCACTGTTGTCACCCTTGTCACCATTGTCACTGTTGTCGCTGTTGTCACTGTTGTCACTCTTGTCACTGTTGTCACTGTTGTCACCGTTGTCACTGTTGTCACCCTTGTCACCGTTGTCACTGTTGTCACCCTTGTCACTGTTGTCGCTGTTGTCACTGTTGTCACACTTGTCACTGTTGTCGCTGTTGTCACCCTTGTCACCGTTGTCACTATTGTCGCTTTTATCACTGTTGTCACCCTTTTCACCCTATTCACTGTTGTCACCGTTGTCACCATTGTCACCGTTTTTGCTGTTGTCGCTATTCTCACTGTTGTCGCTGCTGTCACTGCTGTCACTGTTGTCACTGCTGTCACTGTTGTTGCTGTTTTCACGCTTGTCACTGTTGTCGCTGTTGTCATCTTTGTCACACTTGTCATCGTTGTTGCTGTTGTCGCTGTTGTCACCCTTGTCACTGTTTTTGCTGTTGTCACACTTGTCACCGTTGTCGCTGTTGTCACGCTTGTCGCTGTTGTCACTCTTGTCACTCTTATCACCGTTGTCACGGTTGTCAGTTTTGTCGCTGTCCTCACTGTTGTCACTCTTAACACCGTTGTCACTGTTGTTGCTGTTGTCACTGTTGTCACTGCTGTCACCGTTGTCACTGTTGTCACCGTTGTCACCCTTGTCACCATTGTCACTGTTGTCACTGTTGTCACCCTTGTCACTGTTGTCACTCTTGTCACTGTTGTCACCCTTGTCACCGTTGTCACTGTTGTCACCCTTGTCTCCGCTGTCACTGTTGTCACCCTTGTCGCTGTTGTCACTGTTGTCACTGTTGTCACCCTTGTCATCGTTGTCACTGTTGTCGCTTTTGTCACTGTTGTCACCCTTGTCACTGTTGTCTTACTTGTTACTGTTTTCACTGCTGTCGCTGTTGTCACTGTTGTCACCCTTGTCACCGTTTTCACTGTTGTCGCTGTTGTCACACTTGTCACTGTTGTCGCTGTTGTGACTGTTGTCACCCTTGTCACCGTTGTGACTGTTATCACACTTGTCACCGTTGTCTGTGTTGTCCATGTTGTCACTGTTGTCGCTATTGTCACCATTGTCGCCGGTTTCACTTTTGTGGCTGTTGTCACTGTTGTCACTGTTGTCACCCTTGTCACCATTGTGACTGTTGTCACTGTTGTCACCGTTGTCACTGTTGTCGCTGTTGTCGCTGTTGTCACCTTTTTCAACGTTGTTACTGTTGTCGCTGTTGTCACCCTTGTCCCTGTGGTGGCTGTTGTCGCTTTTGTCACGCTTGTCACTGCTGTCACAGTTGTGGCTGTTGTCACTGTTGTCACAGTTGTAACCATTGTCGCTGTTGTTGCTGTTGTCACTGTTGTCAGGCTTGTCAACAGTGTCACTGTTGTTGCTGTTACCGCGGTTGTCACACTTGTCACGGTTGTCGCTGTTCTCACTGTTGTCGCTGTTGTCACTGTTGTCAAAGTTGTCACACTTGACACTGTTGTTACTGTTGTCGCTGTTCTCATGCTTGTCGCTGTTCTTGCTGTAGTAACTGTTGTCACTCTTGTCACTCTTCTTACCGTTGTCACTGTTGTCGCTGTGTTCACTGTTCTCACTGTTGTCGCTTTTGTCGCTGTTTTCACTGTTGTCACCCTTAGCAGTTGTCACTGTTGTCACTATTGTCGCTTTTATCACTATTATCACCCTTGTCACTATTGTCGCTCTTGTCGCTGTTTTCACTCTTGTCACCGCTGTTACTGTTGTCGCTGTTGTCACCCTAGTCACCGTTGTCACTTTTGTCACTGTTGTCACCGTTGTCACCATTGTCACCGTTTTTGCTGTTGTCGCTATTGTCACTGTTGTCACTGTTGTCACTGCTGTCACTGTTGTCGCTGTTGTCACGCTTGTCACCGTTGTCACTGTTGTCGCTGTTGTCACCTTTGTCACTTGTCATCGTTGTTGCTGTTCTCGCTGTTGTCACTGTTGTCGCTGTTGTCACCCTTGTCACTGTTTTTGCTGTTGTCACACTTGTCACCGTTGTCGCTGTTGTCGCTGTTGTCACTCTTGTCACTCTTATCACCGTTGTCACTGTTGTCATTGTTGTCAGTTTTGTCGCTGTCCTCACTGTTGTCACTCTTAACACCGTTATCACTGTTGTTGCTGTTGTCACTGTTGTCACTGCTGTCACCGTTGTCACCCTTGTCACCGTCGTCACTGTTGTCACCCTTGTCACCATTGTCACTGTTGTCACACTTGTCACTGTTGTCACTGTTGTCGCTGTTGTCACCCTTGTCACCGTTGTCACTATTGTCACTTTTATCACTGTTGTCACCCTTGTCACCGTTTGTCTGTTGTCCTGTTGTCACTATTGTCACTGTTGTTTTATCACTGTTGTTGTCACCCTTGTCACCCTATTCACTGTTGTCACCCTTGTCACCCTATTCACTGTTGTCACCGTTGTCACCGTTTTTGCTGTTGTCACTATTGTCACTGTTGTCGCTGCTGTCACTGCTGTCACTGTTGTCACTGCTGTCACTGTTGTCGCTGTTTTCACGCTTGTCACCGTTGTCACTGTTGTCGCTGTTGTCACTGTTGTCACCCTTGTCACCGTTGTCACTGTTGTCACTATTGTCACTGTTGTCGCTGTTGTCACTCTTGTCACCGTTGTCACCGTTGTCACTGTTGTCACCCTTGTCACCGTTGTCACTGTTTTCACCCTTGTCACCGTTGTCACTGTTGTCACCCTTGTCACCGCTGTCACTGTTGTCACCCTTGTCACCGTTGTCACTGTTGTCGCTGTTGTAACTGTTGTCACACTTGTCACTGTTGTCACTGTTGTCGCTGTTGTCACCCTTGTCACCGTTGTCACTATTGTCGCTTTTATCACTGTTGTCACCCTTGTCACCCTATTCACTGTTGTCACCGTTGTCACCATTGTTACCATTGTCACCGTTTTTGCTGTTGTCGCTTTTGTCACTGTTGTCGCTGCAGTCACTGATGTCACTGTTGTCACTGCTGTCACTGTTGTCGCTGTTTTCACGCTTGTCACCGTTGTCACTGTTGTCGCTGTTGTCATCTTTGTCACACTTGTCATCGTTGTTGCTGTTGTCGCTGTTGTCACCCTTGTCACTGTTTTTGCTGTTGTCACACTTGTCACCGTTGTCACTGTTGTCACCCTTGTCACCATTGTCACTGTTGTCACTCTTGTCACTCTTATCACCGTTGTCACTGTTGTCAGTTTTGTCGCTGTTCTCACTGTTGTCACTCTTATCACCGTTGTCACTGTTGTTGCTGTTGTCACTGTTGTCACTGCTATCACCGTTGTCACTGTTGTCACCCTTGTCACCGTTGTCACTGTTGTCACCCTTGTCACCAGTTGTCACTGTTGTCGCTGTTGTCACCCTTGTCACTGTTGTCACTCTTGTCACTGTTGTCACCCTTGTCACCGTTGTCACTGTTGTCACCCTTGTCACCGTTGTCACTGTTGTCACCCTTGTCACTGTTGTCACCCTTGTCTCCGCTGTCACTGTTGTCACCCTTGTCACCGTTGTCACTGTTGTCGCTGTTGTCACTGTTGTCACTGTTGTCACCCTTGTCACCGTTGTCACTGTTGTCGCTGTTGTCACTGTTGTCACCCTTGTCACTGTTGTCTTACTTGTTACCGTTTTCACTGCTGTCGCTGTTGTCACTGTTGTCACCCTTGTCACCGTTGTCACTGTTGTCGCTGTTGTCACACTTGTCACTTTTGTCGCTGTTGTGACTTTTGTCACCCTTGTCACCGTTGTCACTGTTGTCACACTTGTCACCGTTGTCTGTGTTGTCCATGTTGTCACTGTTGTCACTGTTGTCGCTATTGTCACCATTGTCGCCGGTTTCACTTTTGTGGCTGTTGTCACTGTTGTCACTGTTGTCACCCTTGTCACCATTGTGACTGTTGTCACTGTTGTCACCGTTGTCACTGTTGTCGCTGTTGTCACCTTTTTCAACGTTGTTACTGTTGTTGCTGTTGTCACCCTTGTCCCTGTTGTGGCTGTTGTCACTTTTGTCACGCTTGTCACCGCTGTCACAGTTGTGGCTGTTGTCACTGTTGTCACAGTTGTAACCGTTGTCGCTGTTGTTGCTGTTGTCACTGTTGTCACAGTTGTCAGGCTTGTCAACAGTATCACTGTTGTTGCTATTGCCGCGGTTGTCACACTTGTCACTGTTGTCGCTGTTCTCACTGTTGTCGCTGTTCTCACTGTTGTCGCTGTTGTCACTGTTGTCACTGTTGTCACACTTGACACTGTTGTTACTGTTGTGGCTGTTTTCATGCTTGTTGCTGTTCTTGCTGTAGTAACTGTTGTCACTCTTGTCACTCTTCTTACCGTTGTCACTGTTGTCGCTGTGTTCACTGTTCTCACTGTTGTCGCTTTTGTCGCTGTTTTCACTGTTGTCACCCTTAGCAGTTGTCACTGTTGTCGCTGTTGTCGGTGTTGTCACCCTTGTCACCCTTGTCATCGTTATCACTGTTGTCGCTGTTGTCACACTTGTCACCGTTGTCCCTGTTGTCACTGTTTTCACCCTTGTCACCGTTTTCACTATTGTCACCCTTGTCAAATGTTGTCAGTGTTGTCGCTGTTATCACTGTTGTCACACCTTTCACCGTTGTCGCTGTTGTCACTGTTGTCACCCTTGTCACCGTTGTCACTGTTTTTACTGTTGTCCCTGTTGTCACTGTTGTCGCTGTTGTCACCCTTGTCACTCTTGTCCCTGTTGTCACTTTTGTCACACCTGTCACCGTTGTCGCTGTTGTCGATGTTGTCAGTGTTGTCGCGGTTGTCACCCTTGTAACCGTAATCACTCTTGTCACAGTTGTCACCATTGTCACTTTTGTTGCTGTGTTTAGTGTTGTCAGTGTTGTCGCTGTTGTCACTGTTGTCACCCTGGTCACCATTGTCGCTGTTTTCACTCTTGTCACCGCTGTTACTGTTGTCGCTTTTGTCACCCTAGTCACCGTTGTCACTTTTGTCACTGTTGTCACTATTATCACTGTTGTTGCTGTTGTTGTCAGTGTTGTCGCTGTTGTCACTTTTGCCACCCTTGTCACTGTTGTTGCTGTTGTCATGCTTGTCGCTGTTGTCGCTGTTGTCACTCTTGTCACTCTTGTCACCGTTTTTACTGTTGTCGCTGTCGTCACGGTTCTCACCGTTATCACTGTTGTCGCTTTTGTCGCTGTTCTCACTGTTGTCACCCTTAACATCGTTGTCACTGTTGTTGCTGTTGTCACTGTTGTCACCGTTGTCACTGTTGTCACTGTTGTCATCCTTGTTACCGTTGTCAGTGTTGTCACCCTTGTCACCGTTGTCAGTGTTGTCGCAGTTGTTTCTGTTGTCACCGTTGTCACTGTTGTCGCTGTTGTCACCCTTGTCACCGTTGTCACTGTTGTCTCACTTGTCACCGTTGTCACTGTTGTCGCTGTTGTCACACTTGTCACTGTTGTCGCTGTTGTCAGTGTTGTCAATGTTTTCGCTGTTGTCACCCTTGTAACCGTAATCACTGTGGTCACTGTTGTCACAGTTGTCACGATTGTCACTGTTGTTGCTTTTTTCAGTGTTGATGGTGTTGTCACTGTTTTCACCCTTGTCACCATTGTCACTGTTGTCGCTGTCGTCACTTTTTTTCACCTTTGTCACCGCTGTTACTGTTGTCGCTGTTGTCACCCTAATCACCGTTGTCACTGTTGTCACAGTTGTTGCTTATCACTTGCTTATTATCACTGTTGTTGCTTTTGTCAGTGTTGTCGCTGTTGTCACTTTTGCCACCCTTGTCACCGTTGTCACTTTCGTCACTGTTGTCACCGTTGTCACTGTTGTCGCTGTTGTCAATGTTGTCACCCTTGTTACCGCTGTCGCTGTTGTTGCTGTTGTTAGTGTTGTCACTGTTGTCGCTGTTGTCACTGTTGTTACCCTTGTCACCGTTGTCACTGTTGTTGATGTTGTCACCCTCTTCACCGTTGTCACTGTTGTCGCTGTTGTCACTGTTGTCACACTTGTCACTGTTGTCGCTGTTGTCACTGTTTTCACCTTTGTCATCGCTTTTACTGTTGTCACTGTTGTGAGACTTGTCACACTTGTCACCGTTTTCGCTGTTGTCACGCTTGTCACTGTTGTCACTGTTGTCGCTTTTGTCGCTGTCCTCACTGTTGCCAACGTTTTCACTGTTGTCGCTGTTCTGAGTGTTGTAACCCCTGTCACCGTTGTCGCTGTTGTCACTGTTGTCACCCTTGTCACTGTTGTCGCTGTTGTCACCCTTGTCACGATTATCACTGTAGTCACTGTTGTCACTGTTGTCACAGTTGTCACTGCTATCACCGTCGTCACCGTTGTCGCTGTTGTTACTGTTGTCACTGTTGTCACCATTGTCACAGTTGTCACTATTGTCACCATTCTCCCTGTTGTCACTGTCGTCACCCTTTCACTGTTGTCACTGTTGTTGCTGTTGTCAGTGTTGTCACCCTTGTCACCGTTGTCACTTTTGTCACTGTTGTCACTGATGTTACCCTTGTCACTGTTGTTGCGTGGTCGCTGTTTTTACCGTTGTCAGCATTGTTGCTGTTGTCACCTTTGTCACTGTCGTCGCTGTTGACGCTGTTGTCACTGCTGTCTCTTTTTTTACATGGGCTTTTTTTCTAGGATGGATGCTTGTAATGAACGTAGACTATGTAAGCTAGTTTAATACTGACTGATCTTCGTTTCTATGCTTAATTATGTTGTTAAAATTTTGTTTTTAGAAAGAACATTTCCGGCGGTCGTTGTGTCAAATTCTGCTTGCGGCCCAGTCAACCCATGCTTATTTGGTGGCCACTGTATACCCGTGGGCATCGAGTTTACTTGTGCATGTCCCTCGGGACGTGGAGGATCACGCTGCGAGAAAACAAGTATGTAAACAATGTTATATTTTCTTTACGCTTCATATTCCTGTAAATATGAAGTCAACTATTAACGATGATGGAGTGTTGCTCTGGAACTTTATTGGCGAATCCTTTATGGATTAATTTACTTGGCCACAATAATATTAGGTCATCAAAATTGACGGTACACCCGCCATTCAGAGGGATAGAGTACAGATTAAGGCTGTTGGTACAGTGAGCTAAGAGTCCCTGCGCCTCGCATTAAAAAAAGCCAGCATTGATAGCAGTTTTTTATGTGTACAAAAACTAAAAGAGCAACCCTATTGAAATTAAAGTTTCTAACTAGCTAAGAATCTACATGATTATTTCCAGAATGGGGAGAAGGCTCCCCTTACTGGTAGCAGGAAAAATGTGAAGTTGGTCAGTCACATTAGCGTTCAGCCATTTATTTCTCTTAAAAATAAATTTCATTCTCGTGAGTTATGTCAGTGTTCAGAAAATGCAAATGTTCTCAATGTTACGATCGCACAGTCTACTAAGAACTTTATTCAACCGCTGTCTACTCAGATCTATAATGATGCAATCACGGCAATGCTCACAACAGATGACTGCAAACTGTATTTCTGAGAATATCACCGTTTTCAAGTACTTTTTACTACGACTGGTTCCTGACTGTACTGAGCTGACTAGGACTGTAGATAATACTTCATGGGACTTCGAGGTCATTGAGGCATTGACATTGAAGAAATTTAGGGCTTAATTGCCTTAATGTTCAGTACGTTATAAACGCCTACACTAAACAGCTTGCCAATTAATGTTACGACATGCAAAGCATAGATGACAATGCCATTGCAACCTCGGTGGCGGCTACAGGAGAGGGGCTGGCTGGGACCCCCTTATTTTTAGAGGAAACCGAGACCCGAAGGGCCGAAAAAAAAATTGGAGACCGCCCCCTCTCCTCATCTCAAGGTCTGGGTCTGGTCTCAAACACGAAACAATGCAATCCACTATCTTAACATAACTTTTCGCTGTACATAAAGACGAGGAGGACGTTTCTCAGGAAAATTACATTAACTGTCCAACGTTCACCTACATTTTACGGCGGTGATAGATACCTCTTTTAAACTGCACGTTCAACATTGATTGACAAAAATTCAAATCATTTTTCGTAAAAAAAAGTTACCACTAATTGCAGAATCGTTCATCCGTTCAAACTACAATCCTGGACAAACGTTCTTGGGACAGTACTGCAATATTCATAGTTTTCTGTCATTTCTCGGGTCCCTCTTAAAACAGTGCATCCTTTTCGAAATTTTCTTGCAGTTCTCCCTCCCCCACCCTATACAAAGTTGAAACTCGGAAAAAATTCAATAATCCAAGCGTCCAACATTGTTTGTGGGGTAAGGGGAGGGGTTGGGCCTGTGTGAATTGGAAAACGCCTCGGAAACGCAAAAGTGTTCCAAGACTTTTGCCCATGATTGTAGGTCTATTCTCATTAACCCTTTAAGTCCCAATAGTGCTCAAAATCAATTTTCTCCTAACGATATCCATAGACTATCATGAGCAAAGTCTATGAGAATTAACAAAATGATCCCAAAGAGAAAAATCTTTACCAAATTCTCTCAACTAATTCTTCAAGGAAATGTATGGAGATCAGTTTGGAGAATTTGTACGTGGATATTCGGACTTAAAGGGTTAAGGCTAAGTTCACACTGTACCGGGAAGTATATCCGGGGCGGCACAAGTCGTTCACACACATCGAACCTCGTGTCGGCGCGCTTAGCCGAGAGGGTTTGGTGCAATGAATTCCAGTCCTCCCTCCTGAATATTTACTTCCCTCTCAGTGGGTTCCAGTCCACGCTCCTGATAATTCACTTTCACAACCGTTCTTGTGTGTGAACAGAAGCCCTATCTTATAAGACTTTTATGGCGGCGCAACAGCTATCCGGTATGGTGTGAAGATAGCCGTAATACCATATTTTGAGCTGCAGATAATGTGAAGATAGCCGTAATACCATATTTTGAGCTGCAGATAATGTGAAGATAGCCGTAATACCATATTTTGAGCTGCAGATAATCTGAAGATAGCTGTAATACCATATTTTGAGCTGAAGATAATATGAAGATAGCCGTAATACAACACTTTGAGCTGCAGATAATTTTCATCACCTGAGATCGAAGCACAATCACCTATTGTTATATTTTGTTTAGAACCGATACGAGAATTCAGAACCCTGAACGTTCCTCTTAAGTTATGCGAGCAGCGCAAGTAACTATTTAAGCAGGACATATGTATCTCCTGAAGGTTTTGGAGAGTGAGGAGGTTTATGCTGATATAAGTGCCATCACTCGCCCCTACTTGAAAACTTCTTTTCAGTTTTAATTCGGGATCAACAGTTCTCGTTCACTACAGCTTTTGTTCTTGCACACCCCTTTAAGTAACTGCTTTTTGGTTTTGGTTTTTGTTTTTTTATTTCATTTTCTATTCTTATCCAGCGTTTGAACTTTATATTATTATTAAATATTTTACCCATCAAGAAAAGTTCCGATAATTGTGCGCAACTTAATTGCAAACTATTTGCCATTTTAATAAATCCTTCTTGTTGAAAACTAAGACTTTTCTTAGTATTCATGTAAGTGTTACGTCTAATTCAAAAACTACGGACGTTAACTCTGAATATTACAGGACATCACCCAGACAAGATGGTGGTGTACCCGACCCTGTAGAAAGTGTTTTAATCTCCCAAGTATGCCTGCCCGAAATTCGTTATCTATTTCTCAAACCCATTCTTCATACCAGTTTTAGACTTTCGTAGCCGTTTTTTCGGTAAACGGAATTGATTTGTGCAACTGTGTAACGCGATTCCGGGACGAAATTTACCAGTCCTGAATTTTGCTTACCATGTTAGTTCCCAAAACGTGAACCTACCGGTTTGCCCATATAAATGGTGCACAACCCAGCAGTCATACGCGAAACTCTTTTCCTGAAACTGTTGACTAAATTGTTTGTTTGTTTTTTTGGCGTTGTGGACACCATTGTTGGTTCGCTTGTGGTTTGTGGTGTAGTATTGTTCCATATCTTTTTAATCTTTTGTATTACGTCATTTAGTCCTAGAGGGTACGTCCTAATAACAGGCTAATGGGGATGTGCCGCTGGATGGGGTCGCGTTTTAACGGCTGGATTGACTATAATGGGGTTGCATTTTCATTAGAGTTACTAGAATGGGATCGCACATTTTCGGGATTTGGGGATCAGAAAATTCAGGTAGGTAGGGATTTTAAAATGGGAAGATTTTTTCTCAAGTTTAACCAATGTGTCAGCTCATTTCAGGATGACGTAGTTAAATGGCTTTATAAGGCAGATGCATAAATAGAAAGTTACTTAGGTGGGATTACGAACATTACATTTTCCCAAAAGTGACTTAGATGGGATCTGTATTTGGCAACAGAGTAGACTATAATGGGGTAGAGGTTATTAGAGGCCAGCGGCACATACCCAGCAAAAATTAACCCAGGTCCTGAACCCCTCTCCGCGCATTTGGCGATTGCACCCGTCCGCAGCTGCCCACCTACCCCTCTCCTAAGCCAATATTTTGTCCTAAGTGAGAAGAAAGAGTTAATGTTGGCTTAGGGGAGGGGTCGGTTGACAGTTTCCCGGAAAAGTAAAATGATCCAAAACTACTACTAAATTACAATTCTGGTGTTCTTTGAAAGATTTATCGCAGGGAAGTAAGTGCAGTAGATGTCATCACCACGCAGTTTGTCTTTACAGCCAATGCTTCTGTAGACCCGGCTTTACCGGCGACGGAAAAACGTGTCGAACCAGTAAGTAAACCAAACTTGTGTCTACAAAACGTATACACCAGATTATTTAGCGCTGAAAAGTCCCTATTAAGTTAACGTTTTCAAAGCACTAAAAATGCTGAGTTTCAGTGGCCAAATTGTTAAAGACGAAGATATAAATTGTGTGTTTTTTAGATGACCATTAATTTAAACTACGCCAAGCAAATCTAGCTTAATTTGATTAATCTACCAATATTCAACCAGATGAATCCCACTATATGTATAGTTTTAAGTTCTAGGTAAGATCATTCATTTAAAAGTCATGTAATAGATTAGTGTGCCAGTACGTAGCAAAGTGTCCCGAATTAGCTAACTGTTAAGCTAAATACATTGACGCTAAAATAAATTTATTATAATTATTATTACTAAATAATCTGGTTTCCTACGCTATCCCGTAAATTTATGATTATGACCAAAAGCATTTTTTAAAATGTATGAAAATGCCAGAAGTCCGTTTTCTAAGAGCTTTTTTTTTCATATTGTTTTCTTTTAAAAGAAAATCCCTTCTGCCATCCAAACCCGTGTTTGAATGGCGGCACATGCCGAGAGGAAGAAACCGAAGACCCAGACAAAAAAGAGTGGTGGTGTGAATGTGCAAAGGGATACAATGGAAAATATTGTAATGGTAAGGAATAGTGAAGGGTTTCTCATACAGAGGGCCGCCCCGGTTATACCCAGACGATTTTTTTTTCTCAGTAATCCTTCAGAAAAGAGTTTGTTTCAGTTCTAGTTACCTCTCCGATGAACTGATCCCACGCCGATCCTTTGCATGCCCTTTTCCTGAATCCGTGGCTTCGAACTTGTCTTCATAAGGTGTTTCTTCCATAACCACGGATGAAAAGAAAAAAAGAAAACTCGCTGCAAAGATTCGTCATTTAATCCACCGACTCATCTTTTTGTGACATAGAAATATAGTCATCACAGCAGGATATTGCGTTTTGAAAGTTGGGTGCGACATGCGTTCTTCCTTACTTTTAAATCCGGCATTTTTACTCAAGTGGCCAACATCTATGCAAGTTTATTGCGACAAAAAAAAACCGTTTACATGAGAAAAGACTTAGACGCCCACAGGACTAGTTTATAAGGCCGCAGTTTCATTGTTTTGGGACACCAATATTGCGGACAGCCTCATATGAAAAGGCTCTATAGTTATACATAGAGCAGCTGACTAAGAAAAACTTTTAAAAGTAGGTTCAGTTTGATGGTCTGGGTGAACGTAGTCCTGAATAGGACTGTTGTTGTTAACAGAGACTGACGTTTCGACAACCTGCGCGGTAGTCATCTTCAGAGTCAAAGTGAGTTGTATCACGTCAGTTGACTCCTGGGTTCAAACCTTTCACAAAAACTTTTAATTTGACATTAAAAAGATGTGTTTAATTTATTACTAACAGTGTAAACCACATTATCTTTTTGTAGAGTATGATCCCTGCACCAATTTTCAATGCCATAACGGCGGACGATGCGAAACCATCAACAATGCTCCACTATGCAATTGCGCAGAACCATATGAAGGAACTAATTGCCTTCGTAAGTCCATAATCTTTGTTCTTTTTACAGAAATATTTCCCAGGTCGGGTGTCTTCTGACCACCTTCGTGTTGCAATGGCGGTTATGCCTTAAAGGGGCTCTTTCATGGTTGTTTGTTAATTTTGTTAATAATTACAGAATGGAACGTTTCAGATACAAGCATCAAAAAGAAATCCTTAATTGCCGGTTTAAGCGCACTTTATACAAGAAATTTTTAACTGATCAGAAAGTCTCCCCGCTCGTCAAGATATGAGGCTTCTTTAAAGTAACATTTTATTTCAGGAAAAGTTTGCCTTTTTCGAACGTATTTTAGGCTTTATGTATAGTGTTAGAATTCTTCTGATACTTATTTTACTTTTATACTGTAATGAGGGGCATGAATGTATCTGTGTTTTATTAACTTTTGTGAAGTGTTACCCTCCATTTTCCTTATTGGCTTTTGAACTAGAGAACTTACTTGAGAATGACAAAATCAAAGCTTTGCGTGAAACACATGTCTGCCAAGCATTGTATCAAAAATTACAAACAAGAAAAATGAACTTTGAATAACTATTTTGCATTCCGTTTCAATCTTCTTCATGTTTGTCCATCGGTGCCTTCTTTTGTATTTGCACTGCTGTTTAACCTTCTTTGCCTTTTTTGAGCGCGTTATGTCTCACTCAGTTTTGAATTCTGATAAACTTCGTGACACAGCTCCTTTAACCCTTTAAACCCTAAGATCAAAATTTGAATTCTCATTTGTTGCCCCTATTCATTTCTTACAGAAGTAGAGGGGAGAAGTTGATAAAATATCAAGCAAATTCATCTTGTGTGATCATGTCCGTAATTCTCATGACCACTCTGTTTTTCAAAGCATTGATATTACAAGGAGAAATTTGATGCTGATCACTCTTAGGGCTTAAAGGGTTAAGCCCTGAAGAGATATAGAGGGCTGAGCTTTCTGCCAGTACCTGTTACTTGCCGAATGTGCTTTTGACATTTGTTTTCTTGGAACGCGAAATGAAAATGTATAGTACATCTACACTTAAGAGAGCAAACTGTACTAACTAATGAATATTTTGTTTCTGTAGTTGATAATGCGTGCAAACCCAAAGATGGTGTAAACAGAAACCCTTGCAAAAATGGCGCAAAATGCGAATTTGACAACAAAAATGGTGAAATAACCTGCATTTGTCCTACTTCCTATGAAGGCCCGACATGCAGTGGTAAGGCTGACCATACTTACGGAAATTTGCAAGTTATACGTGCTACGTAATAGAGAGGAGAAGTCTTTACGTCATGTTGCCATGGTGGCCAAATTTTTGGATCTCAACAAACCGTGTTCCTGAAAATATGGCAGAAAGAAACGAAAAAAAATTGCCGTCTATGACTTGTTAATGGTTGCACTCGGGACAAAACGATAGGCCATACTTTCCTTTCATCGTTCGACAATGTAAACGGCCGTCTCTAGCAAGAAAGATTGTTGAGATACGAAAATTTTGCTTCCATGGTAAAGTGACGTCATACCTCTCTTCTGTGTATACGTTATATTTGATGCAAATACCAATAGTTAGCTTCATTATTCGACCTAACATGCTATGACCTTGCCTCATTTAGTATGACTATTTTTTCTTCCCATATTTTTCTTTAAAGAAAACAAGTGCGACAAATGTGACAAAAAACACGCATTTTGTGAAAACGGAATTTGCAAGTGCAAGCCACCTTACATAGGAGACGGTATAACATGCAAAGAACCAGAGAAACCGAAATCGCGTAAGTGAATTAATGGTCGAAAGTTATTTTATATCATAAACGATATACAATGAGTGTTAACAAAACTGCTGGATCACTTTCTCTTTTTTGCATAGTCGACATATCTATCCCCCCCCCCCGAGAGCCCCTTCCCCTAACTCCCTCCCCCAAAATTAACTCGTGTCTTTCTTCAACTACAAACAACATTGATTCGGTGGTGGGGGAAATAAACCGAATAGTTACAGGAATTTAAACAGATTAGTTTATAGTTACAGTCTATTATAGCTACAGTCCATGAAAAAGTAAATGTAATTTCTTTACCTGCCAGACAAGGTTTAGCGCGTTTCAGATCGAATTAGTGTTTCTGGAGAGAGGGGGGAATAATATAACTGGAGAAAAACCTTTCGCATGGGAACAAGGGAGTGAAACCACACCAATCTCACCCTACGCGTAACAACACCCCCGGAATTAGAACTCGCGCCAAGAGGGGTGGGGGTGTTACGTTACAATTAAACGCTTCAAACAAACCCGTGGCCGGCGTTTTGACAGAAATTTATGTCCTAGTTCCTTGGTACTTCGTCAAGGTCGTGTTAAACGGTTTTGGGTTTGGATTACTTTGAAATGTAGATGTACAAAACTCGTCAGAAAATAGGGAGAGAACAAAGACGAAACGTTTTGTTCCTACCGCTTTCACTTCTGTCCAAGTTTCATGATCTGAACATGAACAAAGCGTTTTATTTGTCCCAGCCTCTGCTATCATTCACGAAAGCATTCCCAGTTTATGTTCTAATTCATATTTTACCCAACTTTTTACAGGCGCACCTAGCAAGAATCCACAACAACTTGCAAATAGCTGCAATCCAAACAAATGCCTAAATAATGCGCAATGCATTGAAGGAAAATCAACGTTCTTCTGTGTCTGTCCGCCGAACACTTCTGGTAGGCTTTGCGAGAAAAAGACTACACCAACAACAGGTACCACAATAGTAGCTAATTGATTTACGGTATGGATAAAGCCTTATTGGCTACTTCCCATAACGGATTCAATTATTTGAGCTTAGGAGGATAATATTTGCTGATTTAAAACTTAGAAAAAAAAAAAGATGTAAAGCAAAACCCTGCAAATATTTCATGCTATAAATTTGTAACAGTTTTCTTCGATGTTTGTTCTTGTTATTACATGACAGCTCCACCTAAAGCAGCATGTCATCCCAATCCTTGTCTTAATGGGGGAATATGCAAAGAAACTGGAGTCAACCAGGACTTTGACTGCATCTGTCCTAACCCTCGCTTTAAGGGACGCTTTTGTGATGGTAAGACTGGCGAAATTTATGTCAATTTATGTAACTTTAAGTGTAAACGTTATACTTGGATATAATTTATGTCAAGTTATTCTTACTAATATTATCCAAGACCTTTTCAGCGAAGAACATTCTGTTCTGAGCTGGACAAGTATAGGTCTAGCCAAACTGCATTTTCCTCTGGCCAAAACGGAGTACACTTAACTAAGGCAAATTCTGTTAAGGCGACTAACACGAAAATTTGTACCACTATCTCGTAACATCACTGCAACATCGCTATTACTTTTCCGCAAAATCGCAAAATCACCGAACTTGTTTTTGTTTGTTTGCTTGTTTTTATTATTATTATTGTTGTTGTTGTTGGGCATGCTTTTTCAAAATTTCTCGTCCATGGTACCTTTATTCCTATCCCTGGGACTTCGCCATCTCTTTGCCGAAAAAAGCAAAATCGCAGGATTTGTTTTTGTTTGTTTGTTTTTTTACTATTGGCCAAGTTTTTTTAAAAAAATCGTTTCCATTTTCTTTTTTTGCTTTAGTATAATCATTTCCTTCTGTTCTTGCAGTGGACATGTGCGCCGAGTGCGATCCTCACGCTCGATGCATTAATGGAAAGTGTTTTTGCCGAAGAGGGTACACAGGAGATGGATATACTTGCAAGAAAGGTAAACGAAGTTCTGCCAACCAGGGCTCCGTTTCTCGAAAGTACCCGTAACTTTTCGGTTCCGAAGGCAAAATTTAAAGTCAAACCAGTGAAGGTCCCCAATACGTTTTTCGGGATCCGGGATTTCCCTTATTTGAAGCTCGGGACCCGGGATTTTAAAGCAAAATGGGGGCGAGATTCGGGATTTGAAAGTATACGCTCGAGTTAGAATGCTTACAATAACCCTCGGGATTACGGATTGCACGAAACTTTGGGTCGGGATTACGGGATTGAAGAACCCTATTGGAGACCCTCAGCAGTTATATACTAACATGGTTCCTACCTCACAAACCAGTCAAGTTTTGTTTCGTTTACTGATAGTTTCATTGTATCATTTTCAAATCTATCAAAACGTTGTACTTGGATATAACCATGGATAACCAAAAAAAGCTTTCCAGGCCCGAAAAAATAACGGGACTTTCGAGAATCATACCCCAGGAACCAGAAAAAGGAAAACATTCCGGAAGTTTTATCATGTTAGGAATTTATACAGTGACCTCAACTAAGCTTACCCCTGTTGCTCGTGTATATCCTGTATTTTGTACTCCTATCCAACATGGATTCCTAGAGAAAATATAAAAATTTGTTAGTCTGTTCAATCGTAAAAAGACAGGAAGACATTTAGGATCTAACCTTTCATGCACATACTAAAAGACTGTGTAGGATTCTAGAAATAAGGTATAGGAATGAATTGACTTGCTCGTGACAAAGCACTGCTGCCGTTTAAGCGTATTATTTTTTCGAACGAGAAGTTATGTACTCTTTGAAAAACGAGCACGAGTGTATTGTCAGGTTTAAAAGCTCGAGGCGAAGCCGAGAGTTCTTAAACCTATACGTATACACGACTGCGAGGTTTTTGAACGGTTTCAAAATCTCTGATATAGATCAATTCATTCTTGCACTAATATTTAGGTTTGGGGTTATTTTTAAAAATAGAGTGTTTTCACTCGCGTGGCCAGGATCTATGCAAATTTATTGGAACAAAAGAAAGCGTTTGCATAAGAAAGGAGTTCAACTCCCACAGGACTGGTTTGGGACACCAACATGGCCGCCGTTTCATTGTTTTGGGACAACAACATGGCCTCCTTGACGTCCTGTGAAAACACTCTATGGGACAAAAAGTTCAATTATTATGAATTATTTATGAATTTTTGAATTGTTGAAATATAGGACGTGTTCAGTGAATGACACTGAATGGGAAAAGAGAGCTGATAGTATGAGAAATGAACAGCATGGACCACTCTAAAGGTCTACTACACAGCTCTTTTGGATCAATGCATAATCTAAGGATAAAACTAAGTATTGCCATAATATAGTACATTGTTCTATTTGTTCATCTTGTAGTCAAACCGAAGAGGAAAAACTGTCCCCAGTATTCCACCGTTATCAGCGGAGACATTTGCCTCTGTAACCCTGGTTATTATATGAGCAACGCTGGCAAGCGGACCTGTATTCGTGAGTACATTGGAGTTCTATTTATCCTTTGCATTTCCAAAAGGGAAGAGTAACGCTAAAACATAACTAGGCCCTTGGCTAACAAGTCTCATCCATTTTAGCAAGAATAAATGACTGTGATATCGAAATCTCCGTTGCGCAGGTCTTTTAAGCTACTAGTGTGACTGTTGTCAAGAACTGCTTGAATTCTTTCCTGGTAGAGAAAGGAGACCATATTGAACTCCTTCTGACTGCCAACGTTTAGGACATTTTGTCCCCAGCCGCGAGCACCTCCACATCTTTACACACCTAATTGTATTCATTCTTCAAGTATTCCCTTAAAAATGCTTTCAAAACTTTTTGCAAATTCGAAGAGGTGTCATTAAAAATTCTTGATCGATGTTCCTTTAACGCAGCGACAGAGAATTCTGTGCGAGGGTTATCCCCGTTACAGCACCCAAGCAAGCTAGAGATTCCCCTTCCAATGGACGGCGCTGTTACAAGAAGTGGATCACAGTGGTCAGGTAAAGAATTGAAATAATTATCCCTTACGTGGCAAGCTAGTCTGAGACAACAACCGACATTTTGCAACGCTACCAATGGTTTCCCCTCGAAATGACGTCTGAGAAACGAGTGCAGAAATTTCATTCTGATGACACGTCACTATCCAGATCTGAGTAATGCTTGTTTTCTGATTGGTTGGACCAAATTTCCGCTCGGTACGACCGCACGGCCCGTGCGCGTCATTAGACTGGAATTTCTGCGTTCGTTTCTCAGACGTCATTTCGCGGGGAAACCAGTGGTGGCGTCGCAAAATGCGGGCTATTTTCTCAGGCTAGTGGCAAGCATCTATGCTAATTTATCGTAACAAAAAAAGCGCTTAAATAAGAAAGAGTTCAATTCCCACAGGATTGGTTTGGAACACCTACATAGCCGCCGTGAAACCATGTTAAAACGCCCTATACCGTACCAGACATTAAAAATAAACATGCTTTCTTCATGCCTGAAAATGATATTTTTGTTGATCGTCTACCCTGCAACTGCTGCTTTGAGTATATTATAAATTAGGGCATTTCGATATCCACTGGAATGATAAGGGTGAGACGGTAGCCTTTGATGCTCTTGTGGCTTAGTGATCCTCTCTGTTGTTACGATGCCAAATTGTAAACATGCTTTGTAAACTGCAATGCCCTTGTCGTTTCAGTAGCCAGGGTGATTAAAATAATCCGTGACGACAACTGAGCGTGGTGATTCAACATCGTTGAAAAACGATTCAAAAATCTGTCCATGCCAAACGGATTATTCAGCCATCCAATTTTGTGTCATGTGGTGCGTCTCGCCCGACTGTGAAATCAATCGTGTTTACAATAAGTTACATTCCTTTCATTGCTGCTTTGTTTTCAAACAGAGGATATCATAGTTACAGAATACCGCAGCTTGGGGTGCTGGGCTGACACAAAGGATTGGAAGGATCCAGCTAAGCGAGCTTTGATGGTGATGGAGGGACTCGATCCACTCCTTGCTGGAAGTTACCAGGAAAGAAAACAACCAATTAGCAAGTGTGCAGAAGTCGCCAAGAGGCTTGGATTCAGGGTATTTGCCATTCAAAATGGCGGTCAATGTTTTGGTGGTGCTGATGAAGTTACCTATAAAACATACGGACCATCAGAGTCGTGTGCTGATGGTATAGGGGGACCGTTGGCCAATGATGTGTACAAGCTCTAACTCGGATGGCATATTCAGTGAAGTGGTAGCCCATAGTAGATAATAATGTAAAAAATCATAGTTGAGCAAGGAAGAGAGCTTATCACTCTAAGTTTGGAAAGCAATCGGATTCTTCGCGAAACAAAGGAACTGTAGATCGGATATGATGAGAGCAATACTTTACCAGTGTATGTAAACATAGGACGACTGGCGATTATGCCGTTGAGTTGGCTCATAAATAAGGTTTCGTGATAAAAACAAATAACAGTAAAACTCATAAAAAAGCATCAGCTTTTGAGGAAAGGCTAAGTTCAAAAATTTACATAACGCGGCTTAAAATAAATGGCTAACGCTATACTAACATTCATCGTAAAAGACTTCCTATGAAAATGCCAGGTACTGTGTGTAAGGCACTGATCGAAAACGCCTGTAAAGCTTCTCACAGGTTCTTTATATCATTTTATAACTCAAAAATATTTAACACACAGCCCGACATCACCAGAAGCTGGAGGCGGCGAAAGTATTCAGATGAGTAACCCGGCATGGTAGAATTAAAATCTAAAACATTTCTTTTCCCAATTTTGGGTTCAGAAATGCCAATAGCGTAGAATCATATTTCAATTCGTCCAGCCAATTCGTAAATTTTCTAGGTTACTTCTTAGATTCCTAGCATTACTGTTAAACACATAGAGGTTAGATTCTATGGCAAAGATAACTGATAGTTATTAGAACATTTCATCTACGTAAAGCTAAGAATCGCCGTGGATGCACTGATTACGAAGACTGGAGTCAGAATTTAGGCCTCTTTGATTATTTAAAGTAAATAAATGCCAATTTTAATACTCTAAAGTTTGTTCAGATGTATTTTTGTGGGTTAAAACTTTTTAGATAGTTATTAAACTAGAGATGACATTCGAAGACACTCAACACTATGATTCTCAAATGATACGTTGTTGTTGGAAACGGATATTCGCAGTATCTCTACATTATAGTGTTATTCTAAATAGGGCGTGTCCTGAAAAAAGTTGAGGAAAATTAATATTTTTACACAACCCAACAAATGATTAGACGTTTCACTGTGGGACTGAGTTTGAGGTGTAACTTAATTTGTTATTCCTTAGCTTTTACTTTGTTATTGTTTGTAAGTAAGCTTAAGGCTTTGCTAACAACGAGATTAACTCCGATTCTAGTACGCTTAATGTAAACTTTCTCTCTTTTCGTTAGTTACCAACACTTATCTAGTCAACTATTTAAGTTTCTTTTTGTCAACAAAAGCCAGAAGCAATAAAATGAGAGAGATAAGAAATTGACCCGTGAAGTAAAGAATCCATAGATTGATTGATTTGGTTCATAGCGTGTCTTATAAAATAAATCGATACCATTATCGTTATCGTAACCAATCATAGCTCACATAGCTTGAATTAAAGGGTCATAACCTACTTAAAATGAAGTTTAAGCATTGATTTATTGATTTCTGAACGATTAAAAAATGCTCTTATACGTGAAAACTGTACTCTTTCTAATCAATAAAGAAAGTTAAGTCGACAAAATTTTCCATCCTGGATGCGGGTTGTATCGAAAGACCGCTTTTGATTATGTTTTGACATATTCAAAAAAAATTGGTGAGAATATTTAAAACAATAGCAATTGTTATTATTGAAAGGAAACTCTTTCCAAAGTATATAAAAATACTCCTCAACAAGCACTCACTGAAGCAAGTCAAAACAACCGGCTTGTAGTGTCTTCTAACATCGTTTTGCCCAATCGGAACTTACTTATTAAGTAGTTCAACAGGTTGAACGCTGGGGGTGACGTGAGTTTAATTAAAATCAAACAAAAACTACCGGCAATCGAATTGTTTTCCTGTTACCTATATTTCTCGCTTAAAAGGAAAACTGTTTGTATTATTAATTGGGTTATTGTCTCTTGCTTAAACACAAAACGGGGATATGTAGTCAAAATATGAAAGTTTTTCGATATTTTGGTCCGCTTCTTTTGTTATGTCTCACACGGGAAATACTCCACGTAGCTTGTAAGACGAAGACGCAGAAGAGGTACGATCATGTAAAGCGGTTGAGAAAGGATTCGGTTTCATATTCACAGAGAACAAAGGATGTTTCAGAAAATCATTTCAAACGGAAAAAGATTCCACATGGTAATAATCAAGAAGGTCCCTTTTCTGAGGGCCCACAGAAGGGACAACGAATATTTAAGACGCACTTTACTATTCATAACAAACCCGATTTACACATAATTGGCAAAGCTCGTTATAAATCAACAAAACCGTCTGCTAAGGACAGGGCAAACAGCGCAAGGAGCGACACGACACAAAATCATCTAGCAAATAAAATTTCAAATTTAAAACCGGATAAAAGAACAAAACCTAACGATTCGCATGCGAAGAAAAATGCCAAGAAGAAAACGATGGTTAAGAAATATTCTTTGTTTCAATCCACAAATCCAGTGCAGTCAGACTCAGAATATCAACCAATCATGGGAGGTGGGCAAGATTTTGTAATGGGAAACGATCAACAAGGAGACGTTAGAGATCAAGGATTCTCCCTGGAGGGACAGCAACAACAGGCAATGATAAGTGAGACAAATCCGTTATCACAATATGATACGGGACAGGACGGACAGGGACAGGATGCTGCAGGATATCAACAGGAGAACAACCAGCCATCTACTGCGAACTTTGCGGACAGCAATTATAACGAAGATGCTGGTGAACGGGATGGAGGACAACTTTCAAGTCTTGGCCAAGCGATTCAGTTCCAGCAAGCAGGGTATTCTCAACAACCTCAAGAACAAGAGCAGGACGAGGAGAGCATGAGCCAAGACAGTCAAGGCGGGGAGCTAGCGGGGCAGGGAAGCCAGTTGATGGACGCCGGACAACTACAATATCAAGGCGAACAGGGTGGTCAAGGACAAGATCAAGGTGCTCAGGAACAGGGCGATCAAGAGCAAAACGATCAAGATCAAACTGTTAGTCAAAACGGTTTTGAGCAAGCCAGTTTTCAACAACAAGAGCCGCAGGAGGACGAGCAGCAGCAGCAACCGCAAGGCTTCGAACAGCAACAGCAACCGCAAGGCTTTGAACAGCAACAGCAGCTACAAGATCAAACACAGGAATTTCAACAACAACAAGAGGGGCCACAGCAAATACAAAGTGACGAACAACAAGGTCCAGAAGGAATACCTACGGAGTCACAAGGACTTGCGAGTTCACCGAACTCGTACGAAAGCTTGCTTGGTGCAGACGGCCGACAAACTGGAGATTCAGGGCAACAAGGACAGGGAACAGTCGGTTACGCGAGCGAACAGTCCCTTGGAGGTAGCAATAAGATGGCTCCTCCACCTGGAATTCAATATGCATCTTCAATAGAAGAGGCACTCAAGGAACCATCTGAGCCGACACAACAATCACAGGAATTCAATAGTCAAGAAGGAGACGGCCAAGGAGGTCAGAGTACAAATGATGGAGCTACTTCCATCAATATTGGTCCAGGGACAGAAGCAAAAGAGGGAGGCAATAATGGTTTAATGGGAGTAGGAGGTATAAGTGCCCCAGGTGGGTATCAAACCTCTACTGTCGATGACAATGGCAACCCTATTAATCCTGAGGCTGAGAACGGTATTAATGGGTATGCTTCAATGAACGGCCAAGCCACAAACGGCGAGACGAATCAGTATGAAGAAAATGCACAGCCGCAAAGTTCTCCTTCAGAAAATCAAAATGGGCTCGGCGTTCCTCAAGAGCAATTTCTAGCGCCAGGCGCTGAGCCCAAAGTTCCTCCCCTTGAAGATGACGTTTACAAGATTATCAACATTGCAAACAAAAATGGCCCGACGGCAGGTAAGTATTGTTTAAGTTGTTTTCATTAATGTAAAAAAAAATCATATTCTGAGTGAGAGCTTCTTAAAATAAAGAAACTAAATATATAAGAAGGAAAGGAGAAGGTAGTAATTCTGTTACTCACTTGTATTTGTAAACGAAGGAATGTCACTTTGTTTTCCTCAATTAGGTATCAAGGCTGCTATGTATTTATACCCGTTGTTGAGTCTTTATGTTTACTCGCTCTTTAAAATTTCCAAGAACATAATGTTTTAAAGTAAATTTTCGCTGTTCGCAAACGCTTGGCTATGTAAACTATATCCAGAAGAAAAGAACTATTATTGTAAGTTAAGGGGGACACGGAATAATTGTAAGCGCTATAGTAAACAGTAATTCTGATAAATTAGAAAAAAAACACTAGAAATAATACGAGGAAAGGTAAAGATAAAGGCAAAGGTAATGTTAACCTAAAGTAATTCAGTTATTCATTTACAAAAAGAGTTTTCTGTACTCCCAAAGCAGCAACATTCCGCAAACAAAAAACGCACAAAACAAACAACCATAGTTCAAAGACCAGACCACATTGCAAAAGTAGAGCAATCTGCATTTCAAACTGGAGCATAGTGACAAGCTATGCCATATAGAAGAATTAGGAGCACTATAAATAGATTACAGAAATCTTGCATTGAGTTTTCTTTTGTGCATGTACAGTAAAGGGATGTAAAGGATGCCCTCCCCATGCAAGGTGTATAGACAAGGTCTGCATTATCAATGATGACCAGCCTTTGGCCCATATTCTGTCCGCACTCTCTGGTCCGGCATCAGGTATATGTTTTAAGAGTAAAGAGCCGTTTTAACGGGTCTATAAGGCTGTCCAATATCATCCAACATTGCTGGACGGTGTTGGATCTGTTTGAATAGACCCAGAAACGTTAACCCATTCAACTAATCAAGCAGACCTAAATAGCATCTAACACTGTCCAACAAGGTGCTCAATGGTTATCCAATACAATCCAGCATTGCTGGAAGGTGTTAGATCTATTTGAACAGCCCAGAAGTTTTAGCCCATTAAATTGATTAAACATAACTGAATAGCATCATCCAACACTGTCCAACAATGTTCTCAGTAAGTCGATGATGACATGACTACTGTCACTAAATGAATGGTTTCAGTTGAACACAATTTCATTCAGATGTAAAATATATTGGATTTTTTAACCTAAGATAGCTCTTTTCTCGCGATGCACAAAGTATTTTTTAAATATGACAAGATACAGTACCCAGAGAGTTGACGAGTTTCTGTAACCTATACAGCATCATACATAGGCTAGAGACCGTGTTCTACACTTCAAATCCGCTCTACCCCCACTCTCTAAATTAACGCTGCATTACACTTTTTCCTAACGCTTGTAAATTAAGCCTTTAACATTAACATAAATTAAGCGGGCTGCAGCTTATTTTTCAGTCAACAATTATACAAATGTATGAGAGGTGCGTGAAAGTTGGTTTGCCGATCATTACACCGATCATTTTTTTTATCTGGATTTAAAAAAAAAATGTGTTATAAAGTAGTACTTACAGAAAGACTATCAATAACCTTAAAAAAAAACAGAATAATCCATCTCACTTTTTTCGCGATGTTCCAGATGTAATATATCAACCCCATCCATCAGCCTTTTGATGAAATAATGTTACAAATATTGCAATGAACACCAACGTGGATGGAGGCCATTTTCTCTTGAAAAAATAAGTAACGTTTGGTAATTATTCCCTTTTAGAACACGTTTCTGTTTCAGATGAAGAGTCATCGCCGAATGCATGCAAAGACGAATGCCATTATAACGCTAAATGTATTAACAGAGAGTGCATGTGTAAGGCAGGATACACCGGGGATGGACTGGATTGTCGCCGTAAGTACAGTCAAACCTCTCGTAAGAGGACAATCTTGCGACAAGGAAACGCCGAAGCAGTGGTCCCTTTCGTAAATGGTCACTGCCATTTTTGGGACAAAAAACAGAACAACAGAATGTTTCTATTTTAAAAAAGGAAAAAAATCGCACCCCAGGGTCGAACTCTGATCTTTCGTATAGTAATCTTTCTCCCTTACCACTAGTGTATTACAGTGACACCCAACCGTCAAAATCCCGAAAAAGGTTACTACATAACCTAGCAAACTGTCTTTCTTGACAGTTACATAAATATCAGGTGACCCTAGCCCTTTCCGTAACTTTTAATGTAAATTCAACTTGGGCTTCAAGGTCGTTCTTTCAAAGACTATTCAAAAACGTATTATTTCTCCTATTTTAACTAAATCCGGGGAATATATATTTATCATGACTAAAGGCTCGGTTACCAATGGTGGAATCGACCGTTTAAAATGGCAACGACCGTTCACGAAAGAGAAATAGGCAGTGCCGAAGCGTTAGAAGAAATTGTTAAACAGCTGTTATCTTCAACGGAAAAATGTATTGTTTGTGTGTCGCAGATACCGTGTTCACGTACTGGAGGCATCCACTTGTGTGCATCTCATAAATCTAGACCGTTTTAGCTGATGCCACAAAAAATCCACAAAACGCACAAAAGAAAGAGACTTTGGTATTTTCTTCCTTCGGAAAGGGGTTAACCCTTGCGCTCTGTTGGAATGCTTGGTGGCAAAAGATAGTTTTGGACCTCTAATTTTGAAATTGGTTATAGATTTCAACCTTTTTGTTACGGAATACGATAAGATTTTGTGCTGTCTGGCGCGTCCGTTACAGGGGGAGTTAATTTCAGTCAAACGTCCGTAATTTATTTTTGCCCGGGATTTAGGCGCTGTCCGAATTATCGGGGTGTCCGTTATAGCGGGGTGTCCGTAAGGCGAGAGTTGACTGTAACAGTTTTTTCTATCTGTGTCTTCCACACTCACAGCTGATACATGCCTTCCCGGCTGCAAGCAACACGGAAAATGCATCAAAGGATTTTGTGTATGCGACCATTCCCATTACTTCAATGGCTACGAGTGCGCACGTACGTCAAATTTCAATTTATTTGACGCCTTAAGTCTCGTCTTCCAGGGTTCATCCAGCATTGCTGGACGGTGTTGGATATGTTTTAATAGACCCAGAAAGTTTAACTCATTCAACTGATCAAACTAAACTGGATTGCATGGAATACTGTCCATTAAGGTGCTCAATGGTTGTCCAATATCATCCAGCATTGCTGAAGGGTGTTGGATCTGTTAGAATAGACCCAGAAGATTTAACCCATTTAACTGATCTAACATGATTAAATTATAGCATCCAACACTGTCCAACAAGGTTTTCAATGAGTCGATGATGAGATAACTACTGTCACTAAATGAATGATTTGAGTTGAACAAGATTTTATTCAGGTCAATTTTTAACCTAAGAGAGCTTCTTTCTCGAGTTGCACAAAAGGTACCAGTTCATTTCAGGGATCACGCTATGATACACATCACGTGAGATAAAAATAGGGTGACAAGCTAGATACAGCGTTGTTTCTCTTTCAAATGTATTTGTTCCAAGATGTGACTTAAAAGTAAAAAGATCCACCCACAAAGCAAACGTTTTAACCTTCTGATATTCTTCGTCACATTTTTTTACAGTTTCAAACAAGTACATGTATGACTCATTTACGCTTTGAACGAGCAAAAATTTTGATTTCTTATAAGCATAAAATAATGTTTCCTTTATCATTCTGTTAAATGTTTAATTTTTGTTCCTTCGTTTGTTCGTTTGTTTTCTCTCGTGCTATTTTACCCCCTTTAAGTATGTGTCGTTGAATGAAAACGTAAACAGTTTTAACTGAGGTTTGCATTTTCTTTTTCTCCATTTCAGCATACACGATAACACACAAGAACTGCCCCCTTCAGTGCTCAGCAACATGCCATGCAGGATGTCCACCAAATTGTTGCAAACATCATCCAGCTATGAAGCTTCATAATAATGATGGTAATCCCCAGCAAATGACACCACCACCTAATGGCCTTTCTTCAAAACCAAAAGTCAGCCCCCGTCCAACGGAAGTTGTTCTCAAACCTATTGTTAAAGTAGGCGAAGCTCTAACAAACTTTGCATCAGACTTTCAACACCGTCCAGGCGAGTCCGACGCTGCTGGCCTCGAAGCCGTTACCGTGAATGATCCAACAGGGGGATTTGCAGTTTCAGACACAGACGCAAAACCTCTTCTAGGAGAGGAAGGCTGCCCTGGACAGTGTAAATCTGAGTGCCGGGACACTTGCCCTGTAAGATGCTGCTTGGGAAAGTGTCCTTTCAGCTGTGCGGAAAAATGTGAGCCATCATGTCCAAAACCCTGTTGCTATGTTGATGGAACAAAAAATCAATTCCCAATGATGGATCCCAGGATACAAGAAACCTTTATGAAAACAATGGCAGAGAGATTTTGCCCTCGCGCTTGCAGATCCAAATGTGATGCAAAATGTCCGCCAATTTGCTGTGAACGAAACTCTTCTTCGGCTACCTTAACAGATGCAAACTTCCAGCACCTTAAAAGCGAGAGCAAAAATGGTGCCGATTTCTTCCGAAACGCAATGAGCTGGTTTGGAATGATGAACTTTTTAAATATGATGTACAGTATGTATGGTAATCTCTATAATCCGAAACATAAGCATTCCCCTTGGAAATCAGATGACCATAAATTGAAGACAGCCCATCCTACAAAGTCCAAGAAAGTAGTTCAACAGAACCGTATTACGTTTAAGGACGTCGGCGTTGCTGAAAAACTAAATGATAAAACTCCTCAGTGTCCGGGATACTGCGACAAGACATGTTTGCCTCCCTGTCCACCAAACTGTTGTCATAATAAAGTTAATGAAACGAAGTCATCTCAGGTCACTCCAACGTCAAAATGCCCTCCTTCATGTTCTTGGTTCTGCTCAAACAGCTGTCCAGTGTATTGTTGCTCGAAGGATAAGAAGCCATTGGTACTGGAACATAATGCAACAGAACCAGTTAAGGCAGCAAATCGAGCCTCGGCGGCTCCACCTCAAGCTTCCCCTCCTAAACCACCTTCAGCTTGCACAGCTAGTTGTCCAGCCTACTGCTACCCACACTGCTTAGAAAACTGCTGCCTTAGGGGTGAAATGCCAACCATTAAACCAGCAGCAGCCCATGTTCAAGCCAAACAGTCATACGATAACTTCTTCTCGAAGAAGCCTACGCCCTCGTCAAACCAAGCTTGTCCATCAATTTGTGAAAACAGCTGCGCACCTTCATGTCCAGTGAGATGTTGTGCTGGCATTTTATCGTCGCTACCACCGTCAGCAAAGTCTCCAGCTAAAATTAAGGCACCCCTTTGTCCAGGTGGTTGCCTTTCTGAATGTTTTCCCGCTTGCACTATAAGTTGCTGCACAACGGCCCCCAAGAAACTTAATTCTGACATGCGCGGCCCAACGGAAAATCCCACAAGACGACACGATCAGCCTCATCCAAAAGCTCTATCATTCCCTTTACCACCACCAATTGCACTTTGTCATCCAGGCTGCCCACGTTCGTGTTATCCCAACTGCGACGAAACCTGCTGTAAGGCCTCATCTGACCACGCATCTAGCCTGGAAAGACCAGGTCAAGCGGGTGACTCTACGCAGTTTACGATTAAAGTGCCTTGTCCTATGGAATGTAGGCCGTTTAACTGCCTCTACTACTGTCACCACGATTGCTGCTTAAGAGGGAAGCAACCAATGGACCAAAAACGAAATCGTTATCAAGCGCTTAGGTTAGAGCAAAAAATGAAATACATTAACGGCATGAGAAAGAAAAAGACATTGGACTCCAGATTTAAAAATATGCATGTTCCGTTAGATAAAAGATCTGGAGTTGGAAGTGGAACAAGAGGTTAAATGTCAGGCGTAAAAGCGGAAACGTTATAGGCCAACATTGGCAAATTAACACTGGATCAGAGCAAACTGCTAAGCCAAGGGGACCTTACCGCATTATATCCTCAACGTTAACAGTTTTTTTTAGTGAAATATTTTTTGAGAAGGTATCTATCAGAGCGAAATTACGAGGGATATTCCTTGACGTGATTTTACATATCTTTGGCTTAAGCTCCTCAGAGGAACTAGACTGGTCTCGATCAGCTATGTGAAATAACAACACGATACGCAAATTTAGACAAATAAAGAGGAACAGGTGCGCTCTGTTTCTCTCATAAAAAATCCTTTTAGGAGGAGCTGAGACACTTATAACCACCTGAACGGATGCGAAATGGATCAAACGATTTCATGTAAGATAACGCTCGGAATGGGGATAACTACTAAATACTTACCCCTAAGGATAAGAATAGGATGCGGTTATTTAAAGTACTATGTCGAACTGACACAAAAAAGAAAACATGAAATTAGTTTTCACCTCTAGGCAAATCACATTTATCGCATTCTTTCTTTCTAATAGGGAATCAAAAATCTTGAATATGAAAATTGAAATGTTGCCTACACAAATTTTCCGATTATTACCTAAAGTTAAAGAATACTTTTCATGTGACTTAAAAGAAATTTTAAAAAGGATTGAAATGGGTCCAAACCTGATCCAGAAATTTCCCAGGATCAGTGATAATCAAGTTAAGTAAGAATACGGACGTTATTTGGAACCATTTAAAAACACATGACGACATTTTCCACTTCTAACCATGCAATTTCCTTCACGATCATCAGTTTTACCATTGTTATGAATTATAAGGAGAAAGGTTATCAACAAAACGTTAACTGATATTCATTAGACCTCTGCAACACTTTAAATACAAAAGTAAGAAAGGGAATGTTCAACAAAAAAAAGGGAAAAATAATGAACAAAAGTGCCGTGTTCCGGTTTGAGTTTTTCTTCAAACGTTTCGTGCCTAGGCCTTCATCAGTGGAGTCCAGAGTCTTTGTAACTCCACTGATGAAGGGTCAGGCCCGAAACGTTTGGAGAAAAACTTAAATCAGAACACGGCACTTTTGTTTATTATTTTTCTTTTTTTGTTGTTGAACATTCCCTTACTTACTTTCTAAAGTGCCACGCAGTTTATTGGAATTTTTTTCCGTTATTTGTTTGATCAAACACTTTATACAGTTGGCTTTTATCAGCCAATGCTAATTCTTCATCCTCACATGTACTGGTTATGTACCCTTAAAGTCGATTTTAGGGGGAAAATTAATAAATAAATAGCAACAAAATTCAAATCAAATGGGAGTTCATAGAATAAAATGTGAAACGACAAAACATCATTTGTGCTTATCAGTCATTTATCCGTGACCAGTGACAAACTAAAATATACAACAAAAAAACGACAAAATATTTAGCCTGCGCCGAAGACGAAACTTAACTCTGGTTAAGTCCGTCTGCGAAACAGGGCCGAAATCCTTGCTCTGGTTCCCCACCTGTATACCGGGATTTGATTACGCGCCATGATTGGCCTATTAAAAAGTCATCGATTTGCCAATCAAAGATGAAAAGAAATTCGAAACGCGCTTCCGGTAATTCGTTGAGACCGTTGAGGGCCCAGAACAAGGATATGAGCGCTGCTTTGAATTACGCCTGCGACGCAGACTACAAATTATTTTGACCCGTTGAGGGCTGGCTAACTGGTATCATGCATTGGAAATTTTCACAGTACTACAGTATTAAGGCAACATTTTAGAGTGCTTAATTCTTAGTGAACGATTCCGATACTCATTCGATGCCACTATACATGACTAAAAGCAATCAATAGACCTGGAGAGAACTGAAGTCTCAATACTAATAGAAAAATTACGATAATTCTTATTGCCGGCCACAACGATGTCCGAAAATAGAAACGTCCAAAATTTTTTTAACAACATAAATTAAAATTTCCATTATCCTCTTGGGTGATGCTATGACATATTCAAGGCAGGTATACCTTTAAACGGACAGTCCACACACGAATGTTGCCCTTGTGTGATATAGCTAGCACTGACATAACGCTCATTGCTTGGAAACTAATGGAAGTGGTTCCTCTTTTTCTTTATTTATTTATTCATTTTATGAAAGTCCTCGGTTTTCCAAATTTATGGACCGAAATCTGGTTGAGACAATGTGTAAGATGTAAGCCTGGTGGGATTTGCGATTATTTTCGCGTCAGTATATATATATCTGTGAAACCATGACCAGAGCAGTTAAACGTATCGTTTTCACAGATCTTGCTTCAGCCTATAATTCATATCTTGCAGGCACCGTTCTACTTCAGGTAATAATGTTTTAGCAAAAACCTAAGTTCTCATCCAAAATTTATCTGAAATGACAAAAGAGAAACGTGTTGCAAGCAATGTGTTGTGACTTATCTTCCTTTATTCTTTGTTCTTTTTATCAGACTAGATCATACCAACAAAGAAAGGAAAATAGAACTGAAAACAAAGAACTGAAACGGGACACATATATACACCGTTCCCATGTAGTACATTGAGTCTCAATGTTGATGGGGATTACAAGAACAAAAACTAAACAAAAAATTACAATTTTGACAAGAAAATGGGAGGAACTACCTGGCCACACCTCTAAACCACCTCCTTCATGTAGTCACCCTGAAAAGCCCCTTTGGGGAGGTAACAATAAAGTATGTATGTACATTACGTTATAAAACTTGGAGCAAAATATTTGTAATCATGGAAAATATCATCTAAAAATTTCCCCAAACAACCAACAATGAAGCAACTAAATTGATTCACCTTGTTCTTTTTAGCGTGTCTGTCCTTTTGTATAGCAGTCCATGATACGAACGATGTTTTATTAAAATTTGTTACCATCTCGGAATCTTTAACAAAACGGTTATTGTTTGTAAGAGTAAAAAAACTTAAGTTTTCCATCTAGTGTGTACGATTCTCACTGCGAGATCATTTTTTTTTTTCCAAAAACACTACAGTTTTCGATGTCAGTCATAGATCAGCTTTTCACTGAGAGGTCAATGTTTGCAGTTTTACATTTTAGCAAAATTACAAAGTACTAAACTACTGAAAGTGTACCTAGGAAAACAAAGGCGGACAATTTTGTCTACAATTTAGGTTTCTGGGAAGCTGCCTACCTAACCCTCGCCTAACCCAACATTTTGCCCTAAGTGAGAAGTAAGTGTTAATGTTGACTTAGGGGAGGGGTAGGTAAGCAGTTTCCCAAAACCTAAATTAATCCCAAATTGTTTACCGAATTGGCAAATATTTCAATCAGTCCTAATTTTCACGGGCTCTGGGTATTATGTAAGTTAGTTTTGGTTAGTCTGGCATGATTTGAGCCAAGGTAATAAAAAATAGCAAGACCCTTCCTTAGCAGCGGCTGGCCCTTCGCACTAAAAAGCAACTATTCTCATCTGTGACCACAACTGATTTGCTTCTAACAATGATTTACAATGGTTCTTAGAATATACCATACTTGCTTAAAAAAACGTACGACAAAATTTGGTACACTTCACTCAACTTGACATCTGTGTAACAAATATAACCATCTTACTTTTTTTGGCTAAAGAGAGCCACGATCCGAATTTCTCCTTTCGGATAAAGCTTCCAAACGCAAAGAGCGGGGAACAGAAAACTGGGGAACTAAAAGGATTTTCGCAATTTAAGGTATAATCTATATAAAACTAGATATTGGATATTATATATAATATATTTATTGACTGTTTGAATTGGGCGCAAATGAAATCAAGTTGGATATACAAAAGATTACAACCAACTAAACCGCATAGCAAGTGTGTTCTAAGAGACGTTTCATTTGAAAACTAAACAACTGTTATCAAGTTAAAGCTTTGGTTTAAAAAGCAAAAAGTCAGTAACAACCATTCCCGTTGTCACTTTAAATCGCTGCATTTAGCCATTAAAAAAGCTATTTTTCTAACCTATTTTCCAGGTAACGTTCTGAGAGGGAATAGGTGCTAACCGCCCGCCTTTAAGAACACTGGGATAGCGACAGAAAGTGTATGTCTGGTTTGGTTTGAGCCAGTGGGTTGTGGCCCATTGAAGTGTATACCTAATGCAACACCCGTTTTCTCAAGTTGATAATTTCTTTACAGTTTGTTAAGCAGCAAAGCGACCGTGAAATTGTAACTAAAACAAAAACTTTACAAAATACAGAATTAAGTCGTTTAAGTTGGTCATCTTTGCTCTTCTATATATTATGGCGAACGCCTTTATTTTTTGTCCAACTCATTCTACAAGAATTTTCTCAAGAACAGAATATTTAGTCGGTTAAGCATTTGGATTTTCTTTGTTTTCCTGTTCATTTGAAGAAATTCCAGGAACACTTGAGTTTCTCCGGTCCGCTGACAGTGTTTGCTAAAAACAGCTTGATATTGTTACGCTTTAAGCAAATAACAAATCAACCAGAACACACGCTCGGTTAAATTTGTTTTCAAGAGATAACGAGGTAGTTCGCACCATGGAGTAATTAAATCTCAACGACAAAAATATAGGCCACTTTCTGCGCAAAATCTCCAAACTCCTTTAACCTTAAATATTACGACACTTTGATCCAATTGGTAAAACCCTAAGTTAGTAAACATGACAAAGAACATATAATTCACAACAAATGGGCTTCACCGAACCACAGCAGGTTAAAACGGGTAGCGTCAAAGTTTGTCAAAAAGATTAATATCGACAAACGAGCCAATAAACTTTTTCTCCTTATACTTTTAGATAGAGCTTTTAAAATTTCTCAAGTAAGTGAATATTTTTGAACTTGGTGCTGTGAAAGCTCTAGAACCATAATCTTTTACGTCATCCAAGAAGAATCTGTTGGAAGATGATGTAACCAAAGACTGGTTAATCTATTATTACTGGAAGCTGCGATTTGTAACGAAGTGAAAATCGAGGTCGTCCGATTTCCTTTCTCCGCAAGTAATTTACTGAGTTTTGAGGGATTTTGGTTTGTCACGATGGGTTAAAAGAGGCAAGGAAAGTAATGTGGATTTGGCTATGATCGTCGACAATGTTCATGGGGCTGGCCCGTTTATTCACTGTTATTGTTATTATAATTACCGTTCAACAAGTCGTCGGGCACGATTCTAAACAAAACCATGGAGGAGGAAGAAACGCTACCAAAACACAACACATAGTCTTAAAAAATAACACGGCACGTCAAAACAACAAGTTCCACAAGACTACGACGCAATTTCGCAATAAACCTCTCGACAAAACACGGAAAAGCCGTGGGATTCCATTGTCTGCTTTAGCAGGACTTGACCGAGCCGCTCTCGGATTAAACCCTGTTGTATTACCTTATGGGACAAGGCTTGCTTCCCTCGGCTTCCAACAGACACCTGCTCTACAACAAATTCAACAACTTCGTGGGCTAGTTCCCACAACGGGGGGGTTACTTCAAAATGCTGCAGCGTTAAGACTGCCATACGCTCTACAGCTCGCCAGACTATTACCAGCCTTAAACCTGTATCGCAACCGTTTGCAACTACCCGTTAATGGAGGAGGTGAGATGGCGACGGATGTTCACGTATATAAGTCTCCCAACAGATTAAAATACGATTCTATTCCAATCAAACCGCAAATTGCACAACAAGAGATGGTAGGGAATGGGCTTAATCTCCCAGCCCTGCTCCAGTTAAACAATGCTGCAGATCAAGGAATAAGTGAGCTATCGGACGAGAGTGAAGCCGATTTGGACGAGATAGGTGAGTCTATTTTCCACCACTGTACAACAGTTAATACGTAGATTTAGCCAAGCCTAAAAGCAGAGCTCTCTTTACATTCTAAGTCATTCACTAAAATCAATATACTTTAAAACAGTATGACTTAGTCAATCACTAAGCGTGCCTACCCTTCCAGTCCACACTGAGTCATTGCATTGCCAATTTTAACTGTACAATATTTAACAATTTATTTCTCAAGGGACCTGATAGGAGTCCTTGAGAAAAGAAGTGAAAAAAAAATATTCCCCTTGTGTAGTCATATTTGTGTGTTCCACCGTAAAGTGATACTTAACAGAAGATGACAAAAATAGTTCGTCATATTTGAGTTCCACGAGCAGTTCGTGGATAACATTTTGCGTACCTTTAACCATGTTTTTAAGCGCAAAAAAAGTGACCAAGTCCAGAAGCGCTGATTTGATTGTCTTGAACCCTTAAAATGTAAAGGGAAGTTAGAATCTTGGTAAACCACGCCGTTCAGATTAAGCCTGGTTTTCTTAGATATTGCAACATCCCTTTAGTAAAGAAATGTTGCTGAAACTGAAATAAAAATTCAGCAAAGAGGTAGAAGGAGAAACTGTTTATCATTATTTCGCCGTGAAAATTTAAAGAGAAAAAAAGGCAAATGCCATTACCTCAGTTTTGTTTACGACGCTGAAAATAGTTCCCTCACCAACATTTTCAGTATTCTACTAAAATATTTTTTGAGGTCTATGATTCTGTTATTTTTCTAGTAAGATGGTCAAGAATAAAAATGTTAATGATTATTATAACTATAGCTTTAAGTTTCAAAATATATAAAAAGGGGATAACATTACAAAATCAAAAACGTCTGTAATTTTGCATAGTACAGTCATTTTGTTAAATGACCGGAAAACCGACTTTCAGTAAATAAATCCTTTTAGTTCTGGTTTAAAACTTCAATTTCAACACCAAAAGTCTTCAGAACGTTTTCCTTTGTGGCATTTCCTTATAGATTATGACTTTAAAAACATTAGCATTTCCGAAAAAAGTCTAAAAGTTTCGTACATGTTTGTTGTTGAGTCAGTAATGTGGGCCGATTTTAAACACGTAATTTTGACAGCGAGAATACAGCACCTGTAGATCAAGCCCGCCTTTCGTTTAGGGTGACTGCTTTTAATCATTTACTTGATCTCCGAGAACAAAAGAAAAAAAAACATTTTGAAGGATTACACAAGCGAGAAAAAGAGGACGATTTTTTGAAGAAACTCCTTGTACTGAGTGGATGTGAAGCCACGAACGAACAAAGGCCTGAGTGTATATGTAGCTACAGTATAGTGTCACGGTTTAAGCACTATAAAAGATGATTACTGCATATAATAAATTTTATGAAGGAAAAGCAGTTTACTAGCACTGCAGGTTTCGTTTACGCTGTTCAAATAATGATTCAGTGAAGTAAACAGTTCTGTAACAGATATGTCAGAGGGACAACCCAGTCACACTGTCCGATTACTCTTGGTTTCAAGGCGGAAAGATGGATCACTAAGAATCTATCATTACAAAGTTTGCTTTACATCCTATTGCCAGATAAAACTCTCCTGTTGTTTATTGCTGATCACGAGGTGTTCTTTGCCTAAGCCGGAATAAAAACGCCTTTAAGCAACCATATTTTCCGTCCATAACACGTGACAGTGATTAAACTGATAAACTTGAAGTTGACAGCGCGCTCATTTTACCCCCTCACCCCCCCCTCTCTCCATCAATGCTCTCTTTTAAAGGTATTTAAAGCTACGCAAAAGAGAGAAGTTGAAGTAAGAATGTGATGTCACTGGGTATCAAACTTTTGACCTCGCACACCGAAAGCTACGCGCTAGCAACTGTGCCATTCTTGTTCCTAAGGATTGCGCATTAGCTATATGGCTTGATTATAACACGTAAATCATACCTTACCAGCCGCGTCGGTGCCGGCCTTTGGCGTCGGTGTCTCGGTGCAACCTCAAGGAAAAATACGTCGTCATTTGTTTCACGTTGCCGAAGGGATCTCAACTCTTTCCATTGGCTGTAATTGAACAAAATAAAAGTGGTTAAACATGAATAACAAACCTTTTCACAAGTTCTTTATCATCAAGAAGCTACTGAAACAAAAGACACTAACGAATAGCTAGTGACCATGACAAAGTGGCTAACCAGTTTAAATAAATAGTATTCTATGCCAAATCGCGCATTCTGATAGGCTCTTTTACTCGCTGTCAAAAACATTACTGATATACGGGTTGGACGGAGCAACTGCGACTTCAAGCTAATTAAAGCATACTGTCCATCAGGCTTATACAGCCAACTCCCTCTAAGACGGACACCTTTGGGACCGGCACTAGCGGTCCGTCTTAGAGAGATGTCCGTCTTAGAGAAAGTCAAATAGAGGGAGCAAAGAAAGGCAGGGACCAACCCTAGGTGTCCGTTTTACAGAGGTGTCCGTCTTATAGAGAGTCAAATAAAGGGAGTAAAGAAAGGCAGGGACCAACTCTAGATGTCCGTTTAACAGAGGTGTCCGTCTTATAGAGGTGTCCGTTAAGAGAGAGTCGACTGAATTTGCCAAATATAACAAATACAATGTTATGAACATTTCACGACCTCTAAACATGAAATCCAGAAAACAGATAGGAGGCACTGTTCATCAGATAATTTAGTTCATCAAAGAACAGGGATGGGGCCTGAACCTACCATCCATATACGGAACATTATGATGGTCAAGTGATTTAAAATAATAAAGTGACGGATAGTTGAATCAAAAATATAATTTTGCTGGGAGTTTAGTTGATTGCTATCGGCATAGATGGTACCTGCCGAGAGAAACCATTTGTTCATCATTTCAAGTTGGGGGGTAAATACCAGTAGTTTTCGCAATACCAGGAAAAAACAGATTACGAATAACTGGAAGTAAAAGGTGCTAATTACTTCCTAAATACTCTGATGAAACGCTTACACTGGTCTCTGTCTCGTCTTTTTCTCGCTATAGAACTCTATAAAACCCAGGTGCAGTGTATTAACCTTAGTATCAAATTCCTAACACCTGGTAAATTAACATCCACAGTGCATAACTCAGTCTCAGCGATTCAATGGTTCTGTTACAAAGCGCGTTTACTGACTCGTTTAAAAAGCAGATTCCTATCGGTTTTTCAACTAGTTTATCATTTCTCTTTGGAAACACGCACTTGAAAAAGAAGTAGCCAAGTGCTGAGGTATGCAGATTTTGAACAAAGTGGTCTGATTTAGACTAGGGAAAGCGAATTATCCGTCCGTCACTCCACATGTCTTGTATATAACCTTAACACAGATGATCACGGATGATGAGGTCAAGTGTACAAAGATGCAGAGTTAATAAGTGAAGTCTGAATCATGAGCGTTCTCGAATTCAGATCTCAAAGTGGAAAACTTCCTATCTTGGATAGTTTAACGAACGAGCCAAAGATGGCGCTCACCTCTTTCTGTCGAAGATTTTTTCGATTTAGGCCTTTTCTTTACTAACGCTAAGTATTTTCACCTCGTTTTTTCTCTTTTTCCTACTTACTCTCACGCAAATAAAAACACATTTAGCCTCGTTTTCAAAGTGAGAACTTTTGGAATTTGAAATAGCCTATCGCCAAAATTCTCTAACTTGTCCAACAGAGGTATGCGTTAGCGAAATAAAGCGTTTTTCGAGGCTACATTTAATACGTTGATATTCCTTTAAATTCAATTTTAGGTGGCGTTTGCGTACCTAACCCTTGTCATAACAGAGGATCTTGCGTTAACCTGGGAGAGACTTTTGAATGTATTTGTAAAAAAGGTTACACTGGAAAGAAATGCAAAGGTTAGTAACCATAATCACTTGACATCTTTTCTGCTTGATAGTGTCCAATTCACAAGGAGGTCATAAAACAATAACTATGCGGAAATTTCATAATCAAATCCAATCTACCATTCATTGAACGACTTTATTAAACCCCTTTAATTTTTAAACCAAAGCCAAAAGTAACAAGGCTATCTTTTTTTAATTTTCTAAGAGTTTATCGTCTAAGAATATAGTTTGTTCATCATGCATCGCGTAGAATCTGGCATTCTTCTTAGTTTTGAGAGTTCCAAAAAGTTAATGCTCTAAAAGAAAAAATACATTTGAGCATAATATTGGAGTAGACCGACAGATATTTGAAACCAATTGACAACCTAGCTAGATTATCCTTTCACACTAGCAGTATCTATTTTTTGCAATTTCATTAGTAGATCTCTCCTTTACGTATTAAAACTCATTTACGCTTTGAAAATTATGGAGGCAATAACGATACCAAAACAAAAAGGCAAAAAAAAAAAAACTCCAGCCAAAATAATAATTTTGAAAAAAAAAAAATTAAAAACCTGAAATAATTTTGAGCGACGTCTGATCTATCATTATCATTCCTGTTTTTTTTTAGCGCTTTGACTACAAGACAGCCATCAGTCGTTATTCTCTCCAATAAATAAGAATTATCATGTTTCCTTTTAATCTACAAAATCCAATTTGCGCCTTGTAAGTCATCCCTTCTGAAATCCGTTGTACTGTAGTTGGATGCGACTTTACAAATTTATAGTAATGTTTTTGCAATGATTTTATGATAGAGGGTCCTTCACGCAATTTTGTTTCAATTAGGAAACTATTAGTGGATTCGGCTTTTTTACGTGTTTTCTTGGCAGCTAAAAAAGAAAATGAAATTTGTTGGGAAAAAAAAAGTTCACAAGTTTTTTTATTCCAAGGACGAAAAGGTCGACTGGGAATTGGATAGAAAGTCGAGAAAAATAGTTAGACGGTCTCCCGGCCTATCATCGCCACTTCATGAATAGGATACCTGTTTGAGACTTCCCTTGGCGGGATTCAGTTTTATAAAAAGCGGGTTACTGAACCATCGTTCCTTGTTCATGATGTAATCAGAGAAAATCAGTGGGCAAGCATGTGGGATGGCCAAAGCTTAGCAATCCGTATCCGCAAACTTTACCAAGCTTATCGAACAACTGCATGGTTCATGGGTCTTTCCTGTTGTGTTGACTGAGAACTTATGTAGCGAATTCAATGTTTTCGGTCAGGGGCGTTCTTTTGCTTACCAACGTATTGTTTGTAGCCGCTGAAGTATCTTTAATGTTTTCTTCTTCTAATGATGGTCATTCAGAGCGAAACCCGTGCTTGCCCAACCCATGCAACAACGACGGACAATGCACAGTCTCTGGATCAAGCTATGATTGCTCTTGCACCGCTGGTTGGAAAGGTGTACGATGTGAAGGTAGGCGCTAACCGATAAAATGTCTATAAAATGTCGATTTTTTAAATTACAAAAAACAACTTAGTCTTAGTCCGGATCGCAGAAATAACGGCCTAATTCTCACTACGTACGCTGAACTGACGACCACGAAATGTGATCCGGGTCATTGTTTAAAGAATGCAGCGGTCGTTGTGCTACATGATAAAGTTTGGGAACAAAGGTTTTTTTTATGCGTTTTTTTTTTTTTAATGTATTTTCTCGCATGCAAGATTAAGGTTATCTTGGTGGTTTACGGTCTTTAGGGTCATGAGTTCTAAGTTGAAACAAGGTAACCACATTAACCGAAAGCCAGAAAAAATGATGGGTCAACGACCCCTACGAAATGTTTGGGAAAAATTTTATTACCATAAAATGTGTTCTTCTGGCACTAGATATGAAAACCGCTTGTAACTTTTGTTCCTAGGGGAACCCGACTTAGTGAAACGGGTTAATTTCTTAAACAGTCAATATTTAATTGACTGAAACTTTCTCAAACGGAAAATATTTTAACGCTTATAAAGCTCAAACGTCTCCCAACAATGAATCATAATTTGAATTTAAACTTTGGAATGTCAAAATATTTGCACTGCATATAGTGTTTATTGAAGCTTTTCTCTAGTTAAATTAATGGAGTATATTGATACTGTAATTATCGGCCTAGATAAAGTCTTTTTCTTTCTGCGCTATTTTCAGCCGTGGTCGCTAAGAAGTATGTCTTAAGCACTGATCCAAATGCCAATCACTAGAAAATTCATCCATGCAGAGAATGGAAACAAACTGAGCACCGACCTTTGATTCGGTTTCAAATCGGAACCAAAAATGCCTCGTTGTAACTTGCGATCAAGTTCTTGGGTAAAAAGCGAAAGCGAAAAACGTGATCACTAACCTATCAGATATTTATTTTGGAGCAGGAAAAAAATTCATGCAGGCCATAAGATTTAATAGGGCCCCAACTGAATCACAGACTTGATGTGTACGAACTTTGAGCCTAATATCACTAAACATTCTCTAAACGATTTTTACACTCAGAGCCAAACAAATGTCACCCCAATCCTTGCAAAAACGGAGGCCTGTGTACAGAATTGGAGTTTGATTATGAATGCACATGTCCACATGGATTTCGAGGCAAAAGTTGTGAAGGTGAGTCCGGTTCATTCTCATTTTTAAACACGCTTTGGTAGCCGCATTCTAGAATTATCGTTGTTTTCATCAAGTTTGCTGCACTTTGCAGTCAATATAACTAACTAAAGTAAGTTGAGTTTGATCGTCCGGGTGAACGTAGTCCTGAATAGGACTGTTGTTGTTGACAGTGACTGACGTTTCGACAACCTGTGCGGTAGTCATCTTCAGAGTCAAAGTGAGTTGTATCACGTCAGTTCATGGTATTATACTCTGGTTATTGATCTGGTTTTTGATCTGATGGTATTATACTCTGGTTACTGATCAGATCAATAACCAGAGTATAATACCATCACCTGACGTGATAAAACTCAGTTTGACTCTGACGATGACTACGAAAAAGGTTGTCGAAAGGTCAGTCACTGTCAACAACAACAGGACTATTCAGGACTACGTTCACCCGGACGATCAAACTCAACCTACTTTTGATATGACTCCTGGGTTCAAACCTTTCACAGTATAACTAAGGCTTTGTTCACTTTCTACTAGATAGCTTTTGCGCCGGCATGAAAACTACACCGAAGAGGGCTTCTGTACACAAATAAAAACGTTGATTTCCGTCGGCGCGATTTTTGTAACGGAGCGAAGCGGCACTGGAGAGTCACAAATCGGATAAGTGTTCATAATAATATACCGCATAGATTTTCGTGTTGGCATGAAAAGCTCTTTGGTATAACGTGAACATAGGCTAATAGGTACCGAGTATAATAAACGGAAGTGAATGCAGTGCGGTACGTTACATTAAATGAGTATTTCAGAAACAGATTACGTCTTGCTGCGGATTATTTCATTCCGCATGCTTGTATTAATAAATAAAATAAATAATGATTTGGAGGTAGCACATCTACAAAGTGTTTCTTCGTCTACCTGATTCCTGGTCGAATTGGAATTTGAAAATGTTGGTTTTTGAGGAGATGGGAAAACCGGAGTACCCGGAGAAAAACCTCTCGGAGCAAAGGAGAGAACCAACAACAAACTACGGTCTTGGATTCTGGATTCCATCACGTGGATTCCGGATTACTTGCCAGTGGAACTTGGATTCCGGATTCCTTGAGCTGAATTCCGGATTCCAAAGTCCAAGAGTCCAAATTCCAGAAGCAAAAACTTCCCGGATTCCAGAATTTGGATTACCTTACATGTCAGTTATTTAATACATCCCTGCTTTGTTGATAACGGCAAGATTTGCTGGTTTACGGTCAAGTCGCACGAAAGCAGAGTTATGTCGCCCGAAATTATTAGTCAAGTCGCCCGAAATGCTGAGTTATGTGGCTCGAAATTTTATCATGCTCAGCAATATCCTAGCATCCCTATTACCATTTGCCGCGCTTGTTTCGCCTGATCAAAGATTATAGAACGACATAATTATATTACTCATTTATCGCACTTGTTTTGTTGTTAATCAAGGTTTAAAGAGCGAGATATATTACCTTATTATAGGAAATTAACGCTCCATCAAATTAAGGTATTGGAAATTAATGCGACTTAAATTAACGCGAATTTAATAGAAAACGACTTTCGAATAAAGAAAATTAACGCGAAAGAGGAGGTACAATTTCATAATAATGGAAATTAACGCGATTAAGACACGGTTGGTGGCCGAAATCAAAGGAGAAGATATTGACATCACTTTTAACAGCGACAACGATGAAGATGAACTCGAAATATTGTAACCCTTCCCCTTAGCTTTAGTGAAAGATGAAAAATAAACGGTAAATGGAAAGAAAGAAAGCTTGTAGTTAGTTTCTTAGGTGTTAAGAATGTCTGGACAGGTTCCAAAACCGGGGTTAAAATACTGGAAATTAAGAGCGCGGAAATTAACGCTACACTTAGTTAACGTCGCGGAAATTAACGCTCAACAAAATTAACGCGACTTAAATTAACGCGAATTTTAACGATTCGCGTTAATTTCATGGAGCGTTAATTTCCTATAATAAGGTACACATTTATACCACTTGTTTCGTCACATCATAGCTTCAAGAACGAGGCATGTTACACATTCATTCCGCTTGTTTCGTCTATTATTCTCTTCCTGGTAGTTTTTAAGACCCATGTGTTAAATTACTCACTAGGCCAACATGTACTGTGGGTTTGACTCCTTCCCACTCTATTCTCATGTGGAAAATTTTGGTTGATAATGCCAAAGCCATTTTTTCCCTTTTGGTAGAGTGTGGAAGAGGGGGGATTTCACACTCATTTTTGAAAGCCTTTAAAAACGCATTTGGCCCAAAAAGACAGCCTACACAAGACACTTACAGTGAATTTGAATAGTATGTACACTGTTTAAACCTCAAGACCCCGAAAAATCATACCCTGTTCAGCTGCTTTTTCCACCTAACCCAAATAAAGGAGTGGAGCAAACCAAGGAATGAAGCATTCAGTATGCTAATAATGTAATACTGTACTATCTCTACTAAATCTGATGATTTGATTTTATGCAGAAAAGCGAGAGGGATGTTCCCCTAATCCATGTCTTAATGATGGTCGGTGCATTGAAACATCATCCGGGAGTTTTGATTGCATATGCAAACCAGGATTCTCTGGAGCAATATGCTCAGGTAATATTTTTAACACCACTGATTCGTGTTGTCCATATGAGTCCACTAAAGTTTGTAAGTGCATGAGATAATCTATGTATGATAAGGGTGCAAAGAGAGTCAGTTTTACAGCTTGCCATTTGGACAAGCTGTAGCTAGCATGTACAAGCCCAATAGTCATCTTAACTAGCCTAAAAAACATTTGTTGATGACCAGGATTAATTAGAGTTCTTCTATAATTTAAATTCCCCCCAAAACTATCACTTGTTCGCTGGGCAATTAAGAAAGAGAATTCAATAACCCAAGCAAAATCCACTAGCCCCAGGCTATCAGACATGCCTTTCTTTGCATTCTGGTCATTAAAAAAGGTTTCAGTCGTCACATGGATGATCTATTATCATTAATCTAAACAGTCTCGAAAAAGAATAAGTTCCTAAACAGATCATTATCCTTGTGGAGATAGCTTTAAATGTGTATATTTGTATGGGGTATACAAAAATTGACGGCCTGAAGTAGAGATTTCTGTCAGCAGATGTTAAAAGGTCTCAATGAGAGGCAGTCGAGTCCCGATACAACAATCAAATCTGATAATAGTCAGATTTGAGTTTACATATTATTCTTAGTATAAATCTGCTAGTATCTCAATTATATTAGAAGGGACCTCTGATGTAGATTTAGGTATTAGAAGTGCTGTAAGGTCAAAACTTGACCATGCTTATAAAATCACTTATTTGAAATGCACTCTTAACCTGAACACAAATTCTTAAAACGAAGCATCTTCGTTCAATAGAAACTAAGAAAATGAAGGCCAAAGTTGGTATCTATGAGGACTATTTTGGAAATGTTAATAATCACAGTGCCAAAATCCGACATGGTACTTTCCATTGTTGACAGACATGTTGCAATTTTCACAATCCGACACACAATATCACTTTATGAGTTTCAAGTAAGCTAGAGCAGATTATAGCAAAATTTGCTTACATTCCTCTTCCCCAAATAAGTATGATTGTTTTGATCTTTCTTAAACATTTCTATGGCTGACAAAAAAACCCTCTAAATTTCCGGCAATAAGGGAACATTTTGGAATTTTGGTGACCACCTAAAGTTACAGGGTATTGCAAAAAAATTCCACCTCTATATGTCAAGGTAAATTAATTTAAAGGTAAATTACCAATCTAAGCATAATTCAGTTCCAATTTATTTTTTATTCCTGGAAAGCCAGAAATACGCAATTCTTGATCTTTTGAGCCTACGATATAAATCGGAAGTCACACCCTAGCTGTGAAAATTGGCACCTCAGATATCAATTTTCTGAAAGCTCAGGTCTTGCTTCATAGCTTTGTGTAATTTTTGTTTTGGGAAATTCTTCATTATTTGAGAAATTAAGTTTTGAAATGAATGGGTTTATAACAGATCTCTTACCTTAATAATAATTTGGTGGCAAAAACCAGCTTCTCTTCTTACTCTTCATAACCTGAATCAAGAGGGAATAGTGAGACATTGACCAGGATATGTGAATTTCAAATAAGTTATTTTTAGAGGCTGTAATGAAACGGGAGTCTCATTCCTGAGACATCGGCACATTTAAGTCGCTTGATTGAAATGCCGTCAAGTCCACATCCAACTGCCTCAGAGTAAACAACACAGAGTACTGTAATGGCTACTATTGAATTCTCTCTTGACAACACTGAATAAAAGTTTGCAGACCTCCCTGGTAATCAACTTCAGATAAATTTCAAGCATTTAATTGGTCTAAAAATAACTTTGGTGAAATTCACGTATCCTAGGGGTTGGACTGGGCATTTCCCTCTTGCCTGAATATAGCAATTAGTGTCCATTTCACAACTGACACAACGCCGGTTACAAATTGGTATCAAACAGCCATCCTAATAAACAGTAAACCACTTTAGCTTGCATGTTTCTTTGTTTTTGTTTTGTTTATTTTTTTTTGCAACGACATTATTAATACCCTCACAGCTAGCGGACTGTTTCTTCCAAATTTTGTTTTATTCGCGTGCATTTCTACGCATAATTTATGAGCTAAAGAGGTCTATTTAATGCAAACTGTAGTAAAAAAAATCATCATAAAACTGGAGAAGTCATGGAAAGACATTTATGTTCAAATGAATAGAATTAAATCAACGGCTGAAAGCAATCCTTAAGAACGCTTTTAACTAAGAAACACCAAACAGTCCACTGACAAAGGACGACTGTTTGCCAGTAACAGGACAATTCTACTAATAGCACGCCCTTACCAATTTTAGTGTCTCCGTCACCAATTGACCTTTCATGGAGCAACTTCTCATCTTCCGTAAGGATTTTTACCTGTAAAAAAGCGTCTTTATGAAAAGGAACTTCCGTTTGTAAGACGCTTGAAATTAGCCTCAAATGCAGGCGTATTTTTTGGGCGAGCGCGAGAGTTGCGTGTTCAGCGTGTTCCGTGGACGCCATCTTTGATCTTCTCATTGAGGGAGATTGGGGAGAGTAGAAATTACAACTCTTCGGGTAGGCATTGGGAAGAAAGAAGGAGGTGTGGGAGGGGGGGAGGCGAAAATATTTAACCCGCGGAAGTGTCTGCAGTGCAGGTTACGTTGAATCCACAATCCATGAGCAAAACTATAGGGTATCAACGCTTGTTATTAGCTTTTTTTTTTCATTTAGAATGAATTTTGTTTTAAAAACACAAATGCGTCAGTAAACAGTATTGGACAAATGCAATACCCCGGGGGAAAAGCCCTGGGAACAAGGTTGAAGGGTACGGTACGTTTTTTGAAGCCGTTCAAAACTCGCGGCACGTGTTTTATCATAAAGCACTTAATGGCTGTTTGTGTACGTGTGAAACGTAACACAGAGTGTTAAAAAATGAACAATGAATTAATAAAGTTTGTTTCTGTATCTTTCTCGCCACCAAATAAAAATAACCACAAAATACCAGGTAGTTCCTTGTCGGGCTAGCAGCCCACCGAGGGGATAGCTACAGTTATTTGCGACGAGGGGAGAGTTAGAACTAACGTTTTTACACGTACATTTATGTCTTCTTTAGTGATGCAGAACAAGTGCTTGCAAAACCCCTGTCAAAATGGCGGAACGTGTACCGAATCATCGGCCGGGGGAGGATTTGAGTGTAGATGTTCAATAGGATACAAAGGAATGAACTGCGAAGGTGAGACAAATATTTGTTCGAAATAAAGGCAAGGTTGATGGCCCTAGGTATACCCCGGGGATCGCCAATATTTTAACTCACACGGTGGTCAATTCATCCGCCACCCCTGGTCAAATAAAGTTATAGACCATTCGCACTCCCGGTAAATGAGCCTCTTCCAGGTATTCAGAATGGCGAAACTGACTGGTGACGTAGACAAATTTTAATACAGAATACCAGTTGTAATAGAAAGACTCAGGTCATCTCAGGGGCGGGGGGTGCGTACCCCTGCACCCTCCCCCTAGATCCACCCCTGAAATATTGGAGTGCAGCGCGAAGTCAGAGACCAGGAAAAAAGTAAGGAGGGTGATGAGAGGAAGAGAGGAAGAAGGAGACAGGAGGAAATCTTCACTCTCAACCCGCTCGCTGTTTTTTCTGCTCACATCTTTATGCACCATCACAAGAATCTGAACGCCTGAATCGGTCACGCTGGAACTGCGGGTCAAACCTGTGTACAACGGTCATCCTTGGGAAATGGCAAGGTGACCGTTATATACAGGGTGACCGATATATACAGATCAACTTTGAAGAAAATATATGGCAACTAAAAATGTTGGGAAGTTGTCCGGTGACCGCTATGTCAGGTAGGGTCGTTATATACAGGTTTGACAGTAAATGAAAATAATCATTTTCAGTGCCTAAAACCACACACAAAGTAATAAACCGACTTAGTGAGCCTGTCCCCTTTTTCGGAGAATATAACTATTTTGGTTGGTTGTTGCTCATCTCAAGATTTCCTCAACAGAGAGAAGCCCTTGCCAAACGGATACCTGTCAAAATGGAGGAACTTGTTTTGAAACAGAAAGTGGTTTCAAGTGTCTCTGTCAAGTGGGGTATGGAGGAAAGACATGTTCAGGTAACATTCAATTTCGCGCTTTATTTGACGCAGTATATTAATAATAAGCTGGAACGAAAAAATAACTCACCTTCCCTACTGGTTATACCGTCTCTGAATCTTATCTTGACAGATACGAAACAAACGAATTCTGTTTCACTTCGAATACCACTATTCTGGTGTTGCGGCAGGGGTGAAGTTTACAGCCAAAATCGTCTACATTTTTTAAATAAATAAGCTCAGTCAGGACCAAGCTTCTAGCGTTTAACTAAGAATAATTCGAAGAAGATGATAAACGAGTCGCGTGCTTCTCTAACTTCTCTTGGTATACCAGGAAGTAACTGTCGATATGCTCAAGTTGAGGATACGGCAATCTCGAAGCCGCGGTCATATCCCTCTTCCAACCCAACGTTAATTGTTAATTCTTCTTAAAACAAAATTTCGGTTTAGGGGGGAGGTTTGAGTAGACAATGATGCCCTTTTTTCAACGATTTCAGTTCGTCACAGCTGCCAACCGAACGTTTGTAAGAATGGCGCGAAGTGCATTGAGCATGACAGTGGATTTAAGTGCATCTGTCCACCGGGGTACAAAGGATCTTACTGTGATGGTAAGGAATAAGTATCATGTATGTTGTCCCTCACTACAATTAATCACACTCCCAGGTTCATAATGATGAATCAATCTAACTTGCATAAAATGTGTAGACAGACCTTTTTTTCTCTCAGATTAAAAATAGGATTTAAGACAATGTTCTTCAGATTAGGCTTTATAAGTAGTGTCAGCAAAGCAAACAAACTTGACCAGAACACTCCATCTGCTTAAAAGTTTTCGTGGTTTATTGTTTCACCTTCAGAAGTTGACCATTGTCGGCCTAATCCATGCCAACACGGAGGAGATTGTGTGGAGACTGAAAATGGATACAAGTGTCACTGCCAGGCACAGTATCAAGGAACACGTTGTGAAGGTAGCTGGGTACTTTATGTCTTTAAACGATGCTGCATTAATTCACATTTGGCGGTCTGCTACGCCTTTGAAACTCCTTAAGGGGCTTAATTCTAATCTTGATTCTAATGGTCCCAAACATAGCCTTATTTAATTTGGTTTTGAGCAATCGCGCGCTAAACGTTTATCCTTCTAAAACGTCCTTTCCAGATTTGAACATGTGCATTCCAAACCCGTGTAAAAACGGAGGACAGTGCTTGGGATATGCGGGTGGCTACAAGTGTCTTTGCCCTGCTGGATATAAAGGAAACAACTGTGATGGTAAGTTCCTGTATTACCCTTCATATGGTTTATGGAGGCTTCTTTGTTTATTGAGAGAATATAAGCATTTTTTTATCATTTTTGAAATATATTCACCAGGGGGAACAGGATAATAAGAGTTTATTGGGGTTCAGTTGAACTTGTCATTCATTAATTTCTCTAAACCTTTAGGCTTTGAACTATTATCAAAATATTGAAAAATAGGTTATCGACCAAAAAACGTAACGTAACGTAAGAACCAACAGGTGGTGATACTGTGTTAGAATACAGGTAGTCAGGTACCCGTTTCTCGACCTCTCTTTTTTCGATTACTTTAGAGACAAAACATAGATTAACTTCTCAGCACCAATTCCCGAATCAATCGAATATCGCAACACTGAAATGTTTCCATAAAAATATAAAAATAACAGGAGCATATTTCAAATGAGGTTTTTTGAGGAGGTCATTTAATAAAACATGCAAAAGACCACCCTTAGCAGAGACGCAAACGCTGCCTTGAAAAGAAAAAAAAAAAGTCTCTTAGATCCTTTATAATTAAGGTAGTTCAGCTTGAATAGACACAATTAAAGACATCAGCCTGATTAGCGGTGCTGAAAAGTTTTAGTTAAATTTTACCTCTCTCAGTAGGACTGAATCTGCAGCGTTTCTTTTTTTCGGTGCGCTTCTTGTTTGTGTTTAGTAAAACAAGAGACACAGCCACACGAAAGCTAAACCGAGGTCAAACGAATCGAAAAAAGGAAGGCGGGCAGAGGAAAAGACGACAGACAGAAAAACTTGTTCTCTCTGCCTTCTTTCGCTAGCCCCCTCCTTTATCGTTTTCTCTTTTGACCTCTTACTTTAAGAGACAAGAACAAAAAACGCACCATAAAAACCCCGTCTGCTACATGGCTATAATTAAGAGATCTTGATTTCACTTCAATTAACTAAGGATTTTGGTTACTCTGAAGTAATGAAGCAAATAGGACTGGTTCACACTAAGAAAATCCATCGTTGTTTTTAGATAAGAACCCGTGTGACCCTAATCCTTGTCACAATGGAGCACCCTGTCTTCAAGTCGGTGACAACTTCAAATGTTCTTGTAGAAGAGGATACACAGGAGATCAATGCAAAAGTAAGATAAAAATTAATAGTTCGTTGTTGAGTAACTTACATTGCTAATTATTAGGTATTTTTTTTACAGTTAATACACTCCTTTAGTGGACTAAACAATTACACGGATATTACAACAGTTAGCCTGAAATTCCTCATGAAGATCTGCGCAAGCAAACTCACACACCTCATGAGGAACTCTGTCCTTTCATTTTCAAACTTCTAATGGCATAAAATAGATCTGTGCAAGTCTTCCATGGACATTCTGAGGCAAGGTTATCCAGGGCCGCTTGGCGCTCAGCCAGGATTAATTACCATGGCAACACATATGCATAATCCAGACCCAGTTGCTTTTAGTCAACTTTACACCAGGATTAGCCATGTTCAAATTAATAATTTCTCTCTAGAAATATGTAAAAGAAAACCTGTTCAGCCTCACTAAAGACAGTTACGTTAAATGAAAATAACAGTTTAAACAGTCTAAAAGAAAGGCCCGGCGGTGCGTTACACATTCCGGTAAAGCCTGTATTCGAGCAACTTAGTCCAGATTCATGAAACAAGTTTTTATTTTCAGTGGTTGACAGCTGTTTATCAAACCCATGTCAACACGGCGGAACCTGTAGAGCAGAAGAAGGAGGATTTGTTTGCTCTTGCCCAGCTAAGTACAGGGGAATTATCTGCAACGGTAAATATACAAATTTCATTGTATGAGATTACCCATAAGATAGCAATATGAAATTTTGCAGGTTTTACTTTATTTCCTTATAAAGAAGACACAATTCAAAAGAGGAGATTATCATACCTCTTTTCTCGTTTAATATAGGAATTCTCTACTGCCTTTGGCTAACACTCGAGGGCCAAGAGCCTTTCCAATCCATTCACAGTTTGTGTTTGTTACGGCCTTCAGTCACTCCTTTCCTTTAGAAAGACTTTCTTGAATAATTCTAGCTCTATATTGCTGATAGAAATTCTCTTTATTCTACTAAGGCTTAGTAATATTATAATGATTTATTGTTTTCTTCTGGCTTTCTGATCTTCCTTTTTCTCTTGCCTCGCTTCAGAGAGAGAGCCCTGTCATCCAAACCCATGCCGAAACGGAGGGAAATGTCTTTCAACTTCCGAAGGATTTGTTTGCAGATGTGCCACAGGTTATCGCGGAGAGACGTGCACAGGTTTGCCACTTCTCATTCAGTTCTTATAAAGGGGCTATTGAAATATTTTTAACGTCCCTTTTTGTCTCTATCTTACTGGGACTTAGATGTACTTAAAAACAATGTAGACAGTGGAGTTTTCATTCTGGTGTACATGCTCTAACGGACATTGCTTAATCATTGCTAGCTACAAACCTAGGCCGGCGATACGAAGTAAAATGAAAAGCAAAAGTGAAAGTTAAAAAGGTGTATCGATTGTCTGACTTTACAAGAATTAGAATCCAGCTGTTATTAAAATGAAGATGACAGAGATTTCCAAGGAGAAGAAAAGATTGTCTTTTAGAATAAACAAAAGGAATACAATGTCTTTGACGTGTTATTACGTCACTGATGCCCCCGGATGTAATGTACATGTCCGTTAAGGCCTGCGTGCTCAGAGTTGGATCTATTGTGAATATATACAGCCTGTGTACAGACGAAGGGGCTTCTGTATACAGGCTATGCCTAAAGTAAGATTAGTAGAACCTTTATCTTAATTGTCGCGTTTTTCTGATATAAGTACAGTTATTGATGCATGTGTACATTAGTAACATGGCTATGCACAGCTGAAATTTGACTAACTGTCGTAAGGACAAAAATTAAACAAAAAATCAATATCTCCTGATTAATTTTGTACAATGACATTAAAACTCTAGTTTCTACTCTTTTGCGAACAGAGGAAGATGAATGTGAACCAAACCCTTGTCAGAACGGAGGTCGTTGTGTGGCTCATTACTTTGGTGGAGGATTTGATTGTGAATGTCCATTGGGATTCAGAGGAACCACCTGTCTGGGTAGGTGTTCTAAAAAAATAACTCTTTCATTCCCAATCGCAAAAATGGCCATAGTCAACATTTAACAAAATTTCCAAATCTTATTTTGTAAAATGCTGAAAAACAAACAGAACCATGTGAAAGTACTACCATAAAGGTTTCATTTAAATGGTCTCACAATAGTTTTCATCCACAGACTCAAAAGTTAGAACCACCAATTCAGGATTGAGTTCTGTAAAGAAATATGTCTAAGGCTAAACAAGAGCTCACATTACAAGCTTGTTTATTTGTACCAAACCGAAGAAGTTTAATTTTTTTTTCCAGACAAAGACCCTTGCAGGCCTAATCCATGCGGCCATGGAGGATTCTGTTCGGAAATTGGTGGAGGCTTCGCTTGCAATTGCACACTGGGATTCAAAGGAGCGACATGTCTAGGTAATAAACACAAGTAAGACTAGGTGATAGCTACTGAATGGCCTAACTTACGTAGAGGCTCTGAGCGAAAGGGGTACCTTTTTCAGGCTTCAGGTATATGAAAGGGTAGGAATTTCACTAGCTGAGGTATACGAAGGGAAATCTGTCATTTCGGTCTGTAAAATGCATCAAATGGCTAACAGACAGACAGGGCATTTGCAGCAGTTAGAAGGGATATGATGCTCAAAATTAGGTTTGTAAAAGTGTTGCCTTATATAATGTATAAGAAAGGGTTACCTTTCATGTAAAAGGGTAAGGGGTTGACCTTGGTGGCGGAGCTTCCTTGTACAAAACTTTGTTGAGTACTCCCTCGAGATTTTTGTCACAGTCTTTAAAGTACAACCATAGCCAGGCTAGAGAAACAGTAATGAAGTCCGATGGGCTAATATGAGGCGTGGGGCCTTGCCACAAAGTTCTACTTAACTCTTCTCTATTGAAGTGATTCTCAGTACTGAAACTTTTGCCTTATGAAACTCATCTTTACTTTCAGAGCTCGATCAGTGTCATCCAAACCCTTGTGCTCATGGGGGTAGCTGCCGTGAAGTGGTTGGAGGGACTGGGTTTGCTTGTCAGTGCATCACCGGCTACAGAGGAGCAAGATGTGACGGTAAGTTAAAAGAAAGGGAGCCAAACGGATTGCAATACAAAGTGAGAAAATACAGCTACATTAAAAAGAAATCTGGCCCGGTGCGCTAAACGAAGAAATTACGTAATTGGCTCACATAGAAACGATCATATAACGAGTATACAATGAAAGAATCCCTTATTTTTTACAGTGAAAGACCAATGTCACCCTAACCCGTGCTTACATGATGGAATGTGTATGGAAGTTAACGACGAACTGGGCTTCCTATGCAACTGCACAGCGGGATACCGTGGATCCCATTGTCAAGGTACGTTAAGAGACAATGGTATCTACCATACATTTATTAATTGTGCTTTTTTTTGGTGAAGGCTCAGAGGTACTTGACTCAAACTTGAAAGGAATGTGGTTAAGGGTTTGATTAAACCTAGGCCTAATTATGAAAAAAAAAGTTTATTGATGTTTTTGGTGTTCTTTATTATAATGTCAGGGCCTGAAATGTTCCAGTCGACAAAACAATCTACAATAGGCGACAAAGTTTTTGAGACATTGTCGTCAGATGGGGTAACTTTAAAGAGCAAAACAATCCAATCCCTCTTCCCGCTCCGCTCGATTCAAAGTTGATGTGTTTATTGTTTTTTACAGGTAGCTCGAGCATTGCATCGATAGGGTGGGGGAGGGAAAGCTTTATTTTTCTCTGTTTAAGTTAGCAACATGTCCAAAAGGCCCATTAGGGGAACGTTTCTTAACAAATTTTTGTCGCCGATTGTAGGCTGGTTAAGCGACATGATATGGCAACAATTCAATAAGTTTTTTCGCAATATTTATGTCTACCTGTATAAATAGATATGGATCCATGTCGCCCGAATCCCTGTCTTAACTCCGGAGCTTGTGTACATACTGATGATGGATTTGTTTGTAATTGTTCAATGGGGTTTAAGGGAACGCACTGTCAAGGTCTGTACATTTTTTCTGATTACAGTATCACGCATAAAATCAATCGCTACGCAAACATTTTGAAGAACGGCGATTATCTAATCAACTTGTAATTTAACTAGCACCAGCTATTTATTCATACAAAGTAGCTTATAGCTTACATTTCTGACGGAATTGGATGTTGGCTCCAAATTTGCAGAAATTCGTGCTCCATAACACTAAGTACAAGGATTTTTAATCCTCCAGCCCCCAGCTTTAATATAAAAATTGATTGTAAATATTTCTCCTAAATTTACGTAAGTATTTTAAATAGCCTTTCTTTCTTTTTTTATGGTTAAGTTAAAACATAGAACTTTAACTGATTTTCAGCAGCCAATAGTTTGTCCCTTTGGAGACCGAGGAGTTACTGTTGACGAAAATTAATTCTAAAGCCAATCTGCTCAGAAACAGCACCATGTTTTCGGTTTTTGAAGGAGTGACGTTATCTTATCGTTATATATACCGTCGGATCTGACGAATGTTTAAACTCAAATATCAAATTTAACAAACTTGTAACTTTTTTTCGTAGAGCGTGATCTTTGCAAACCTAACCCTTGTCAATTTGGCAATAAATGCCATCAAACTGGTATTGATAGCTATCAGTGTGTGAAAAACCTTTGCAATCCAAGTCCCTGTATGCACAACGGACAATGCATTGAGATTAATGATGAAGACTACAAGTGCGTATGCCCAACAGGGTACATGGGAAAGAACTGTAATGGTAGGTGATTTAAGACCCCCATAACTAAATGCAAGACCCTCGGAGCAGAGCCTTCGCTCCTGTCGGCCCCGCACTTTGAAACACTTTTCCTGTAGCCGGCTATCAGGAGTATCCGGATCAGTCAGGGTTTTAAGCAGGCTCTGAAGACTTCCCTTTTATCGTACGGCATTTCCTTAATGAATCATTAATAATATTTTTGTTCACAGTATTTATTTTTCAGTTGATTTCGTTGTCATAATTTCATTTACTCTGGGTGTACTATGTGTTACATGCTGGTATTTTTTTGCATTTTTTGCAGCGCCTGAGAATATGTATATAAAAGTAGGTTGAGTTTGATCGTTTGGGCGAGCTTAGTCTTGAGTAGGACTGTTGTTGTTGACAATGACTGTCAACAACAACAACAGTCCTATTCAGGACTACGTTCACCTGGACGATCAAACTCAACCTACTTTTGAAATGACTCCTAGGTTCAAACCTTTCACAATATGCATATAGTTTTAGCGCAATATTAATAAATATCTGTATCTCTATCAACTAAGGGAAAATCTGCAGTCCTGGTTAAAATTACTAACATGAAAGACTTCTTGATCACGCAAGATGCAATATTCAATACAAAAAAATTGCTCCTTCCCCGCTTTCTACTGTCGGTTTCATAGTATCTCGCATAACTTGTTTAAAAAAAATCAACAATAAAGGAAAAGGGGCTACTTAATCAAAGGGGCCAATAGCTACAATCAGGGACAAAGAAGTTGACCCACTTGTTTAAAACGAGCGATTTTATCCACAATTTTCTTCACTTATGTTTTGATTCTGTTTAAACGCCGTAAGTTTACTCATTCCCGAATCAATATTGTTTGTAGTAAAAGAAAGACTTGAGGGTCTCAAATACAACATTGATTTTGGGGGAGGGGTGGGCGTAATCAGGAGGAGGGAATCTCAACACGTTTATTCCCCATTTTCGCTTTGAACTTGTACATGTTCCTTTAGTTCTTCACCTGATGAACGCCCCAGTATGAGAACTTACTTAACACGTAATTATCATCAAACTATCTAACAGTTGTAATAATCCGTCTGTTATAAAGAACCTGACCTGTGTCAACCAAATCCCTGTAAAAACGGAGGAACTTGTTCACGAACGACGAATGGAGGGTATAAATGTCACTGCATGCTTGGATATGACGGAACAAACTGTGAAGGTGAACATAAACCATACATGACCTCTCTAAACTAAAGCTAAAGATATGCAACTAAGTCGCTAATTGACTAAACAAGTGTGAACACTGCTCTCTCGTTCTAATTGCATAATGAACAAAAGACAACGGATTAGGACTTGAAAATTCGAAGCAACAGTTGGATGGTCTGGTGAAAAAGCTCATGTAATATCCCTTTACATGAAAACTGAAGATATGTTGGATAGAGTCTTTTTCAATAACAAACAAATACTTCCTTTTAATTCACTTAACTTCCCAACAGTGCTTGAGAGCCTCCACATATTTTTTCCTAACACATAACTCATTCAGTATGAAACAAACTGTTCTGCTAGGCGTTCGAGAGCTGGTTTTGTTTTAAACGCGAAAATTAAAGAGACTTTTTCTTCACTACTCATTTGCTAAAAAAAGGCCTTTCTTGAATTTTTTTTCCTTTAAAACAAGAATTTGGAAGGCAAGCAAACGCCGATGGTCGACATAATGTGCCCGAAGTTCACAGCACAAGCGCCCTACCAAACAACTTGAAAGCAGGCTCCAGTTCGACACAGTCCTCTTCAGAAGTAGCTCTGCAAGGTAAATCCCTCATGCATAAAATATAACACATATATTAGTGAAAGGTCAGCTCAGGATTTAGCCAGTAAACAGGATCGTAGGGGAGGTTAAATACTAGCAGGAGCCTTCAGTATCTCCAGCGAAAATTTTTATCCAAAGAGAAAATAGAATGTAACGTTTTCAAATCTCTACCTAAAGTATTTCAGTCTTAGAAGGCATGCTTACACATTCTTCGCCTCCCTCTATTTAGCACTGAAAGTCTAGGATAGTCTTTGCCCCGTAGACTATATCTTCGTTTATTGTTGTGTTTTTTAGATACAGGAGTGTGTCATCCCAATCCATGTAGAAACGGTGGATCATGCTTCAAAAGTAGATATTCTTTTAACTGCAAATGCACCAGAGGATACAAAGGAAAACACTGCGAGCTAAGTGAGTTACTTCGGTTTGTCAACGTTATAACTTTTTTTCCTACTTCGCTTTGCAAAAGACATGTGCAAAAACGAAAACCAAACTAAAGAGCGTGGGCGATCTGCACCTATTTGAAAAATTGTTTGTAATTGGCTGGGAAAACAATAGGCATTGTGACATAACAATGCCCCTATAATCCCTGAAAACAATGGAAGTGCAGATTAAAGGGGACCAATGAAACAGGAGGTTTAAAACGGTGCAGGTCAACCGAAAGAGGATGACACTTGACAATTCAAAGAACTGATAAACCCGCTGTGGCTCTTAAAGGATCCCCAACTAATTGGAGGCACTTTCCAGATCAAAGTGAAACCGATTCTCAAGCGTGTGGTCGATATGTTCCCCAAACTGTGTTGGTCTCCTTGTCCTCACATATTAACAAATTATCGGTCACTGATAAGGATCGAAAGTATTCTTTTTTTGTTTTTTTTTTATCTAATAATTATGATTATAATTATAGAATGGGGTGTTAAAAATAATGATGTTTTATAATACCACAAGTTCGTATTTTGAACGAATTTTTTAGCTCCTCGACGCAACGTGTCAAAATAAATGATTGATTGATTGATTGATTGATTGATTGATAATAAGATCTAGAGACAGTTAGACAAAAGTAACCTTACAACAAGAGTATACTTACAATAAGAATAAACGATGACTAAAACAAAATATGAAACAAAATTGCTTCCGTAGCTGCTTACTAAATAGTATAGTGCCTAACGTATCTCAAACGTAATGACATTCACCTAGATGTATAGAGATATTTTCTAATAGAAGTTGGAACTGCAGGATGAAGCCATAATTTTTTATATTCACAATAAACGCTCATCCCTAGATAAATAAAAAAGAAAAATATTAAGGTTGATATAAACAAGATCCTTGATTACGTTACGATAATCTGGCTGACGCCTTCAAGCGTCTTTAAAATCCTAAGCTAATCTTAAGTTACCTAAGGCAGATACAATGGCTGTGGGAGAGAGACAGTCTCACCCACTTGATGATGAAGTAATTTTCAGTTTGGTAACACGACACAGTGTCTAGTTTCCGTTAGGACTGCCTTTTCTCTTGCCAAAATCTTTGAGGCCGCATTTCACTTTCTGCCAGATAATTCTGCTTAAAACGTCCAAAAACATTGATTGGAGAGACAAGATGTCGAGAAAAACACCACTCTTTAGGTCGTGTTATAGAATCTCAGAGGAGAGGTTGTTACCCCACGTTGCCATGGTAGCAAAATTTCTGGATCTCAACACACTGTGGTCTCGTAAATATGGCAGAAAAAACACGAAAAAATTGACAGGTATGACTTTCCTGTGCATGGCTGAAGTCAGGAACAAAACAGCCTATACTTTTCTTCCACCATTGGCAATGTAAATGGCCATCTTTATCAAGAACAATTGTCGAGATCCAGAACTTCTGCTACCTTGGTAACGTGACGTCAAACTTCTCGCTAAATAAGTTGATCAAATGTAAGGTTGCGTTAGTCGTAAACGATAACTTATTTCATTCCTCACATTATGCACTTTTCTCTTGTACATACTACGTGCACTGACAGTGAACGCCTGTATTCCAAACCCATGCAATAACGGCGGCACGTGCCTTTTGGGAGATGAAGGCAGCTTTGTGTGCCGCTGTCCCACAAAGTTTTCGGGGGCAACATGTGAAGGCAAGTTTAACGCGAATTAAATCTCGTTAAGTGAACAAACTGTGAACAAGTAAAAAGTTTAGGAACCTCCCGGCAAAAAAACACTCAAGCTTGTGTCACGCATTTGCACGACATTAACTAATACGCACTGGATTCCAGTAGTAGAGTTTTGAATGATGTGCCCATGTTACCTAATGGTCAGCAGAATTTCCAGGGCCCCGTTGCTCGAAAGGTGGAAAGCGCTATCCAGGGGATAAATCCCTATCAACTGGATAGCGCAGTTTCCTAATACTTATCCGCTGGATACTGATTTATCCTTTGGATAGTGCTATCCAACGTTGAGCAACCGGAGCTAGAAAGATAACCGCGCGAGGAAAATATTAAATTCATTCTATGACTAAGTATGAAAGATTTAAAAACACCCTACACTCTTCCCTGAGCCCGCATCCTTAGTTTTAAGAGTACCATCTATTCCTATGACTCTACTGTGGTTCAGAAATGACTGACAGAACGAGACAGTTATGGCCTTCATTGATTGAAAGGCAAATAAAGGCACCATGTGTCTGAATGTATCCTTGGTCTTTCAGAGGCAAACAAAGTACAAAGATTGCGGCTTCGACCTAAGCCTCATCGTAAGTTAAGAGAATGTTTAGTTCATTATAAAAACAAAACAATTGACTGAAGAAATATGCAAAAATACGGAAAAGATTTTTATGGTCTTTCGGGAATGATACATTTCTTCTACCAGGGGCTCATAACTAACTGAACATGCAGTACTATTGCATGCTAACTGATTGAACAGGATAATGACAACAGGACAAATCTTTGATATTTTCATCGCGTTTGAAAGATGAAAACAGCATGATTATTTGATGTTGATGATGATGATGACGATGATGACGAAGATAAGATAACGATAATGATAATAATAATGATACTGGTAATAATAGTAATAATGATAAAGATAATAATTATGTCGATGACGATAATAGCCGAATAACAAAGAGCTACTAGTCTACCAATCCCAGGCATGCTAATAAGTAGTACGTATGCATCACAATATGCTGAGTATCTAACACAAAAATATTTAATAGCAGTACAGTGGCTAAAGATGATAATAAAACTGAAACGTAATAAATACTATAGAAATGGTTCAAAGAGAGCGCAGAAACTCTTTGTTATAATAAAAAAGCATGACTCTTGCTATTGCCAGTTTGAAAAATAACATATAATTTAACAATCTGTAGGTTAACAGCAAATATGATTCCTATTGCTTATACTATGACAAATATAAAAATATAAATGAATAATGATTTTAAAGTAGGTCAATCACATCGTCGTTTTTCATCCGACCAGCGATACACTTAGCTTCGCTTCAAGATAAAACAGAAAGGATTACTAATTTTGAAGATCTACAAAGTTATCTTTGCATATTCTTTCGGGCATGTTGGCAACTAAATTATGCAATTTATGTGTATTTTAAAACGTAGATGCTGTTAGTTAAGAATGGAAGAATAGTTAATACTCGTACACATATACAAGCCGAAAAAACACCCTTCCAAGGTCAACGAGGTAGCATGATTAGTTTATTACCTGTTGTATATCTTTTTCCTTTTCCAAATTCAACGTAATAATAGCTGAACCTAACAACATTTTTGGCCTTATTCCAGGTTAACCACAGCAATCGATTTTACCTTCAATTTTCCAAAATATGCCTCAGAAATAAACAAAAGATTAGATGTGGGACTAGCTCAAATTCTCTTTGGACCAAAAGTTCTTGATCTGCACTAATCTGGCTAACGCCTTCAAGCGTCTTTAAAATCCTAAGCTAATCTGAAGTTACCTAAGGCAGATAAAATGGCTGAAGGAGGGAGACAGGCTCAACTACTTGATGATAAAGTCATTTTCAGTTTGGTAACCCGACAAAGTGTCTAGTTTCCGTTAGGACTGCCTTTTCGCTTGCCAAAATCTTTGCGGCCGCATTTCACTTTCTACCAGATAATTCTTCTTAAAACGTCCAAAAACATTGATTGGAGAGATGAAATGTCGAGAAAAACACCACTCTTTTTAGGTTGCGTTATAGAGTCTCAGAGGAGAAGTTGTCACCCCACGTTGCCATGGTAGCAAAATTTCTGGATCTCAACACATCGTGGTCCCGTAAATATGGCAGAAAAAAAAAAACCAAAAAATTGACATGTATGACTTTCCTGTGCATGGTTGAAGTCAGGAACAAAACAGCCTATACTTTTCTTCCACCGTTTGACAATGTAAATGGCTATCTTTATCAAGAGCAATTGTCGAGTTCCAGAACTTCTTCTACCCTGGTAACGTGACGTCAAACTTCTCTCTAAATAAGTTGATCAAATGTAGGTTTGCATTAGTCGTAAACCGTAACTTATTTCATTCCTCACATTATGCACTTTTCTCTTGTACATACTACGTGCGCTGACAGTGAACGCCTGTATTCCAAACCCATGCAATAACGGCGGCACGTGCCTTTTGGGAGATGAAGGCAGCTTTGTGTGCCGCTGTCCCACAAAGTTTTCGGGGGCAACATGTGAAGGCAAGTTTAACGCGAATTAAATCTCGTTAAGTGCACAAACTGTGAACATGTAAAAAGTTTAGGAAACTCCCAGCAAAGAAAACACTCAAGCTTGTGTCACGCATTTGCACGACATTAACTAATAGGCACTGGATTCCAGTAGTAGAGTTTTGAATGATGTGCCCATGTTACCTAATGGTCAGCAGAATTTCCAGGGCCCCGTTGCTCAAGAGGTGAAAAGCGCTATCCAGGAGATAAATCCCTATCAACTGGATAGCGCAGTTTCCTAATACTTATCCGCTGGATACTGATTTATCCTTTGGATAGTGCTATCCAACGTTGAGCAACAGGAGCCAGAGAGATACCCGCACGAGGAAAATATTAAAATCATTCTGTGACTAAGTATGAAAGATTTAAAAACACCCTACTCTCTTTCCTGAGCCCGTATCCTTAGTTTTAAGAGTACCATCTATTCCTATGACTCTACTGCGGTTCAGAAATGACTGACAGAACGAGAAAATTATGGCCTTCATTTAAAAAGAATTTTCAGATTGATTGAAAGGCAAATAAAGGCATCATGTGTCTGAATGTACTTGGTCCTTGGTCTTTCAGAGGCAAACAAAGTACAAAGATTGCGGCTTCGACCTAAGCCTCATCGTAAGTTAAGAGAATGTTTAGTTCATTAAAAAAACAAAACAATTGACTGAAGAAATATGCAAAAATACGGAAAGATTTTTATGGTCTTTCGGGGATGATATACATACCAGGAGCCCATAACCAACTTATTATGCAGTATTATTGCATGCTAACTGGTTGAACAGGACAATAACAACAAGACAAATCTTTGATATTTTCATCACCTTTGAAAGATGGACACAGCATGATTATTTGATGTTGATGATGATAATGATGATGATGATGATGATGACAGGATAACGATAATGATAATAATAATGATACTTGTAATAATAGTAATAATGATAAGGATAATAATTATGTCGATGATGATGATAGCAATAACAAAGAGATATTAGTCTACCAATCCCAGGCATGCTAATAATTAGTACGTATGCATCACAACATGCTGAGTATCTAATACAAAAATATTTAATAGCAGTGGTTAAAGATGATAATAAAACTGAAACGTAATAAATACTATAGAAATGGTTCAAAGAGAGCTCAAAAACTTTTTGTTATAAATAAAAAGCATGACTCTTGCTATTGTTAGTTTGAAAAATAACATATAATTTAACAATCTGTAGGTTGACAGCAAATAAGAGTCCAATTGCTTATGCCATGAAAAATATAAAAATATAAATGAAAAATGATTTTAAAGTAGCTCAATCACATCGTCGTTTTTCATCCAATCAACAATACACTTAGCTTCGCTTTAAGATAAAACAGAAAGGATTACTAGTTTTGAAGATCCACAAAGTTATCTTTGCATATTCTTTCGGGCATGTTGGCAACTAAATTATGCAATTTATGTGTATTCTAAAACGTGGATGCTGTTAGTTAAGAATAGAGGGATAGTTAATTCTCGTACAAATATACAAGCCGAAAAAAACACCCTTCCGAGGTCAACGGGGTAGCATGATTAGTTTATTACCTGTTGTATATCTTTTTCCTTTTCTAAATTCAACGTAATAATGGCTGAACCTAACAACATTTTTGGCCTTATTCGAGGTTAAACATAGCAATCGATTTTACCTTCAATTTTCCAAAATATGCCTCAGAAATAAACAAACGAAAAGATGTGGGTCTAGCTCAAATTCTCTAGGACCAAAAGTTCTTGATCTGGAGGGGAGAGGGGAGGTGGTGGGGAGTGCTCCGTCCCTGACAACTGAACTTTTGGAACAGGCTTGTACAGCTAATGGTTTAGGTAAAGAGCGATTTTACTCTCAGTGCCAGCATCTATGACATTTGGAACAAAAGAAAGCGTTTGCACCTGCAAAAGAGTTCAACTCTCAAAGGATTTACTTATTACACCAACATGGCCGCCGTTTCATTCTTTTGAAAAACCAATATGGCCGTTGTGACGTCATGTGAAAACGCCCCATGAAGTAAATGATATATTGAAATGAGTCATAACGTAGTTGATTTCCTCCTTTTTTCTTCTAGTGGATTATTGCAATCCCAATCCTTGTAAGAACAAAGGCGTGTGCGTGGTGGAAGAAGAAAAAGGCTACAGCTGTGCGTGCGAGCCTGGTTTTGCTGGTTTCCATTGTCAAGGTACGTTAGACGACCTGTAAGGTAAATTTCCCGATTTATTTCTAGTTTTTCGGATTCTGTCCACTAGTGTGTAAGTCAAGAAGACTGGCAACTGTTGCGTTGTAAATAAAAAGCGTGAGAAATAAGGCCTTGATCGTGATTCTCAGTCCCGTCCCAACTGAGGTCAGAATCAAGCAAGTATAGACCTTTTCCGCATTCTTGTGAACAAAGGCACAAACTCGAGGTCAGAACCAAGCAAGAATAGACCCTTTCCACATTCTTGCGAAAGAAGGAACAAACTCGAGGTTTGGGTAACAAAAAACAGTGATTTGTCTGAAATTGTCCACTCAAGCTTTCACCTCGGTTTCATTTACTTACCCGGTTGCGATAGCAGTCAATACGCACACTTGGCCATCTGTGAGGGAAAACTCCCAGAGGTTCTGTGAACAGGCTACAATGGAGCAGATAGAGTGCAGGGAAAGTGTTAAGCTTTTTCCGTGACATAATAAATAAGTAACTTATTCCTTTTAGATGATCATTGTAATCCTAACCCGTGCCATAACCGGGGCGTGTGCGTTCGAGACAAGACAAGCCATTACAGATGTAACTGTCATAATGGGTTTTTGGGACGCAACTGTGACGGTAAGAAATAAAATATCCTTTCTTCATGTATAAATAAGGAATGATTTAGAATGGGTGGTACTTCCACATATAGTGGCTCTTCATTTATCTTTCTCTCATCTCACTGGATTTTTAGCTCTACATTCATCTCTCACGAAAACAGACAACCTCGTGGAGAGCACTATGAGTCCTTCTAATAGAGATGTCAGTCTTATAGAGAGTCAACTAAAGGGGGTGAAGAAAGGCAAGACACCAACTCTAGGTGTCCGCCTAGGGAGGTGTCCGTTACTGTACTGTATCGCTACTTATTAATTCATAACATGTTTTTTGCAGTCAATTCTTGTGTACCCAATCCCTGTAAAAATGGAGGTTTGTGCGTGACAGTTCCAGGAAAAGGCTACCAGTGCAAGTGTCGGGACGGGTTCAATGGTCCTCACTGCGAAAGTAAGCTCTTGATGCGAAATTTGGGTTGGTAAAGTCACCAGAGTTCCGAAAATAGGTCCAGATTTTAAGTTAAAGAACTCCCTGATAAACTGACAATTTAAGCCAATCGCCTGAGAATAAAAATGGCAGTTTATAGCGAAAATACACAGTGAACGCTTTGCCCTAAAGCATTTTCAATTGCGTTATTATTACTATTATTTTTTTTATTAGGCTGCAGACTAGAAGAACGCGAGCTTAAAAGAAAGCGTCAGGCAGATTATTCACGGGGTTAAACCTGGGAATGATAAATGGGCCAGGTCTTTTTTTTCCTTGAAATTTTTGTTTCAGCTACAGTGATATTCAGATACTTTCAACTCTCTCTAAGGGGCACATCTTTGGGATCAGCACCAAGTGTTCGTCTAAGAATGATGTCCGTCTTAAAAAGAGTCAACTGAAAGGAAATGAGAAAGGGAGGGACCGACACTGTATAAGCGACCGGGACCAGACAATATGAAGCGACCGTTTTACCAGGTTTTTACATAGGTGTCCGCTTTTAAGAGTAAAAAAAGAGTAAAATCGAGCATTTTTGCCTTCGCATTTTGAAAGGTAATCCATGTTACGGTTGGAAAAAAATCCATTTTTAGTTAACGGAGGCCATGTCGATTTGACCTGGTTTTGTTTTAAACGGTTCGCATTTTCAGGTAATCCATGTTATCCCAATCCATGTAATAACGGAGGAAGTTGCCTGGTGTTTTACACGGTTTATTTGTGCAAGTGTCCACGAGCTTACAGAGGAACAAGATGCAACGGTGAGGGCTGATATTTTAATTATTTTTAATCAAAAACCCTATTCAAACTTTAGATACGTAAAGGGATTTATTGACTGGTATAGTTGTATTTTGTATTTGTGTTATCTTACGTACATACATTTATCTTTCAATTCAAAATGAATAATAGAGGCTGTTAACATGGAGGGGGAAGATCTCTAGCACCAGGAAGATCATAGAAGGTGTATCATCCTAGAGCCATATGTTTTCTGTATTCAGTTTACATAAGGGTACTTGTCCCTAGTACTAGGAACTTCCTAGTACTAGGATCTTCCAAGCTGAGAAGTAGGAAGAAGCACCATGTACACTGCCTTCGCTCGGTAGATTCTTGTGCTAGGGACAAACCAGAAAAAAATGGCAACCAGTCGTTCAGTGGCTAATCACGGCAATGAAGCCGACCATTTCGTTTGGCTTTACCATGTGCTGATTATTGTGATAATTCTGCTCAAAGGTAGTTTTTACCTCTAGTGTAGAGAGCAGAGGGCCTGTCATCATTAATTCTTTAAGGAATAGTTGTTCTGTCCTCTAGGATGTAAACAGCATGTAAACAGCTCCTCAGATCTGAATCTTTCCTTCTATTTTTGTCCACCCAGTTCTTATACCTGATCAAGCTTTAGCTCCGCCTCCACCTCCAGTTACCTCAGCAAATTTTATTTCCGAGGTAGCGCCTGTACGCAAGACAACCGAGAATATGAAAGGTAATGAATTTTGGAATTCCTTTTGTACTCATCAGGCCGAGTATCTGCCATCTAAAATCACTAAGGACTATGTTAGAACTGACTTTGTTAACTGACAAGCTTGTGTGCAAGTTTAGCGAATGGAGTTGTGGGTAGTAACAAGTTCTTAGTTCTTTTCATTTTGAGAAACCAATGCACCTAAAAGATGTTTATTATGAATAGTATTGAGAAAAGCAAGAACATTTGTAGTCTAAGAACAAACGCCACTTACAAAAAGATCAAGAGATTCAATAACTGCGGTGAAATTCGTTTTCTTGAATCGACCCTAGATGGGTCAAAATGAAAAAAGGTTTCCAGTGAGGCATTTTCTTGAGATAATATGAGTAGTAAAGCGACATATTTCTGATATGACGATTTTTGAAGTAAGCAAGACTTTCAGAAGCTTGCAGCAGAATAGCTAATAGAAAGCAGGGCCATGGAGTTCTCAGGCTACACGATTTTCGTAACCTTAAAATTGTTGAAAATCCATTGTAAAAATAATGTTATTGTAATGATGATAACATCTATAATAACAATAGAAGGCTTGTTGAGTAGCAATTGAAAATATCAACTGATCAAAAGATGTCGGGTACTAACTTCCTATTGACTTGAACCTTACCTCTTAAGGCAATCAATTAGTCTGAGAAAACAGCCGACATCTCTCGCGCGACGTCATCACTGGTTTCCCCCCTAAGGACAGAAAATCCATACTGATGACGTGTCACTAAGAATATCGGAGCAGTACTTCTGATTGGCTGAAACTTTGTTTCATCCAATCAGATGCACTACCCAGATCTGGGTAGTGACACGTCAGCAGAATGGAATTTCTGCGCTCGTTCTTCAGACGTCATTTCACAGGGAAACCAGTTTTGGAGTCAAGACATATCGGCTGTTTTCTCAGGCAAGCAATCTAACCTAAATAACTAAGCGTAAGCTACATACGTAAACAAACTTAATTATTTAATCATTTTTAAAGATTACGTGATCCGAGATTACTTGTCACAAGTTCTGACTGAATACTGACCTAAGACTAATCTTTTACTAACATTAGCCAACCCCTGCACGTCCAATCCCTGCCTCAACTCTGCTGTTTGTCTTGAGACAATTGACGATAACTACGAGTGCTTTTGCCGTGGTGATTTCTCTGGACCAAGATGTGAAGGTTTGACTGACACTGACTTTGACAAAGCCTACTTGACAATTATATCACTACAAACTGACATGTAGAGTCCTTAACGAGCACGACATGTGACCTACCGGATGCTATATACCGTCTTATACAAAAACTTGGCGTGTGCCTTTGGAAAACATTGAAACTCAGAGATATATTTACGCAAAGGGTAGAAAACACTTGCTTTTGCTGTAGATATGATACAAATTTTGCCTCGGATATGAAACCGTTTAGCTACCAGAAGGAGTTATGGCTGTTTACTGATTATTCAGTCTAGTCAAATTGACCTATTTCACACACACTGAAGTCATTGAGCTTTGCTTCAGCTTATAGGCAAGCGATAATAAATACACTAAAAACCCCCAAAAAGTTGAAATATTTACTACAGTGTATGTGCAAGATAAAACTAAGTCAACAGTACTGCAAACAGAACAATGACAGATTTCTTTACGAAGAAACACGAAACTGGAACATGAGCGATAAAAATCGGGTAGGATGTACTCCCGGAAGAAATGTTTCATGTCTTTATACTTTGTTTATTCTTTTAGATGTTGGAGCCTACAAGTACTCTTCTGCTCCAAAATTCTTTCCTGGGAAAGGAGGTTGGTAATTTTCGTTTTCTTGACATTCCTCTTGGTAATCGACTCTGGTTATAAGCGTTTCACTTAACTTTTAGAACACTTCATCATAAGTTAGTGAAGTCTTGTATACCTGTTGGCCTGTTTTGGTGTTATGCTTATAGAACCAGAACGTAGCGGCATTCTCATGCAAACGGCATTCTCTCATCATTCCCAAAAATAATATTGACGAACGAATGTGAAACCTCTCCGTGTAAAACGGTCACAAAATTCTATCAACAAGCACGAATCAGTTGTCATTCATCGCAAAATAAGCGAGTGTAAAATTTCCGTCTGTTTCAGATAGAATTGGAATTTGGAATTGTTGGTTTTTGAGAAGAGGTATCGGGGAAATGAACCTCTTGTACTAAGGGAGACAAACAACAAGAAACGCAACCCGCAAATGGTGTCGATATCGGGACTCAACCCAAGCAACATGGTGGGAGGCGAGTGTCTCGTCATCGCGCCACCCTTTCTATTTTTATTGGGCTGATTAACTGGGGCTCAAAATTGCTAGCCAGAGTGTTTGAGAATCTTATTCTTGTTGTATTCACAGAGGAATGTCTGCACTGTGATCGTGATGCCCACTGTGTAGGTGGGCACTGTATCTGCAAGCACGGTTTCGTTGGAGATGGCCTGGATTGCTGGGGTGAGAATGCTACTGTCTTCCAGGAAAACATTCCATGTTGTTTATTAATTACTACACAGAGCTTTTAAAAAAGGCTTTTATCCTCTATTTCTGTGAAAAATATAACTTAAGCAATTAATTTTAATATAGCGAATACTTTTTGAATTCTCTTTTAGTGGAAACCCAGCGAGACAAAGATTGGATGTGTCAAGCTTCCCCGTGTATGAATGGTGGTACATGCAAGCCAGGAATATCAAAGTGTGTCTGCAGGCTGGGCTATGTTGGTGACTATTGTGAATGTAAGGCTTTTCAACAAGTTCATTTGAGTGGTTAATAATTCTTTAAACTTGCTGTAGATTCATTACCCCGTTCCGCGAGTGAGGTTAATTTAGTGAGTTTAAGCAGCGGCGTTTTTGAGCGAAGCACGTTAACCGGAAGTGGACTTTTTTTTGCACACTTGAGCCATGATTTTGAACAAACGTTTAGTCATATCGTCTCTATAAGGGTAAAGACACTTAGCAATACAAATTTGGTGTCGTCAAGGAATATTAAAAGAGAAAAAGGCTCATTTGCGGTTGACGTGCGCCGCTCAAAAACGTTCGGCTGGTTAATTTCCCGTTTTGTTGATGTGGCAGTAGGCCCTTTGCAGCATGTCATACACATGGTACAAAGCCATTATACTTGATATTATAATCATTAATCAATTGCATTTCGTTAACAGCGTACTGCCCACCTTCCATACACTTAAGTTTTGACAAGTACACCCAGAGTGGATTACAAGATGATTCCGGAAGTGGAAACGATGGGCTTCTTGCAAACGGAGCACAAATTGTTCCACATGGTGGAAAATGTGGTAATGCGGCTAACCTACTAGGTAAGATCCATAAACAACGTAGAAATGTTCAAAAACAGTTCGTTCAACATAGGCAAGTTAACATCTTGAGGAAGTAGTATAGGGTGCACCGAATTATCCTTTTGGGGCTGGAATCTCATTAAATTGCGCAGGAATACATTAACGACGATGACGTCATAGCCCTTTGTCTTTATTTTTGGATAAAATGGGATGGAATCACGTGTGCTAATTAGGTAGTTTAACTGGTTTAACGGGATTTCTAGTTATGGTTAGGTCGGTGAATGTTGTGGTTTTTAAGTATTCTTTGGTTGATAAATGTTGTGGAAGGAATAACAGCTAGCCCGCCAGTGACTTAAAATTACTGAGCTGTAACGTAATAATTCTTAAATATAAAGCCGCTTTCAATGTCTATTGCTTAAAGAAAAATTGTTTCACTTGCGGTTCATTGATTCTTGGCGCCTGAATCGTTCATTTTTGTGAAGACGAAGACAAACTAACTCTTTCTAGTACGAAACACATTGTGTACTTATTCCTCCCCTTCTTGCTTCTCTAAAATTCAATTAGTACGAAACTCATTAACTATTTTTTTATTTTCCATCCACCACCACCACCACCACCACCGCCGTCTCCTCATCGCAGGTGGAGACGTGCTTCTTGATGGCGCACACTTCCAAAGAATACCAAGGGAGGGTATCACCATAGCAACGTGGATCAAACTTGACACAAACAAAGGCATCCAATCAATATTCGACACAGTGGGAAGTCATTCAAGGCACAGTGACGGGCAGTATCACTTTGAAATTGAGAATGCAAAGGTTCGGTGGTTTCACAGAAATGAGGATCATAATACCATATTCAGCTTGGAAACTCGTCCCTTGATAAGGGAGGGGCAGTGGACACAGATTACGGCCACATACAACGCAAAGAGACAGCGAGCGAGAGTAAGTGATTAAAGAGTTATGACGAATCTTTAGGACTCTTCTAGAAGTATTCCAACACTAAATATTGAAGGCAAGGCCTGATATTCTTCAATCTCTATTTGATAATTATCCAATGAGCCGTGGTGATATTTGCCTTCATAAGCAGCCAGTTAATTTGTTTTTACACTTAATTTTTTTAAATTTTGTCTACAAAAGTTGTAAATGAATAGAATCAGTCTGAGAATGGGTAAAAAAACTGTACCCTCGGAGATGAAGATAGAAAGCGCTGGTTATGTATTCCAGGCTGAGTTAAGAATATGGCACTCGCTTAGCGAAGTCGTAAAATCACGACCGATGGACATGTTTTACTACCTTGCCTGTAGAAATGACCAAAACATCATTGCGATTAGTGCTCCCTGATGAAATTTTGGTTCGATATCTTCTTCATATCTCGACAGGAGCATTTCGTGCGTGGGTAGCAGTATCCTCGAGAAATAACCCCTTTGATATTTCCGTTTGTAGGTCTATGTTAATGGTGATCTGCGAGAAGAAGTGCGAGGACAAGGCACGCTGTCTCAGGATTGGGGAGGCAAGGCTGGAATTGGCCGCCACAAACATCAATTCGGAAATCGCCTCCTAAGAGGAATGATAGACGAGTTCTACATTTTCCCTTGCGAACTACCTCGCCTAGAAATCCTTGTGCTCATGAGACATTGCCATGTCTATTTCAGTAAGTTTATGATGAAAGTTGTCATTTATCGTCCAATGTATGTAACAGGTTCCCTTATCACTAGTCTTGCAATAATCACTTTGATGTTTATTGCGACGTTCTGACCGAGTCGGTTGGCTGATAAACATTATTCTAACCGCCAATAAGTGATCGAAACATCGTGATCCATATTAGGGAAAGCAACATATTTAATGACAAGCAGTCTTGATAAACAGTTATGAGTTCCCGTTTTCTTCTTTTTAGAACATGCAAAGAAAGTGACAGAGGAATCCTCAACGACGAGGGGTCCTGCCTCAATTATGACTCTGCCTACCAATGGGCAACGAAATAATCAACCCTATCTTCCCCGTCCGTCTCCAACGGCTGTTAGTCAAAGTTTTACTACGGTGGCTCGAGCCTATCACAAGCAACAACCCACTTCTTCAGACTTTATTGCCAATAATTTGCAGCAGATACTAGCCAGCCTATCCAGTGAGAACCAGCCTCCTGGAAGCAATCCATCTACGATGTCTCGCCCACACCAGGCATATGGGAAAGACCAACAACAAGCGAAAGCACCAAACGCCTACGAGCCAGTGTCACTGTCAGCTGCACAACCTCAAACTATCAATTCTAATCAGATAGCGCAAACCTTGCCTTCTTATAGGTGGAATTACTATCATCCTGGCGCAGCTGCACCAGTTTCAAATAAAGCTGCAGTTAGGTATGGCACCCAAGCAATGCAGTCAGCGAACAAGAATCCCCCATCAGCTATGACTGCTTTATTACCAGCTCAATCTCAAGGAACTCTCAGGCATGAGACTCCAGCTGCTGTGCAACAAATGAAAAGGCCACTTTTGGGTCAAGCCTCACCCACGCGGCAGATGAGTTCTAATCGTCAACCTGCTCTGCTAAATCAAAATCCATATCAAACATCGTCCAGGCTTAACCCACCGGCAAAGGTACAGCAGGGTAATGCCGCAGGGATTCAGCAAGTTCCTATAAGAAATTTCCAGGGATATAATTATTTTCCTACTTCGGGAGGATCCATGGTCAATAACCATCTAGGATTTCCTGAAAGGACGTCCAGTTATGCGCAGATACATAACCCGATTGTTTGGCATATTCCATTACCAAAAACCAAGACTGGAGTACCAGTTCGTTTCAGGATACCACTCACCTCTCTATCCATTAATAGCATGGGACAGTTAAGGGCAGGAAAGCAGTTCAACGTTCATCAGACTGGCCCTCCACTAAAAGGGATTGCTCAAAATATGCTTAAGACACCTGTTGCTTCCTTTCAACAACCATTTGTTCAAAAGCAACAAGTCAAGTTAATTCAACCTATGCTAAACCAGAACCCCGAGCCTGGAGGACCTCGGGCTCAAGTAGCTTCTCCTCTACAACAGAATCAGCAATCGCTTTCATCCAAACTGGCGTTGCTTGAAGCACCTCACCGACAAACTATCACTTCACAAATGTCACAGACTCACTTTCCTCAAACGGCAGCACCCAATCAGAGACCATCTTTACCAATACAAGCATATAATAACAACATGTTTGCGAGACCACCTTATTCTCCAAGTGTAAGGCAAAAAGTTTTACTATCCTCAAACAGGATACATCCATCTTTAAATGGTGCTCTTGCACAGACAACGCAGCACCTTCCCCAAGTTGCCCCTTTAAGGCCACACTACATTTATGGACAGAATTCTTGGCCTTGGGGCGCTTGGAGAAACCAGGCTCCACCTTTAAAACTAGCTTCAAGTCGGTCTTCGAGTCCACAATGGTATCCAACAACAAATTCTCCGTTCACGGTGTCGCCACAGGTATTGTTATACTACTATTTGTATCCTAAGACGATTATGAATCCTCTAAACAAGCTAGGTAACTTGAGAGGTGAAAAGGGAAACTTCTGGCAAAAGTTGAAAGACCAGATCTCTAGGACTGTTCCTTTCAGAAACCTCAAAGTAGCTACAGTAGCAAGTGACCCGACTGTGACAGGACAAATACAAGTAAAACCTACTAATCTACAAACTGGACAGTCAAAATCAAACATAGCCACCTATGGTGCCTTCAGACCACGTGTACAGACGTCTAAGAACGCTCCATATTACGGAGTCGTAAAAGAACCATTAAAAACTCTCCTATCAGGAGGATTAGCTTCGAGTAGCTTACACAATCCGCTGCAGGCAAAACAGCAAGTACAAACTGCTCTCTCACAAACTCCGCTTGTGAAGGGTATGCGACAAACGACTTATTTACCCCAACAAACTCCATGGACCTTACCTGGCGTCGCAAATCAACTTGGCGCCTTGACTCAACCTCAAGCGACTGTTAACACACAACTTCCTGGAGACAGGAAGTCACAACTAATGAACGGACTACGTAACCGACCAATATATATACAGACAGTACCATACCAGACTTATTACCTTCTACAACAACAGCCTGCGTATAACACGCAGTCTGACACACAGCGTTATCTTTCTAAGGTGTTGGGTGATATACTTAGATTAAGGTATCTTACGCAAAAAAAGAAAAAGAAAAGAAGAGGGGCAGAGCAAAGGAAATCGGCGTCCGATAAAACAGGGGTTAACGACAAACGAACGGGCGCCCCAAAAAGAATAATTCACCCTAGATGAGTTAAGGTCATAAACGGGCCTAGGTTCAAAAGACTGTGTATTGAAACAATACCTTATATATTGACGTCACCAACAATTCTTGGTGTTAACTAGTACTGATATGCGAAAACCATCACAGAGTCATTCAGGACGTTCTGTTATCGACACTGATCGTGGTGAATGACGTTCGATGATCGTCAGGAGGATGCTTTAAAAACCAATCCGTCAATAGGTACAGAAAACCCGAAAAGACCAAAGGCACAGTTCTCATTTCTCTAGCATATCTGCAGTCCTCTCCACAGGGAACGCAAACGCTGCATTAGCTATGTCATGAGCGCTTGTTATTTAGCTGTCTTCCAGAGTCTATCAGTCGTTTTGGAAGAGATTTGAATTGGATCGAAGGAGGTTTACCTTGCTGGCTTCAAATGTTCAAGCGACAGAGTTTCCATTATTGTATTATTAACTATGAATTCTCCTTGGGAGACAATCTCGGGTTTCACTATTTAACGAGGAGAGTTAATATTTACTACTTAAGATGAAACATTTGTAGCCGGCAAGGTTAACAGTCTTCGATCTAATTCAAATCCCTTCCAAGAACACTCATAAAGAATCAGGAACGCAGGCAAATAACAATGGATTATGATAGCTACAACGGCCGGCGTTGGGTGCCCTGTGTCCTCTCCAACAAAATCAGAGTAGCTAATACTATGCAGGAAATATTTTATTGAACCCTTTCCGTCTCTTTCCATCACCGTCTGAAATGATCGTAATATAACTACGACTCTTAAGTTATTTCCTCAACATTTGACACAATGTTATTGAAACAAATTAATCGTCCAATTGATTGCATGATTTTCAAACTTAACCTAGAGAATTCACATGTAAATTACATAGTAACATTTTCTCTTACTAATTGAGAGAGCAAAAAGCGAACTCTAAGAGTAAGTTGCATTGTTTTTTGTAATCTTAATGTATCTTTAACATTTTTTGACTAATCTTTACGTGGTGGTGGTTCAGTAATGATAATTAATAATAATATGTCTAGAATGTACATAGGAAACGTTAATTTTTCAAAGTGAAGGAAGTTTGTATGACAGACCCAGTTTAATCAACAAACAGCGAAGTATTTTAACTGATTTCTAATTTATTGATTTTTAATAAAAAAGAACACAATGTTTCGTATCAATTTTGTAGAGGATATAATCCTAACTTTGTACCAATGAGATAGTTTGTGTAAGTCGAGTAAGCCACCAAAATAACAATATGCAAAAGCAAACACGGATAAGAACATTCGGTACAAAAAATAGATCAAAATTCGTATACTGTTATTGATGAATAACATATAATAAATATTTCATTTACAATGCATGCAATTTAGTTGACTTTCTTTGCAACACTTTACTAACCAATTAGCTAATAAGCCAATTAGCTTAGTTTTAGTCGGTTATTGCCTTGTTCCTTTTTGTAGCCTTTGAATTAACTTTATCAAAAACTGACTCAGTACTGTCAATAATTGTTTTTTTCAAGTCGAAAAAACCAAGAAAACGTGGTTAGAAATTGAAAGATAAAAGAGGAAGTGTGGAAAAGAGAAATCGATAAGATTTTCAACGATAAGCAAAGGTTTCAATATTTGTACGTAACTCTTACACTGGGCCCAAAAGAGGTCGAAAGCGGACCCCGTCAAGGGTAGGCAAGCGATTTGTATCCGCACAAATGGCGAGCGCATCTCCATTATAATAGGTTGGAAATACTGAATAAAAGATAGCCCGAAACACCCATTTCAATCAGGGATTCTTAAAACATAACTGACACAAAACAGCACTAAATCATAACATAACATTTCCGTTATATCGAATGGAAGGAAACTACAACTACAGCAGGCCAGGGCACTTTTGTTCATCGTTACTTTTTATTGAACTTTTTGGCCACTTGTTCCAAATTAAAATCTGTTCGGCGTCTCCAAAAATACTTTAATGCAAAGACAAAAGAAACTGGCTAACTAGACATGCCTTCTTTCACTTGACTGAACAAACAGACTTATGCGCGACACGTCTAATTAAGATCTCTTCTGCGCTACCACGTGAATTTTAATGGCTCGGGATTTACCTTTAAAAAGGTGGAATTGAAAGAGATATATTATCGTATAACGGGCTGAAAGTAGAATATAAGACAGGAAACCTGTACACTTGGAAATATATTAGTGACACTTCCTAATTGACGAAGAAAAGTCTTAACGTTGAAGTGGGCCAGCTGTCACGTGTTAAAACGTTTTTACTTAAAGAAGCGTGGCGGCAAGTCAGAAGCAGAAAAATTAGTGTATTGTTTGGAGAAATACATTACCAGGACAATGGTTTGGGAGGGAAAGGTCGGCCGACAGTAAATTAGCTGTTTCTGTCTCTTTTTTCTTTTAAAAATTAAGAAAATTCTCATAAACTGCCAATATTAACAGCACAGGAACACCTTGTTTGATTAGCACAGCAACACCTATTATGTTAATTACTAACGATACAGACTTTCATCATCTGATAAACTGACGACAAGATGCTGATCAACATATCACCACCCCGTACGACTACATGCATGGACAAGTAAGTTTTAACTCCTTTGAGCTCATCTAGCTTATTGCTACCCTGTCTGAAATGGTCACGACCCTCGTAAGTGTTAAATGGCAGTGCCTCTCCAACTAATAGGCATCATCTGTCCTTGCCCCCCCTCCCCCTCCCCCCCCCCAAAAAAAAGAAACAGTCGAATGTATACTAGGTTATGTGTTATATAGTAGACTTCATCTAGAGGTTTCAAGATGGAGGTCTTATACCTCGTTTAAGTCTTGTTAATAGATACATTAGACTTTCTCAAAATAATGACAATATTTCAACAACTTCTTTCCATGGAGAGAACTTGAACTTTAATGAGTCATGATCACTTACGACATACAGAAAACCTACTGGTCTTTGTAGCTTGTTAAATAACTTGCAACTGACGTGATTTTCTCGAGGCTACGGCATCGTAGATCAGGGTACTACTACTCTTAAAACGTTTTGTTTTGTTTGTGTATGCGTATTCAGAAACAACTTTCAGGCTTGAGGAAAATGTTACCCTCTTCCAAGGTACCCTACATACCATTTCATGGACCAGCCACGACCAAGGCGTTCACACCAACAACGTACTATCTTCAAAGTCACGAGCTAGGTAGCAAGTCAAACCCAACTCCAGAGCAAGGCAATGCAGAAATGGCTGAAGAGAAAGAACTAGCCAAGGCCCTTGCACTGTTAGCACTTCCTAACAGGTAAAATTCAAGGATTCAAGAACGTTTGTACGAAAGCACATTTTGTCTACCACACCAACAAAAAGTCAATACATTCTGTGAAAGGCTTGTTTTGTTGCTCACTAACTTGGATAGCGGACGTCACATCAGTTAAAGACGGCCTAATATTTATTGTACATTTTTTGTCGGTTCACGTAACGTACGTGGCATACACCAAAGAACAGAAGTAAGTTTTTTATTCAAAAGAGCAGATCGGTAACATAGGCATAGTAAATTACTCCGATTAGTTGACGTTAAACTGATGCTCAGATATTGAGAGCGAAGGATGATTTTGATACGAAACAAAGAGGGCCTGAGGTTTGATTCCAACCATTTCCTTTCAGTCTTGTTCGCGATTTTTGGCAAAAACAACTCTCATGCAAGCGTTTGAAATGCTATCAGATCACCGGCCATTATAATATTACTCATTTGATAACATAAACGCCAACCAAATCCAGGAATTAGATGAATCTTGACAATAAACCTTGTCTCTCGAGAACATAGTTGTTTTCAGAAAACAGGTACTCTATCTGAGTGGCGAACATTATTTATTTATTTATTTTTGTACGTACAAGCAATGTGTGATGAAACCTTAGCTATGAAGAGGCCTCTGAAAATAAATATTTTTGTATCCAGCCGTGTTTGAGAATTTCTTCTTTTTGCTTGTGTTCTTGTTTTTGTCTGCTTTTTATTTTTATTAAGTTTTCAATTATAGCTTAAGAGTTACGGGCTGAAAAGTATCCCATACTGATGTCGCGTCACTGCCAAGATCTCATTGGTTCTTCTGATTGGATGAAACAAATTTTAAACCAATCAGAAGCAGTACCCTAATCTGGGTAGTAACGCGTCATCACAATGGAATTTCTGCGCTCGTTTCTCAGACGTCATTTCGCGGGGGAAACCAGTGGTGGCGTAGTTCAATGTCAGCTGTTCTCTCAGGCTAGGAATAGAGAGAAGGCGGTGGACCTCTATCCTAGCTCTTTCCCCCTTTCCCGAATCAAGAGCGTCCTATTTTCCTTGGACCTAATTTTCGCGCCGTCCCTACTATCTCCGAGCCTAGCTAGAAAACTAAAGACTTAACTAATCGATGACATCATAACTAGTAACCATAGCCACCGATTATCACCAGTTTTACCAAATGCGTCTGAGGAAGAAACAAACAGCTTCTGGTCTGACCTTATAATGTTAAATGGGATCGCGTGGAAGTAAGATTTTGTAAGACATGGACTATCTTAGGTCTCTCTCTCTCGTCTTCTGGGTTAGCTTCAAGATAGCATTAGTAATGTACAGAGATCGTAAAAAAGCTGATGCAAATAACGCGCGCCGCCCCTTTCTCAGATACCGCGCGTCCTGTTTTTCCTTGACCTTGTTTTCGCGACGTCCCTCTTATCTGAGGGCTGGCAGAGCCTAGCTTCAGCAAAACCATAAAAATGATGACCTCTGGGACTCTTCATGCAGAAATATGTGTATTGTAGCATCAAGATCGAGGAAAATGGGACGAGAGCAGGAAAAAAAGTCTTCAGTTCCCAGACAGGATTGAACGCCGAACATTGAACGCCGAATTTCTGATGTTTAATTTGAAAATACATGTAAGTTCGTTAACCTAGTCGTGAGTAAAACAAAGAATATTTTATTTCCAACAAAAACTGCCTATTTATTTCAGTTATCAGTAAACATGTGCAAATATATTAACAAAAAAGGATAGATTAGGTTATTGTTAGTTTCCACTTGCTGTGAGGATCAGAATAGCAAAAGGAACGATTTTAACTACCCAGTTGTCTCGCATCAAAAGTAATGCAACATTTTTCCTACTGTAAAACAAAACCATATCTTCCCTTCCGTGCAAGCAGCATAGTGTTATTCCTATCGAGAATGTCTCCACCAAAGTAACGGTTTTTCCACCACACTATTTATGACGATAATAGCATTGTATTTGAGTCATTCGATGTTTAAAAATTCACTAATAAAACACTATTATAACTAGTTATAATGGCTACCCTCAAAACCGCTGACCTCGTTTTCTCCTGACTCTTCGCCAGAACTATAGTCATTGATATCTTTTTCCGCTATATTCCCCCAGTTCGTATTTTGTCGTATTTTGTGGTGCGCTGATAGCTTAAACGACTGAACAGTACTTAGTAGAGTTTTTAGGCCTTTGTTAACGTCACTTTTCATCTCAGAAAGGTGACGGTCGCCTTCAGTGTAATCTGAACGAGAATTTTGGTCTTCGGACCGGGAGGATGTAGAGGATTCATGACCCTGATTCGCACTTCCTTCTTCGAAGGTGCTAGATTCTGAAATCTCATCCTCGGGTAATAATGATCCACTGTTAGAATAACTGTTTTTATATAGTTGATTGTGATGATTTTGATGTTTTTTGTATTGGGTACCACGTTGCTTGTATTGCTTCCCATGTTGGTGTCCGTTGTGATGGTGATTAAGTTGTTTGTGGTAATGAACAGGATACCCTGTATGATGACGATGGTGGCTTTTTCCTGAATCACGTTCCTGTAAATGAGCAAACTTACTTTTATTATAACGAACACGTACTGAGTTTCTATTTCGATAATATTGGGCTTTAAGCCGATGCTTTACGCTCTTCACCCTTGTTTTCTTGGATTTGCGATATTTTTTGCTACGCAATGTAGTTTTCTTAGGATTTTTCTTTTGTTTTTCAGCGTAAGAGTATTTTTTTGACGGTATATGTGCCTCTGCCTTCCGATTGTCCCAGTTGGTGTGTGTTCGAACCTTCAAATGCTTGCGAAAGCTGGTGGATTTTGCCAGCGAAAGTCTGCCCCGCTCAAGACTTTCTTTAGGGTGATTGCCTCTTCTATAATCATGATAACGTGTATACTTTTTCTTTTTTCTTATTCGCCGTCTCTTTATGTCTCCCTGCCTATGATATTCATATTTTTTGTCGGGGTGAGAATGAGAATGACGAGGTTCGTCTGCATCAGATGACGGCTCAGTATCCAGATTTATGTCCATATTTGCACGATCATCGTCATCATTACGGTCATCATAATTGTGCCGACTATTATCATCATCATCATCATCCTCACTATCATCATTCTCGTCGGCTTTGTGATTATCACCATGGCCACGATCATCATACCCATTAGTATCACCCTTGTCGTCGCCATTATCACTGAGGTCATCATCGTTGTTACTGTTGTAATCTTCATCGTCTTCACTATTGCTGGTTGAATTTTGTCTCGCAATTTCTCTCCGTGAGCCGACACTTGATTGCATCCTCTCCTCGCCTTCCTCTTTCTCAATATCCTTGATTACTTCTTGCTCTAAATCTAAACTCGCATCATCTTGATCGTGTAATCTGTGCCTAAAGCCATTCCTAGGAGGTTCTTCAGAGTCATTATCAAAACTGTCTTGCTCTTGTAGCCTTTGCCTAAAACGTCCATATCGAGGTTGATGCCTATATCTACCTTTCCTTTCTTCAGACTTATAAGCCTCTGTGAATGCATCCTCAAACGTTTTACTTAAGTTATCGAGAGCTTCGGCACTCTTACTGTCTTCCTGGTCTTTTGGAGATTCGTTATTTTCCTTTATGATAAATACCTGAGGAGCTGGAGGGGGAACAGGATAGGCTGGCTTCGGAAGTGGTAATGATGGCAGCGATGGTGCAGCTGTGTGAATAAAATATTTAGTCATCAGTTGAATTTATAGCAAGAATGACCGCTGATATAGGGTCAAGAAACGTATGAATAAAAAGTTGCCAACAACCGAACGCGTGCTATTATCGTATCATAGGCAAGGAAGGAAGCAGTGTGGCACAGCCACCATTCGACTTCGAAATCCCGTGGCTAGCCGACTCTAAAAGCGAAGCTCCTGTCAAATACCACAACCTTTCCGTTCCGTGGGCAAGCTCACCAAATCTCGCTGGTGCCCATAACCTACTGCGTTCAGACCAGGAGCCCATGCGCAAACTGACAAATAAAGGCAATAAGGAGAGATACCTTTTGCCTTAAATTACAACGTTATTCGAAGTGTTATCTTACAAGATAATTGCCCCCTGTTATGACAGAAATATTAGATACTATTGGATGCAACGAGTCATGTTGCTTGATAGATATTTTAACTATGGGATTGATGCTTCATTTCAAATGCATTTCGGTTTTTTCCAAGACCAATTCGACGGACACATGAAAAATTTCTCTCATCGTTGATTCATGTCATGGTTTGAATATTAACCTTTCATCGATGACTCAAAGAAAAGAGAAAGACCCTTGAATATAACACATTCAAAAGGGGATTCATATGCGCTTGGAACTATACTGAAAAGCTACGGAAATGTTTAAAGCATAGAGCATCACTTACGAGTACTTTTTCCGGGCAATACAGCTACAGGAGGGATCTTTATGGAACCTTCATTTTCTGGTGGTGGGGGTAGTGGCTCTCCAGGAGCACCTGGTCCGTTTGTTCCGGGAGGAATAGAAGGTAGAGACTCTTCTGTTGGGTTAGTCTTTGGAGGAACAATTTCTGGCTTTGGTGGAGAAGGTGATCCTGGTTCGGATCCTGGGAGAGAAGGAAGTGGAATCTCCGGCTTCGGAGGGGTTATCTCTGGCTTTGATGGCGCTACTTCTGGTTTAAGTGGCGTTACCTCCGGCTTAGGTGGCGCTAGCTCGGGCTTTGGTGGCTTTGGCGTGTTTCCTCCCAGGACTGAAGGGGTAATCTCAGGCTTGGGTGGAACCGGGGGTAACTGACCAGGGGCGGTTAACGGGGCCGTTGGCAGCGTCTGTGGAATAGGGGGGAGTTGAGGAAGGGTCGGAACTGCGGATGGTGTACCAGGAAGAGGCGGAGGTTCTGCAACAGAAGGAGGCTGAGGTGCTGAGGCAGGCGCTTGTGGAGGTGCTGAAGCAGGTAGCGCTGGAACAGCTGGGTTTACCTGGGTGGAACCTGGAGATTGAGGATATGATAACGGTGGGGCTTGGACCGGCTGAGGAGCTGGAGCTGGTTGCACTTGCGCAGGGTTCGAAACTGCTGCTGGCAGTGTTGATGCTTGCGGATTTTGAGGCACTGGCAGACCTATTCCTTGTTGGGGAACTGCTACTGCGGTTCCTTGTTGAGCTGGTTGTGTCGTCCCTCCAAAGGTACTCGGATTGGAGCATGGGCATGGCACTGTCTTACAACATTCTATTGAATCATAAATCTCCTCATCGACATCTTTACACAAACCACATAAATCTGGGCATCTTCTCTCGCAGCCACAACGGCAATTCATGCCAAGGAGGAAAGGTACGAGACCATTTAAAGCTGCTAAAGGATTCGTAGCCCCTCCCGTTCCTGTATTGCCAGTCCCAGGTACGCGACCATTACCAGCTGTGGGAGGAGCTCCCAATGAAGTACCGGCTGGATATCCCTGGGGACTGTTACTTCCTGGACCTCCACCGGCCGGATATCCTTGATTTTGACCACCACCGGCAGGGTATCCTTGGTTTTGATTTCCACCACCGCCGGCAGGGTAACCTTGAGTTCCAGGTCCACCGGCCGGGTATCCTTGGTTTTGATTTCCCCCGGCCGGATATCCCTGGTTTGCACCTCTACCCGGAGGGTATCCGTAATTTTGACTTGGTGTTTGGTATCCTGCTGGATACGATTGCACAGGAACAGGCACAGGCACAGTCACGACTTTTGGGGGTTCTTCCTTTTTACCCAGGGTTTTCAACAAAGCAACCGTTTGAAGGATATTTCCGAGTTCGTTTTCTTCCTTAACTGGTTCTGGAGCTGGCTGTGGAACAGGTGGAGGTAAGAAAATAGGAGGAAGTGGTGCTGGCTGCGGAAGTGGTGCCGGCTGCGGAAGTGGTGCTGGCTGCGTAAGAGGTGCTGGTAGGATAGCAGGAGGAACAGGAGCAGGCAAAACCATCGGCGGCTGAGGTCGAGGGACAGCAATCACAATCGGTCGCACCAGTGGTTGAGGTCTCGGTGCGGCAATAATTATCGGCTGTTGCTTTCGTTGAGGCCTTGACGATTCGTAAGGTTTCTTATTAAGGTTTATGTGGAGGTTGATGGCCTTATTAGGTGTTATGAAGCCCTGGTTAGGTTGTGGTACTGCTGAGTCTCCTGCAGTTGTGTAAATCTTTTGGCCATTCACATTTACGATAACGCCTTTTGGTGCACCTTTAAACTGTATCCTGCGTTGAATGAAAGCTCTCTTAATATTTGAAAAGGACGCTTTATGCCCTCGCCTAGGAAATACCAAGTTGGAAGACCCTGAAAGATAAATTTTTCATTCAGATTACGTCCTAGTAGTTTCATTGCCCAGAAACAATTTCCTATAAAATATATAACTTCGATTTCGTTTGGCATATATGTTATTTATAACGAACCCTGCATATCGTAATTACGATCTTATAAAATGCTTGGCAAGTGAAGAAAAAAAATTTAAAGAAGAAAAACATCGTGATGTTCCGTAACGGACAGGATCAAGGATCCCCTAAAACGTTCATTCTTCTCCTGGCCGCTTTTCCACAGATAACAGCCTAGAAAATGCCACGAATTCCGAAAGCTCTAGGTGAGATAAGCACCTGGCCTGTCGTAGAACACCCACTATTGGCTAATTATTCTTAATCATAAAACATATTTTTAATCTACTCAAGAGAGATAAATCTAGATTTATTTCGAAGTACAAGACGAAGACATTGTTTTCATGCCCCCTGCTGAACATAGCATCGCCATTTTCCTGATTTCTACTTGGTTACCGCACGCACGCAAGGAGCTGAACAATCCGCTTTCTGCAGAGCAAGGGTTCAACAGAAACATCAGAAAGCCGAGAAAAAAGACATATCGTAAGTAAGAGAACTATTGCAAGAGGGGGTACATGATTTTTGCATAAAACCTTGGGCAGAGAATCCGCTGATGAATACCACCCCTTTCATTTAGCAGTTTGCTACTGTTAGCAGAATTTCCTCGCGATGTTTAAATAATGCATTGCCCTTTTATCACCGAATAGAATTCTGATTTAAAAGAGCAGTTTAATTTAGGACACTTAATCTCTCCAGAAATTTTCAAAGCAACTTATTATGGTTTACGGATACAAGAGAGTTATATATATGCATCATGACCTAAACGCCTTGTTAACAAAAGTAACCGGATAAATTGTATTAATTCATAATTCAGTGAACGTGTCACTGATATGGCTGCCTTCATGATCGATCGTAAACAACAACGGTGGTAGATTTTTCTCGAGATAATCAAAACAACTTCAGTATTAAATCTTCAGTCTCACAAGTGTATCTGCTATCAAGCGTAAAATGCCTATCAATTACCAAACAACTGCCAATCAATTGCTGTTAGATTCTTCATCGAAGTTCTCACATAACCCTTACACAATTACACGGATATGACATTTTATGGAAAATTTTGTTATTCTCATTTCCATTCCTGGGCTAAACATTAAAATAACCACATTTTGGCTAAAAGGACTTTACCTTTTCTTCGTTTAGAATTAGAAGAGTAGCTTTGATCATGTATTCTAAGCCTCGTACCACTCGATCTTAAGCTTGGAATTCGGCGATCTTCAGCAAGATGAACCCCTATGACTGACGTCCAATACACGCACAGCGTGTACAAGAGAAGAAAAATCCTTTTTTTCATGTTGAAAGTCGTCTATAGAGGCATATTTTTCTTTTGGTTTCCTCGCTGGGCAAGAAAATATCAGTTACCATGTTTGCTTTCATCAAAGATTTGCATAAAACTTTTATGATCACCAGCAGGACAACCGGTTTTGTATTGTTATTTAAGTTGGCTAACCGATTTTTTTGAATGTCAATAGTTTGCTTAAGTGTCCCTTTGCCTGACAATACTGACATTCTAACAACCTTTTCTTTCATTTAATGCATCACAAACCTACTACCACTCACGCTTTGTGGTCGATTTCTGGAAGGCTGTTACCATTTCTTAATACCTGACCCAAACATATTACAGAGACGACAATCGAATATCCAACTAATTATAGACTTAAACGGAACATTTCGCATCTCAGCTGGTCAAGAATAGAATGTTTTCCCCTGTAAGGATAACAGGATACTTTTATTGTTGGCCCATTATGGGCGGGAGTACTGCAATGATTTAATTGCTTTACTTTCCTCAGTTACCGCAAATTCTAGCGAGCCGACTCGGTGGAGCTGTCAATTTGACAGAAACCTTCGAAAGATGAAAGCGTTTTTCACATAAACTTCCTATATTAGAACTAAACGACCGTTTATAAAAGCTTTCAATTACTAGTTCCTTTACTCTATTCTCGACTGATCTCGAGTCATGCAGTTGGTAAAGGTAAGAATGCAAATGAACTTCCAAGATAACTTTTTTCAAATAAAACCGCACAGACACAATCTATCATAAACAATTGAACATAAAACGTTCAACTATTCGAATAAATTAACTGCTAACAACTGACTTTCTAAATCACTCAAGATTTTCAGCCCCTCTTGCAAATATGAATAGTCCTACTACTAAGAGAGTATAAAATCTATTAATCTGCCCAACGCCTCATTCTATTTGGATAGGTTATTTGTAATTTATGTAGTAAGGGAAACCTAAGCATTCAATCTTGCTTATCCAACTTATCTGAGAAGGTAACCAGCGGTTTGCCATAGAGCATACTGAGACTGAAAATTATGAGTGGACTTTTCGTGGCATATGTTAAAGTTGCGTAAAAGGATGACTACCTTATCTTTATATTTTTGCTGTTTTTAAATACCTGGGTGGATATCAATGTGATACTCGAATAATGTTTACTAGAGGTCAGTTGTTTATTGGCAGTGTGTTCCCCCCTTATTGACTTCCAACCACTTTCCCTTTGTTCCATGCAACAGTCTTGAAAGCGTCACTTTTAGTCCCTTAACAGACTACATATTTATTACTACATAAAAAGAGCTATGACCAATTGAGTGAATGCTTTTCATGACATTATTATATATCAACACGGGCCAAGAACAAACTGACATTATGTTGTGCAAAAGACAACTTCTATGGGAATACTGTTGATCAAGGATACTTTTCATTGGTTTTCAATGATACAGGCCATTCAGTTGAGTCTGCGGCTTTAGTGAATACCAAAAAACCTTTGGAATCACCAGAAAGGCGACTGTCCCCTAATTGGCGAATTAAGCATACCTACTATGTTCATGGCTATTTCAAAGAAATGTATGCACGTAGTCTTAAAACCCTTTATCAATTTATAATTACAGTTGCCGACGTTGCGTTTTAAGGACTGGGAGACTATCAAAATGCCCTCACCCAGTCGCTATTAAGGGCTCCTACGGTACTCGCAAGACTCAGAAAGAGAAAACTACCTCCATGTGCCCCTGAATGAAACGTCACTGCGTTTGTTATGATAATAAATGCAAATGGGAGGGGCGCAGGTACGAGAAAGCAAATCTCGGACTTTAAAAGCCTCGAAGAGAATACTGTAGTTCTATCTTAACTGCTTGCTATTAGTCTTTTACTTTAGACAAAGCTTGCGAGGCCCAAATGAGTAGTTGTTATATGGACACAACCTGAATACATACTGAAAAATGCAAACATTAAAGAGAATGTGGCCATTAATTAGTCATTTTGACCTTATACATGGAAGACATTGACAGAACATGCTCTGGTGCAGTTAATCCTTGTGGCAAATTTAATTCTCCTTTAATCTTCTCAAACATATTAACATTAGTAATTCATAAAGAAAATACAAATCAGATGAAAAACTGCTCATCTTTGCATCCTTAATTTCTCCTTCTAAAGTCATTTTGCTTGAGAAGTAATGTCAAGCATTCGACACAGCGTTTTATCACCATTTAACATCACTACGTTTACCACTATAAAAGTTCGTACCAAGAATTAAATCAAATTAAATTACAAAGCAGAAATGCTCTGATGCAAAGGGACGATCCATCGACTGTCAGACCTAACTGCAAAGTCTTGCCAGTTGCTAGTAGCTAGTTACAAAATAACATCGCTCGTAAACTACATATCCATTGGTAAACCCGCTACAGTAAAAAATTTCAATAAAAACCAATTTTTTACGTTTAATACCTATTTAGAAAAGTTAAGAACCTTATAAGATACGGTTGCAAAGTGTTGCCATGACACAAGTTACAGTAGAGGGACTTAGAATCACGTTAACGGCAAACTAAAATTTGTACCACCTGACAAAATTCTACCTCTGGTTTGCCGTTTAGTATCATATTTACACAGAAATACGTAGTTTCATGTCAGGGTCATCCATATAAAATATTTATGGTTTTATCTGCTAATCTTGTGAGAAAGTGAGAAAGGTCTACTTGAACTTCGACATTTGGCGTTTGCTCTAACAGGGATTCTAAAGCTACTTTTAAAGAATGAATTCAAACTAGAAAATGTGTCCAGTCTCAGTAATGCCAGTATTGGTAAGAACGAAGTTCCTTTGCTTGAAGCCCTTTTTGTGTGTTACTCTTAAATCTGTCTCAGCCAGTATTGGTGGGATGCAATACACCAGAAATGTTTTCATAGTTGCCAGTGGGAATTGAATTGCAAAGGTCGCAAGTTTTAGAGCAAGTAGCGTCACAACCACACCAACACGAACTCGCAGCATTTGTTGCCGGAGCAACGTAGCTGCCACCTGGTGGAACCGGAGAGGCTGGTGGACTTGCCCCAGCTGGTTGACTCGGGTTACCTGGTTGACTTGCACCAACTGGGGGAATTGGCGCTGCTGTACCTTGGCCCTGACTTGCACCAAGATAACCGCCCGGCGGCGGGGTCACGACGGACGGGCCTCCCCCGGGAACAAGACTTGGTAAAGGAGCCCCAGTATTTTCTCCGGGTGATACGCCAGTGTTTGTAGACGGTGTGGGTGGCAAACTAAGAAATTCACCAGGCGCGGGATACCCCATATTTTCATTACCACCGGCAGGATATCCCATATTTTCATTACCACCGGCAGGATATCCCATATTTTCATTACCACCGGCAGGATATCCCATATTTTCATTACCACCGGCAGGATATCCCATGTTCTCATTCCCACCCGCAGGATAACCCATGTTTTCATTCCGGCCAGCAGGATATCCCATGTTTTCATTCCCACCGGCGGGATAACCCAAGTTGTTGTTGCTGCCTCCACCCGGATATCCCATGTTATTGTTGCCCACAGAAGGGTATCCCATGTTACTGTTACCACCCGCCGGATACCCCAAGTTTTGATTTCCACCAGCTGGGTATCCCATATTTGAATTTGCGGCTGCAGGGTAGCCCATATTTTGATTGCTAGCTCCTAGAGGCCCCGCATTTTGATTTCCACCAGCTGGATAACCAAATCTACCACCGGCGGGATATCCCATATTTCGGTTACCAATAGCTGGATATCCCATATTCAGTTGCCCGCGGGCGGGGTATCCCATGTTAGGTCTCCCAATAGCTGGGTATCCAAAGTTTCTATTTCCTCCACCCCTAGGATACCCCATATTTAAATTATTAAGAGCTGCTGCAGTCGCTAGATTGAGACCTCCAAGTGGTCCGCTGTTCGCCGGGTAACCCAAGGGTACATTACCTAGTGCAGGATACCCCAGGGGGGCCCCACCTTGGGGAACCCCAAGTTGAGGATACCCAGTCAGAGGAGCAGTTAACGATGACCCAGCATTTCCGGGAAGCAATGAACTGAGAGGAGAATTATACGGTGGTATAAGGTTTGTTAACAGGGAGGGAAAAGCTTGTGAGTTCCCTTCAGTCGAGTCTCCACCTAGTCCTTTCAATAATGCTGCCGTTAGCAGTAACTTATTTAGGCTTGATTCCTTTTTCTCCGGTGCTGACGTAGCTGGAGCCGGTGTTACAATAGGCACTATTTGAGGCACTATTTGAGCTTGAGTTTGAACCTGTGCAGGTTGGGTTACCTGGGGTACCACAGCCACGATTGGCTGAGGCTGGGGCTGTGGTTGAGGTGCCGCTATGATCACAGGTCGACTTGGCTCCTTTTCTGGAGGATTCGATTTTGTCACATTGATATGAAGGTTAATGTTGTGCGTTTGTGGCGCAGGAGTTGTCCTTGGAAATGGTGAGGGTGTTGGCGGGTTTGTGGTATTCTGAACTCCGCCAAAGCTGGAGTAAACATTTTTTCCATTCACTTTGACTATAACTGCCTTGGCTGAACCTTTCGCATTCCTCGACTCTTTCTTGCGCTTAGACAATGCTTTCAATAGGTGACTAAAATGTTTTCCTGAATGTAGGAATCTCGAGGGCTCTGTAAGATAAAGGAAATTATTAGTCACTCTAAAGCAATCGTTACAAGAGAGTAACCGTAGTGTCTCTTCAAACGGACACTAAGGAGGACACTTAGTGTTAGTTCTGGCCGGTCCTTCAATCATTCTCTTGACTCTCTATAAGTAGGACACCTCGCTAAGACATGCTGCTTGTCTTCGACGGCACCCACCTCAGAGGGAGTTAACTATACCCCTTTATGCAAATCTTTTCCCCAGAACATTATATTCTCTCTCCCTTTCGGAAGACTCGAAATAGATTGGTACCTAAAGACGAAAGTATATGAAATTTTAAAAGAGGATTTTCTAAACTACGGACGAATTTCAGATCTTAATGCATTTCCGTTATTAGTATAACTCGTTATGGCTTTATTATTATTTTATGCTAAAATACGACCACACAACTCCACGACCCATAAATTGTATGACAGTAGTTCGTGGAACCTAGAGTTGCTTGTGCGTCGAGCCATAAAGTAAGGGCAGTGAGTCGACAAACACACTCACTGTCCTTTTTAATTCGTTTACTCAAAGTCAATAAAACGTAATTACAAGTTTATGATTTTAGGTGGAAAAGAGGAATAAATAGACCTTCCATGTCCACAGGGAAGTAGCAAAACAATGAGTGTTATGAAGGCGCTTACCGTGATGTAAGGTCCTGCCCGTGGGTTTGTTGCGATGATGGTTTACACGGAACAGAATCTTGTGCAACGCCTTGAATTTACTGATGCGATGTTTCGCTAAACGGTCATGTTTGGCTGTTACGTGATACAAAACGATCAAGTTAAAAAAAGTGCATAAAAAAGCGCTTCTCATTGTCATTCATTACTTGTACTTCATTTTCTCACATTACTATCTGAAAATAGGTAACAACACTTCTTGTTATGTCTTGTCTAAATTGAAAGGTGGAATTTAATATTCAAGGCCACCCGCTTTCAACCTGGTCACTGAAATGCCTTGCGCGAAAGTCGCATGCAGACAGGTTCTCTTGTGTGAAGTGGACTCTTGCTTAGTCCAACAATGTTAATATAAACAGACATGATATTTTCGGGTTAAAAAAATAACAAGGAATTTACAGCATTATTGGAATCATAATTTTGTCGGGGCACGTAACAAAGGTGTTTCGTTAGATCGATGACTACTTTAAGAGTTTAAAATACTTCTTCTAAAGGAAATTTGGCAGCACCTTTTCAGCTCCAAATAACACATCAGTAACATCTTACAGTATATCTCAGTATTAGAAACGATAAAGCAATGAAAAGAACTTGTAAAAATAAAGCCTTTAACCTCTCTTTGAAAATGACTTTTTTCAGGAGAAAGGCTATATATTTTTTCCTTAAAAAAGCCTTGCTTTGTGGGATTTTCTAATGACCCATCCAAAAATCGATATTAGCCAGGTCATGCATAGAACTGTCTTTTTAAACAACCTCAAATAACTGGAACAGGCATTGAAAAAATTTCTAAAGGACGGTCTGAATGTCTTCATTTGATTGACAAACACCGGCCTAAAAACATTGAACCAAAAAAACTAAGAGAGAACATTTTCCGTTCAACATTTTCAGTCAAAACATGACCTAAAATGAAGAAACGCTTATATTCTAATTGATAAGTACGGCTTTAAAATGACCACTTTCGAGAGCAGTTTTGAAGTACATATTACATGAGAGTTTCACTAAATTTAAGAAAATTTCCAAACACGCCTCCGACAAGCCTTTAACCGGAGCTTCCAGCGATTTCAGCCTTTAGTGAACATGTTTTGCTTGATCCTTGCTTTAGAGCAGGTAATTGACTGACAAACACTCGGAGACTCCGATATTAACGCTTAATTGCCCCCAAGATAAAAACGCTTGGTTTCAACTGTTTCCTGCCATTTTTTCATCAATTCATTAAGACTATACAGTCGCATATTTTATTCTTAAATTAAAGTAACCTCAACAATGACGGCATGTTTACTTTTCAAATTAACTAAAATTAGTTAAAGCTTGACAAGGAACGCTAATTATACGTTATTTTTTATCATTAATGGACGGAAAAATACGCCAAGGTACGCATTCATTCCTGTGCCATCGAAACCTTAAAAATTACCTCAGATATAATGTTCTTAAAAGGAATGGATTTTTGTTGCATACCACATGGTTTGTAGGCCGTTTATACAAGTCATAAAATGTGCAAAGAAGAAATTTCGAAAAAGTGTCAGAAATTGTCCTGACCTGTACTCGTAAACCTTCATTTCATGGTAGTTGAATTAAGTAGTCTTCGTTTCCCAACATTTTCAGATATTTTTAGCCGAAAGGTGTCAGATTCGTCTGTCCTAACACCTGAAAGAACCTGTTGATCTCTTTGCAATACAAGATATGAATTTTTAAAGGCCAGGCGGTGAATTAAACAAAGCTTTCACGCCGATAGTATGGGTGACCCATTGACTTATATTTCTTTGTCATAATTCCGCTTGGAAAGAATGTAAACCGTAAAATCACATTCCCAATGGTTTGGTTTGTAGTTCTCCTATACAGAAATGAACATCAGAACATGGCGTAGACATTGCTTTGGAAAACATGAAAATAGCGGTGCATTTCTCATCCGGAAGAGTGCTGGATGTGTTGGTTCTGTCATTTGTAATATTTGCCATTACTCCATCTAAAGCGTATCATGAAAATCGACAAAAAAATGAAACTCTTTTGAAGGTAAATCAAGAAAAGAAGGCAAATGAACTATGGACAAGATTGCTGGTCGACAATGTTAAAATACCTTCGCACCACAAAAATGTTAGCGGTGTACATTTTGCGACCAAGCCGTCTGTGAGAAAAGTGGAAAATATAGCAAGTTTACATCGCAGTGGACGGCAAAAGCTAACAGGTAGGTTAAGAAAGTGTCATTTGTATGGCATGTTTGATCAAAACGTTCAAATAAAAAAGCGGTTCAGCTGCCTAACGTAAAATAACTAATCGCATGATGAGTGAATTGTGTCATAACTGTAAGCGCAGCAATCAAAATATATCGCATTGAAAACGTAATCAAACTGTCCATTACACTTCATTAATTGTCATACTAGAATGTATACGCTTTTAGCAGTTATTAACCTGTTAACCAGTTTCTAAATCACTTGTATATTCACTATGTTGTAAGACTGTTGCTTTATAAGAACGTATGTCAAAGCATCGAGTGACATATACATGGACACTCAATCCGTTTTATAACAAGTTGCATTTTGTTGTAAAGCAAGAGAAAAATTAAATACGAAGATTGAGTTGGTTGATCTATCAGATTCGCGCAGCCAACCGGTCCTCTTTAAAACAGAGCAATAGAAACTACAATTATTTATACGAGCGGAGAGCTTGGCTTTAAGACCCTGTCACACGCTTCATTTTAAAGCTAAAACTTGTTTAATTAAGGTTGCAAAGCAATATTGTGAAAAAAAAGGCGCGTATCAATTGCACCTTGAAACATCATCATTTCTCTGTTTTGATTGGTTAAGGAAACGTAGCGCGATGATCCGGACTAGCTTTACAACAGGTTGTTACGCATTAAAAGTCGAGGCCTTATCTTCTCTTCAAACATTGTGAGTTTGCAGAGTAGAAGACAAATCTGCTTAGCAAAAAACTGTCACTCCGTTCCTCTATCTCAGGTGACCAAAATTGTGCGTCTAAATAAATACTTTCGGTCTCTGCATTTTTCCAATCACAAACAGAGGTCTTTCATGAAATCTTCACGATAAGTAGATACCAAATCAATTTTCAACATTTTTCCAAACAAGAAGGTAGTTAACAGCTGTGACTAGCTAAAATCGAGCAATTTGGTTAAGAGAAATACCATGAATAATATTCAATGTGCAATTCTCTCTTAGACTCTTTCCCAATCCATAAGGTCTGGGCGTCAAGTTTAGGTTCTTAAATCTATAACAGGAAAATGTTTCTGTAACATGTTACTTTTTGTTTGCTTATGACTGTTCCTTCCTTTTACAGACTTTATTTGGCGGAGGAGTGCCTTGCCTTTTAGAGGAAAAAAGTACTGGAATGGTGTCTCAGTCACACATCCCTTTTACGACACAAGACTTTATAAAAAGCAGCTTACAAATACCAAGGACCTGGAGGTCGACGATGAGCCATATATTGTACTACCTCCGGATAACACGATCAACACGAAAGAGGAAGCGTTTAAACTTGATGAGGGAGGAGCGACAACGGCCGAGACAACAACACCTTCAACAATACCTCCAACAACCACAACAACGCAGACAACGCAGACAACGATTACTACTGTTACTACACCTACCACACCACTGACAACACCCACGACACTTCCCCCCATCACTACCATTACTACACCCCCTACCACTCCAACAACTCCTCCGACCACGCCCACACCTCCGCCAACTACAAAACCGACGGAGAAGGTGCAGGTGATAGCTATACACGCTGGAACGCCACCTACAAAAAGGGCGTTTCCGACCGCAGCCAACATTAACCTCAACTTAGAAATTGGCGATAACGGTGATGCTAGTCAACCTGAGCAACACGAAAGCGTCCCAGTGACTCCCACGGCTCAGAGCATTTACACTATCAATCAACAAGAGCAATCTGCAGAGCAGCCTACTCCGCAAGTAATAATAGCACCAATGCCGGGGGGAATGGGTGCTTCTCAAAATCAACAGCCTCAAATTATAATGGCACAACCGGCTCAGACACCACCACAACAGCCGCAAGTTGTGTACGCTCCCCAGCCGCCTGCCCAACAACAGCCGCAGTATGTTATAGCACCACAGCAACCAGAACAACCTCAACCAGAATACGTTATGCAAGTACCACAGGCGGCCCAACCACCACCACCACCGCAACCAATTATCATTGCTGCACCAACACCACCCCAGCTCCTGTGCTCTACCAACAGCCGGTCATTCAACCTGTTCAACAGCCTGCTCCAATTTCTACCTCTCCAATGTATCTTCAACAAGCGCCTCCTCCACGAGCAGTCATAGCCGCACCACAAACACCGATGTATGGTCAGCCAAACGTGGCTGCTCCTCAAGTAAGCATTTCTGCGTCACCGCCAGCCTCAATTACAGTGAATTCCCCTGGAGTTCAGTCACCCATAGGAGGCCTAAACAATATGCTTATGCCTGCGTCTTACATGGGAATGCCTCCAGCGAATCCGTTTCTCATGGGAAGTCAAATGGGAATGAACGGCCTTCAAATGCCTCTCTTTCAAAACCCGCAATTATCTTTAAGTCAAGGGTGGCCTTCGCCACTGGGTCAGCTTCCCCAACAATTCCCTTCATCGCCTCTTTTGTCGTCTTTACCTCAAGGATATGATCCTTTACTTTACAGCGGTCTGATCGGAATGTTTGCAAATGCAATTCGTTCGTCCATGATCCAGCCTCAACCAAACGTCCTGGCGTCAGCCTTGGCCCTTGCGGCAAGTCAAGCTCAGGCACGCAATCAGCCCGCTGATCTTCTCACCGCTGCTCTAACCCAGGCCTTGGCTCAAAACTTACAACAGGGTATTCAACCAATCAGCAATGCTAAATTGGTGCAGGCATTGTCGCAAGCCCTGTCTCAAGGTCAGCCTGCAATGCGACAGAATTCGAACGTTCCAGGCTACCCTCCACAACCGCCTCCACCAAACCAACAGCAACCACCACCACCACCTCCACCCAACCAACAACAACCACCACCACCACTACCACCACGACCAGGACCGACTCCTTATCCTCAAATAAAAATTCCTCCTTATCAAGTTGTTCCTAATACGGACCAACCACAGTGGCCCCCTTATCGAGACACTAGGTCCGATGCCGCAAATAATAACTACTCAGTAAACAAGGTTGGTAAAGCACTTGCAAGTGCCCTGATCAAAGCAGCAAGGAAGATAGCTAGTCGAAATCCGTCTGTTACAAAAACAAGTCACAGAGACGCACGTTACAGACACCGAAATCGGGAAAGAGAACGCTCATTTGTTCCTTTACAACATTCGCGTTTAAATTCAAAGACAATGAACCCCGTAAAAACGCAATTAGCTGACAAGGACATGAAGACAATTTTTGCCATGTTTCGTCCATTTTGGAAAAATATAGCAAAGCGTTGTAATCTTAGAGGGTGTCTTTTGTTGCAAAGATGTTCTAGCTAGTTTTTCCAGAGGAGTGCTTATGCCCTCTATTAATTAAGGTATCGTACTGATATCATCTCTTTGGTACAACTTTTGTATCCTTATATTAACGTTAATCAATGTAAATCATGATTCGTTTTCCAGAAACAGTACACAAAGAAACCTTTTTGTAATTAAATTTGTTTTCCACTTTCATTATCAGCTTTTATGGTTTCTTGGAGGGTAGTGAACAAAAATTTGGTGACTCACGTAAGGTGACAACCCATCCCCTTTTCAAATGAAAGAGCCTTATAGAAAACCTGTAGTCCTTAATTTTCGGAAAAACGCGAGTTGACCTAGCCTGCGAACAGCAGACGCATTTCCGGTCGTCGCTCCTCTTCCTCCGAAAATATTTTTTGGAGGGAGAGAAGCGACGACCGTAAATGCGTCTGCTGTTCGCAGGCTAGAGTTGACCTTGTCTTTACAATTATTATTTCTCTCCTTGCATTTTTCCTGTTCAGAAAAGTCAAACGGTGTGCTGTTTTAAATATCTCCTCTCGCAGTCATCATCGCTTAAGACACAAAAAGCAGGATCCTCTTTTCCCATTTTCTAGAATTTTTATTCTCGTATCATCCCATTTTCCTCCAAGTGAGCTTGTCCTCTCTCGGCTAAAAATCTGATTATTTTTTTCATAGCATGATTAAAACAACCTCTTTAATTTCCTATTTCTTCATATTTTTAACTTTCTATCGTGCCAAGATGCAAGGCAGAGGTTTGTTTGTACTTTGATTCCTCTCAATTCCCAATTATTAGTACTGTTATGATCCTCTAAAAGCAGTTCTCAGGTGCATTTTGCCCTCGTTCAACGCAAATTATCACAGTTTCTTTTAAGCATACACCATAAAATGGTTGTTACTTCCACTAATCCCTTGATTTTGTAGTAGTTTCGTGCTGGACCTCCTTGCGATGTATTGTTGCCTTCTTCGTTCCACTTTGTTCCTGCAATGTCTTTCCTTGTGGTGGAACCATGAGAACCGTTTCAAAACTGCTGTCACTCTCAAGACCTGGTGGTGCCTTAGACATAAATAGTGGCCCTGGACGCTGTCCTTGGGTATCAAACGTAATCCCAGGAACTATGTCTTGACTATCAGTTGCACTTGTCGAAGGAACCGATACAGTGTCGGAGGAGCTGTCGAGAGATGATTCACTTGAACTGGCAGTTTTGTGATGTGGTTTGGTTGCACTGTTCCATTGTAACATAGCATTTTCGAGTTGTGAGTTAAACTCGGTTGGTGACTGATTCATTAGTGCCGATTTCCAGTCTTGGTTATCATCAAGACCTGCTTGGTCAACGCTTCCCTTAGATTTTGAACCGTATCCATGAAGTCCATTTATATCGTGAGCAGCTTTTCCGTTTCCCATGGACGCTGAATCAATCATTTTCTCTATGGAATCTAATGATAAATTTGGTAATCTTATCCGATGCCCATCCCGAATCCCTAGATTATTACCAATGCCTTTGCTGCGATAATGGGCTCGTTGATGGATAAATGCTTGCGGTCGTGGCATGAAATGAAATCTGTCGGAGAAACCAAGGGGGCCTTCACGGTCAGGGTTTCTTCCCTCGATTTGACGTTGAAGAAGACTGGCCTGTGTATTGTCTAACCCATCTAGTAAGCCAGGTGTGAAAGTTGCGTCAGTTCCAAAGTGCGTATCGTGAGTATCACCTTGCATGTCATCTTTCTCTGCAAAGGTTTCTCCGCTATCCGTTAAGTCTCGTCTGCTGCTCAGACTACTCTCCGCAAGTCCATTCTCTGGTGCACTCTCAGCACTTGGTTTTAATTCTGTTATACTTTGCTCAGGATAAGCAGGACCTCCATCAAATGGATTTCCGAGGTTTTGGGTGACGCCGTTCTCCCCCCCTGCGTAATTCGAAGGGAGGGTAATAATTTGCGCTCCGTTGTGTTCAGTTTCTTTTTCCTCATTTGCATAGTATTCAGGAGTTTGGTGTGGCTCATTAGACTCTTCATTTCCATTTGACTGGAAAGCAGTCATGCTTTCTGCATAAGGCGCTTGCATTTGTGCGTTGTCTCTGGAAAACGAGGTCTCTGGAATCTGAGCGACTTGCTCGTGAGACAAATACGTCATTGGCTGTGGGACATCGACTTGATTGAATTGTCTCTCTGAACCTAAGGGCCACCTTCTAATAAAGTTGCCTAAACCAGATAACCTTCCTTTTACTAAATAGCCTTCAGAGGGCGTTTTCGTTGCCATCAGCTGTTCCCATGAAACACCCCTGTCAGAGCCAAGACCAATTGGAGTGTATAGCGGTCCAAAGGAGCGGATATTTGGTAACATGTGATGATTCAGGGCATAATTTACCATATTTACATAATTTCTGGTGACGCGTCCTTTATTTTTTGGTCTATTAGCAAGAGAAGGCTGTTGCATTTTGTTCGAGTTTATCTTAGGGTTAACGATTTGCTCAGTTGCATGGTGTAATTTTTCTGATGAATTTTCTTCTCTTTTACTATCGATCAAGGGGTGATGTAATCCATTTCTACGACCTAAGTGTTCTTTGAACTTTAAAACACTGGAAGATTCCTTTGTGACTTGGATTCCTTCTCCTTTTGTTTTATTTGCTAACTTTTTCACCGGTTCCTTTTTTACTTCCATTTTATGAGTGGGCATAGTAATTTGATTACGGCGGCTAAATCCCTTGGATTCACGTTCAATACCACTTCCATACTTGGAAAAACCACTATAACTTTCCCCGTTGTCATAAAAAGGCTGGAAACGAGTTTCAGTGTCCTTATAAACACTTCTCAGAACTGGCTTGTAGATTGAAGGGAAGAAGCCCCTTCCTTGAAGAATATTTAACGTCAAAGCGCGTTCCAATCCGGGCAGACGAGAGGGCCACTGAGAAGAAACTTTGCGAGGATCAGCCATTAAAGACATTTTGTTTTTCCCTATAGGAAACCACTTGTGAGACATTGTAAGAGGCTGATTAACCGCTTGCATACTCGTCAGTTGTGGGCTGATATAACTAGAACTTCCTTGAATTCGATCATCATAAGGACTGGTGTTTCCATTGGGGATGTCCCTGTACAATTTATTAGCTTCTACTTGTATAACCTGAGGATATCGGCCATCTAATGAACTTTGATCATTCTGAGATAGTTCTTTAACGCCTTCTTGCGGAGGAGGAAACGATGGAAAATTTAAATTGTTTTCGACGACTGAGCCTTGATCGGATTCCGCTGGATATTCGCTTTTTTCTTGTAATTCATTTTCGATATTCGTTTCGATATCTGGCTCCCTCATTCCAGAAAAAAAACCCAAGTTCCGAATAGGAAAGAAATTATAATTTGCGGTTGGCATAAATTGTAAACTGTTTCGGAAAGGAAATCGTCTTGCTGGAAATTCTTTTCTTTCCATATAATCATACTGCTGCCGTTGAAAAGGCATCATGGGATACGGCAAGGGAGGGCGAGAAACGAAGTGTGGATTTATAAAGGCTAGGGAATTTAATAAACCTCGTGATCTCATCGCTCGTAAGCGATTTTCCATCTCCATCTGCTGTGCTTGAAACTGTTCTTTCGAATCCAAGAACTGCATCATTTGTCTTTGGTCAGGTCCTGTCCCATAAGGCGACCAAAACGTTCCATGTCCATACTTTTTCGCTGGATAAATGTAAGCCCCACTGATACGGTCTTGGATAAAATGTCTGGAAGTTTTGCTATTTTTTCTTTTATGCATCTTCTGGCTACCCTTTTGAGTCGCTCTTGCAGGTATTGTGGTATTTAACGATTTAATAGTGGGAACCAAAGAAGTTCTACTTTGATTCTTGAAGAGCATGCCTTGTTTCGGCTGATTTTGAGTTGCGCGGACTATGGTTTCCTGTTCACTCCTTTCTGCAAGAGGGTTTTCTTTTCCACTTGATTTTCCCAAGGATCTTGAGTGCACGTGTAAGTCCCTTTTGTGGAAACCGTCTCGCTTTTGTTTGAGCAAAATCATAGATGCGAGTCTAAGGTTAGGGGAAAAATCGTTAAGAAAACCCCAGTTTGGTCCTCCTTTTTCTTTGTCTATTGCAGACTTCCTTTCAGACACTTTTTCGGAATTGAGGTTATCCTTGTAGAGGTTGTAAGTACCAGTTATTGCATGCCTTCGCCCTCGCTGAAATGCGCCAGTATTTGACGTCGAATAAACAACTTGTTTACCATCAATATTTTTGGTACTTCGCTTTCTTAATGACCGAAGAATACTCTTCAGTTTTATAAGCATGGGATCGTTCAGTTGGCCTAACCTTTCGTTCAAACTCGCTGTTACGTAAGACTTTCTTGGTGCTAACCTAGTAGGTCCTTTCACCATCGAGTATGCTACATCTCCAGTTCGAGATGTAGCCTGTTGGTCGGACATTTTTTCGGAAATCAAACCGTCTTCACCCTGGCTTAATTGTGGAAAAACAGATTGGAGGGCGACGTCACCATTGTTGTATAAATCACCATAGTTTTGAATTTTCGACTTGGGTTCCAAGTGATAATTGCTTGTTAATGAAGGATCTGTTGAATCTGGTGGTAGTAAAGGAAAAATGTAACTCTTCTTTCTTTCCCAAATATATGGGATTCTGCCATGTTGTTCAGAGGACACTGTTTCACGTTCAAGACCTTTCCCATACGGGCTATTCAATACATCAGAGTGTAATGTCGCCTTCTGGTTTGAAAAAGAGGATCTATACGCCAAATGGTTTGGAATATATGATAACGCTCTGTAGTGGGCCATCGCTGGATTTTGTTCCACCCAAGGAACCTTTCTCCTGTCGATACCATTTTGAGTGGATAGTTTTTGCTGAACATCAGCGTTGGAAACAAACGAACGCCTTGGTTGACTATTTCCGCGGAAGTACTTATTCCACTGATATTTACCTTTAAGGGGACGATATGTCAAGATTGAAGATCTCTGATGCGATTTTGAAGCGTAAGGAAACCGAGGAGCATTACTACTTCTCGCTGATAGTAACATTTTAAAATTTGAATTGAAAAATGGTCTTTGGTAATGGTTTGCTTTCCAAAGAAAATTACGAGCTCTTTCAACATGATTTTGGACAGCTGGAGACCAGAATGCTTGTTTTACGATCCCCTTGGAGTCATAGAATGGCTTTTCATATTGGTTTCTTTCGGAGACGTAAGGAATTAAGGGAAATTTATGTCCAATGCCACTATAAGGTCTCGGCGAGGACAACGTCTGCTTCCTTTTGTAAATGGAGTCATAGAATGGCATATTATAACGGGTCTTATCTTGGGAGTTTGAAATCCGAGGACCATTACGTCTACTTTCAACAGCATTGTCTACTTCTGATCTCGAATATTGTTTTTGCAAATAGTAGTTGTAGCCATTCTGTGGTATTTGATAACGACTTGGCCTTGACGCATACGACGAAACCTGCGAGGCACTCTTCCGTTTTTCAAAATCACTCTGGAATTGGGCTGTTGAGAATGGAAAAGGCAACAATGTCGACAAAAATAGCAAGCACAACACCCCCGGAGGTGAGTGCATTTTATAAAACGATTCCTCTTAATCTTACTTTCAACATTTGCGAATTACTCCTCAATGTGACCTACAGGAGACCTTAAACACCATGACTTCATCCTTTGAAACAACAGTAAAAAGGCGTGGCGTCAATAGTCGTCATTTATGTACCACCAGATAAAGTAGACAACGGAACATCCTATTTATGTCAAACTTTGCTTGTGTCCAAGGCAAGTATAAGACTGATCGAATACTACTTTTTTTCCTATTTTGAATAGAAATAGAAGAGCGTATTGGTTTGAAAAAGATGGGAGATCATAATCGCTTCATTTAGAAAATGTAACGTCATCGAAAGTGTAATTGCATCATTCGGGTAACGAGGACCCACTTATTAGATTTTAGCAAAACACCTATCAGCGTTCAGGCAACCGTACCTTCGCTTCACATAATCGATCTTAATGATTTTGTACATAACGCGAAAACATAACGGTAAATGTTAATTTCCCTCAATGAAATTAACACCCCCAGACGGCTCAGTGACAAAGAAATTGAAAACTGAGAACGAGTCTAAGTTCCTTTTTTTTCTGTCTGCTACTGTCGTCATTCGGTAGAATTTTAAAAATTCTGAGTAGCGCAAAGCAAAGTAGGACCCTTATCCGCCTGTTTAAAATTTCAAGAGTTAAAAATTTGTGAAATTTTTGGCAACAATCTTCAACTAAAAGGGTGATTTTCAGTACGCCAGTACAGGCCAGGTCTGTGCGATATAGAAAGCAATCTCGTCTACGACCTGGGTAGATCAAACGCGTAGAAGGTTGAAAATCGCAGAAATACCTCCACGCTACATTGCTCGTTATACATTTCCTCTTTACTCATGCGCGCGCATCTTTTATTTCAGGCCCCTCATTTCTAAATCGCCTGCCACGCAGGCTATGGAGAATAAGCTCGAATGTGTCAATTTTCAAATATTCAGCGGTTGAACTGTTACCCTGTTATGAAGCATTGCACTCTTTTGACTAAGTGCGCTGTGTCAATTTATTTACCTTTTGCTTGCCTTATGCTCAGTATTTTTTTTAATCCATCTTTTTGGGGGTAAATTTTTTTTATTAGCTTTATAGTTTAATCCCGTACATCGTCTTCATTAACTACTTGTAACAAGCTTACCATTGTGTACATAATTGTAAATTCTATATAGCTATGATTTTTTTTTAATCTGGTGTGATACTTGTAATTTTTTAGTCTGTAGTATGTTCAGATGAAGAGCCACTTTCTTGGATACGCTGGCATTAAACCATTATTATCATTATTATTATTATTATTATTATTATTATTATTATTGTTATTATTATCATCATTATTATGCCCTTTTTGATACCTATAAAAATGTTAGAACGAACAACAACAAAAAGGCAATAAATATTTTTAAAGACACACAAGGCGACTTTTATTTGGAGTAGTTAGAAAACAGCTAAAAACGCCGAATGCGCAACGGCCTGTCTATTTTTTCTAATTGAAAGTGAATTTAATTCCAGTTTAGTAACACGTCTGATCATATTTACGAAAGAAAACTAATCAACAAAGAAAGAGGTTGCTATACATACCTGCAAAAGTTGAAACGACTGTGGCCGCTTTGAACGACTTCTCTTTTCCATCCCCAGCTTTTTGTTTACCAAATTACTTGGTTCGCGTTTTAGCGAGTTTATTGTTGACCTTTGGTGTAGACATAATGTCATCAGAACCTAAGTACGTAATAGCAGACAAATGAAACACACAGATGATTCCTGTAACGGAATTCTGCTTAAATTTAAGTATTGCTCGTTAATTTGAAAATTTCATCAAAAAGAACAAAAAACTCTTTAAAGTAAGAGTTTTGCGAAACGATATGAGGACATTATAACCAGCGATCAAGCCAAATTCTAGCGACGCTCCGTTGAGGTCTGGCCCCCAGTCAAAATTCGGCCGCGAGAACCTGATTGGCTATGAACCGATAGCCACATCGAGTAGGGAAAGTAAAAAAATCGTATAAACTAATTCAGAACCCGTATTTTGAGTTGTATTTCGATCATTCATGGTTGTCTTAACACATAAGCCAAAACAGCCGGTTCTGTTGGTTAATCTATTCACCCGACGGAGATAGATAAAATGTAATAATTTAATCAATGCAAATTTTGCGGCTATCTCATTCTAGAAAGTAGCCTGGCAGATAGAGAAGAGAGTAAAGTGAAATGGGGAGCGGAGAGCCAAAAAAAACAAAGCAGAAGACAGGAAAATAGAAAATCAAGGGAAAAGAGACGTTTCTTGGTACTCGATGACGGACGGCTGTATTCGAAGGCTAAAAGTCGATCCACGATCCACGATCCACTGTTTTTTTGAGGAAAGCTCGGGATTGTGACCTAAAATACATGATGCTTTATAAAATCAGCATATTTTTTGATGAGTCGCAAATTTCGGTTATTTGCCAAAATTGATACACATAAATTTAGCCTTGGGGGCAGGCTTCATAATGTGACTTGGTAACATGTTTTGCGGGCTATGATAAGAAAGAGGACAGACGAGTGAATATGCGGAAAAAATATGGATACATATGAAGATAAAAGTTAATGGATATATATTTGTTTTCGCTTTTTGTTTATTGATAATTTTCTGCTTACACGGAAAACCACGTCACTTTATTTTGGAAACGCGAACGGAAAAATTGAAACTGCGCCATCATAACCTGCAATAAAGCTCATAAAGTTGTATCTATTTTGTGACTAATGTCTTGACAGGTGCAAGGGTGTGGCTATTGATGGGGTATCTGCATGAATCGTTGACTGCTCGTACACACCAGTACCTACAGGGGATCATAAAAGTCCTATTATGTGATACCGACTGTATTTAGATCAATTGAAACCTTTTTCAGTTCTTAGCTTCTCAAAGCAATGGGGACTTAACCCCTTTATTCCCAAGTGAAATGTGAAAAAGCTATTTTCCCTTTGTGAATCGTGATTTCCATAGAGGTCGTGAAAGGCGATTTTGCAGAATTACTTTTCGTGAAACAAGAAATAAATGTTTAATTCACCGCGAACCATGTTTCTTGACAGTGCTTCATTTTGTCTGTTATTCTCGTAAATTGTGAAACGACCGTTTTATTACCCTGGAAACTTGATCGAGACACCCAAACCCCTCCCCCCACCCACCCCGCTACCCTCCCCGCTTAGTCACTTTTGAACCCGTTTCCCACTTAGCGGACTGGCGTTCTTTATATTCTCTTTGCATATAATTTCTATAATAGCCTGATTATCTACAGGCGTTATCTCCTCCATGTATTTCAAATCTCCTATCCCCAGACCATAAGAAAGGCCTGATACTCAGGATATATCAATAAAGGCGGATAACAAACTGGCAAACATTTCCTTTATAAAACCTCCTGCCCTTTATTTAACATCAATAAACTTTCCATGGCTACAAGAAAATTAAGTGTAATATCTCTTGAACTATAACAGCATTATTCTTTATCGTCCCTGTTTGGTTAGTATGCAGGAGTGGCTGTCCGGCTTGGATGTCTAAGCTTGTGCTTTTGGAACTTCCTCAATGAAGATTCGCAACACAGAAGCATATCCAGTGTAGGCATCATAGTTTCCATTACTCCACCCATGGCATTTACCGACCCAGAATCCCACGCGCACCTTTCCCTTGTGGACGTTGTTACAGTAGCCCTCAATATGGCGGACACGATGAGGATTTTCAGATTTACTGGCCACGTACACGATGCCTTCAATGGTTAGGGGAGCTGAACATTCTGCACCGTTAAAAGTAAAGTACCAGCGTTTGCAGCAATTTGAGCACCCACGCACACAAAGAGCACCAGTCCAGTATACATGAAGAGCTGTGTCAGAGAAGTTTTTCTTGAACACACAGTCCTGTGCAAAAAAAGAAATACCACAAACTGAAAGAAACTCTACCCTTAGAATCACTTCAGAAAGGAAAAATTGGTTTAGCTCAATAATTAGCAAAAATATCGAGACAAAACATTTTAAAGATGTTTTTCTCAAAAATCTACTAGTTTTAACATAAATGTGGTAGCTCAACCAATCAGAACGCAGCATTGATAATAGACCACTAGCTGGATTTTACTAAAAAGACATAGTCGTTAAAACATGAAGGCAAATTTTCTTCACATGGAAGGAGAAAACAGACAAATTAAAAAACCTTGATCAGCCCGTGATCTTTGCCATCATTAATGTTGCTCCAAACGCATTCCTTCCAGTTTTTAAAAGCCATCAGACCTGGATTCCCAGGGGTTCCACTTAATCCACTCTCCCCGCGTTCCCCCTTTTGTCCTGGGGGTCCTTGGGCTCCGCGTTCCCCTTTAGCGCCCTCCTTTCCATTAACACCAGGGTTTCCGCTAGGTCCTGGAGGCCCCTGGGGTCCAGTCTTCCCTGGGATACCTTGGTCACCTTTAGCTCCCTCACGGCCATCTCGTCCGTCGCGGCCTGGTAACCCAGGGGAACCAGGTTTGCCATGCATGCCGGGAATACCAGCATAGTAGACTGATGGGGCCTGGTAATTTGGAAGTAAAATAACGTACATAATTGTCAGTGGGCTTTGGTAATATCATTATTTAAATTAACCATTTGTTAAAATTCCTTTTCCTTGTAGATAAGATCGACACATAATTTTTCCTCAAACATTAAACACTGTAAGGAAATGTATACTTTTTGGCTTCCAGTTAGTTGCTGCCTATACAGGAAGTACTGTTGATATTAAGATTGTTTATTCAATGCGCCAAGTTTTCATGTATATCATCAAAAATTTACATATATTTTGTCTGACTTATCAGAGGCAGTTTCTGTGTCACCTACCATGTTGTTTGATGGCTGATTTTTATTGCCACTTGTTGTACAAGCCAAGAATAATATGGCAAACAACGCTATCAGACAAAGCGACATCTTAAACGGGTAAGTTACCATTTTTTCGTGCTTTCCTGCGAACAAGATTGAAAACATTGTAATACGAAACCGAAAAATAACAACACGAAAAGAGTTGATATGTAGAAAAAGTCCTCTTGCTTGACTAAATGAAAGACATCTCACGGCCCGCGAACTTAAGTTGTGCCAATAATAAAAACGCAACTGATTCTCGCCCTATTCATTGAAGAACAGGTGGACTTTCGTTGGTAAATATTTATACCAATCGGATGGATGAATTTAAAGCCAGTGATGAAAGCTATTGCATAGAATTTTACTGAGAAGTTTATCTTCTGTAAAGATTTTTGATTTTTTTTCTCCAAAGTCTTTTCCTAATTCAACAAAATAAAGACTTCAGAAACCATCGTGACCATGTATTCTGTAAGCGCAACAATTCGTTTATGACTGTGTTTTATGGAAGAATGATTCCAAGATTGTAGCCGTTGTTATTTGGCATTGCTTTTCTGCTAAAAATTAGTTCATGCCATTTTGATCTGCTTGAATCTTCGTAATTTGAAGAACAAAAAGATGTGATCGAATATGTTATGTCTGTTTCAAAGTTTATCTCTCCTCCGTTTAGAAAAATGGGTACACATATCATAATTCAGTAATCACCAATATATTCATCACGAAAAACGCCCCGCAAAACGACAGAGTTCCAGTTCCATTTCCTTCTCCCAGAACAATGGGAAATCAATTATTTTCCACAAGACAAATGACTTTTTGTTGCGGGGCTTTCAAACTCCAGAGACTGGTGGACTGAGCCATTAAAAAACAGTTCGCGAAATGGCGAGTGCCCGCATCTGCAACAGGCGGCTTCTGTCAGATTCTTCTAAAGAAATGTTTTTGAACTAATGTGCGACCAAGAACTATTTCAGAGCCGTAACCGACTTTTTTGTATTCTGCGATCTCAAATTTAGGAGACTCGTGAACAGAACAGTTAGAAAACTGACAAATGAGAAGGCTACGCTCTCGTATCGAGAATAGCAGTTTCTATTTTAAATTTAGGCTGAATCGAGTAACATTTGGAGTGGAGGTGGCGACTGAACTTCAGGTTACTTCTACTTCAGCTTAAGTTTTGCACGATAAAACACTAAAGAAAGAGACTATAAGACATACCTGTAGAAGCGTAGAAAGTCTTCTTTTTCGTCCGAGAACTCGTGAAATGAACAAACCGCAGCGAATGAACTCCTTTTTCTCATTTTCTATCTTTTGTTGACATTGTTTGATTCGAGTTTGTGCGAGTTTATTGTTGACCAGGGCCGGCTGAAAAGGAAGTTCCTTCAAGTGCTTCTTTGTTGACCCTCAGTACTTGATTGTTATTATAAATTATCCGATTATTCTCATAGTTAGTTACATTTCAAAACCATAGAATTATTTTTTAAACGGAAAGTAAGATTTCGCAAAAAAGAACTGACGACATTTTGACAAGGCTGACCTTTTTGCTAATTGTGTTGTAACATGCAGTCACCCCTCAGTATTTCTACTGAGGGCACTCTTGTATTCTTTCGCGTGGCCTACCCTCCTCGAGAATCTGAAGACAACTGGCCTTCGTTTAAACTTCGTACGCGCAAGAAATTTTTTCTAGCAATTTTTGTTTACAAGTATAAACGCTGCCTGAAAGCGATCTGCAGGCTTATCATAAGTGTTCGCGCTGTATTAACAGGTTTTTAACCATAAAATAGGCTTGGATAAATTCTGCGGGCAGAATTTCGAGCAGAATAAGCGATTTTTCAGGCGAGCATTCTGCCGGCAGAATAAGGCATTTTCGTGCAGAATATGAGCAGAATAAGGGGATCGGAAATCAGTGGCACTAATGATATGCATAACAGTTGTAAGAAAAATTTAAAATAAAATAAAAAACACATGGAAAATATCTTGTGATTAATTAGCTACAAGGCGCTCACATAATTAAAACTAAGATGAATTACAATTTTGCTACGCATAATGAATATCCATAATTAGTTTTTAGGGAGTTCGGCCAAGGCTCCCTTCTATATTTGCGAAAATAAATACGGCCCGAAGGGCCGAACATTTTTTCCGATACCGAGCAGAATTAGAGCAGAATAAGGGTGTCCAAGCAGAATTTTGAGCAGAATAAGCGATTTTTACGAGCACTGCTTGCAGGCAGAATAAGGATTTATTCAAGCCTACAATTAGACCCTCTGATGCGTTTTCTCCTTTGCTTGCAGACAGTCAGGAATGCATAATCGAAATAGAAAATAAACAATCGGATTTTTTAGTTGAAATCACCGAGATGCGCAATCAACGTTAAACAAGACGATGTTTTATATGTATTGAAATTGATTTATAGCTAAAAGCTGTATACTTCTAGCTATCTTTGTGTTATATTAAGTAATAAAAATATGCTAAATAGTTTTACAATGTAATACTGAGCGTATTAGTCTAAATTTTATTGATCCCAAGATAGCATTTGTCCTGCTTTTTAATTATATTATCTTTATATCTTGGTGCTGTAAAATCAAATCTCAATAATTACCACATTTGACTGTGCAGCTAAATTAAATGACAAGCGATAACTTATTGTTTATATGTAACAGATGCAAATTTGTAGCTTTTCATTGACGTTAAGAAATAAAAAAATTCGCCGGCAAGGGGCCAAGATTCCCCAAAATTTTCTCTGTATATCGGTATAGGAAGACAATCATATATCGCAGTTAATTTGTTAATTTGATTGCGAAGTTTTTGTACATACTGTAAACGGATCACACATTTCGCTACAATGAAATCAGTAAAAATTGACGGTACAATAACCAAGGGGAATAGAGAAAGACATATTTCTTCACATATTTAATTCCGCCTCTTCTTAGCAAGCGAAATTTCCACATTTTTAAATAGAAAGAGCTAACGACGAAATTTGTATTTGTGTAAATTGTTTACATTTCACGTCAATCAAAAACCGACCTCGTTTGTATATATTTGTATTGTTTCTTCTTTTGTAAAACTTTTGTTTGACGGTTCTAAAAAAGTATATGCACAGCTATCCACACCGAAAATAAAAACAACAAAATATTCACGAAAAATATTTGAAAAGGCCACTGTAAAGGATATCGACATTTTAGGTTTTTTGCTACTATTTACACAAATACGTACCAACTTGTAGACGGGAAAACATGATTGAACTTCTACGTCGTCTGGAATGAGGAGAAAAGTAGAATGACTCCACAACATCGCTCTGAAACTCCCCAACACAAATGACGCTTTCGGAAAAATATGACTTTTAGGAATAAACTCCTTCATTTTGAATTCTCATACAAAACTGGTAAATATTCTTAACCAAAATTGTTGATCTGAAATGCGCTACGCTGTCGATAATTTCGAGTTGCGGTTCCTGTGTTGAGGTGAAAAGAATTCGCAATTTGCACATCTCCCATAATACATCTTTGCCCCGGGTCCCTTCTCGTTTTCCAATATGGCGGTGGCCGGTAGGACTGAAAACCCGAATTCTCTTTTCCTGCCTTCACCATATTGTAAAACGAGAAGACTCTAGGAAGAGGATGCGAAATCATCGTGTTATAATTAGCCTAATAATAATCTCTTTTTCAATGTACAGCCGTTCTGTTTGCGTTTATTTATTTTTATGGTCCCTCTGACATGGCACATTGATGTTAGAATATTAACTTTTTAATCCATTCGGTTTGCTTAAAATGAATCGTACCTTTCTTTCGGTATTTTCCCCCACTATTTCAAACATTGAAATACTATTACACTGTGATTGCCTGAAAGATTTTGGACAATTCATAACACAAAATTTAAGCATATATGTATGAAATCCGAATAATAGTAAGGAAAAAGGATAGAGATTGTATGTATGGCCATTTTGAACGAGCCTCTGTTTACACGTTTACACCTTACGGAAAGCTCTGTCACACTTTCCCAAAAACGCGTAATCCGATGGATAGGGGGGAATTGACCCACGTCTTGGCATAGGGGTCCGGGTGCGGCCGAGAGTTCAAAATCCTGACCTTCCCCTAAGGCAATTCGAAAGGTCGTTCGGAACGAAGCATATGGAATGACTCATTACAGACAGGTGGAGCGTGAGGGCAGGAACAGAGGGAGAAGCTGCATCCTTGCTTTTAATGCCCCACCAGTCTTTGCGCCGAAATTTAAATGACGAAAAGGAGATATAAGTAGGAAACAGCTTGATCATGGTTAGAAAAGAGAAAAAAATCTGCAAAAACTACCAAACAATAAACCTTCTTCGGACCTTTTCTTAGCTTAGCTTGTCTCAGCGGAAAATGATTAAATTAAAAGCCCACGTTTTCTTTTTCTTTTTTTTTTTTTTTACATTTCATGCATTTGCTTCAAATCTGAGCTGTAATAACAATCAAACAGTTTATTTTCTTTTGGCTACCTCCTGCAACATGTTTATTATGAGCAAACTTTACACAGTTACAAAGCAATTAACTGTAGTATCCCACAAATAGAAGCGCTATTGTTTACTGTCCATGTCTGGTTAATATGCAGGAGTGGATGCACCGCTTGAAGTTCTAAGCTTGAGCTTTGGGAACCTCCTCTACAAAGATGCGGGACACAGAATTCAATCCAGTGTAGGCGTCATAGTTTCCATTGTACCCTTCGCATTTACCAACCCAGAATCCCACTCGCACCTTTCCTTTGTGAATGTTATTACAGTAGCCTTCAATGTGGCGGACTCGATGAGGATCTACAGTTGTGCTGCGGACGTAAACAACGCCATCAATGGGTAGGGGAGCGGAACATTCTGCACCGTTGAAAGTAAAGTACCAGCGTTTACAGCCAGTGCTTGCACGTACTCTAAGTGTACCAGTCCAATATACATGAAGGGCTGTGTCAGAGAAATTTTTGCTGAACACACATTCCTATACAAAAAAAGAGAAACAGATATTCTAGTAAAAATATACCACTAAACAGTTGTCTTGTGTGCTTAGAGACAAGGGAAATGAAAACTGGTCATGATCTATTCACGCCCTTAAGCTTCTTCTATATCTTTTGTCCCCTAGTTTTTCTTTGGTTTTTGACGCTATTGTTTCATTATCATTTCATTTTTCATAATTTCATAGCAAGATCTTGTTTTATGGTAATGATAACTTACACCCAATTGATTTTTTAAATTACTGAGTATGAAGGTGATAATGTATTAGTTACTAAGTGAAGAGCCATATTTCTCTAGTATTATTATTGTTATTATTTATATTATTATTATTAGGCAGTGGTTATTATTTTTCCTTCTTTATGAAAACAAATAAAAAACTTCTCTTTAACCCTGATTAGACTTGATGTAATGAACGGGTAAAAAAAATGTGTTTACCTTGATCAGCCCGTTATCTTTGCCATCATTGATGTTTTTCCAAACGCATTCCTTCCAGTTCTTAAAAGCCATCAGACCTGGATTCCCAGGGGTTCCTCTTAATCCACTTTCCCCGCGTTCCCCTTTTTGTCCTGGGGGTCCTTGGGCTCCGCGTTCCCCTTTAACGCCATCCTTTCCATTAACACCAGAGTTTCCGCTAGGTCCTGGAGGCCCCTGGGGTCCAGTCTTCCCTGGGATACCTTGGTCACCTTTGGCTCCCTCACGGCCATCTCGTCCGTCGCGGCCTGGTATTCCAGGGGAACCAGGTTTGCCATGCAAGCCGGGAATACCAGCATAGTAGACGGGAGGGGCCTGGTAAATTGGAGGAAAAATAAACTACAAATTTGTCAATCGGCTTTGATGATATCATTACCTAAATTGAGCAGCTGTTACAATTCCCTTTTTTGCACGTAAGAACCGCACATTATAGATTTTCCTCAACGATATAACACTGTAAATAATACGATTTTGCGTTTCAGTAAAATTGTATACTTTTTAGCTTAGAAGTCTCATTTGCTGCGTAATAATGTTTACAGGAAGTACTGTTGAACAATGATATTTGAATTAAGATTGTTTATTCAATGCGCCAAGTTTTCATGTACATCGTCAGAAATTTACATATATTTTTGTCTGACTTATCACAGGCAGTTTCTGTGTCACCTACCATGTTGTTTGATGGTTGATTGGTTTTGTTGCCACTTGTTGCACAAACCAAGAATAATATGGCAAACAACGCTATCAGACAAAGCGACATCTTAAACGGGTAAGTTGCCATTTTTTCGTGCTTTCCTGCGAACAAGATTGAAAACATTATAATACGAAACTCAAAAGAGTTGATATGTAAAATACAACAAGGGGAGAAAAAGTCCTCTTGCTTGAATAAATAAAAGATATCTGACGGCCCGCGAAATTAAGTTACGCCAAAAATAAAAAGGCAACTGATTCTCGCCCTGTTTTTTGAAGAACAGGCGGACTTTCGTGAGTAAATATTTATACCAAACGTGTTTTTTTTGGATTAATTTAAAACCAGTGATGAAAGCTATTGCATAGAATTTTACTGAGAAGTTTATCTTCTCTAAAGATTTTTGATTTTTTTTTTCTGTTTAGTCTTTTCCTAATTCAACAAAACAAAGACTTCAGAACCCAACGTAACCATGAATTCTAAACGCGCTACAATTCGTTCACGGAAGAATGACTCCAAGATTGTGGCCATTGTTATTTGGCATTGCTTTTCTGCTAAAACTTAGTTCGTGCCATTCTTGTTTTGCTTAAATCTTCTTAATTTGAAGAGCAAGAAGATGTTATCAAAATATCATCTGCTCCAAAGTATCTCTCTCCCTTCCATTTACAAAAATGGGCACACATATCATAATTCAGTAATCACCAGACAGAGTATATTCATCCACGATAAACGCCTCGCAAAACGACAGAGTTCCAGTTCCATTTCCTGCTCCCAGAACAATGGGAAATCAGTTACTTTCCACAGCGCAAATGACTTTTTGTTCCGGGGCTTTCAAACTCCAGAGACTGGCGGATTTAGCCATTAGAAAACAGTTCGCGAAATGGCGAGTGCCCGCATCCGCAACAGGCGGCTTCTGTCAGTTTCTTGTAAAGAAATGTTTTTGAACTAATGTGCGACGAAAAACTATTTCAGAGCCGTAACTGACTCTTTTGTATTCTGCGATTTCAAATTTAAGGTACTCGTGAACAGAGCTGTTAGAAAACTGACAAATGAGAGGGCTGCGCGCTCGTATGGGGAATAGCAGTTTCTATTTTCAATTTAGGCTGAATCGAGTAAACTTGGAGAGGGCGACTTCTACTTCTGCTTTGGTTTTGCACGACAAAACACTAAAGAAAGAGACTGTAAGACATACCTGCAGAGGAGTAGAAAGTCTTCTTTTTCGCCCAAGAACCCTTGAATGAACAAACCGCAGTGAATGAACTCCTTTTCATCATTTTCCATCTTTTGTTGACATTGTTTGATTCGAGTTTGAACAAGTTTATTGTTGACTAGGGGCGCTGAAAAGGAAGTTCCTTCAAGAGCTTTGTTGTTGACCCTTAGGACTTGATCGTTATTATAAATTATCCGATTATTCTCATAGTTAGTTACATTTCAAAATCATAGTTATTTCTTAAGCAGAAAGTAAGAAATCGCAAAAACAAATGGCAACATAAGGGCAAGGCTGACCCCTTTGCTAATTGTGGTGTAATGCAGTCAGCCCTCAGTATTTCTACTGAGGGCAATTTTGTATTCTCTCTCCTGGCCCACCCTGCTCGAGAATTTGATTGGCTGTTTCCAATAGGCACGTCAAGAGAAGTAGTAGTATGTGCTTGAATCGCCAATCGGCAGACAAATCCGCGAATTCACGCGAAAAACTAGAAATCGGTCGTTCAGGAATACAGTTGCGCTCCTTGTTGCAGGACAACTGGCCTTCGTTCAAACTTCGGATTCCTTCCAGCAATTTACGTTTACAAGTATAAACGCCACATAAAAGTTATCAGCTTTATCACATGTGTTCGCGTTGCATTAACAGATTTTAACCGTAGAGTGATTTAACTTCAAGCCTGAAATAGGTAGTAGAATACTGCGCACTGTTATGCACTAATTCTATAGTCTTCTTTTGTTTACCTTTCGCTATTTTGCTTTGTTAGTATCTATTTCACGGTTCAAGTAAAATCACTCTAAGACCCTCTGTGACGCATTTTCTTCTTTGCTTGGAGACAGTCAGAAGTACATGATCGAAATATATAGAAAACACAAAATCGACTTTCTAGTTGAAATCACCGAGATGCGCAATCAACCAGGACGATGTTATATATGTATAGAAATTGATTTATAGCTAAAAGCTGTGTACTTCTACTTGACTGTGTAATGAGTAATAATAATCTGCTAAATATTTTTACAATGTAAATCTGGGCGTGTTAAATTCCATTTATCCCAGTATCTTGGTGTTGTAAAATCAAATCTCAATAATTACTACATTTGACTGTGCAGTCAAATTAAATGACAAGCGATAACTTATTGTTTTTCTGTAACAGATGCAAATTTTTTAGCTTTTTGTGACGTTAAGAAATAAAAGCATTCGCCTGTAAATCACTTGCCATGTGTAGTACAGGGCCGGCATGCAAGGGGCCAAGCTTCCCAAATATTTTCTCTGTATATCGGTTTAGTAAGACATATATCGCACTTAATTTGTAAAATTGATTGCCGAGTTTTCGTATATAATATAAAAGGATCACACATTTCGATACAGTGAAATGGCAGTAAAAATTGACTCTACGGCAACCAAAGGCGATAATGAAACACACACTTTTCTTCATATATTTAATACCGCCTCTTCTTAATAATGAAATTTTGTTTTCAAAGCGAAATTTCCACATTTCTAAATAGAAAGAGCTAAGGACGAAATTTGTATTTATGTAAATTATTTACATATCACGTTATTTCCAAAACCGAACTCGCTTGTATACATCTGTATTGTTTCTTCTTTTGTAAAACTTACTTGACGGTTCTAAAAAGTATAATCACATCTTTCCATACCGAAAATAAAAGCAACAAAATCAGTGTCATGAAAAATATTTGAAAAGGCCACTATAGAGGACATCGACGTATTAGGCTTTTTGTTACTATTTACATAAAAAGGTACCAACTTGTAGACGGGAAAACATGAAATTCTACATCGTCTGGAAAGAGGACAAAAGTAGGCAGAATGACTCGATAAAATCGCTCTGAAACTCCCCAACACAAATGATGCTTTCGGATAAATATGACTTTGAGGAATCTTACCTTCATTTTGAATTCTCAAACAATACTCTTGATCTGAAATGCGTCACCCTGTCGATAATTTCGACTTAAGGTTCCTGTGTTGAGATGAAAAGAATTCGCTATTTGCACATCTCCCATAATGGCACCTTCTTTGCCTCCATCCTCCCCCCGCCCCACCCCCCAAACAAAAATATTGCGTAACCTCTGTTTTTTTAATCTCTTCTGGGTATTACAGCTTTCCCAGGAGAAACTGAAAACAATGCATGTGCAAATTTTGGGGGGCAAACAAGATGCATTATACTTGAGAAGATGTGGAATTAGCGATCTCCGACTTTGCCCCAGGGTCTTCTCGTTTTCAAATATGGCGGTGACCGGCAGGACTAAAAAACCGCACTATTATGTCGCCCGGTAAAACGAGAAGACTCTGGGAAGAGGTTGCGAAAGCATCGTGTTATAATTAGCCGCTAATAATGATAATCTCTTTTGCAGTGTACAGCCTTTCTGCTTCTGTTTATTTAATTTCTATTTGATAGTTTTTCTGACAAGGCACATTGACGTTAGAATAACATTTTTATTCCATTCGGTTTGGCTTAAAATGAATCGTCCTTTTTTCGTTTTTTTCTCCCACAATATTTCAAACATTGAAAAAAACTATTACATTGTGATTGTCTGACAGATTTTGGACAATTTATAACTTAAAAAATTCAAGCTTAAATGTATGAAATCCGAAGAAGAGGAAGGAAAAAGAATGGGGATTGTTTGTACGGCCATTTTGAACAAGCCTCTGTTTACACGTTTACACTTTACGGTAAGCTCTGTCACGCTTTCCCGAAAGCGCGTAATCCGAGGGGTTAGGTAGAATTAACCCACGTCTTGGCATAGGGGGTCTGGGTGCCGCCGAGAGTTGAAAACCCTGACCTTCCCCCACGGCAATTCGAAAAGTCGTTCGGAACGAAGCATATGGAATGACTTAGTGCAAACAGGTGGAGCGTGAGGGCAGGAACAGAGGGAGAAGTTGCATCCTTGTTTTTAATGCCCCACCAGTCTCTGTGCGGAAATTTGAATGACGAAAATGAGATTTAAGTAGGAGACAGCTTGTTCATGTTTATAACAGAGAAGAAATCTGCAAAAACTACCAAACAATATAACCTTCTTTTGACCTTTTCTTAGCTTAGGTTGTCTCAGCGGAAAATGGGATTCAGTAAAGCCCGCGTTAATCTATTTATATTTTTACACTTTATGTATTTCTTCAAATCTGAGCTGTAATAAAAATCAAACATTTTATTTTCTTTGACTGCCTCCCGCAACTTGTTTATTATGAGCAAACTTTACACAGCTACAAAGCAATTAACTGTAGTATCCCACAAATGAAAGCGCTATTATTTGCTGTCCCTGTTTGGTTAATATGCGGGAGGGTCTATCTCCTCTGGAAGTCTAAGCTTGAGCTTTGGGTACCTCCTCTACGAATATGCGGGACACAGAATGCCATCCAGTAAAGGCGTCATAGTTTCCATGACTGTACCCATCGCATTTACCAACCCAGAATCCCACGCGCACCTTTCCTTTGTGAATGTTATTACAGTAGCCTTCAATGTGGCGGACGCGATGAGGGTCTTGAGATTTGCTGACCACGTACACAACACCATCAATAGGGAGGGGAGCGGAACATTCTGCACCGTTGAAAGTAAAGTACCAGCGTTTACAGGCAACATTAGCATGGACTCTAAGTGTACCAGTCCAGTACACATGAAGGGCTGTGTCAGAGAAGTTTTTGCTGAACACACATTCCTGTGCGAAAAACGAAACAGATATGCTAGTAAAAATGTACCACTAAACAGTCTTCTGTGCTTTGAGGCAAGGGAAATGAAATGAAATGAAATGAAATGGTTATGATTTATTCACGCCCTTAGGCTTCTTCTTCTTGTCCCTTAGTTTTTCTTTGATTTTTGATGCTATTGTTCCATTATCATTTAATTTTTCATAATTTTATAGCAAGATGTTGTTTTATGGTAATGATAACCTACACTTAATTGATTTTATAAATTAGTATGAAAGTGATAGTGTATTAGTTACTAACCAGTGATGAGCCATATTTCTGGTAATGGATATATCGTCAATAAATTCTTACTATAGTATTATTATTATTGTTACTATTTATATAATTATTATTAGGCAATGGTTATTAGTTTTCCTTCTTTATGAAAACAAATAAAAAACTTCTCTTTAACCTTGATTAGACTTGATGTAATGAACGGGTAAAAAAAAATGTGTTTACCTTGATCAGCCCATTATCTTTGTCATCATTGATGTTTTTCCAAACGCATTCCTTCCAGTTCTTAAAAGCCATCCGACCTGGATTCCCAGGGGTTCCACTTAATCCACTCTCCCCGCGTTCCCCCTTTTGTCCTGGGGGTCCTTGGGCTCCGCGTTCTCCTTTAGCGCCATCATTTCCATTAACACCAGGGTTTCCGCTCGGTCCCGGAGGCCCCTGGGGTCCAGTCTTCCCTGGGATACCTTGGTCACCTTTGGCTCCTTCACGGCCATCTCGTCCGTCGCGGCCTGGTATCCCAGGGGAACCGGGTTTGCCATGCATGCCGGGAATCCCAGCATAGTAGACGGGAGAGGCCTGGTAAATTCAAAGTAGAATTGATAAAGTTCATATTTGTCAATTGACAGGCTTTGTCAGGTTGACATCATTAGTCAAATTGAGCAGCTCCACAATTTCTTTCCTTGTAGATTAGAGCCATTACATTTTGAATTTTATTTCAAAGCTAAAACACTGAAAGGAATACGATCTGGCGTGTCCGCTGAAATTTAGACCTGTTACCTTAAAAGTTTAAGTTGTAAAACAGGAAGTACTGTTAACAGTGAGAATTTGAACTAAGACTGTTTATTCAATACGCCATTTTTTCCTGAACATCTTTAAAAAAATTTACATACGTTGTCGTCCTTATTAGACTGAGACGCATAACCAAGTCACCTACCATGTTGTTTGATGGCTGTTTGGTCTTGTTGTCACTTGTAGCACAAGCCAATAATAATATCGCAAATAACGCTAACAGTATTAGCGACGCCTTAAACTTGGAAGTAGCCATTTTCATGTGATTTTCGATGATTTCCTGCAATATGATAAACAGCCTATGAAACTTACAAATAACGTGTTGCATTAACAACAGGGAGAGTAAAATACTCCAAGTTTTTCCCATGTGGTGATTATACTACAAAACTTGGGAAAATTTTTTCCATGTCTCAAATAACGTGACTAATCACTTTCATCTTTCACTCTCATTTACGTTTTTCTACATACTGTACTTCGCAAGGTTTTGCAAGGCTACGTCTTTTCTGATGGTTAAAATACTGAATGCAAATTTCTTTTGGTACTTTATATTAATGCTGTGCATATTGTCGTTAATAAATTGTTTGAATTTTAATTGATTTTAAAATTGTTCAGTGAATTAAAACTTTAGTCAGTCGGGTTTCTCGTATTTTCACTTGCTAATTTTGGGGTTTCTTTTGAATTTTTTTAGGTGTGTGAACCTTTATTTACTTAACTTATTTGTTACAAACTCGAAGTAAAATTACTAAGAAATACTCTGTTCTCTTTACTTGAGGAGTTACGGAGTACTGTTTCGTCTTGACAAGTGGATACAATTAACTGAAAAATGGAGCGATTTCTAACGAAACAGCGATTGAGTTTTAGTGATTATTTTACTCCGAGAACAAGCAAGGAAATCAAGTACAAAATAGATGGATTAAGGCAGAGAAAATATCTAAAAAGGTCAAGAGCCTAAATCGGCAAAAGTGGCCGATGATATTCATGCTGAAGATTAGAGTTACGACCCTGAATCCACTATTTTCGACGAGAAACTAATTATCTAAAAAAGAGGTAACTAGACGTACCTGTAAAGATAAAATGACTTCTTTTTCCTTCCAGAAAACGTGAACAAATGAAGCTGCATTGAATAACTTCCTTTTTTCCACTCTCAGGCTTTTGTTTACATTTGATTCGCGTTTGAGCGAGTTAAGCTGACCTTTGTTATCAATAAGCACATTATCGCTACAGCAAGAGCATTGCTAAATCTGCCTTAGGCAAAGTATTATTACATAAATAAACAGTTAGTGTTTCGCAAATGAAAAGACAGTCGATTTTTAAAGCTGAGACTTCCGCTGAGTTTTGTGCAACCAGTTATCAGGTCAAATTCTAGCGGTGTTTTTTTTCTCAGTCGATCAAAATTCAGTCGTGAACTGAAATTAAACTTGATTGGTTATCCACATTAAGTGCATCATGGAAAACAGGAGAGTTTTTGTGTTTGATTGCGATCGTCAGGAAACGAATCTGTGAAGAATTACATATCTAAAAATTGTTAACAGTCTCTGATCATTTGGTGATATATAGCCGTATCTAACGAGATTTTCCCTTCGGTTTCTCGAGCATACTTCTCACGGGCAAAAAAACGTCCGTTCTACCACTTTGTATTTGAAGAATAAAGACTGTCACGGAAGCTAAGGAAACTGAAAGTACAATGATCACCGTTATATAGGTATGGGCTTTGGGTGAATAGATTTACCAAAAGACAGCCATGAATGGTCTCAAACATATTTTTTTGCCACTTTTTTCAGTGCAGCTAAATTAAATGACACGCGAGAACTAGATTGTCATATAATCAAATATATGCAAATTTGCTGCTTCTTGCACAGTTAAACCTCGTTAATACGGACACTGAGGGACCGTAGATAGTGTCCGTATTAAGCGGGTTGAATGTAAAGAAAATATAAGGATTTCTTTCCCCAGGGACAAAGCAAAATGTCAATAAAAATGAGGTGCCGTATTAAGCGGGTGCCCGTAAAGCGAGGTTTGACCGTATACATTGTATCTCACTGTATGAACACCCACAGAGTGAGATAAAACATTTGCTTGTTAATTAATCACTCGCCAGATAAAATAAGGACAAAAATGCACTCTCTGTTTATAACAGAGACGAAGACTCCGGAAATATTTTCTTCGCGAACAGAGTTCAAAGGCCTGGCCATAAAAAGAGAAATATTGACTTTATATACCACGCTCGATGAAAAGACTTGATTCAATCATTAAAAAATGACGATTTCTTTGCTCTGTGTTTTTAGGGAACAGATTTTTAATATCGAGATTTCCCAATTTATTTAGACAGACAGTTGACGAGAAAACATTCCTTTACGTTCAATCGTTTGTGGACTTTTGTCGTTCGTGAATATTTACTATGTAAAGGGCTGTGCATATTTATTAACCTGCTGTAAAACTTTCAAGGGGTATTTCTCTAAAATATCACATGATTTCTTTACAGAAATTTAAAATAGGAGAAAATAAATAAATAAATAAATAAATAAATAAAAGAATTGCTGTAAGAAATACTGTAGAGGCCAACGGGCGGATACTGAAGGGCAACGAACGACATGCTAAGTTTTTTAGTATTTACAATTACAAATCAAACACACTAACCTGCCGACAGAAAACATGAAATTCTCCATCGTCGGGGAAAGACAAATGTGAAAAGAAAACTCGCTGAAATCGCCTAAAACCGCCCTGATACAAGGTGGTAACACTTCTAATAATGAATATAACATATTCCGCAAAAAATTTCTTCTTCAGGTCCTTCAGTTGTAATTCTCAATAAATGAGCGATGAATATTCACAAACCCACAAAATGCACGCTGCACAGACTGGTATCACAAAGTCAATACTTCCGACCTTGGGAAGCCTGTGCTGGAATGAATAGCTGAACAGGCGAATGAAGCCTAGAGAATCCCTTGTATCAGATTAAAAGTATAGTATGCGTTATTGACCAAGCTTGTTCCGTCAGGATGACCAGACAATAGCCAAGTTCATTTTTCCTGTTTCTTTAGATCAAGACGAAGAGTTAGCCATATGTTTTTTTTTTTCAATTTTCTGAGCGATTGAGAGGGGAGCAAATATAGAAATTTATATTCACCAATTCGTGATAAAACTAGAAAATTTTATTCTTATTTTTTGTTTCACATGAAGTCTGGTCTGTCCACAGTGTTTTTTCTATGTTGTAGTTAAACTGGTATAGGATAATGACCATAGAATAATGCTCTATAAAATCACCTCATAGTTATTTGTAAGACGATGAAAGTGACGTAAATGTAAGGCCCGGTTCAGACGCCGAACTTTTCATGAGCCGAACCTAATTCGAATTAAGACCGACCCAAATTATTTAGACCGGCTAAAGTGATTCAGACGCCGATCTTAATTCCAGCCGAACTAAATTCAGAAGGCGAAAAATGCGCATTTCGGTCAAACTGCTTACAAAATACGTTATAAGAATTTCTGCATTTGGTTCGGTACATGAAAAGTTCGGCGTCTGAATCAAAGGCGTTCCAAAGTCGATCCAAAGGCGAAATTCCCGGCTGGGCTAGGAGAAAAGAACGGCTGAGCCGTTCCAAATTGAAACAGGCGTTCCTAATTGATTCAGACGCCGAACTTTTCATGTACTTAATTCAATGTATTAGGCTCGGCTCATGAAAAGTACGGCGTCTGAACCGGGCCTAAGAGAGAATAATTGTTCTCTCTTGGTAATTGACAATTCCCTTTGAAATCCCGTATCGGTTAACGTGTAAAAAGCAAGCGCCGCGTCTCTTGACGTTGCCATGGAGACTTGCAATCTTTTGACTATGTGCACTCTAAGCACTTTTTATACCTATGAAGGTCTAATAACAAACAAGCAAACATTTCCTTTTGAATCGAAGCCTCCTGTCGTTTATTTAAGATCAGCAAATATTACATTGCTACTGACAAAGCAATTAACTATACTATCCCTTAATCAAGACAGCACTATCTTTTATTGCATGTCCCTGTATGCTTAAATCAGGAATCTCTGTTTCAATTCGAGGTCTAAGCTTGAGCTCTGGGAACCTCTTCTACGAATATTCGGGACACAGAATTCCATCCCGTGTAGGCGTCAAAGTTTGGACTGTAGCCAGGGCAAGTACCAACCCAGAATCCCACGCGCACCTTTCCTTTGTGGATGTTGTTACAGTAGCCTTCGATATGGCGAACACGATGGGGATTTACAGTTGTACTTCTCACGTACACAACACCTTCAATGGTCAGAGGGGCTGAACATTCCGCGCCGTTGAAAGTAAAGTACCAGCGTTTACATGCATCTTTCCCATGGGTTTTAAGAGTACCCATCCAGTACACATGAAGGGCTGTGTCTGAGAAGTTTTTGGTGAACACACATTCCTGTGCAAAAAATAAAAATAATAATAACAACTACAACTACAACTACAACAACAAAAAAACAGAGCTAGAACCAGGCTCATTATTCGATGTTTCCCAGCGTTATCTACTTCAAAAAGAAAAAAATGTTGAACAAGAATTACGAAGCCATATTGCGATAGTTCCAATAATCCCTTGAATCGTAATATGAGCATGCCTGCTCTTAACACTGTCCTCCTTACCTATTGCACTGAAGAGAAGAATTTGTTCAATAAAGAACGCTCCTTTTACTTGCTGATCAGTTCCTTTTTCTCAAAACTCTTTATGTTGAATAAGCCAGTTTAGAGAGAATTTAGACGTTGTTCACTCTTAAGAGTTCAAGGGTTAGAACATGTAGCATAATTTTGTCGGTTAACAATCTTCGAATAATGTGAAAGATACCCAAAAATGTACTAACCTTGATGAGCCCTTGATCTTTGCCATCACTGAGTTTTTTCCAAACGCATTCCTTCCAGTTCTTAAAAGCCATCAGACCTGGATTCCCAGGGGTTCCACTTAATCCACTCTCCCCGCGTTCCCCCTTTTGTCCTGGGGGTCCTTGGGCTCCGCGTTCTCCTTTAGCGCCATCAATTCCATTAACACCAGGGTTTCCGCTAGGTCCCGGAGGCCCCTGGGGTCCAGTCTTCCCTGGGATACCTTGATCACCCTTGGCTCCTTCACGGCCATCTCGTCCGTCGCGGCCTGGTACCCACAGGGGAACCAGGTTTACCATGCATGCCGGGAATACCAGCATAGTAGACGGGAGAGGCCTGGTAAATTGGAGGAAAAATAAACCTCAAATTTGTCAATCGGCTTTGATGATATCATTATTTAAATTGAGCAGCTGTCACAATTCTCTTTTTTGTACGTAAGAGCCGCACATTAAAAATTTTCCTCAACGACATAACACCGTAAATATACGATTTGGCGTTTCAGCTAAAATGTACACTTTTTGTCTTAGAAGTCTCATTTGCTGTACCCTGGTCCCAGAGGTTTTTCTTGATTTTTCTTCGCGAGATCAAGAGGAAGCCGCGAAGCGGCGACAACGAGTCGCGAAAGCGACGAGGAGAGAGAGAAAAACCTCTGGTTACCTTGGCCTCGAATCTCACTTTCATGCAGACGACAGCTGTCAAACGCGTCAAATTGCCAATAAAAGGAGTGACCAATGGCAACTTAGCAAACACGTGCTTATCAGCCGCTATTTTTTTAAGTGGGGGTAGACCTGGGGAAATTATGTTATGAACAAACCATCTCCACTTGGGTGGTAAAGAGTGATTTGTTAATCGGGGTCAAGCTAAAGCATGTGTTAACGATGGGCGACAAGAGTCCAGGAATAAGGAGACCACTTAATAAAGAAACCGACATTGTTCCAAACGACTGCTGCAGGATTTGCAGAATTTATGTAAAAGTAAGTGGCCGATCTAAAATCAACTTTTTTGGGTATAATAACAAGGATTTTTCACAAACATTGTCATCTGTTCTGTCGGCAGTGTGCCAGCGGGAAGTTGTAAAGTTTGCAAGAGTCTATCAATCGCGCTTATTGCATTGTTTACTTCTGCGGGGCGCGCCGTTCGCGTCGATTCGCGGGCATTCCCTTCAAAATAGTAATATTAATATGTATTCTGGCAGTCTGGCTCGCATTTTGGTTTGGCGGCTCCATTTCCTTTTTTTGTGGAACAAGGAAGCTAGGAAGAGCCATGCAGCACAACAAACCCTTAATGTTCGGAATGTACTTTCAGAAAATCAAGCTGCACCGAAAATGTTTACGTAGTTGTACAAAGTTGTATGTTTTTTTTCCTACAAGGAAACTTTCATTCCGTATTCGGAGATTTTTTATTTTGCAGCCCTAAACAAGTTAGTTTATTTAATGGAATGACAGTATTGTCACAGAAAATATCAGTTTCCATGTCCGGTTGATAAAATGGTGAACACATCCTTTCGACTCAACGCAGCGAACAAAGCTTTCTTTTGTTGTTCAGGGAGACTCAGGAAAGCGCTCATTAAGTACCGAGGTCAAAATTTCTTCGAATATTCTTTCAGGAACAACATCCATGTCAAAATCTCGAAATATGGCGTGCCTTTACGTGCCTTGGTCCCGTGCAAATGTTATTGCGAGTGCAGCATACAAACAATTTTCTTCCCTAGTAGAGAGAGGCAAAATGAGGTGTGAAAATCCTCAGCGTCCCCTCGGTAGTTACAATTAAACGAGCCAATCAAATTGGTTTGCGTGTTTGAAAAACTATCAACCAATCAACGCCCGAGGGTCAGATTCTGACCCTGTCGTCTGCATGAAAGTGAGATTCGAGGCCAAGGTAACCAGAGGTTTTTCTCTCTCTCCTCGTCGCTTTCGCGACTAGTTGTCGCCGCTTCGCGGCTTCCTCTTGATCTCTTTCGCGAAGAAAAATCATGAAAAACCTCTGGGACCAGGGTACATTTGCTGCGTATACAGGAAGTACTGTTGATCAGTGATACTTGAATTTAGATTGTTTATTCAATGCGCCAAGTTTTCATGTACATCATCAAAAATTTACATATATTTTGTCTGACTTATCAGAGGCAGTTTCTGTGTCACCTACCATGTTGTTTGATGGCTGATTGGTTTTGTTGCCACTCGTAGCACGAGCCAAGAATAATATCGCAAACAACGCTATCAAACAAAGCGACACCTTAGAAGGGTAAGTTGCCATTTTTTCGTGCTTTCCTGCGAACAAGATTGAAATCATTGTAATACAAATCTCAAAAAAGTTGATATGTATCATGTTTAAAATTTAAATAAAGATTTAAATTTTTGAGTTAAGATTTATAACATAAATAACGTAGGTAATACCATGTACTCATGTAGGAATACTGAAATAAAGTTGTTGTCGCTGTTGTCATATAACAATGGCAGAAAAAAGTCCTGTTGCTTGAACAAATGAAAGATATCTGACGGCCTGCGAATTTAATGCCAATGATAAGACACAACTGATTCTTGCCCTGCTTTTAAAAAACCGGCGGACTTTCATTGGTAATTATTCATACTAAACGTGTTTTCTTTGGATTAATGTTAACCAGTGATGAAAGCTATTGCAAAGAATTTTACTGAGAAGTTTCTCTTCTGTAAAGATTTTTGATTTTTTTTTTTTCTGTTCAGTATTTTCCTATTTGAACAATATAAAAGACTGCAGAAACCATCGTAACCCGTATTATCTATACGCGCTAGAATTCGTTTATGGAAGAAAGATTATTGGGGCCGTTGTTATTTGGCACTGCTTTTTTGCCCAAACTTAGTTGGTTCCATTTTTGCTTTGCTTATAAAAATCTTCTTAATTTGAAGAAGAAGATGTAATTAAATATATATCTGTTTCAAAGTATCTCTCTCTTCCTTTTACAAAAATGGGTACACATATCATAATTCAGTAATCACTAGTATTTATCACGAAAAACGTCTCGCAAAACGACATTGTTCCAGTTCCATTTCCTGCTCCCAGAAAAAATGGGAAATCAATTATTTTCCACGACGCAAATGACTTTTTGTTGCGGGGCTTTCAAACTTCAGAGACTGGTGGATTGAGCCATTAGAAAACAGTTCGCGAAATGGCGAGTGCCCGCATCCGCAACAGGCGGCCTCTGTCAGTTTCTTCTAAAGAAATGTGTTTGAACTAATGTGCAACCAAAACTGCTATTTTCAGAGCCGTAACTGACTGTTTTGTATTCTGCGACTTCAAATTTAGGAGACTCGTGAACGGAGCTGTTAGAAAACTGACAAATGAGAGGGCTGCGCGCTCTTATCGGGAATAACAGTTTCTATTTTAAATTTAGGATGAATTAGTAAGAGTGGACGGGCGACTAAACTTCAGGCTACTTCTACTTCTGCTTAAGTTTGCACGACAAGACTTTAAAGAAAGAGACTGTAAGACATACCTGTAGAGGAGTAGAAAATCTTCTTTTTCGTCCAAGAACTCCTGGAATGAACAAACCGCAGCGAATGAACTCCTTTTCATCATTTACCATCTTTTGTTGACATTGTTTGATACGAGTTTGAACAAGTTTATTGTTGACTAGGGGCGCTGAAAAGGAAGTTCCTTCAAGTGCTTTGTTGTTGACCCTTAGTACTTGATCGTTATTATAAATTATCCGATTATTCTCATAGTTAGTTACCTTTCAAAATCATAGTTCTTTCTTAAGCAGAAAGTAAGAAATCGCAAAAACAAATGGCAACATAAGGGCAAGGCTGACCCCTTTGCTAATTGTGGTGTAATGCAGTCAGTCCTCAGTATTTCTACTGAGGGCAATTTTGTATTCTCTCTCCTGGCCCACCCTGCTCGAGAATTTGATTGGCTGTTTCCAATAGGCACGTCAAGAGAAGTAGTAGTATGTGCTTGAATCGCCAATCGGCAGACAAATCCGCGAATTCACGCGAAAAACTAGAAATCGGTCGTTCAGGAATACAGTTGCGCTCCTTGTTGTAGGACAACTGGCCTTCGTTCAAACTTCGGATTCCTTCCAGCAATTTATGTTTACAAGTATAGACGCCACATAAAAGTGATCAGCTTTATCACATGTGTTCGCGTTGCATTAACAGATTTTAACCATAGAATGATTCAACTTGAACCGTGAAATAGGTAGTAGAATACTACGCACTATTATGCATTAATTCTATTGTCTTCTTTTGTTTACCTCTCACTATTTTTGCACCATTTGTTAGTATCTGTTTCACGGTTCAAGTAAAGTCACTCTAAGACCCTCCGTGACGCGTTTTCTTCTTTGCTTGGAGACTGTACATGTCAGAAGTACATGATCGAAATAGAAAACAAAAAATCGACTTCCTGGTTGAAATCACCGAGATGCGCAATCAACCAGGACGATGTTTTTATGTATTGGAATTGATTTATAGCTAAAAGCTGTGTACTTCTGCTTGACTGTGTAATGAGTAATAATAATCTGCTAAATAGTTTTACAAAGTAACTCTGGGCGTATTAAACAGTATTAAATTCCATTTATCCCAATATCTTGGTGTTGTAAAATCAAATCTCAATATTTACCACATTTGATTGTGCAGTTAAATTAAATGACAAGCGATAACTTATTGTTTTTCTGTAAGAGATGCAATTTTTTTAGCTTGTAAATCACTTGCCATGTGTAGTACAGGGCCGGCAAGGGGCCAAGCTTCCCAAATATTTTCTATGTATATCGGTTTAGTAAGACATATATCGCAGTTAATTTGTTAAATTGATTACCGAGTTTTTGTACATAATATATAAGAATCACACATTTCGATACAGTGCACTGGCAGTTAAAATTGACTCTACGGCAACCAAAGGCGATAGAGAAACACACGTGCTTCTTCATATATATAATTCCGCCTCCTCTTAATAATGAATTTTTGTTTTCAAAGCGAAATTTCCACGGCATTTCTAAATAGAAAGAGCTGACGACGAAATTTGTATTTATGTAAATTGTTTACATATCACGTTATATCTAAAACCGAACTCGTTTGTATACATCTGTATTGTTTCGTCTTTTGTAAAACTTTCACTAGACGGTTCTAAAAAGTATATGTGTCTTTCCATACCGAAAATAAAAACAACAAATTAAAATTGTCATGAAAAATATTTGAAAAGGCCACTATAAAATAAAGGACATCGACGTATTAGGCTTTTTGTTACTATTTACATACAAACGTACCAACTTGTAGACGAGAAAACATGAAATTCTGCATCGTCTGGAAAGAGAACAAAAGTAGGCAGAATGACACGATAAAATCGCTCTGAAACTCCCTAACACAAATGACGCTTTCGCATAAATATGACCTTGAGGAATATTCTCCTTCATTTTGAATTCTCAAACAAAACTCTTGATCTAAAATGCGTTACCCTGTCGATAATTTCGACTTGGCTGTCCTGTGTTAAGATGAAAAGAATTCGCTATTTGCATTTCTCCCATGATACAACATGTTTGACTCCAGCCACCCCACCCCCGCCCCACCCAACCCCCCCCCCAAAAAAACAAAAATTTAATATTGCATAACCTTTGTTTTTAATGTCTTCTGGGTATTACAGCTTTCCCACGAGAAACTGGAAACAACGCTTATGCAAAATTTGGGGAACAAACAAGGTGCATTATACTTGAAAAGATGTGGAGTTGGCGATCACCCACTTTGCCCCCGTTTTCAAATATGGCGGTGACCGGTAGGACTAAACATCCGTACTATTGTGTCGCCCAGTAAAACGAGAAGATTCTGGGAAGAGTTTGTCAAACCATCGTGTGATAATTAGCCGCTAATAATATGTACAGCCTTTCTGTTTGAGTTTATTTAATTTGATGGTTTTTCTGACATGGCACAGTGACGTTAGAATAATGTTTTTAATCAATTCGGTTTTGCTTAAAATGAATTGTGCTTTTCTCACTTTTCCCACAATATTTCCAACATTGAAAACCTATTACATTGTGAGTGTCTGAAAGATTTTGGACAATTTATAACTTACAAAATCCAAGCTTAAATGTATGAAATCCGAAGAATAGGAAGGAAAAAGAATGGAGATTGTTTGTACGGCCATTTTGAACAAGCCTGTGTTTACACGTTTACACTTTACGGTAAGCTCTGTCGCGCTTTCCCAAAAGCGCGTAATCCGAGGGGTTAGGTAGAATTGACCCACGTCTTGGCATAGGGGGTCTGGGTGCCGCCGAGAGTTCAAAACCCTGACCTTCCCCCACGGCAATTCGAAAAGTCGTTCGGAACGAAGCATATGGACTGACTTAGTGCAAACAGGTGGAGCGTGAGGGCAGGAACAGAGGGAGAAGCTGCATCCTTGTTTTTAATGCCCCACCAGTCTCTGTGCGAAAATTTGAATGACGAAAATGAGATTTAAGTAGGAGACAGCTTGTTCATGTTTATAACAGAGAAGAAATCTGCAAAAACTACCAAACAATATAACCTTCTTTTGACCTTTTCTTAGCTTAGGTTGTCTCAGCGGAAAATGGGATTTAGTAAAGCCCGCGTTAATCTATTTATATTTTTACACTTTATGTATTTCTTCAAATCTGAGCTGTAATAAAAATCAAACATTTTATTTTCTTTGGCTGCCTCCTGCAGCTTGTTTATTATGAGCAAACTTTACACAGCTACAAAGCAATTAACTGTAGTATCCCACAAATGGAAGCGCTATTATTTGCTGTCCCTGTTTGGTTAATATGCAGGAGGGTTTGTCTCCTCTGGAAGTCTAAGCTTGAGCTTTGGGAACCTCCTCTACGAAGATGCGGGACACAGAAAGATATCCAGTGTAGGCGTCATAGTTTCCATTGAACCCTTGGCATTTACCAACCCAGAATCCCACGCGCACCTTTCCTTTGTGAATGTTATTACAGTAGCCTTCAATGTGGCGGACGCGATGAGGGTTTTGAGATTTGATGACCACGTACACAATACCATCAATGGGTAGGGGAGCGGAACATTCTGCACCGTTGAAAGTAAAGTACCAGCGTCTACAGCCAGAATTTGCATAGACTTGAAGAGAACCAGTCCAGTACACATGAAGAGCAGTGTCAGAGAAATTCTTGCTGAACACACATTCCTATACAAAAAAGAGAAACAGATATACCAGTAAAAATGTACGACTAAAACAGTCTTCTGTGCTTAGAGGCAAGGGAAATGAAAACTGGTCATGATCTCTTCACGCCCTTAAGCTTTTTCTATATCTTTTGTCCCTTAGTTTTTCTTTGATTTTTAATGCTAAGTTTCATTATCATATCATTTTTCATTGTTTTAGAGTAATGATAAACTACACCCAATTGATTTTTTAAGTAAGTATAAAAGTGATAGTGAGTTAGTTACTAACATGTGATGAGCCATATTTCTAGTAATGGATATATCGTCAATAAACACTTACTATAGTATTATTATTATTAGTGTTATTATTTATATTATCATTATTATTAGGCAATGGCTATTATTTTTCCTCCTTTATGAAAACAAATACTGAAAAAACTTCTCTTTAACCCTGATTAGACCTTGATGTAATGAACGGGTAAAAAAAATGTTTTTACCTTGATCAAACCATTATCTTTGCCATCATTGATGTTTTTCCAAACGCATTCCTTCCAGTTCTTAAAAGCCATCAGACCTGGATTCCCAGGGGTTCCACTTAATCCACTCTCCCCTCGTTCCCCCTTTTGTCCTGGGGGTCCTTGGGCTCCGCGTTCTCCTTTAGCACCGTCATTTCCATTGGCACCCGTTTTTCCGCTAGGTCCCGGAGGCCCCTGGGGTCCAGTCTTGCCTGGGATACCTTGGTCACCTTTGGCTCCCTCACGGCCATCTCGTCCGTCGCGGCCTGGTATCCCAGGAGAACCAGGTTTGCCATGCATGCCGGGAATACCAGCATAGTAGACGGGAGGGGCCTGGTAAATTGGAGGAAAAATAAACTACAAGTTTGTCAATCGGCTTTGATGATATCATTAGCTAAATTGAGCAGCTGTTACAATTCCCTTTTTTGCACGTAAGAACCGCACATTATAGATTTTCCTCAACGATATAACACTGTAAATAATACGATTTTGCGTTTTAGTAAAATTGTATACTTTTTGGCTTAGAAGTCTCATTTGCTGCGTAATAATGTTTACAGGAAGAACTGTTGAACAATGATATTTGAATTAAGATTGTTTATTCAATGCGCCAAGTTTTCATGTACATCGTCAGAAATTTACATATATTTTGTCTGACTTATCACAGGCAGTTTCTGTGTCACCTACCATGTTGTTTGATGGTTGATTGGTTTTGTTGCCACTTGTTGCACAAACCAAGAATAATATGGCAAACAACGCTATCAGACAAAGCGACATCTTAAACGGGTAAGTTGCCATTTTTTCGTGCTTTCCTGCGAACAAGATTGAAAACATTATAATACGAAACTCAAAAGAGTTGATATGTAAAATACAACAAGGGGAGAAAAAGTCCTCTTGCTTGAGTAAATAAAAGATACCTGACGGCCCGCGAATTTAAGTTACGCCAAAAATAAAAAGGCAACTGATTCTCGCCCTGTTTTTTGAAGAACATGCGGACTTTCGTTAGTAAATATTTATACCAAACGTGTTTTCTTTGGATTAATTTAAAACTAGTGATGAAAGCTATTGCATAGAATTTTACTGAGAAGTTTATCTTCTCTAAAGATTTTTGATTTTTTTTTTCTGTTTAGTCTTTTCCTAATTCAACAAAACAAAGACTCCAGAAACCAACGTAACCATGAATTCTAAACGCGCTACAATTCGTTTACGGAAGAATGATTCCAAGATTGTGGCCATTGTTATTTGGCATTGCTTTTCTGCTAAAACTTAGTTCGTGCCATTCTTGTTTTGCTTAAATCTTCTTAATTTGAAGAACAAGAAGATGTTATCAAAATATCATCTGCTCCAAAGTATCTCTCTCCCTTCCATTTACAAAAATGGGCACACATATCATAATTCAGTAATCACCAGACAGAGTATATACATCCACGATAAACGCCTCGCAAAACGACAGAGTTCCAGTTCCATTTCCTGCTCCCAGAACAATGGGAAATCAATTACTTTCCACAGCGCAAATGACTTTTTGTTCCGGGGCTTTCAAACTCCAGAGACTGGCGGATTTAGCCATTAGAAAACAGTTCGCGAAATGGCGAGTGCCCGCATCCGCAACAGGCGGCTTCTGTCAGTTTCTTGTAAAGAAATGTGTTTGAACTAATGTGCAACCAAGACTGCTATTTTCAGAGCCGTAACTAACTGTTTTGTATTCTGCGATTTCAAATTTAGGAGATTCGTGAACGGAGTTGTTAGAAAACTGACAAATGAGAGGGCTGCGCGCTCGCATGGAGAATAGCAGTTTCTTTTTTAAATTTAGGCTGAATCGAGTAAACGTGGAGAGGGCGACTGAACTTCAGGCCACTTCGACTTCTGCTTTGGTTTTGCACGACAAAACACTAACGAAAGAGACTGTAAGACATACCTGCAGAGGAGTAGAAAGTCTTCTTTTTCGTCCAAGAACTCCTTGAATGAACAAACCGCAGTGAATGAACTCCTTTTCATCATTTTCCATCTTTTGTTGACATTGTTTGATTCGAGTTTGAACAAGTTTATTGTTGACTAGGGGCGCTGAAAAGGAAGTTCCTTCAAGAGCTTTGTTGTTGACCCTTAGGACTTGATCGTTATTATAAATTATGCGATTATTCTCTTAGTTAGTTACATTTCAAAATCATAAGATTATTTTTTAAACAGAAAGTAAGATTTGGCATAAAGAAATGGCGACATTTTGGCAAGGCTGACCCCTTTGCAATTGTGGAGTAACATGCAGTCAGCTCTCATTGTTTCTACTGAGGACACTCTTGTATTCTCTCTCCTGGCCCACCCTGCTCGAGAATCTGATGGGCTGTTTCCAATAGGCACGTCAAGGGAAGTAGTAGTATGTGCTTGGATCGCCAATCGGCAGACAAATCCGCGAATTGACGCGAAAAAAAGTAATTGGTCGTTCAGGAATACAGTTGCGCTCCTTTTTGCAGGACAACTGGCCTTCGTTTAAACTTAGGTACGCGCAAACATTCTTTCTAGCAATTTTTGTTTACCAGAATGTATACACTGTTATGCACTAATTCTATTGTCTTCTTTTGTTTACCTCTCGCTATTTTTGCACCATTTGTTAGTATCTGTTTCATGGTTCAAGTAAAATCACTCTAAGACCCTCCGTAACCGCGTTTTCTTCTTTGCTTGGAGACAGTTAGGAATGCATGATCGAAATAGAAAACAAAAAATCGACTTCCTAGTTGAAATCACCGAGATGCGCAATCAACCAGGATGATGTTTTTATGTATTGGAATTGATTTATAGCTAAAAGCTGTGTACTTCTACTTGACTGTGTAATGAGTAATAATTATGTGCTAAATAGTTTTACAACTTAACTCTGGGCGTATTGAAAGTGAAGAATGATCTGGGCGTATTGAATTCCATTTATCCCAATATCTTGGTGTTGTAAAATCAGATCTCAATATTTACCACCTTTGATTGTGCAGTTAAATTAAATGACAAACGATAACTTATTGTTTTTCTGTAACAGATGCAAATGTTTGGAGCTTTTTATGACGTTAAGAAATAAAAAAAATTTGCTTGTAAATCACTTGCCATATGTAGACTACTGTAGTACAGGGTCGGCAACGGGCCAAGCTTCCCTAATATTTTCTCTGTATGCCGGTTTAGTTAGACATGTATCGCAGTTAATTTGTTAATTTGATTGCGAATTTTTTAGTACACAATATATACGAATCACACATTTCGATACAGTGCAATGGCAGTAAAAATTTAGTCTACAGCAACCAAAGGCGATAGAGAAACACACATGTTTCTTCATATATATAATTCCGCCTCTTCTTAATAATGAATTTTTGTTTGCAAAGCGAAATTTCCACGGCATTTCTAAATAGAAAGAGCTAACGACGACATTTGTATTTATGTAAATTGTTTACATATCACGTTGTATCGAAAACCAAACTCGTTTGTATACATCTGTATTGTTTCGTCTTTTGTAAAACTTTCACTAGACGGTTCTAAAAAGTATATCCACAGCTTTCCATACTGAAAATAAAAACAACAAAATTGTCATGAAAAATATTTGAAAAGGCCACTATAAAGGACATCGGCTTTTTACTACTATTTACATAAAAACCTACCAACTTGTAGACGGGAAAACGTGAAATTCTGTATCGTCTGTAAAGAGGACAAAAGTAGGCAGAATGACTCGATAACATCGCTCTGAAACTCCCCAACACGAGTGACGCTTGGGATAAATATGACTATGATGACTATTCTCCTTCATTTTGACTGGTAAATATTCTCAAACAAAACCTTTGATCTGAAATGCGTTACGCTGTCGATAATTTCGACTTGGCGTTCCTTTGTTGAGATGAAAAGAATTTGCCATTTGCACATCTCCCATAATACACCTTGTTTGCTCCCCTCTTCCCCCTCCCCGCCACCCCCGCAAAAAAAAAACAATCACATAAACTTTGTTTTCAATTTCTTCTGGAGAAAATGAAAACAATGCTTACGCAAACAAGGTGCACTATGGGAGATGTGCAATTGGCGACCACCCAACTTTGCCCCAAGGTTTTCCAGTCTGGCGGCGGCCGGCAGCACTGAAAACCCGCACTGATTCTCTTTTCCTGCCTTCGCCATATTGTGAAACGAGAAGACTCTGGAAAGAGGTTGCGAAATCATCGTATTATAATTGGCCGCTAATAATAATCTCGTTATCAGTGTACAGCCTTTTAATTTCTACTTGTGGTTATTTATTTTCACGGTTTTTGTGACATGGCACATTGATGTTAGAATAACTTTTTTATTCCATTCGGTTTGGCTTAAATGAATCGTACTTTTTTTCGGTATTCTCCCACAATACTTCTAACACTGAAAAACTTTTACAATTGTGATTGTCTCAAAGATTTTGGACAATTTATAACTTACAAAATTCAAGCATACATGTTTGAAATCCGAATAATAGGAAGGGAAAAGGATGGAGATTGTATGTACTGCCATTTTGGACAAGATTCGGAAAACTCTGTCACGCTTAATCCGAGGGGTAAGGGGGAAATTGATCCACTTCTTGGCATAGGGGTCCGGGTGCCGTCGAGAGTTCAAAACCCTGAACTCCCCCACGGCAATTCGAAAAGTCGTTCGGAACGAAGCATATGGAATGACTCAGTGCAAACAGGTGAAGCTTGAGGGCAGGAACAGAGGGAGAAGCTGCATTCTTGCTTTTAATGCCCCACCAGTCTTTGCGCGGAAATTTAAATGACGAAAATGAGAGGGAGAAGCTGCATCCTTGCTTTTAATGCCCCACCAGTCTTTGCGCGGAAATTTAAGTGACGAAAATGAGATTTAAGTAGGAGACAGCTTGATCATGTTTAGAACAGAGAAAAAAATCTGCAAAAACTACCAAACACTAAACCTTCTTCGGACCTTTTCTTAGCTTAGCTTGTCTCAGTCGAAAATGGGATTCAGTAAAACCTGCCTTTATTTATTTGTTTTTACATTTTACGCATTTGCTTTACATCTGAACTGTAATAACCCTCAAACATTTTCTCTGACTGCCTCCTACAACTTGTTTATTATGAGCAGACTTTACACAGCTACAAAGCAATTAACTGTGGTATCCCACAAATGGAAGCGCTATTGTTTACTGTCCCTGTTAACTTAATAAGTAGGAAGGTCTATCTTTTCTGGAAGTCTAAGCTTGAGCTTTGGGAACCTCCTCTACGAATATGCGGGACACAGATCTCCATCCAGTGAAGGCGTCATAGTTTCCATGACTGTACCCATCGCATTTACCAACCCAGAACCCCACGCGCACCTTTCCTTTGTGGATGTTATTACAGTAGCCTTCAATGTGGCGGACGCGATGAGGGTCAACAGTTCTGCTGCGGACGTACACAACACCATCAATGGGTAGGGGAGCGGAACATTCTGCACCGTTGAAAGTAAAGTACCAGCGTTTACAGCCAACAACTGCACGGGTTCTGAGAGTACCCGTCCAGTATACATGAAGGGCTGTGTCGGAGAAGTTTTTGCTGAACACACATTCCTATACAAAAGAGAGAAACAGATATGCGAGTAAAAATGTACCACTAAACAGTCTTGTGTGCTTAGAGGCATTTGAAATGAAAACTGGTTATGATCTCTTCACGCCCTTAAGCTTCTTCTATATCTTTTGTTCCTTAGTTTTTCTTTGATTTTTAATGCTATTGTTTCATTATTATTATTATCATTATTATTACTATTATTATTATTATTATTAGGTAGTGGTTGTTATTATTGCTTCTTTACGAAAACAAATTAAAAACTTCCTTTAACCTTGATTAGACCTCGATATACTAATGAACAGGTAACGAAAAATGTGTTTACCTTGATCAGCCCTTGATCGTTTTCACTATTGATGTTTTTCCAAACGCATTCCTTCCAGTTCTTAAAAGCCATCAGACCTGGATTCCCAGGGGTTCCACTTAATCCACTCTCCCCGCGTTCCCCCTTTTGTCCTGGGGGTCCTTCGGTTCCGCGTTCTCCTTTAGCGCCATCATTTCCATTAACACCAGGGTTTCCGCTAGGTCCCGGAGGCCCCTGGGGTTCAGTCTTGCCTGGGATACCTTGGTCACCTTTGGCCCCTTCACGGCCATCTCGTCCGTCGCGGCCTGGTATCCCAGGGGAACCAGGTTTGCCATGCATGCCGGGAATACCAGCACAGTAGACGGGAGGGGGCTGGTAAATTGGAGGAAAAACAAACTTCAAATTTGTCAATCGGCTTTGATGATATCATTATTTAAATTGAGCAGCTGTCACAATTCTCTTTTTTGTACGTAAGAGCCGCACATTAAAAATTTTCCTCAACGACATAACACCGTAAATATACGATTTGGCGTTTCAGCTAAAATGTACACTTTTTGTCTTAGAAGTCTCATTTGCTGCGTATACAGGAAGTACTGTTGATCAGTGATACTTGAATTTAGATTGTTTATTCAATGCGCCAAGTTTTCATGTACATCATCAAAAATTTACATATATTTTGTCTGACTTATCAGAGGCAGTTTCTGTGTCACCTACCATGTTGTTTGATGGCTGATTGGCTTTGTTGCCACTCGTAGCACAAGCCAAGAACAATATCGCAAACAACACTATCAAACAAAGCGACACCTTAGAAGGGTAAGTTGCCATTTTTTCGAGCTTTCCTGCGAACAAGATTGCAAACATTATAATACAAATCTCAAAAGAGTTGACATGTATCATATTTATATTTATATTTTTCATATGTATCAGATTTAAATAAAGACTTAAATGTTTGATTTAAGATTTATAACATAAATAACGTAGGTAATACCAAGTACTCATGTGGGAATACTGAAATAAAGTTGTTGTTGCCGTTGTCATATAACAATGGGAGAAAATGGCCTCTTGCTTGAACAAATGAAAGATATATGAAGGCCCGCGAATTTAAGTAATGCCAATGATAAAACACAACGTGATTCTCGCCCTGCTTTTGAAAAACAGGCGGACTTTCTTTGGTAGATATTCATACCAAACGTGTTTCTTTGGATGAATGTTAAGCCACTGATGAAAGCTATTGCAAAGAATTTTACTGAGAAGTTTCTCTTCTGTAAAGATTTTTTATTTTTTTCTTCTGTTAAGTCTTTTCCTATTTGAACAATAAAAAAGACTTCAGAAACCATCGTAACCCGTATTCTATACGCGCTAGAATTCGTTTATGGAAGAAAGATTATTGGGGCCGTTGTTATTTGGCACTGCTTTTCTACCAAAAACTTAGTTCGTGCCATTTTTGTTTTGCTTAAATCTTCTAAATTTGAAGAACAAGAAGATGTAATCAAATATATATCTTTTTCAAAGTCTCTCTCTCCTCCTTTGACAAAAATAGGTACACATGTACACATATCATAATTCAGTAATCACCAGCATATTCATCACGAAAAACGTCCCGCAAAACGACATTGTTCCAGTTCCATTTCCTGCTCCCAGAAAAATGGGACATCAATTATTTTCCACGACGCAAATGAATTTTTATTGCGGGGCTTTCAAACTTCAGAGACTGGAGGATTTAGCCATTAGAAAACAGTTCACGAAATGGCGAGTGCCCGCATCCGCAACAGGCGGCTTCTGCCAGTTTCTTGTAAAGAAATGTTTTTGAACTAATGTGCGACGAAAGACTATTTCAGTGCCGTAACGGACTTTTTTGTATTCTGCGATTTCAAATTTAAGGTACTCGTGAACAGAGCTGTTAGAAAACTGACAAATGAGGGGGCTGCGCGCTCGTATGGGGAATAGCAGTTTCTATTTTAAATTTAGGCTGAATCGAGTAAACTTGGAGAGGGCGACTGAACTTCAGGCCACTTCTACTTCTGCTTTGGTTTTGCACGACAAAACACTAAAGAAAGAGACTGTAAGACATACCAGCAGAGGAGTAGAAAGTCTTCTTTTTCGCCCAAGAACCCCTTGAATGAACAAACCACAGTGAATGAACTCCTTTTCATCATTGCCCATCTTTTGTTGGCTTTGTTTGATTCGTGTTTGAACAAGTTTATTGTTGACTAGGGCGCTGAAAAGGAAGTTCCTTCAAGTGCTTTGTTGTTGACCCTTAGTACTTGATCGTTATTATGAATTATCCGATTATTCTCTTAGTTAGTTACATTTCAAAATCATAAAATTATCTTTTAAACAGAATGTAAGATTTGGTATAAAGAAATTGCGACATTTTGGCAAGGCTGACCCCTTTGCTAATTGTGGTGTAGAATGCAGTCAGCCCTCAGTATCTCTACCGAGGGCAATCTTGTATTCTCTCGCTTGGCCTACACTGCTACGTCAAGGGAAGTAGTAGTATGTGCTTGGATCGCCAATCGGCAGACAAATCCGCGAATTGACGCGAAAAATAGAAATCGGTGGTTCAGGAATACAGTTGCGCTCCTTGTGCAGGACAACTGGCCTTCGTTTAAACTTCGGATTCTCACAGCAATTTATGTTTACAAGTATAAACGACACATAAAAGTGATCAGGTTTATCACATGTGTTCGCGTTGCATTAACAGATTTTAACCATAGAATGATTTAACCTGAACCGTGAAATAGGTAGTAGAATACTGCGCACTATTATGCACTAATTCTATTGTCTTCTCTTCTTTACCTCTCGCTATTTTTGCACCATTTGCTAGTATCTGTTTCACCCTCCATGGCGAGTTTTCTTCTTTGCTTGATTGGAGACAGTCAGAAATACATGATCGAAATAGAAAACAAAAAATCGACTTTCTTGTTGAAATCAACCAGGACGATGTTTTTATGTATTGGAATTGATTTATCGCTAAAAGCTGTGTACTTCTACTTGACTGTGTAATGAGTAATAATAATCTGCTAAATAGTTTTACAAAGTAACTCTGGGCGTATTAAACGGTATTAAATTCCATTTATCCCAATATTTTGGTGTTGTAAAATCAAATCTCAATATTTACCACATTTGATTGTGCAGTTAAATTAAATGACAAACGATAACTTATTGTTTTTCTGTAAGAGATGCAAATTTTTGGAGCTTTTTATGACGTGAAGAAATAAACAAAATTCGCCTGTAAATCATTTGCCATATGTAGACTACTGTAGTACAGGGCCGGCAACTGGGGGCAAAGCTTCCCAAATATTTTCTCTGTATATCGGTTTAGTTAGACATATATCGCAGTCAATTTGTTAATTTGATTGCCAAATTTTTGTACATAATATATAAGAATCACACATCTCGATACAGTGCAATGGCAGTAAAAATTGAGTCAACGGTAACCAAAGGCGATAGAGAAACACACATGTTTCTTCATATATATAATTCTTCCTTTTCTTAATAATGAATTTTCGTTTGTAAAGCGAAATTTCCACGGCAATTCTAAATAGAAAGAGCTGACGACGAAATTTGTATTTATGTAAATTGTTTACATATCACGTTATATCTAAAACCGAACTCGTTTGTATACATCTGTATTGTTTCGTCTTTTGTAAACCTTTCACTAGACGGTTCTAAAAAGTATATCCACAGCTTTCCATACCGAAAATAAAAACAACAAATTAAAATTGTCATGAAAAATACTTGAAAAGGCCACTATAAAGGACATCGACGTATTAGGCTTTTTGTTACTATTTACATAAAAACGTACCAACTTGTAGACGGGAAAACATGAAATTCTGCATCGTCTGGAAAGAGGACAAAAGTAGGCAGAATGACACGATAAAATCGCTCTGAAACTCCCCAACACAAATGACGCTTTCGCATAAATATGACCTTGAGGAATATTCTCCTTCATTTTGAATTCTCAAACAAAGCTCTTGATCTAAAATGCGTTACCCTGTCGATAATTTCGACTTGGCTGTGCTGTGTTGAGATGAAAAGAATTCTCTATTTGCATTTCTCCCATAATACAACATGTTTGACTCCATCCACCCCACCCCCGGCCCACCCAACCCCCCCAAACAAAAATATTGCATAACCTTTGTTTTTAATGTCTTCTGGGTATTACAGCTTTCCCAGGAGAAACTGGAAACAACGCTTATGCAAAATTTGGGGAACAAACAAGGTGCATTATACTTGAAAAGATGTGGAGTTGGCGATCACCCACTTTGCCCCCGTTTTCAAATATGGCGGTGACCGGTAGGACTAAACATCCGTACTATTGTGTCGCCCAGTAAAACGAGAAGATTCTGGGAAGAGTTTGTCAAACCATCGTGTGATAATTAGCCGCTAATAATATGTACAGCCTTTCTGTTTGAGTTTATTTAATTTGATGGTTTTTCTGACATGGCACAGTGACGTTAGAATAATGTTTTTAATCCATTCGGTTTTGCTTAAAATGAATTATGCTTTTCTCACTTTTCCCACAATATTTCCAACATTGAAAACCTATTACACTGTGAGTGTCTGAAAGATTTTGGACAATTTATAACTTATAAAATCCACGCTTAAATGTATGGAATCCGAAGAACAGGAAGGAAAAAGAATGGGGATTGTTTGTACGGCCATTTTGAACAAGCCTGTGTTTACACCTTTACACTTTACGGTAAGCTCTGTCGCGCTTTCCCAAAAGCGCGTAATCCGAGGGGTAAGGTAGAATTGACCCACGTCTTGGCATAGGGGGTCTGAGTGCCGCCGAGAGTTCAAAACCCTGAACTTCCCCCTACGGCAATTCGAAAGGTCGTTCGGAACGAAGCATATCGAATGACTTAGTGCAAACAGGTGGAGCGTGAGGGCAGGAACAGAGGGAGAAGCTGCATCCTTGCTTTTAATGCCCCACCAGTCTTTGTGCGGAAATTTAAATGACGAAAATGAGATTTAAGAAGGAGACAGCTTGATCATGGTTAGAACAGAGAAAAAAACTGCAAAAACTACCAAACAATATAACCTTCTTCAGACCTTTTATTTTCTTAGCTAGGATTCAGTAAAGCCCGCGTGTTTTTTTTGTTCTTTTTTGTTTTTTTTTGCTGAAATTTCGTACATTTGCTTCAAATCTGAGCTGTAATAACAATCAAACATTTTCTTTGACTGCCTCCTGCAACTTGTTTATTATGAGCAGACTTTACACAGCTACAAAGCAATTAACTGTAGTATCCCACAAATAGAAGCCCTATTATTTACTGTCCCTGTTTGGTTAATATGCAGGAGTGGCTGCCCCGCTTGAAGTTCTAAGCTTGAGCTTTGGGAACCTCCTCTACGAATATGCGGGACACAGATCTCCATCCAGTGTAGGCGTCATAGTTTCCATTGTACCCTTGGCATTTACCAACCCAGAATCCCACGCGCACCTTTCCTTTGTGAATTTTATTACAGTAGCCTTCAATGTGGCGGACGCGATGAGGGTCTTGAGATTTGCTGACCACGTACACAACACCATCAATGGGTAGGGGAGCGGAACATTCTGCACCGTTGAAAGTAAAGTACCAGCGGTTACAGCCACCATTAGTATAAACTCTAAGTGTACCCGTCCAGTACACATGAAGAGAAGTGTCAGAAAAGTTTTTGATGAAAACACATTCCTATACAAAAAAGAGAAACAGATATGCTAGTAAAAATGTAGCAATGAAAACTGGTCATGATCTATTCACGCCCTTAAGCTTCTTCTATATCTTTTATCTTTTGTCCCTTAGTTTTTCTTTGATTTGTAATGCTATTGTTTCATTATCATTTCATTTTTTAGTAGTAGTAGTAGTAGTAGTAGTAGTAGTAGTAGTAGTAGTAGTAGTAGTAGTAGTAGTAGTAGTAGTAGTAGTAGTAGTAGTAGTAGTAGTAGTAGTAGTAGTAGTAGTAGTAGTAGTAGTAGGTTGTGGTTGTTATAATTGCTTCTTTACGAAAACAAATAAAAGAACTTCTCTTTAACGCTGACCTTGATATAACGAAGAGGGAAAGAAAAATGTTTTTACCTTGATCAGCCCGTGATCTTTGTCATCATTGATGTTTTTCCAAACGCATTCCTTCCAGTTCTTAAAAGCCATCAGACCTGGATTCCCAGGGGTTCCACTTAATCCACTCTCCCCACGTTCCCCCTTTTGTCCTGGGGGTCCTTGGCTTCCGCGTTCTCCTTTAGCGCCATCATTTCCGTTAACACCAGGGTTTCCGCTAGGTCCCGGAGGCCCCTGGGGTCCAGTCTTCCCTGGGATACCTTGGTCACCCTTGGCTCCTTCACGGCCATCTCGTCCGTCGCGGCCTGGTATCCCAGGGGAACCAGGTTTGCCATGCATGCCGGGAATTCCAGCATAGTAGACGGGAGAGGCCTGGTAAATTAAAAGTAGAATCGATTAAGTTCATATTTGTCAATTGACAGGCTTTGTCAGGTTGACATCATTAGTCAAATTGAGCAGCTCTACAGTTTCCTTCCTTGTAGATTAGAGCCATTACGTTTTGAATTTTATTTCAAAGCTAAAACACTGAAAAGAATACGATCTGGCCTGTCCGTTGAAATTTAGACCTGTTACCTTAAAAGTTTAAGTTGTAAAACAGGAAGTACTGTTAACAGTGAGAATTTGAACTAAGACTGTTTATTCAATACGCCATTTTTTCATGAACATCTTTAAAAAAATTTACATACGTTGTCGTCCTTATTAGACTGAGACGCATAACCAAGTCACCTACCATGTTGTTTAATGGCTGTTTGGTCTTGTTGTCACTTGTAGCACAAGCCAATAATAATATCGCAAATAACGCTAACAGTATTAGCGACGCCTTAAAATTGGAAGTAGCCATTTTCATGTGATTTTCGATGATTTCCTGCAATATGATAAACAGCCTATGAAACTTACAAATAACGTGTTGCATTAACAACAGGGAGAGTAAAATACTCCAAGTTTTTCCCATGTGGTAATTATACTACAAAAATTGACAAAATTTTTTCCTTGTCTTAATAACGAGACTAATCACTTTCATCTTTCACTCTCATTTACGTTTTTCTACATACTGTACTTCGCAAGGTTTTGCAAGGCTACGTCTTTTCTGATGGTTAAAATACTGAATGCAAATTTCTTTTGGTACTTTATATTAATGCTGTGCATATTGTCGTTAATAAATTGTTTGAATTTTAATTGATTTTAAAATTGTTCAGTGAATTAAAACTTTAGTCAGTCGGGTTTCTCGTATTTTCACTTGCTAATTTTGGGGTTTCTTTTGAATTTTTTAGGTGTGTGAACCTTTATTTACTTAACTTATTTGTTACAAACTCGAAGTAAAATTACTAAGAAATACTCTGTTCTCTTTACTTGGGGAGTTACGGAGTACTGTTTCGTCTTGACAAGTGGATACGATTAACTGAAAAATGGAGCGATTTCTAACGAAACAGCGATTGAGTTTTAGTGATTATTTTACTCCGAGAACAAGCAAGGAAATCAAGTACAAAATAGATGGATTAAGTCAGAGAAAATATCTAAAAAGGTCAAGAGCCTAAATCGGCAAAAGTGGCCGATGATATTATGCTGAAGATTAGAGTTACGACCCTGAATCCACTATTTTCGACGAGAAACTAATTATCTAAAAAAGAGGTTACTAGACGTACCTGTAAAGATAAAATGACTTCTTTTTCCTTCCAGAAAACGTGAACAAATGAAGCTGCATTGAATAACTTCCTTTTTTCCACTCTCAGGCTTTTGTTTACATTTGATTCGCGTTTGAGCGAGTTAAGCTGACCTTTGTTATCAATAAGCACATTATCGCTACAGCAAGAGCATTGCTAAATCTGCCTTAGGCAAAGTAGTATTACATAAATAAACAGTTAGTGTTTCGCAAATGAAAAGACAGTCGATTTTAGCAAAGCTGAGACTTCCGCTGAGTTTTGTGCAACCAGTTATCAGGTCAAATTCTAGCGGTGTTTTTTTTCTCAGTCGATCAAAATTCAGTCGTGAACTGAAATTAAACTTGATTGGTTATCCACATTAAGTGCATCATGGAAAGCAGGAGAGTTTTTGTGTTTGATTGCGATCGTCAGGAAACGAATCTGTGAAGAATTACATATCTAAAAATTGTTAACGGTCTCTGATCATTTGGTGATATATAGCCGTATCTAACGAGATTTTCCCTTCGGTTTCTCGAGCATACTTCTCACGGGCAAAAAAACGTCGGTTCTACCAATTTGTATTTGAAGAATAAAAACTGTCACGGAAGCTAAGGAAACTGAAAGTACAATGATCACCGTTATATAGGTATGGGCTTTGGGTGAATAGATTTACCAAAAGACAGCCATGAATGGTCTCAAACATATTTTTTTGCCACTTTTTTCAGTGCAGCTAAATTAAATGACACGCGAGAACTAGATTGTCATATAATCAAATATATGCAAATTTGCTGCTTCTTGCACAGTTAAACCTCGTTAATACGGACACTGAGGGACCGTAGATAGTGTCCGTATTAAGCGGGTTGAATGTAAAGAAAATATAAGGATTTCTTTCCCCAGGGACAAAGCAAAATGTCAATAAAAATGAGGTGCCGTATTAAGCGGGTGCCCGTAAAGCGAGGTTTGACCGTATACATTGTATCTCAGTGTATGAACACCCACAGAGTGAGATAAAACATTTGCTTGTTAATTAATCACTCGCCAGATAAAATAAGGACAAAAATGCACTCTCTGTTTATAACAGAGACGAAGACTCCGGAAATATTTTCTTCGCGAACAGAGTTCAAAGGCCTGGCCATAAAAAGAGAAATATTGACTTTATATACCACGCTCGATGAAAAGACTTGATTCAATCATTAAAAAATGACGATTTCTTTGCTCTGTGTTTTTAGGGAACAGATTTTTAATATCGAGATTTCCCAATTTATTTAGACAGACAGTTGACGACAAAACATTCCTTTACGTTCAAACGTTTGTGGACTTTTGTCGTTCGTGAATATTTACTATGTAAAGGGCTGTGCATATTTATTAACCTGCTGTAAAACTTTCAAGGGGTATTTCTCTAAAATATCACATGATTTCTTTACAGAAATTTAAAATAGGAGAAAATAAATAAATAAATAAATAAATAAAAGAATTGCTGTAAGAAATACTGTAGAGGCCAACGGGCGGATACTGAAGGGCAACGAACGACATGCTAAGTTTTTTAGTATTTACAATTACAAATCAAACACACTAACCTGCCGACAGAAAACATGAAATTCTCCATCGTCGGGGAAAGACAAATGTGAAAAGAAAACTCGCTGAAATTGCCTAAAACCGCCCTGATACAAGGTGGTAACACTTCTAATAATGAATATAACATATTCCGCAAAAAATTTCTTCTTCAGGTCCTTCAGTTGTAATTCTCAATAAATGAGCGATGAATATTCACAAACCCACAAAATGCACGCTGCACAGATTGGTATCACAAAGTCAATACTTCCGACCTTGGGAAGCCTGTGCTGGAATGAATAGCTGAACAGGCGAATGAAGCCTAGAGAATCCCTTGTATCAGATTAAAAGTATAGAATGCGTTATTGACCAAGCCTGTTCCGTCAGGATGACCAGACAATAGCCAAGTTCATTTTTCATGTTTCTTTAGATCAAGACGAAGAGTTAGCCATGCCGTATTTTTTTGTCAATTTTCTGAGAGACTGAGAGGGGAGCAAATATAGAAATTTGTATTCACCAATTCGTGATAAAACTAGAAAATTTTATTCTTATTTTTTGTTTCACATGAAGTCTGATCTGTCCACTGTGTTTTTTCTATGTTATAGTTAAACTGGTATAGGATAATGATCATAGAATAATGCTCTATAAAATCACCTCATAGTTATTTGTAAGACGATGAAAGTGACGTAAATGTAAGGCCCGGTTCAGACGCCGAACTTTTCATGAGCCGAACCTAATTCGAATTAAGACCGACCCAAATTATTTAGACCGGCTAAAGTGATTCAGACGCCGATCTTAATTCCAGCCGAACTAAATTCAGAAGGCGAAAAATGCGCATTTCGGTCAAACTGCTTACAAAATACGTTATAAGAATTTCTGCATTTGGTTCGGTACATGAAAAGTTCGGCGTCTGAATCAAAGGCGTTCCAAAGTCGATCCAAAGGCGAAATTCCCGGCTGGGCTAGGCGAAAAGAACGGCTGAGCCGTTCCAAATTGAAACAGGCGTTCCTAATTGATTCAGACGCCGAACTTTTCATGTACTTAATTCAATGTATTAGGCTCGGCTCATGAAAAGTACGGCGTCTGAACCGGGCCTAAGAGAGAATAATTGTTCTCTCTTGGTAATTGACAATTCCCTTTGAAATCCCGTATCGGTTAACGTGTAAAAAGCAAGCGCCGCGTCTCTTGACGTTGCCATGGAGACTTGCAATCTTTTGACTATGTGCACTCTAAGCACTTTTTATACCTATGAAGGTCTAATAACAAACAAGCAAACATTTCCTTTTGAATCGAAGCCTCCTGTCGTTTATTTAAGATCAGCAAATATTACATTGCTACTGACAAAGCAATTAACTATACTATCCCTTAATCAAGACAGCACTATCTTTTATTGCATGTCCCTGTATGCTTAAATCAGGAATCTCTGTTTCAATTCGAGGTCTAAGCTTGAGCTCTGGGAACCTCTTCTACGAATATTCGGGACACAGAATTCCATCCCGTGTAGGCGTCAAAGTTTGGACTGTAGCCAGGGCAAGTACCAACCCAGAATCCCACGCGCACCTTTCCTTTGTGGATGTTGTTACAGTAGCCTTCGATATGGCGAACACGATGGGGATTTACAGTTGTACTTCTCACGTACACAACACCTTCAATGGTCAGAGGGGCTGAACATTCCGCGCCGTTGAAAGTAAAGTACCAGCGTTTACATGCATCTTTCCCATGGGTTTTAAGAGTACCCATCCAGTACACATGAAGGGCTGTGTCTGAGAAGTTTTTGGTGAACACACATTCCTGTGCAAAAAATAAAAATAATAATAACAACTACAACTACAACAACAAAAAAACAGAGCTAGAACCAGGCTCATTATTCGATGTTTCCCAGCGTTATCTACTTCAAAAAGAAAAAATGTTGAACAAGAATTACGAAGCCATATTGCGATAGTTACAATAATCCCTTGAATCGTAATATGAGCATGCCTGCTCTTAACACTGTCCTCCTTACCTATTGCACTGAAGAGAAGAATTTGTTCAATAAAGAACGCTCCTTTTACTTGCTGATCAGTTCCTTTTTCTCAAAACCCTTTATGTTGAATAAGCCAGTTTAGAGAGAATTTAGACGTTGTTCACTCTTAAGAGTTCAAGGGTTAGAACATGTAGGATAATTTTATGTCGGTTAACATATCTTCGAATAATGCGAAAGATACCCAAAAATGTATTAACCTTGATGAGCCCTTGATCTTTGTCATCATTGATGTTTTTCCAAACGCATTCCTTCCAGTTCTTAAAAGCCATCAGACCTGGATTCCCAGGGGTTCCACTTAATCCACTCTCCCCGCGTTCCCCCTTTTGTCCTGGGGGTCCTTGGGCTCCGCGTTCTCCTTTAGCGCCATCATTTCCGTTAACACCAGGGTTTCCGCTAGGTCCTGGAGGCCCCTGGGGTCCAGTCTTCCCTGGAATACCTTGATCACCCTTGGCTCCTTCACGGCCATCTCGTCCGTCGCGGCCTGGTACCCCAGGGGAACCAGGTTTACCATGCATGCCGGGAATCCCAGCATAGTAGACGGGAGAGGCCTGGTAAATTGGAGGAAAAATAAACTACAAATTTGTCAATCGGCTTTGATGATATCATTATTTAAATTGAGCAGCTATCACAATTCTCTCTTTTGTACGCAAGAGCCGCACATTAAAAATTTTCCTCAACGACATAACACCGTAAATATACGATTTGGCGTTTCAGCTAAAATGTACACTTTTTGTCTTAGAAGTCTCATTTGCTGCGTATACAGGAAGTACTGTTGATCAATGATACTTGAATTTAGATTGTTTGTTCAATGCGCCAAGTTTTCAAGTGCATCGTCAAAAATTTACATATATTTCGTCTGACTTATCAGAGGCAGTTTCTGTGTCACCTACCATGTTGTTTGATGGCTGATTAGTTTTGTTGCCACTCGTAGCACGAGCCAAGAATAATATCGCAAACAACGCTATCAAACAAAGCGATACCTTAGAAGGGTAAGTTGCCATTTTTTCGTGCTGTCCTGCGAACAAGATTGCAAACATTATAATACAAATCTCAAAAGAGTTGACATGTATCATATTTAAGATTTAAATAAAGATTTAAATGTTTGATTTAACATAAATAACGTAGGTAATACCATGTACTCATGTGGGAATACTGAAATAAAGTTGTTGTTGCCGTTGTCATATAACAATGGGAGAAAATGGCCTCTTGCTTGAACAAATGAAAGATATATGAAGGCCCGCGAATTTAAGTAATGCCAATGATAAAACACAACGTGATTCTCGCCCTGCTTTTGAAAAACAGGCGGACTTTCTTTGGTAGATATTTATACCAAACGTGTTTCTTTGGATGAATGTTAAGCCATTGATGAAAGCTATTGCAAAGAATTTTACTGAGAAGTTTCTCTTCTGTAAAGATTTTTGATTTTTTTTTTCTGTTAAGTCTTTTCCTATTTGAACAATAAAAAAGACTTCAGAAACCATCGTAACCCGTATTCTATACGCGCTAGAATTCGTTTATGGAAGAAAGATTATTGGGGCCGTTGTTATTTGGCACTGCTTTTCTACCAAAAACTTAGTTCGTACCATTTTTGTTTTGCTTAAATCTTCTGAATTTGAAGAACAAGAAGATGTAATCAAATATATATCTTTTTCAAAGTATCTCTCTCCTCCTTTGACAAAAATAGGTATAGTACACATGTACACAGATCATAATTCAGTAATCACCAGCATATTCATCATGAAAAACGTCCCGCAAAACGACATTGTTCCAGTTCCATTTCCTGCTCCCAGAAAAATGGGACATTAATTATTTTCCACGACGCAAATGAATTTTTATTGAGGGGCTTTCGAATTTTCAGAGACTGGCGGATTTAGCCATTAGAAAACAGTTCGCGAAATGGCGAGTGCCCGCATCCTCAACAGGCGGCTTCTGTCAGTTTCTTGTAAAGAAATGTTTTTGAACTAATGTGCGACGAAAAACTATTTCAGAGCCTTAACGGACTTTTTTGTATTCTGCGATTTCAAATTTAAGGTACTCGTGAACAGAGCTGTTAGAAAACTGACAAATGAGAGGGCTGCGCGCTCGTATGGGGAATAGCAGTTTCTATTTTAAATTTAGGCTGAATCGAGTAAACTTGGAGAGGGCGACTGAACTTTAGGCCACTTCTACTTCTGCTTTGGTTTTGCACGACAAAACACCAAAGAAAGAGACTGTAAGACATACCTGCAGAGGAGTAGAAAGTCTTCTTTTTCGTCCAAGAACTCCTTGAATGAACAAACCGCAGTGAATGAACTCCTTTTCATCATTTTCCATCTTTTGTTGACATTGTTTGATTCGAGTTTGAACAAGTTTATTGTTGACTAGGGGCGCTGAAAAGGAAGTTCCTTCAAGTGCTTTGTTGTTGACCCTTAGTACTTGATCGTTATTATAAATTATGCGACTATTCTCTTAGTTAGTTACATTTCAAAATCATAAGATTATTTTTTAAACAGAAAGTAAGATTTGGCATAAAGAAATGGAGACATTTTGGCAAGGCTGACCCCTTTGCAATTGTGGTGTAACATGCAGTCAGCTCTCATTGTTTCTACTGAGGACACTCTTGTATTCTCTCTCCTGGCCCACCCTGCTCAAGAATCTGATGGGCTGTTTCCAAAAGGCACGTCAAGGGAAGTAGTAGTATGTGCTTGGATCGCCAATCGGCAGACAAATCCGCAAATTGACGCGAAATAAAGTAATCGGTGATTCAGGAATACTGTTGCGCTCCTTGTTGCAGGACAACTGCCCTTTGTTTAAAATTCGGTACGCGCAAAGATTCTTTCTAGCAATTTATGTTTACAAGTATAAACGCCACATAAAAATGATCAGCTTTATCTCAAGTCTTTGCGTTGCATTAACAGATTTTAACCATAGAGTGATTTAACCGTAAAATAAGTAGTGGAAAACTGCGCACTATTATGCAGTATATCTATTGTCTGCTTTTGTTTACCTCTCACTATTTTTGCACCATTTGTTAGTATCTGTTTCACAGTTCAAGTAAAGTCACTCCAAGACCCTCCGTGACGCGTTTTCTTCTTTCCTTGGAGACTGTACATGTCAGAAGTACATGATCGAAATAGAAAACAAAAAGTCGACTTTCTAGTTGAAATCACCGAGATGCGCAATCAACCAGGACGATGTTTTTATGTATTGGAATTGATTTATAGCTAAAAGCTGTGTACTTCTACTTGACTGTGTAATGAGTAATAATAACCTGCTAAATAGTTTTACAACGTAACTCTGGGCGTATTAAACAGTATTAAATTCCATTTATCCCAATATCTTGGTGTTGTAAAATCAAATCTCAATAATTACCACATTTGACTGTGCAGTTAAATTAAATGACAAGCGATAACTTATTGTTTTTCTGTAACAGATGCAATTTTTTTTAGCTTTTTATTACGTTAAGAAATAAATAAAATTCGCCTGTAAATCACTTGCCATGTGTAGTACAGGGCCGGCAAGGGGCCAAGCTTCCAAAATATTTTCTCTGTATATCGGTTTAGTAAGACATATATCGCAGTTAATTTGTTAATTTGATTGCGAAGTTTTTGTACATAATATATAAGAATCACACATTTCGATACAGTGCAATGGCAGTAAAAATTGACTCTACGGCAACCAAAGGCGATAGAGAAACACACGTATTTCTTCATATATTTAATTCCGCCTCTTCTTAATAATGAAATTTTGTTTTCAAAGCGGAATTTCCACATTTCTAAATGGAAAGAGCTAACGACGAAATTTTTATTTATGTAAATTCTTTACATATCACGTTATACAAAAACCGAACTCGTTTGTATACATCTGTATTGTTTCTTCTTTTAAAGACGGTTCTAAAACGTATATCCACAGCTTTCCATACCGAAAATAAAAACAACAAAATTGTCATGAAAAATATTTGAAAAGGCCACTGTAAAGGATATCGACGTATTAGGCTTTTTGCTACTATTTACATAAAAACGTACCAACATGAAGACGGGAAAACATGAAATTCTGCATCGTCTGGAAAGAGGACCAAAGTAGGCAGAATGACTCGATACTCTGAAACTCCCCAACACAAATGACGCTTTCGGATAAATATGACTTTGAGGAATAAATTCCTTCATTTTGAATTCTCATACAAGACTGGTAAATATTCTCAAACAAAATCCTTAATCTGAAATGCGTTGCGCTGTCGATAATTTTGAGTTGCGTCTGCTGTGTCGAGATGAAAAGAATTCGCCATTTGCATATCTCCCATAATACATCTTTGCCCCGGGTCCCTTGTCGTTTTCCAATATGGGGGTGACCGGCAGGACCTAAAACCCGTACTGATTCTCTTTTCCTGCCTTTGCCATATTGTAAAACGTGAAGACTCTGGGAAGAGGTTGCGAAATCATTGGGTTATAATTAGCCGCTAAGAATAATCTCTTTTTCAGTGTATAGCCTTTCTGCTCGTGTTTATTTCTTTTTATTGTTTTTCTGACATGGCACAGTGACGTTAAAATAACCTTTTAAAATCCATATTATTTTCGGTTTGCCTAAAATGAATTTCGGCATTTTGCCACAATATTTCAAACATTGAAATACTATTACATTGTGATTGCTTGAAAGATTTTGGACAATTTATAACTTACAAAATTCAAGCATACAAGTATGAAATTTAAAAATCTCATTTTCGTCATTTAAGTTTCCGCGCAAAGACTGATGGGGTATTAAAAGCAAGGATGCAGCTTCTCCCTCTATTCCTGCCCTCCCGCTCCACCTGTTTGCACTGATTCATTCCATAAGCTTCGTTCCGAGCGACCTTTCGAATTGCCACGGGGGATTTCATGCATTTGCTTCAAATCTGAGCCGTAATAACGATCAAACATTTTATTTGGCTGCCTCCTGCAACTTGTTTATTGTGAGCAAACTTTACACAGCTACAAAGCAATTAACTGTAGTATCTCACAAATGCCAACTCTATTTACTACTGTCCATGTCTGCTTAATATGCAGGAGTGGATGCACCGCTTAAGGTTCTAAGTTTGAGCTTTTGGAACCTCCTCTACGAAGATGCGGGACACAGAACGATATCCTGTGTAGGCGTCATAGTTTCCATTGTACCCTTCGCATTTACCAACCCAGAAACCCACACGCACCTTTCCTTTGTGGATGTTATTACAATAGCCTTCAATGTGGCGGACGCGATGAGGGTTTACAGTTTTGCTGGCCACATATACAATACCATCAATGGGTAGGGGAGCGGAACATTCTGCACCGTTGAAAGTAAAGTACCAGCGTCTACAGCCACCATTAGCATAGACTCTTAGTGTACCCGTCCAGTATACATGAAGAGCAGTGTCAGAGAAGTTTTTGCTGAACACACATTCCTTGACAAAAGAGAGAAACAGATATGCTGGTAAAAATACACCACTAAACAGTCTTGTGTGCTTAGAGGCACGGGAAATGAAAACTGGTCATGATCCCTTCACGCTCTTAAGCTTCTTCTACATCTTTTGTCTCTTAGTTTTTCGTTGATTTTTAATGCTATTGTTTCATCATCATTTCATTTTTTATATTATTATTATTATTATTATTGTTATTATCATTATTATTATTATTATTATTATTATTATTAGGTAGTGGCTGTTATTATTGCTTCTTTAAGAAAACAAATAAAAAACTTCCCTTTAACCCTGATTAGACCTTGATATAAAGAATGGGTAAAGAACAATGTGTTTACCTTGATCAGCCCATTATCTTTGCCATCATAGATGTTTTTCCAAACGCATTCCTTCCAGTTCTTAAAAGCCATCAGACCTGGATTCCCAGGGGTTCCATTTAATCCACTCTCCCCGCGTTCCCCCTTTTGTCCTGGGGGTCCTTGGGCTCCGCGTTCCCCTTTAGCGCCATCTTTTCCATTAACACCAGTGTTTCCGCTAGGTCCTGGAGGCCCCTGGGGTCCAGTCTTCCCTGGGATACCTTGGTCACCTTTAGCTCCCTCACGGCCATCTCGTCCGTCGCGGCCTGGTATCCCAGGGAAACCAGGTTTGCCATGCATGCCAGGAATACCAGCATGACACACAGGAGGGGCCTGGTAAGTTAGGAGTAAAGCGGATTCAATACATAAATAGTAAATGGGCTTTGTTGATGATTTCATTTCCTAAATTAAGCTGTTACAATCGTATAACTTGTAGATATAACAGCCGTCCTTTTTTCAAATTTCAGCTCAGCGATAGACGTCTTAACTGTGTATTTTTAACCCTTTGGCTACGAATTTTAAGTTGCTAAGTATACAAGAAGTACATACTGTTAATTAACCAGTGACACTTGAATGAAGATTGTTTATTCAATAAGGTCCTACATGTGAACAATTGATATAAATGGCGTTTTTTTTCTAGGAAATTAAGAGACTTTTTAACTGTCCCTAATTAAATGCAATCACCGCGCCACCTACCATGTTACACGATGACTGTTTTGTTTGGTTGACACTTGTGGCATAGGCCAAGAATAGTATTGCAAATAAGGCTAAAAGACAAAGCCAGACTTTTAATGTGCAAGTAACCATATTTCTCATGATTTCCTGGAGAAGAGATTAAAGATAGATGATCATTATGAGCGAAAAAACACTTTCATTACTAAATAGTTGAGAATGAACGCGTCGCCTCTGGATCGGAAAAACTTTGAACTACTACCAGAACCATGATCGACCACATCTGTACTTTGGGAAGTCTTCTCTGAATTCAGTAAAATAAAACTTTGAAATTAAAGTTATAATAACTGCATACTCGAGTTTACTGTGAAACATCACGCTGCAGTTGGGTTAAAATTTATCCAGCGTTGTTTAGCTATTCATTTTAAGTGATTTTGTTTCCTCTATGATCTTCAATAGAAAGAAAAGAAATTTTGATTAGATAGTTTTTCTTTTCGTCTGCTCTGAAGCAAGAATGAGGGATTACATCATTTTGGGGGGAAAATCACCAGTTCAAACAACAAAAGTCCCTCAGTGACAGCTACTGAGTTTCAAATATCATTTCCAGGCCGAAGGACAAGAAAGTACATCGGTTATTATTTTCAAAGACATAAAAGATGGTTGACATACCCGCTGATTTCAAAATTAACCGACTTGCAAGCACTGAAAAAAGTGACAAGTCACCTGCACTTAGCAATAGCCCATTCTATTTTTGCTAACTGAGTGACAAAACTTAAACGTATTTGAGAGGAGAAACTAATCCATTTATGAAAAAAATCATCAAACGTACCTGTAAAGATGGAAAGACTTCTTTTCCTTCCAAAACTCACGAACAACTAAATCAGCAGTAGCTGAATTACTTCTTTTGTTTTCAGTCTTTTGTGACATGAGCTGATTTGCGTTTGAGAGCCTTGTTGACCTTCAGTTGAGCTCTGTCACCACTATTGTACTAGCACGTAATCCTCCTTTCTACTAATATCTAGTTATTCCGGTATCCGTCTTCTGCCTTTTAACAACTGCAAGGTTACCTTGGAATATTTTATCGGAGCTGACACTTATTTCTAAGTTTGGTGTGTAACCCGCAATTAGGCCGGATTCCAAAGGCACTCTTTTCTCGCCGTGGGCCAACTGGCAAACTTAGATGCGACAACCTGATTGGCTGTTAATAATAGGCACGCCACAGAAAGCAGGAAATTTCCGGCTGACAACTTTTGTACCTGATCGACTTCGCCAGAAAACGCGAAAGAATCGTGAAAATTTACAAGCAATCAATCGTTCGGGGATAGTAGTTCTCCTCTTTACGGCAAAAAGGGCCTTTGCTTATACCGTTACCAACTCCGGCAATTTTCATTTGCACACCGTTTGCAAGGAAGATGAAATTCATTTTAAAAGCTTCTCTGAAAGTATGAGACTCATAAATGTCCACGTTGTAGGTATAGACTAATCAGTAAACAGTCAGGAATGATCAAAATAGGAAACAAACTTCGATTCTAAATCATGGAGAATCGCAAGGGAGTAGCAAGTCTCAGGTTACGTCACAAAGAACACAACAATGATACCTAGCCCTTACACAACTTGACCCACCAAAAGATGAATTCACTGGGCTGCTTACACTAGACAGGAATATTGTGTGGTATGAAAACGAGAAGTTTACTAAAACAGACAGCCCAACTGCCCATTGATTCCGATCCACGGGCCTCATTGATTGCACTGTGACTTTTAATTGCGGTCTACAATTTACATGAAAAACGCACTATTTTTTTCCACAAGACAAAAATATTCAGTTTTAAGATTTTTCTCTGGGTATTTTTCTTTAACTCAAAGGAATAAAATCCTTTAACTATATTAAAAAAGGAATAAATACAAAATTACCAATGTCGTCATTTCTATTCCAGGATTCTTTGTGTAAGGACAAGGAACCACAAAATCGCCGCAGTAAAACTAAAAATAATTTCTTCATCACACACAGCCCCTCTGCAGTTTTACTTTTTTTAATCCATGCCGTTAACCTAAAAAATTTAGAATAACGCTTTTAATCAGTTTGCTACTAATGAATCGCCTTGTTTTAATATCAAAATGCTGCCTCATTGTGATTGGCTGAAGGGTTTTGGACAAATAAAGACAAAAACACAGTCAAGAGAATGGAGGTATGAAGCCATTTTAAATAATTCTCTGTTTGAACATTATCAAACACCTCTTCATGTTACCCCAGAAATGCGTAAGAAGCAAATTTACCTCCGAGGGGTGGGGAACTGACTTGCCCACGTTTAGGCTAAGGGTTGTAGCCTGTATTGTAGGCGTCAAAAAGAGGGAGGGAGGGGGTTGAGGGGAAGTGAAAAAGGGAGAGGAACTGGGGAGACACGGAAAGGGATGGAGGCGCTCCTTCTTTATTTTCCCTTTCGCGCTTTTGTCCTCTCCTCCCTCCCATTTTTGCGCCCATCACACAGGCTGTCACAGGCTATGAGGTCGCTGCGGAGAGTTTAATTCCCTGTCCCTTCCCTACTGGGAATTTGAAAGATCGTTCGGAACGTGGAGAATGACTGCAAACAATTGAAGAGTGAGACATCATAGGAAAGGAAGGAACGGTGGGCGAAGCTGCCATCTTTCTTACTTTTTATATCTCCCCGCCATTTCTAACGTGGAAATTTACATAATGAGATGTAGGTTTGGGTACGAGGTTGCTGACCCTGCAGACCTACAAACTACCGCATCTATTATATGACGTCTCGAAAACGTTTCTAAGTTGTTAGCTCTCAGAGCAAATTGGAATTTAAGAGGTGCATTTTTATATTTCTAGACTGCATAAAAGACCTTATTATTTCTCGTTGTTCAGGCGACAAAAAGTAAGCGCAAAGCGAGCTAGGAGGGCCAGACATGGTCATTCGCTCTTCTGAAAAACGTGAAAAAAAGGAAGCCTGTTATACAGGCTATTACATTTCATTTATTTATTTTATATCTGTTACGTTGAAGAGCGAAACAAACAATCAAACATTTTCTTTGGAAGCCTGTTGCCATTTATTTATCATCAGTAACGTTTAAGTGGCTAGAAAGCAATTAGCCGATATCCCTTAATGCAACGGTACTATCCTTTAAAGTCCTTGTCTGGCTTATATGCAACAATGGCTTCAATTCACGTCCCCAGGTCTAAGCTTGAGCTTTTGGAACCTCTTCTATAAAGATTCGGGACACAGCGTTCCATCCTGTGTAGGCGTCAAAGCTTCCACTGGCTCTTGCGCAATTGCCGACCCAGAATCCCACGCGCACCTTTCCTTGGCGTATGTTATTGCAGTGGCCCTCAATATGGCGGACGCGATGAGGATTACGGGATTTGTCCAAACCGCCTAAGTACACGATACCTTCAATGGGCAAGGGAGCTGAACATTCCGCACCGTTGAAAGTGAAGTACCAGCGTTTGCAGCAGCCTGTGCAGCCAGATACTCTAAGGGTACCCGTCCAGGAGACATGAAGAGCAGTGTCAGAGAAATTCTTCCGAAACACACATTCCTGAGCAAAAGGAAGCGTATGTTAATAATATTAAACTATTAAGTATTTCCGTTTGGAGTAGTGGAAAACAAACGATCTTGCAGCTTAATTAATTAGCGCATTAGAAGTATTGTGGACTTGACATTTATGAGGCACAAGAAAAAGAAAAGGTAAATAGCATTTTAAACGGTATTTTAAATTGTTATAATTATTAAATAATGTCCACAAGAAAACAAATAAAAAGTCTGATTTTTCAAACCCTGATCAGGCCGTTATCTTTATCATCGGCAATCTCTTTCCAAGCACATTCCTTCCAGTTTCTAAGAGACATCAGACTTGGATTCCCAGGGGTTCCACTTAATCCACTCTCCCCGCGTTCCCCCTTTTGTCCTGGTGGTCCCTGGGCTCCCCGCTCTCCTTTCGATCCATCCTTTCCATTAGCACCTGGGCTCCCTTTAAGCCCTGGGGACCCCTGGGATCCACTCTTTCCTTGCGTGCCTCTTTCTCCCTTGACGCAATACTTTCCATTAGCCCCCAGGTTTCCGCTAGGTCCCGGAGGCCCCTGGGGTCCAGTCTTCCCTGGGATACCTTGGTCACCTTTGGCTCCATCACGGCCATCTCGTCCGTCGCGGCCTGGTATCCCAGGGGAACCAGGTTTGCCATTCATCTCGAGAATTGCAGCACAATAGACGCGAGGGGCCTGGTAAATTGGAAGGAAAATTATGCATTAAGTTCATACAAATTGTGAATGGGAGTGGGAGTTCTTAATAAAAAAAAACCACATACACTACCGCGGGCTTGTTTTGGGAGAGCCCCTGTTACACAAAACCTATACTACATGTGGGGATGTATGCCAGTATAACACACACAAAAAAAGAAAAGCAAAAGCAAAATTAGTTTGGTAGGGTATATAAAACTAAAAAAATCTCGCAGTTATGTTTGGGGACCTTTTTTTCATACTTATTTACGTGACGTAGATCTGCAACATTTCTGTTGGCTGTTACGAATGTGACTTGATGGGGTAAAATTTTGTAGCTTTTGCGAACCGATTATTTGTGAAATTTAGTGAAGGCGTTTTAATCGAGCTGTTGACGTTACAATTAGCGGTTACGATTCTCTTTAAAAGATAAAAGCCGCACATTTTTCAATCCCATCTTAACGGCTAAAACGCTGCCGAAAAGATATAAGATCTGGCAAATGAAACTTTTTGCTCTCCAGTTTTCAGTCGCTGCGCATACAGGAAGTACTGAAATCGTGGGGAAGTTTGACCAGGGGCACCCAACGGCAATTTTCGGGAAAATATCTGTTCGGAAGACGATTTGAGATCTAGAATTTTCGGAGCATTTGTTGTAAAATTTCTTGCTTGCCTGCCTCTCCTAGGATTTTCGAACATCTACAAAATGGTATAATTACCCATTTTTAACGGATTTTGACCCTAAAAAAGGCCACCTAGAATTTTCGGGAGCCTTTTCCTGGCTGAAATTTTCGAGAAGGTAAGTTTTTATCCCTATAATTTTCGGATCACTAAACTTTCAGCTAGGAAATCCGAACAGATGAAAAGTTTTTAGGGGATAAAAATATGCCTATATCTACCGTTTGAATACTAAAATACGTTCAACAATGCTACGTTAAGTGGTTTTGAACTATATCATCGTTGGGTGCCCCTGTTTGACATACTGGTGTTTATCTAATACGCGAATTTTTCATGAACATCTTAAAAAGAACTGATGACGTTCTATTTTCCTTAAAAATTTGCATGTTTTTAACTAAGCGAGTCACCTACCATGTCGCACGATGACTGTTTAGTTTTGTTACCACTTGTAGCACAAGCAAAGAATAATGTCGTAAATACAAGAAATGCTAACAGAATAAGCGACACTTTAAATTGGGAAGTGGACATTTTCTCGTGATTTCCTGCAAACAAAATTGAAAACAGAATACGTTAAGAAGTTCACAAAAGTAAAAATGTCGCAAATAACAAGACCTCCAGCTTGATAAAGACAAACGGACTGAGTCTGTTTTTGAACGACAACGGGGCTCCTTTCTTACTGTTTTAAACCAAATATGCTATTTTTGGACGAAATTTCACGCTAGTGATGAAAGCTAGCTATTGCAGCGAATTTTACTGAAAAGTTAACGTCACTGGGGCTACTAAGATTTATATACTGTAAAGTAATTGTTTATTATTTGCGAAGTCTTTTCTGAATTTAACAAAGTAAACCCTTCAGAAATAATTTTTTATAGCTATTGCACTTCACTTTTTGTGGCACCATGTGTCTCATACGGGCTGTAAATCGCCTAGAGGAAAGAATTCTTCCACGACTGTGGCCGTGGTTGTCTGTCATTGCTTCATTTTCTAAACAAATTTTCAGTTATGCAATTTTTTGCTCTTCTTCAACCTTTCGTTAATTTCAAAATGGAGAAAATGTAATCAAATAGTTTTCGTTTTTATCTGCTCCAATATTCACGGCGAAAAACGCCCAAAAAACTACAGATTCCATTCTTATTTGGTTTAGTCTGTTGCTAAAACAATAGGAAATCAATTATTTTCCATCCACGCAAAGGATTGCTTTATTGCGAGGATTTCAAACTCCAGAAACTAGAGGATCGAGCTCTGGTTAGAAAACAGTTCGCAAAAACGGCGAGCGCCAGCATCCACAACAGAAGGCTTCTCTCTTCCCGCTAAACTGATGATGGATCTGAACTAAATGTGCTATCAAAGACTATTTTCATGGGCTCAACTGATTGTTTTGTATCCTGCGATTTCAAATTTAGGAGAATCGTGAACAATGCTGTTAGAAACCTGACAAATGAGAGGGCTTCGCGTTCGTATCGGGAATAGTAGTTTCGGCTAGTTTAGGCTGAATTTGCGAACGGAGGAGGGCGACCGAAATTCGAGCTAATTCTATTTCTACTGAGGGCACTCTTGTATTCTCTCCCGTGGCCCACCCTGCTCGAGAATCTGATCGGCTGTTTCCAATAGGCACGTAAAGGGAAGTAGTAGTATGTGCTTGGATCGCCAATCGGCAGACAAATCCGCGAATTCACGCAAAATGGAGTAATCGGTGGTTCAGGAATACAGTTGCGCTCCTTGTTGGAGGACAACTGGACTTCGTTTAAACTTCGGTGCGCGCAAACATTCCTTCTAGCAATTTATGTTTTCAAGTATAAACGCCACATAAAAGTGATCAGCTTTATCTCAAGTGTTTGCGTTGCATTAACAGATTTTAACCATAGAATGATTCAACTTGAACCGTGAAATAGAAAGTAGAATATTGCGCACTATTATGCACTAATTCTATTGTCTTCTTTTGTTTACCTCTCACTATTTTTGCACCATTTGTTAGTATCTGTGTCACGGTTCAAGTAAAGTCACTCCAAGACCCTCCGTGACGCGTTTTCTTCTTTGCTTGATTGGAGACAGTCAGAAATACATGATCGAAATGGAAAACAAAAAATCGAATTTCTCGGTTGAAATCACCGAGATGCGCAATCAACCAGAACGATGTTTTTATGTATTGGAATTGATTTATAGCTAAAAGCTGTGTACTTCTACTTGACTGTGTAATGAGTAATAATAATCTGCTCAATAGTTTTACAAAGTAACTCTGGGCGTATTAAACAGTATTAAATTCCATTTATCCCAATATCTTGGTGTTGTAAAATCAAATCTCAATAATTACCACATTTGATTGTGCAGTTAAATTAAATGACAAACGATAACTTATTGTTTTTCTGTAACAGATGCAAATTTTTTGAGCTTTTTATGCCGTTTAGAAATAAATAAAATTCGGCTTGTCATATGAAGACTACTGTAGTACAGGGCCGGCAAGAGGCCAAGCTTCCCAAATATTTTCTCTGTATATCGGTTTAGTTACACATATATCGCAGTTAATTTGTTAATTTGATTGCGAAGTTTTTGTACATAATATATAAGAATCACACATTTCGATACAGTGCAATGGCAGTAAAAATTGACTCTACGGCAACCAAGGGCGATAGAGAAACACACATGTTTCTTCATATATATAATTCCGCCTCTTCTTAATAACGAATTTTTGTTTTAAAAGCGAAATTTCCACGGCATTTCTAAATAGAAAGAGCTAACGACGAAATTTGTATTTATGTAAATTGTGTACATATCAAGTTATATCAAAAACCGAACTCGTTTGTATACATCTGTATTGTTTCTTCTTTTGTACAACTTTCACTAGACGGTTCTAAAAAGTATATCCACAGCTTTCCATACCGAAAATAAAAACAACAAAATTGTTATAAAACTATTTGAAAATGCTACTGTAAAGGATATCGACGTATTAGGCTTTTTGCTACTATTTACATAAAAACGTACCAACTTGTGGATGGGAAAACATGAAATTCTGCATCATCCGGAAAGAGGACAAAAGTAGGCAGAATAACTCCATAAAATCGGTCTGAAACTCCTCAACACAAATGACGCTTTCGGATAAATATGACTTTGAGGAATATTCTCCTTCATTCTGAATTCTCAAACAAAACCCTTGATCTGAAATGCGTTACGCTGTCGATAATTTTGAGATGAAAAGAATTCGCCATTTGCACATCTCCCATAATACACCTTGTTTGCCTCCATCATCCCCCGCCCCACCCCCTAAATAAAAACTTTGCATCACCTTTGTTTTTAATTTCTTCTGGGCATCACAGCTTTCCCAGGAGAAACTGAAAAGAATGCTTATGCAAAGTTTTGGGGGCAAACAAGGTGTATTATCCTTGAGAAGATGTGAAAATTGGCGATCACCCACTAGTCCCCAAGGTTTTCTCGTTTTCAAATATGGTGGTGACCGACAGGACTAAAAATCCGTACTATTATGTCGCCCAGTAAAACGAGAAGACTCTGGGAAGAGGTTGCGAAAGCATCGTGTTATAATTAGCCGCTAATAATAATCTCTTTTTCAGTGTACAGCCTTTCTGCTTCTGTTTATTTATTTTTATGGTTGCTCTGACATGGCACGGTGACGTTAGAATAAAGTTTTTAATCCATTCGGTTTGGCTTAAAATGAATCGGACTTTTTTCCGTTTTTTTCCCACAATATTTCCAACATTGAAAAACTATTACATTGTGATTGTCTGAAAGATTTTGGACAATTTATAACTTATAAAATGGAAGCTTAAATGTCTGAAATCCGAATAATAGAAAGGAAAAAGAATGGAGATTGTATGTACGGCCATTTTGGACAAGCCTCTGTTTACACGTTTACACTTTACCGAAAGCTCTGTTACTTTTTCCCAGAAACGCGTAATCCGAGGGGTAGGGTGGAATTGAGCCACGTCTTCGCATAGGGGTCTGGGTACCGCCGAGAGTTCAAAACCCTGACCTTCCGCTACTGCAGTTCGAAAGGTCGTTCGGAACGAAGCATATGGAATGACTCATTACAAACAGGTTGAGCGTGAGGGCATGAACAGCGGGAGAAGGTGCATCCTTGCTTTTAATGACCCACCAGCCTTTAATTTAAATGACGAAAATGAGATTTAAGTAGGAGACGGCTTGATCATGTTTAGAACAGAGAAAAAAACTGCAAAAACTATCAAACAATATAACCTTCTTCGGACCTTTTCTTAGCTCAGCTTGTCCAGGCCGAAAATGGGATTCAGTAAAGCCCGCGTTTATTTATTTATCTTTTTTTGCATTTTATGCATTTGCTCAGTCAAATCTGAGCTGCAAGAACAATCAAACATTTTATTTTCTTTGGCTGCCTCCTGCAACTTGTTTATTACGAGCAAACTTTACACAGCTACAAAGCAATTAACCGTAGTTTCCCACAAATGGAAGCGCTATTATTTACTGTCCCTGTTTGGTTAATATGCAGGAAGGTCTGTCTCCTCTGGAAGTCTAAGCTTGAGCTTTGGGAACCTCCTCTACAAAGATGCGTGACACAGAATTCCATCCAGTGTAGGCGTCATAGTTTCCATTGTACCCTTGGCATTTACCAACCCAGAATCCCACGCGCACCTTTCCTTTGTGAATGTTATTACAGTAGCCTTCAATGTGGCGGACTCGATGAGGGTTTTGAGATTGGCTGGCCACGTAAACAACACCTTCAATGGGTAGGGGAGCGGAACATTCTGCACCGTTGAAAGTAAAGTACCAGCGTCTACAGCCACTATTAGTATAGACTCTAAGTGTACCCGTCCAGTATACATGAAGAGCAGTTTCAGAGAAGTTTTTGCTGAACACACATTCCTAGACAAAAGAGAGAAACAGATATGCTGGTAAAAATGCACCACTAAACAGTCTTGTGTGCTTAGAGGCAAGGGAAATGAAAACTGGTCATGATCCCTTCACGCCCTTAAGCTTCTTCTATATCTTTTGTCCCTTAGTTTTTCTTTGATTTTTAATGCTATTGTTTCATTATCATTTCATTTTTTATATTATTATTATTATTATTATTATTATTATTATTATTATTAGGTAGTGGTTGTTATTATTGCTTCTTTACGAAAACAAATAAAAGAACTTCTCTTTTAACCGTGATTAGACCTTGATATAACGAAGAGGTAAAGAGAAAGGTGTTTACCTTGATCAGCCCGTGATCTTTGTCATCATTGATGTTTTTCCAAACGCATTCCTTCCAGTTCTTAAAAGCCATCAGACCTGGATTCCCAGGGGTTCCACTTAATCCACTCTCCCCTCGTTCCCCCTTTTGTCCTGGGGGTCCTTGGGCCCCGCGTTCTCCTTTAGCACCGTCATTTCCATTGGCACCCGTTTTTCCGCTAGGTCCCGGAGGCCCCTGGGGTCCAGTCTTGCCTGGGATACCTTGGTCACCTTTGGCTCCCTCACGGCCATCTCGTCCGTCGCGACCTGGTATCCCAGGAGAACCAGGTTTGCCATGCATGCCGGGAATACCAGCATAGTAGACGGGAGGGGCCTGGTAAATTGGAGGAAAAATAAACTACAAGTTTGTCAATCGGCTTTGATGATATCATTAGCTAAATTGAGCAGCTGTTACAATTCCCTTTTTTGCACGTAAGAACCGCACATTATAGATTTTCCTCAACGATATAACACTGTAAATAATACGATTTTGCGTTTTAGTAAAATTGTATACTTTTTGGCTTAGAAGTCTCATTTGCTGCGTAATAATGTTTACAGGAAGAACTGTTGAACAATGATATTTGAATTAAGATTGTTTATTCAATGCGCCAAGTTTTCATGTACATCGTCAGAAATTTACATATATTTTGTCTGACTTATCACAGGCAGTTTCTGTGTCACCTACCATGTTGTTTGATGGTTGATTGGTTTTGTTGCCACTTGTTGCACAAGCCAAGAATAATATGGCAAACAACGCTATCAGACAAACCGACATCTTAAACGGGTAAGTTACCATTTTTTCGTGCTTTCCTGCGAACAAGATTGAAAACATTATAATACGAAACTCAAAAGAGTTGATATGTAAAATACAACAAGGGGAGAAAAAGTCCTCTTGCTTGAGTAAATAAAAGATATCTGACGGCCCGCGAATTTAAGTTATGCCAAAAATAAAAAGGCAACTGATTCTCGCCCTGTTTTTTGAAGAACAGGCGGACTTTCGTTAGTAATTAATAAATATTTATACCAAACGTGTTTTCTTTGGATTAATTTAAAACCAGCGATGAAAGCTATTGCATAGAATTTTACTGAGAAGTTTATCTTCTCTAAAGGTTTTTGATTTTTTTTTTCTGTTTAGTCTTTTCCTAATTCAACAAAACAAAGACTTCAGAAACCAACGCAACCATGAATTCTAAACGCGCTACAATTCGTTTACGGAAGAATGACTCCAAGATTGTGGCCATTGTTATTTGGCATTGCTTTTCTGCTAAAACTTAGTTCGTGCCATTCTTGTTTTTTAAATCTTCTTAATTTGAAGGACAAGAAGATGCTATCAAAATAGCATCTGCTCCAAAGTATCTCTCTCCCTTCCATTTACAAAAATGGGCACACATATCATAATTCAGTAATCACCAGACAGAGTACATTCATTCACGATAAACGCCTCGCAAAACGACAGAGTTCCAGTACCATTTCCTGCTCCCAGAACAATGGGAAATCAATTACTTTCCACAGCGCAAATGACTTTTTGTTCCGGGGCTTTCAAACTCCAGAGACTGGCGGATTTAGCCATTAGAAAACAGTTCGCGAAATGGCGAGTGCCCGCATCCGCAACAGGCGGCTTCTGTCAGTTTCTTGTAAAGAAATGTTTTTGAACTAATGTGCGACGAAAAACTATTTCAGAGCCGTAACTGACTGTTTTGTATTTTGCGATTTCAAATTTAAGGTACTCGTGAACAGAGCTGTTAGAAAACTGACAAATGAGAGGGCTGCGCGCTCGTATGGGGAATAGCAGTTTCTATTTTCAATTTAGGCTGAATCGAGTAAACGTGGAGAGGGCGACTGAAATTCAGGCCACTTCTACTTCTACTTTTGTTTTGCACGACAAAACACTAAAGAAAGAGACTGTAAGACATACCTGCAGAGGAGTAGAAAGTCTTCTTTTTCGTCCAAGAACTCCTGGAATGAACAAACCGCAGCGAATGAACTCCTTTTCATCATTTTCCATCTTTTGTTGACATTGTTTGATTCGAGTTTGAACAAGTTTATTGTTGACTAGGGCCGCTGAAAAGGAAGTTCCTTCAAGAGCTTTGTTGTTGACCCTTAGGACTTGATCGTTATTATAAATTATCCGATTATTCTCTTAGTTAGTTACATTTCAAAATCATAAAATTATCTTTTAAACAGAAAGTAAGATTTGGCATAAAGAAATGGTGACATTTTGGCAAGGCTGACCCCTTTGCAATTGTGGAGTAACATGCAGTCAGCTCTCATTGTTTCTACTGAGGACACTCTTGTATTCTCTCTCCTGGCCCACCCTGCTCGAGAATCTGATGGGCTGTTTCCAATAGGCACGTCAAGGGAAGTAGTAGTATGTGCTTGGATCGCCAATCGGCAGACAAATCCGCAAATTGACGCGAAATAAAGTAATCGGTGATTCAGGAATACAGTTGCGCTCCTTGTTTCAGGACAACTGGCCTTCGTTTAAAATTCGGTACGCGCAAACATTGTTTCTAGCAATTTATGTTTACAAGTATAAACGCCACATAAAAATGATCAGCTTTATCTCAAGTGTTTGCGTTGCATTAACAGATTTTAACCATAGAATGATTTCACCGTAAAATAGTTAGTGGAAAACTGCGCACTATTATGCACTAATTCTATTGTCTTCTTTTGTTGCAATTTACCTCTCACTATTTTTGCACCATTTGCTAGTATCTGTTTCACGGTTCAAGTAAAGTCACTCTAAGACCCTCCGTGACGCCTTTTCTTCTTTGCTTGGAGACTGTACATGTCAGAAATACATGATCGAAATAGAAAACAAAAAATAGACTTTCTCAGTAGTTGAAATCACCGAGATGCGCAATCAACCAGGACGATGTTTTTATGTATTGGAATTGATTTATAGCTAAAAGCTGTGTACTTCTACTTGACTGTGTAATGAGTAATAATAATCTGCTAAATAGTTTTACAAAGTAACTCTGGGCGTATTAAACAGTATTAAATTCCATTTATCCCAATATCTTGGTGTTGTAAAATCAAATCTCAATATTTACCACATTTCATTGTGCAGTTAAATTAAATGACAAACGATAACTTATTATTTTCTGTAACAGATGCAAATTTTTGGAGCTTTTTATGACGTTAAGAAATAAACAAAATTCGCCTGTAAATCACTTGCCATATGTAGACTACTGTAGTACAGGGCCGGCAACTGGGGGCCAAGCTTCCCAAATATTTTCTCTGTATATCGGTTTAGTTAGACATATATCGCAGTTAATTTGTTAATTTGACTGGGAAATTTTTGTACATAATATATACGAATCACACATTTCGATACAGTGCAATGGCAGTAAAAATTTAGTCTACAGCAACCAAAGGCGATAGAGAAACACACATGTTTCTTCATATATATAATTCCGCCTCTTCTTAATAATGAATTTTTGTTTGCAAAGCGAAATTTCCACGGCATTTCTAAATAGAAAGAGCTAACGACGAAATTTGTATTTATGTAAATTGTTTACATATCACGTTATATCAAAAACCAAACTCGTTTGTATACATCTGTATTGTTTCGTCTTTTGTAAAACTTTCACTAGACGGTTCTAAAAAGTATATCCACAGCTTTCCATACTGAAAATAAAAACAACAAAATTGTCATGAAAAATATTTGAAAAGGCCCACTATAAAGGACATCGACGTATTAGGCTTTTTGCTACTATTTACATAAAAACCTACCAACTTGTAGACGGGAAAACGTGAAATTCTGTATCGTCTGTAAAGAGGACAAAAGTAGGCAGAATGACTCGATAACATCGCTCTGAAACTCCCCAACACGAATGACGCTTTCGGATAAATATGACTATGATGACTATTCTCCTTCATTTTTACTGGTAAATATTCTCAAACAAAACCTTTGATCTGAAATGCGTTACGCTGTCGATAATTTCGACTTGGCGTTCCTTTGTTGAGATGAAAAGAATTTGCCATTTGCACATCTCCCATAATACACCTTGTTTGCTCCCCTTTTCCCCCACCCCCCCTCCCCGCCACCCCCGCCAAAAAAAAACAATCACATAAACTTTGTTTTCAATTTCTTCTAGAGAAAATGAAAACAATGCTTACGCAAACAAGGTGCATTATGGGAGATGTGCAATTGGCGACCACCCAACTTTGCCCCAAGGTTTTCCACTCTGGCGGCGGCCGGCAGCACTGAAAACCCGCACTGATTCTCTTTTCCTGCCTTCGCCATATTGTGAAACGAGAAGACTCTGGAAAGAGGTTGCGAAATCATCGTGTTATAATTGGCCGCTAATAATAATCTCTTTATCAGTGTACAGCCTTTTAATTTCTACTTGTGGTTATTTATTTTCACGGTTTTTGTGACATGGCACATTGACGTTAGAATAACTTTTTTATTCCATTCGGTTTGGCTTAAATGAATCGTACTTTTTTTCGGTATTCTCCCACAATATTTCTAACACTGAAAAACTTTTACAATTGTGATTGTCTCAAAGATTTTGGACAATTTATAACTTACAAAATTCAAGCATACACGTTTGAAATCCGAATAATAGGAAGGGAAAAGGATGGAGATTGTATGTACTGCCATTTTTGACAAGATTCGGAAAACTCATTCACGCTTAATCCGAGGGGTAGGGGGGAAATTGATCCACGTTTTGGCATAGGGGTCCGGGTGCCGTCGAGAGTTCAAAACCCTGACCTTCCCCCACGGCAATTCGAATAGTCGTTCGGAACGAAGCATACGGAATGACTTAGTGCAAACAGGTGGAGCGTGAGGGCAGGAACAGAGGGAGAAGCTGCATCCTTGCTTTTAATGCCCCACCAGTCTTTGCGCGGAAATTTAAATCACGAAAATGAGATTTAAGTAGTAGACGGCTTGATCATGGTTAGAACAGAGAAAAAACTGCAAAAACTACCAAACAATATAACCTTCTTTTGACCTTCTCTTAGCTTAGGTTGTCTCAGCGGAAAATAGGATTCAGTAAAGCCCGCGTTAATTTATTTATATTTTTACACTTTATGTATTTCTTCAAATCTGAGCTGCAATAACAATCAAACATTTTATTTTCTTTGGCTGCCTCCTGCAACTTGTTTATTATAAGCAAACTTTACACAGCTACAAAGCAATTAACTGTAGTATCCCACAAATAGAAGCGCTATTATTTACTGTCCCTGTTTGGTTAATATGCAGGAGGGTCTATCTCCTCTGGAAGTCTAAGCTTGAGCTTTGGGAACCTCCTCTACGAAGATGCGGGACACAGATATCCATCCAGTGTAGGCGTCATAGTTTCCATTGTACCCTTGGCATTTACCAACCCAGAATCCCACTCGCACCTTTCCTTTGTGAATGTTATTACAGTAGCCTTCAATGTGGCGGACGCGATGAGGGTTTTGAGATTGGCTGACCACGTAAACAACACCTTCAATGGGTAGGGGAGCGGAACATTCTGCACCGTTGAAAGTAAAGTACCAGCGTTTACAGCCACTATTAGTATAGACTCTAAGTGTACCAGTCCAGTACACATGAAGGGCTGTGTCAGAGAAGTTTTTGCTGAACACACATTCCTATACAAAAAAGAGAAACAGACTTGGTGCTTAGAGGCAAGGGAAATGAAAACTGGTCACGATTTATTCACGCCCTTGAGCTTCTTCTTCTTGTCCCCTAGTTTTTCTTTGATTTCTGATGCTATTGTTTCATTATCATTTCATTTTTCATAATTTTATAGCAAGGTGTTGTTTTATAGTAATGATAACCTACACCCAATTGATTTTATAAATTAGTATGACAGTGATAGTGTATTAGTTACTAACAAGTGATGAGCCATATTTCTAGTAATGGATATATCCTCAATAAACACTTACTATAGTATTATTATTAGTGTTATTATTTATATTATTATTACTATTATTATTAGTCAGTGGTTATTATTTTTCCTTCTTTATGAAAACAAATAAAAAGCTTCTCTTTAACCCTGATTAGACCTTGATATAATGAAGAGGTAAAGAAAAATATGTTTACCTTGATTAGCCCTTGATCTTTGTCATCATTGATGTTTTTCCAAACGCATTCCTTCCAGTTTTTAAAAGCCATCAGACCTGGATTCCCAGGGGTTCCACTTAGTCCACTCTCCCCGCGTTCCCCCTTTTGTCCTGGGGGTCCTTGGGCTCCGCGTTCCCCTTTAGCGCCATCCTTTCCATTAACACCAAGGTTTCCGCTAGGTCCTGGAGGCCCCTGGGGTCCAGTCTTCCCTGGGATACCTTTGTCACCTTTGGCTCCTTCACGGCCATCTCGTCCGTCGCGGCCTGGTATCCCAGGGGAACCAGGTTTGCCATGCATGCCGGGAATACCAGCATAGTAGACTGATGGGGCCTGGTAGTAAAATAACGTACATAATTGTCAGTGAACATTATTTAAATTAACCAATTGTTAAAATTCCTTTTCCTTGTAGATAAGATCGACACATTAGAATTTTTCCTCAAACATTAAACACTGTAAGGAAATGTATACTTTTTGGCTTCAAGTTTATTTGCTGTGTATACAGGAAGTACTGTTGAAATTAAGATTGTTTATTCAATGCGCCAAGTTTTCATGTACATCATCAAAAATTTACATATATTTTGTCTGACTTATCAGAGGCAGTTTCTGTGTCACCTACCATGTTGTTTGATGGCTGATTGTTTTTGTTGCCAGTTGTAGCACAAGCCAAGAATAATATTGCAAACAACGCTATCAGACAAATCGACATCTTAAACGGGTAAGTTACCATTTTTTCGTGCTTTCCTGCGAACAAGATTGAAAACATTATAATACGAAACTCAAAAAAGTTGACATGTAAAATACAACAAGGGGAGAAAAAGGCCTCTTGCTTGAGTAAATGAAAGATATCTGACGGCCCGCGAATTTAAGTTATGCCAATAATAAAAACGCAACTGATTCTCGCCCTGCTTTTGAAGAACGGGCGGACTGTCGTTAATAAATATTTATACCAAATGTGTTTTCTTTGGATGACTTTAAAGCACGTGATGAAAGCTATTGCAGAGAATTTTACTGAGAAGTTTATCTCCGGCTATAAAGATTTTTGATTCTTTTTCTCCAGTCTTTTCCTAATTCAACAAAATAAAGACTGCAGGAACCATCGTGACCATGTGTTCTGCCAGCGTAACAATTCGTTTATGGAAGAATGATTCCAAGATTGTAGCCGTTGTTATTTGGCATTGCTTTTCTACTAAAACTTAGTTCGTGCCATTTTTGATCTGCTTCAATCTTCGTAATTTGAGGAACAAAAAGTTGTAATCGAATATATTATATCTGTTTCAAAGTATCTCTCTCCTCCGTTTACAAAAATGGGTATACACATATCATAATTCAGTAATCCCCAATATATTCATCACGAAAAGCCTCCCGCAAAACGACAGAGTTCCAGTTCCATTTCCTGCTCCCAGAGCAATGGGAAATCAATTATTTTCCACAACGCGAATGACGTTTTGTTGAGGGGCTTTCAAACTCCAGAGACTGGCGGATTTAGCCATTAGAAAACAGTTTGCGAAATGGCGAGTGCCAGCATTCGCAACAGGCGGCTTCTGTCAGTTTCTTCTAGAGAAATGTTTTTGAACTAATGTGCGACCAAGAACTATTTCAGAGCCGTAACCGACTTTTTTGTATTCTGCGATTTCAAATTTAAGGTACTCGTGAACAGAGCTGTTAGAAAACTGACAAATGAGGGAGCTGCGCGCTCGTATCGGGAATAGCAGTTTCTATTTTAAATTTAGGCTGAATTAGTAAAAGTGGTGGGGGCGACTGAACTTCAGGCTACTTCTACTTCTGCTTAAGTTTTGCACGACAAAACACTAAACAAAGAGACTGTAAGACATACCTGCAGAGGAGAAGAAAGTCTTCTTTTGCGTCCAAGAACTCCTTGAATGAACAAACCGCAGTGAATGAACTCCTTTTCATCATTTTCCATCTTTTGTTGACATTGTTTGATTCGAGTTTGAACAAGTTTATTGTTGACTAGGGGCGCTGAAAAGGAAGTTCCTTCAAGTGCTTTGTTGTTGACCCTTAGTACTTGATCGTTATTATAAATTATGCGATTATTCTCTTAGTTAGTTACATTTCAAAATCATAAGATTATTTTTCAAACAGAAAGTAAGATTTGGCATAAAGAAATGGCGACATTTTGGCAAGGCTGACCCCTTTGCAATTGTGGGGTAACATGCAGTCAGCTCTCATTGTTTCTACTGAGGACACTCTTGTATTCTCTCTCCTGGTCCACCCTGCTCAAGAATCTGATGGGCTGTTTCCAGTAGGCACGTCAAGGGAAGTAGTAGTATGTGCTTGGATCGCCAATCGGCAGACAAATCCGCAAATTGACGCGAAATAAAGTAATCGGTGATTCAGGAATACAGTTGCGCTCCTTGTTGCAGGACAACTGGCCTTCGTTTAAAATTCGGTACGCGCAAACATTCTTTCTAGCAATTTATGTTTACAAGTATAAACGCCACATAAAAATGATCAGCTTTATCTCAAGTGTTTGCGTTGCATTAACAGTTTTTAACCATAGAGTGATTTAACCGTAAAATAAGTAGTGGAAAACTGCGCACTATTATGCACTAATTCTATTGTCTTCTTTTGTTTACCTCTCACTATTTTTGCACCATGTGCTAGTATCTGTTTCACGGTTCAAGTAAAGTCACTCTAAGACCCTCCGTGACGCGTTTTCTTCTTTGCTTGGAGACTGTACATGTCAGAAGTACATGATCGAAAAAGAAAACAAAAAATCGACTTTCTAGTTGAAATCACCGAGATGCACAATCAACCAGGACGATGTTTTTATGTATTGGAATTGATTTATAGCTAAAAGCTGTGTACTTCTACTTGACTGTGTAATGAGTAATAATAATCTGCTAAATAGTTTTACAACGTAACTCTGGGCGTATTAAACAGTATTAAATTCCATTTATCCCAATATCTTGGTGTTGTAAAATCAAATCTCAATAATTACCACATTTGATTGTGCAGTTAAATTAAATGACAAACGATAACTTATTGTTTTTCTGTAACAGATGCAAATTTTTTGAGCTTTTTATGACGTTAAGAAATAAATAAAATTCGCCTGTAAATCACTTGCTATGTGTAGTACAGGGCCGGCAAGGGGCCAAGCTTCCCAAATATTTTCTCTGTATATCGGTTTAGTAAGACATATATCGCAGTTAATTTGTTAATTTGATTGCGAAGTTTTTGTACATAATATATAAGAATCACACATTTCGATACAGTGCAATGGCAGTAAAAATTGACTCTACGGCAACCAAAGGCGATAGAGAAACACACGTATTTCTTCATATATTTAATTCCGCCTCTTCTTAATAATGAAATTTTGTTTTCAAAGCGGAATTTCCACATTTCTAAATGGAAAGAGCTAACGACGAAATTTTTATTTATGTAAATTCTTTACATATCACGTTATACAAAAATCGAACTCGCTTGTATACATCTGTATTCTTTCTTCTTTTAAAGACGGTTCTAAAACGTATATCCACAGCTTTCCATACCGAAAATAAAAACAACAAAATTGTCATGAAAAATATTTGAAAAGGCCACTGTAAAGGATATCGACGTATTAGGCTTTTTGCTAGTATTTACATAAAAACGTACCAACATGTAGACGGGAAAACATGACATTCTGCATCGTCTGGAAAGAGGACAAAAGTAGGCAGAATGACTCGATGCTCTGAAACTCCCCAACACAAATGGCGCTTTCGGATAAATATGACTTTGAGGAATAAATTCCCTCATTTTGAATTCTCATACAAGACTGGTAAATATTCTCAAACAAAATCCTTAATCTGAAATGCGTTACGCTGTCGATAATTTTGAGTTGGGTCTCCTGTGTCGAGATGAAAAGAATCCGCCATTTGCACATCTCCCATAATACATCTTTGCCCCCGGTCCCTTCTCGTTTTCCAATATAGCGGTGACCAGCAGGACTGAAAACCCGTACTGATTCTCTTTTCCTGCCTTTGCCATATTGTAAAACGTGAAGACTCTGGGAAGAGGTTGCGAAATCATTGGTTTATAATTAGCCGCTAAGAATAATCTCTTTTTCAGTGTATAGTCTTTCTGCTCGTGTTTATTTCTTTTTATTGTTTTTCTAACATGGCAAAGCGACGTTGAAATAACTTTTAAAATCCATATTATATTCGGTTTGCTTAAAATGAATTTCGGCATTTTGCCACAGTATTTCAAACATTGAAATACTATTACATTGTGATTGCTTGAAAGATTTTGGACAATTTATAACTTACAAAATTCAAGCTTAAATGTATGAAATCCGAATAATAGGAAGGAAAAAGAATGGAGATTGTATGTACGGCCATTTTGGACAAGCCTCTGTTTGCACCATTTACACTTTACCGAAAGCTCGACTGTTACGCTTTCCCGAAAATGAACGTGTAATCCGAGGAGTAGGATGGAATTGACTCACGTCTTGGAATAGGGGTATGGTTGCCGCCGAGAGTTCAAAACCCTGACCTTCCCCCGCGGAAATTCGAAAGGTCGCTCGGAACGAAGCATATGGAATGACTCAGTGCAAACAGGTGGAACGGGAGGGCAGGAACAGAGGGAGAAGCTGCATCCTTGCTTTTAATACCCCCATCAGTCTTTGCGCGGAAATTTAAATGACGAAAATGAGATTTAAGTAGTAGACGGCTTGATCTTGTTTAGAACAGAGAAAAAAATCTGCAAAAACTACCAAACAATATAACCTTCTTCGGACCTTTTCTTATAGCTTAGCTTGTCTCAGCGGAAAATGGGATTCAGTAATTAAAAGCCCGCGTTTTCTTTTCTTTTCTTTTTTTCTACATTTCATGCATTTGCTTCAAATCTGAGTCGTAATAACAATCAAACATTTTATTTGGCTGCCTCCTGCAACTTGTTTATTGTGAGCAAACTTTACACAGCTACAAAGCAATTAACTGTAGTATCTCACAAATGCCAACTCTATTTACTACTGTCCATGTCTGGTTAATATGCAGGAGTGGATGCACCGCTTAAGGTTCTAAGCTTGAGCTTTGGGAACCTCCTCTACGAATATGCGGGACACAGATGTCCATCCAGTGTAGGCGTCATAGTTTCCATTGTACCCTTCGCATTTACCAACCCAGAAACCCACGCGCACCTTTCCTTTGTGGATGTTATTACAGTAGCCTTCAATGTGGCGGACGCGATGAGGGTTTACAGTTTTGCTGAGGACGTACACAACACCATCAATGGGTAGGGGAGCGGAACATTCTGCACCGTTGAAAGTAAAGTACCAGCGTTTACAGCCATTATTAGTATAGACTCTAAGTGAACCCGTCCAGTATACATGAAGAGCAGTTTCAGAGAAGTTTTTGCTGAACACACATTCCTAGACAAAAGAGAGAAACAGATATGCTGGTAAAAATGCACCACTAAACAGTCTTGTGTGCTTAGAGGCAAGGGAAATGAAAACTGGTCATGATCCCTTCACGCTTTTAAGCTTCTTCTACATCTTTTGTCCCTTAGTTTTTCTTTGATTTTTAATGCTATTGTTTCATTATCATTTCATTTTTTATATTATTATTATTATTATTATTATTATTATTATTATTAGGTAGTGGTTGTTATTATTGCTTCTTTACGAAAACAAATAAAAGAACTTCTCTTTTAACCGTGATTAGACCTTGATATAACGAAGAGGTAAAGAGAAAGGTGTTTACCTTGATCAGCCCTTGATCTTTGTCATCATTGATGTTTTTCCAAACGCATTCCTTCCAGTTCTTAAAAGCCATCAGACCTGGATTCCCAGGGGTTCCACTTAATCCACTCTCCCCACGTTCCCCCTTTTGTCCTGGGGGTCCTTGGGCTCCGCGTTCTCCTTTAGCGCCATCATTTCCATTAACACCAGGGTTTCCGCTAGGTCCTGGAGGCCCCTGGGGTCCAGTCTTCCCTGGGATACCTTGGTCACCTTTAGCTCCCTCACGGCCATCTCGTCCGTCGCGGCCTGGTATCCCAGGGAAACCAGGTTTGCCATGCATGCCGGGAATACCAGCATGACACACAGGAGGGGCCTGGTAAGTTAGGAGTAAAGCGGATTCAGTACATAAATAGTAAATGGGCTTTGTTGATGATTTCATTACCTAAATTAAGCTGTTACAATCGTATAACTTGTAGATATAAGAGCCGTCCTTTTTTCAAATTTCAGCTCAGCGATAGACGTCTTAACTGTGTATTTTTAACTCTTTGGCTACGAATTTTAAGTTGCTAAGTATACAAGAAGTACATACTGTTAATTAATCAGTGACAATTGAATGAAGATTGTTTATTCAATAAAGTCCTACATGTGAACAGTTGATATAAATGGCGTTTTTTTTCTAAGAAATTAAAACACTTTTTAACTGTCCACGATTAAATGCAATCACCGTGTCACCTACCATGTTACACGATGACTGTTTTGTTTGGTTGACACTTGTAGCATAGGCCAAGAATAGTATTGCAAATAAGGCTAAAAGACAAAGCCAGACTTTTAATGTGCAAGTAGCCATTTTTCTCTTGATTTCCTGCAGAAGAGATTAAAGATAGATGATCATTATGAGCGAAAAAACACTTTCATTACTAAATAGTTTAGAATGAACGCGTCGCCTCTGGATCGGAAAAACTTTGAACTACTACCAGAACCATGATCGACTACATCTGTACTTTGGGAAGTCTTCTCTGAATTCAGTAAAATAAAACTTTGAAATTAAAGTTATAATAACTGCATACTCGAGTTTACTGTGAAACATCACGCTGCAGTTGGGTTAAAATTTATCCAGCGTTGTTTAGCTATTCATTTTAAGTGATTTTTTTTCCTCTATGATCTTCAATAGAAAGAAAAGAAATTTTGATTAGATAGTTTTTCTTTTCGTCTGCTCTGAAGCAAGAATGAGGGATTACATCATTTTGGGGGGAAAATCACCAGTTCAAACAACAAAAGTCCCTCAGTGACAGCTAGTGAGTTTCAAATATCATTTCCAGGCCGAAGGACAAGAAAGTACATCGGTTGTTATTTTTAAAGACATATAAGATGGTTGACATACCCGCTGATTTCAAAATTCACCGACTTGCAAGCACTGAAAAAAGTGACAAGTCACCTGCGCTTAGCAATAGTCCATTCTATTTTTGCTAACTGAGTGACAAAACTTAAACGTATTTGAGAGGAGAAACTAATCCATTTATGAAAAAAAAAATCATCAAACGTACCTGTAAAGATGGAAAGACTTCTTTTCCTTCCAAAACTCACGAACAACTAAATCAGCAGTAGCTGAATTACTTCTTTCGTTTTCAGTCTTTTGTGACATGAGCTGATTTGCGTTTGAGAGCCTTGTTGACCTTCAGTTGAGCTCTGTCACCACTACTGTACTAGCACGTAATCCTCCTTTCTACTAATATCTAGTTATTCCGGTATCCGTCTTCTGCCTTTTAACAACTGCAAGGTTACCTTGGAATATTTTATCGGAGCTGACACTTATTTCTAAGTTTGGTGTGTAACCTGCAATTAGGCCGGATTCCAAAGGAACTCTTTTCTCGCCGTGGGCCAACTGGCAAACTTAGACGCGACAACCTGATTGGCTGTTAATAAAAGGTACGCCACAGAAAGCAGGAAATTTCCGGCTGACAACTTTTGTATCTGATCGACTTCGCCAGAAAACGTGAAAGAACTGAAAATTTACGAGCAATCGATCGTTCGGGGATAGTAGTTCTCCTCTTTGCGGCAAAAAGGGCCTTTGCTTACACCATTACCAACTCCTGCAATTTTCATTTGCACACCGTTTGCAAGGAAGATAAAATTCATTTTAAAAGCGTATCTGAAAGTATGAGACTCATAAATGTCCACGTTGTGTGTATAGACTAATCAGTAAACAGTCAGGAATGATCAAAATAGGAAACGAACTTCGATTCTAAATCAGTCATGGAGAATCGCAAGTGAGTAGCAAGTCTCAGGTTACGTCACAAAGAACCCAACAATGATCCCTAGCCCTTACACAACTTGACCCACCAAAAGATGAATTCACTGGGCTGCTTACACTAGACAGGAATATTGTGTTGTATGAAAACGAGAAGTTTACTAAAACAGACAGCCAACTGCCCATTGATTCCGATCCACGGGCCTCATTGATTGTACTGTGACTTTAAATTGCGGTCTACAATTTACATGAAAAACGCACTATTTTTTTCCACAAGATAAAAATATTCAGTTTTAAGATTTTTCTCTGGGTATTTTTCTTTAACTTAAAGGAATAAAATCCTTTAACTATATTAAAAAAGGAATAAATACAAATTTACCAATGTCGTCATTTCTATTCCAGGATTCTTTATGTAAGGACAAGGAAGCACAAAATCACCGCGTTAGAACTAAAAATAATTTCTTCATCACACACAGCCCCTCTGCATTTTTACTTTTTTAATCCATGCCGTTAACCTAAGAATTTAGAATAACGCTTTTAATCAGTTTGCTTCTAATGAATCGCATTATTTTTAAATATCAAAATGCTTCCTCATTGTGATTGGCTGAAGGGTTTCGGACAAATAAAGACAAAAATACAGTCAAGGGAATGGAGGTACGAAGCCACTTGAATAAGTCTCTGTTTGAATGTTATCAAACACCCCTTCATGTTATTCCAGAAACGCGTAAGAAGCAAATGTGCCTGCGAGGGGGTGGGGAACTAACTTGCCCACGTTTAGGCTAAGGGTTGTAGCCTGTATGGTAGGCGTTAAAAAGAGGGTGGGAGGGGGTCCAGGGGAAGTGAAAAAGGGAGAGCAATTGGGGAGAGAGGGAAAGGGACAGAGGCGCTCCTTCTTTATTTTCCCTTTCGCGCTTTTCTCCTCTTCTCCCTCCCATTTTTTCGCCCATCACACAGGCTGTCACAGGCTATGAGGTCGCTGCGGAGCGTTTAATTCCCTGTCCCTTCCCTACTGGGAATTTGAAAGATCGTTCGGAACGTGGAGAATGACTGCAAACAATTGAAGAGTGAGACATCATAGGAAAGGAAGGAACGGCGAGCGAAGCTGCCATCTTTCTTACTTTTTATATCTCCCCGCCATTTCTCACGTGGAAATTTACATAATGAGATGTAGGTTTGGGTACGAGGTTGCTGACCCTGCAGACCTACAAACTACCCTATCTATTATATGACGTCTCGAAAACGTTTCTAAGTTTTTAGCTCCAAGAGCAAATTGGAATTTAAGAGGTGCATTTTTATATTTCTAGACTGCATAAAAGACCTTATTATTTCTCGTTGTTCAGGCGACAAAAAGTAAGCGCAAAGCGAGCTAGGAGGGCCAGACATGGTCATTCGCTCTTCTGAAAAACGTGAAAAAAAGGAAGCCTGTTATACAGGCTATTACATTTCATTTATTTATTTTATATCTGTTACGTTGAAGAGCGAAACAAACAATCAAACACTTTCTTTTGAAGCCTGTTGCCATTTATTTATCATCAGTAACGTTTAAGTGGCTACAAAGCAATTAGCCGATATCCCTTAATGCAACGGTACTATCCTTTAAAGTCCTTGTCTGGCTTATATGCAACAATGGCTTCAATTCACGTCCCCAGGTCTAAGCTTGAGCTTTTGGAACCTCTTCTACAAAGATTCGGGACACAGCGTTCCATCCTGTGTAGGCGTTAAAGCTTCCACTGGCTCTTGCGCAATTGCCGACCCAGAATCCCACGCGCACCTTTCCTTGCCGTATATTATTGCAGTGGCCCTCAATGTTGCGGACGCGATGTGGATTAATACGGGATTTGTCCAAATGGCCTAAGTACACGATACCTTCAATGGGCAAGGGAGCTGAACATTCCGCACCGTTGAAAGTGAAGTACCAGCGTTTGCAGCAGCCTGTGCAGCCAGCCACTCTAAGGGTACCCGTCCAGGAGACATGAAGAGCAGTGTCAGAAAAGTTCTTTCGAAACACACATTCCTGAGCAAAAGGAAGCGTATGTTAATAATATTAAACAATTAAGTATTTCCGTTTGAAGTATTGGAAAACAAACGATCTTGCAGCTTAATTAGCGCATTAGAAGTATTGTGGACTTGACATTTATGAGGCACAAGAAAAAGAGAAGGTAAATAGCATTTTAAACGGTATTTTAAATTGTTAGAATTATTAAATAATGTCCACAAGAAAACAAATAAAAAGTCTGATCTTTTTAAACCTTGATCAGGCCGTTATCTTTATCATCGGCAATCTCTTTCCAAGCACATTCCTTCCAGTTTCTAAGAGACATCAGACCTGGATTCCCAGGGGTTCCACTTAATCCACTCTCCCCGCGTTCCCCCTTTTGTCCTGGTGGTCCCTGGGCTCCCCGCTCTCCTTTCGATCCATCCTTTCCATTAGCACCTGGGTTCCCTTTAAGCCCTGGGGACCCCTGGGATCCACTCTTTCCTTGCGTGCCTCTTTCTCCTTTGACGCAATACTTTCCATTAGCCCCCAGGTTTCCGCTAGGTCCAGGAGGCCCCTGGGGTCCAGTCTTCCCTGGGATACCTTGGTCACCTTTGGCTCCTTCACGGCCATCTCGTCCGTCGCGGCCTGGTATCCCAGGGGAACCAGGTTTGCCATTCATCTCGGGAATTGCGGCACAATAGACGCGAGGGGCCTGGTAAATTGGAAGGAAAATTATGCATTAAGTTCATACAAATTGTGAATGGGGACAGGAGTTCTTAATTTTAAAAAAAAACACACACACACACTACCGGGCTTTTTTGGGGCAAGCCCCTGTTACACAAAACCTATACTACATGTAGGGATGTATGCCAGTATAACACACAAAGAAAAAAGAAAAGCAAAAGCAAAAACATAGAATTCAAAGTCCGCCGGTGCATTAGTTTGGTGGTGTATGTAAAACTAAAAAAAATCTCGCAGTTATGTATGGGGACCTTTTTTTCATACTTATTTACGTGATGTAGATCTGCAACATTTCTGTTGGCTGTTACAAATGTGACTTGATGGGGTAAAATTTTGTAGCTTTTACGAACCGATTATTTGTGAATTTTAGTGAAGGCGTTTTAATCGAGCTGTTAACGTTACAATTAGCGGTTACGATTTTCTTTAAAAGATAAAAGCCGCACATTTTTCAATCCCATCTTAACGGCTAAAACGCTGCCGAAAAGTTATAAGATCTGGCAAATGAAACTTGGAACTTTTTGCTCTCCAGTTTTAAGTCGCTACGCATACAGAAAGTACTGAAATCGTGGGGAAGTTTGACATACTGGTGTTTATCTAATACGCGAATTTTTCATGAACATCTTAAAAAGAACCGATGACGTTCTATTTTCCTTAAAAATTTGCATGTTTTTAACTAAGCGAGTCACCTACCATGTCGCACGATGACTGTTTAGTTTTGTTACCACTTGTAGCACAAGCAAAGAATAACGTCGTAAATACAAGAAATGCTAACAGAATTAGCGACACTTTAAATGGGGAAGTGGCCATTTTCCCGTGATTTTCTGCAAACACAAAATTGAAAACAGAATAGGTTAAGAAGTTCAAAAAAGTAAAAATGTCGCAAATAACAAGACCTCTAGCTTGATAGAGACAAACGGACTGAGTCTGTTTTTGAACAACAACGGGACTCCTTACTTACTGTTTTAAACCAAATATGTTATTTTTGGACGAATTTCGCGCTAGTGATGAAAGCTAGCTATTGCAGCGAATTTTACTAAAAAGTTAACGTCACTGGGGCTACTAAGATTTATTTACTGTAAAGTAATTGTTTATTATTTGCGTCTTTTCTGAATTTAACAAAGTAAACCCTTCAATTCAGAAATAATTTTTTAGCTATTGCACTTTACTTTTTGTGACACTGTGGCCGTGGTTGTTTGTCATTGCTTCAGTTCTAAGCTAATTTTCAGTTCTGCAATTTTTTGCTCTTCTTCAACCTTTCGTTAATTTCAAAATGGAGAAAATGTAATCAAATAGTTTTCGTTTTTATCTGCTCCAATATTCACGGCGAAAAACGCCCAAAAAACTACAGATTCCATTCTTATTTGGTTTAGTCTGTTGCTAAAACAATAGGAAATCAATTATTTTCCATCCACGCAAATGATTGCTTTATTGAGAGGATTTCAAACTCCAGAAAGCTCTGGTTAGAAAACAGCTCGCAAAAACGGCGATCGCCAGCATCCACAACAGAAGGCTTTTCTTCCCGTTAGACTGATGATGAATCTGAACTAAATGTGCTACCAAAGACTATTTTCATGGCCTCAACTGATTGTTTGTATCCTGCGATTTCAAATTTAGGAGAATCGTGAATAAAGCTGTTGGAAACCTGACAAATGAGAGGGCTGCGCGTTCGTATCGGGAATAGTAGTTTCGGCTAGTTTAGGCTGAATTTGCGAACGGAGGAGGGCGACCGAAATTCGAGCTAATTCTATTTCTGCTCAAGTTTTGCGCGACAAAAAAGAGACTGCGAGACATACCTGTAGAAGTGTAGAAAGTCTTCTTTTTCGTACGAGAACTCGTGAAATGAACAAACCGCAGCGAATGAACTCCTTTTTCTCATTTTCCATCTTTTGTTGTTTGATTCGTGTTTGAGCAAGTTTATTGTTGACTAGAGCGCTGAAAAGGAAGTTCCTTCAAGTGCTTTGTTGTTGACCCTCAGTACTTGATCGTTTTTATAAATTATCCTATTATTCTCATAGTTAGTTACATTTCAAAATCATAGAGTTATTTTTTAATCAGGAAGTAAGATTACGCAAAAAGAAATGGCGACATTTTGGCAAGGCTGACCCCTTTGCTAATTGTGGTGTAACATGCAGTCAGCCCTCAGTATCTCTACTGAGGGCACTCTTGTATTCTCCCCTGGCCCAACCTGCTCGAGAATCTGATCGGCTGTTTCCAATACGCACGTCAAGAAAATTAATGTAGTATGTGCTTCAGTGCTTGTATCGCCAATCGGCAGACAAGTCCGCGAATTGACGCGAAACAAAACACATCGGTGGTTCAGGAATACAGTTGCGCTCCTTGTTGCAGGACAACTGGCCTTCGTTTAAACTTCGGTTCGCGCAAACATTCTTTCTAGCAATTTATGTTTACAAGTATAAACGCCACATAAAAGTGATCAGCGTTAACTCAAGTGTTCGCGTTGCAGCAACAGATTTTAACCATAAAGTGATTTAACTTGAACCGTGAAATAGGTAGTAGAATACTACGCACTATTATGCACTAATTCTATTGTCTTCTTTTGTTTACCTCTCACTATTTTTGCACCATTTGTTAGTATCTGTTTCACGGTTCAAGTAAAGTCACTCTAAGACCCTCCGTGACGCGTTTTCTTCTTTGCTTGGAGACTGTACATGTCAGAAATACATGATCGAAATAGAAAACAAAAAATCGAATTTCTAGTTGAAATCACCGAGATGCGCAATCAACCAGGACGATGTTTTATATATATTGGAATTGATTTATCGCTAAAAGCTGTGTACTTCTACTTGACTGTGTAATGAGTAATAATAATCTGCTAAATAGTTTTACAAAGTAACTCTGGGCATATTAATCTTGGTGTTGTAAAATCAAACCTCAATATTTACCACATTTGATTGTGCAGTTAAATAAAATGACAAACGACAACTTATTGTTTTTCTGTAACAGATGCAAATTTTTGGAGCTTTTTATGACGTTAAGAAATAAACAAAATTCGCCTGTAAATCACTTGCCATATGTAGACTACTGTAGTACAGGGCCGGCAACTGGGGGCCAAGCTTCCCAAACATTTTCTATGTTTAGACATATATCGCAGTTAATTTGTTAATTTGATTGCGAAATTTGTGTACATAATATATAAGAATCACACATCTCGATACAGTGCAATGGCAGTACAAATTGAGTCTACGGCAACCAAAGGCGATAGAGAAACACACATGTTTCTTCATATATATAATTCTTCCTTTTCTTAATAATGAATTTTCGTTTGTAAAGCCAAATTTCCACGGCAATTCTAAATAGAAAGAGCTGACGACGAAATTTGTATTTATGTAAATTGTTTACATATCACGTTATATCTAAAACCGAACTCGTTTGTATACATCTGTATTGTTTCGTCTTTTGTAAAACTTTCACTAGACGGTTCTAAAAAGTATATCCACAGCTTTCCATACGAAAATAAAAACAACAAACTAAAATTGTCATGAAAAATACTTGAAAAGGCCACTATAAAGGACATCGACGTATTAGGCTTTTTGTTACTATTTACATAAAAACATACCAACTTGTAGACGGGAAAACATGAAATTCTGCATCGTCTGGAAAGAGGACAAAAGTAGGCAGAATGACACGATAAAATCGCTCTGAAACTCCCCAACACAAATGACGCTTTCGCATAAATATGACCTTGAGGAATATTCTCCTTCATTTTGAATTCTCAAACAAAGCTCTTGATCTAAAATGCGTTACCCTGTCGATAATTTCGACTTGGCTGTGCTGCTGAATTCGCTATTTGCATTTCTCCCATAATACAACATGTTTGACTCCATCCACCCCACCCCCGCCCCCCCCAACCCCCAAACAAAAATATTGCATGACCTTTGTTTTTAATGTCTTCTGGGTATTACAGCTTTCCCAGGAGAAACTGAAAACAACGCTTATGCCAAATTTGGGGAACAAACAAGGTGCATTATACTTGAAAAGATGTGGAGTTGGCGATCACCCACTTTGCCCCCGTTTTCAAATATGAAATCCGAAGAATTGGAAGGAAAAAGAATGGGGATTGTTTGTACGGCCATTTTGAACAAGCCTCTGTTTACACGTTTACACTTTACGGTAAGCTCTGTCACGCTTTCCCAAAAGCGCGTAATCCGAGGGGTTAGGTAGAATTGACCCACGTCTTGGCATAGGGGGTCTGGGTGCCGCCGAGAGTTGAAAACCCTGACCTTCCCCCACGGCAATTCGAAAAGTCGTTCGGAACGAAGCATATGGAATGACTTAGTGCAAACAGGTGGAGCGTGAGGGAAGGAACAGAGGGAGAAGTTGCATCCTTGTTTTTAATGCCCCACCAGTCTCTGTGCGGAAATTTGAATGACGAAAATGAGATTTAAGTAGGAGACAGCTTGTTCATGTTTATAACAGAGAAGAAATCTGCAAAAACTACCAAACAATATAACCTTCTTTTGACCTTTTCTTAGCTTAGGTTGTCTCAGCGGAAAATGGGATTCAGTAAAGCCCGCGTTAATCTATTTATATTTTTACACTTTATGTATTTCTTCAAATCTGAGCTGTAATAAAAATCAAACATTTTATTTTCTTTGACTGCCTCCCGCAACTTGTTTATTATGAGCAAACTTTACACAGCTACAAAGCAATTAACTGTAGTATCCCACAAATGAAAGCGCTATTATTTGCTGTCCCTGTTTGGTTAATATGCGGGAGGGTCTATCTCCTCTGGAAGTCTAAGCTTGAGCTTTGGGTACCTCCTCTACGAATATGCGGGACACAGAATGCCATCCAGTAAAGGCGTCATAGTTTCCATGACTGTACCCATCGCATTTACCAACCCAGAATCCCACGCGCACCTTTCCTTTGTGAATGTTATTACAGTAGCCTTCAATGTGGCGGACGCGATGAGGGTCTTGAGATTTGCTGACCACGTACACAACACCATCAATAGGGAGGGGAGCGGAACATTCTGCACCGTTGAAAGTAAAGTACCAGCGTTTACAGGCAGCATTAGTATGGACTCTAAGTGTACCAGTCCAGTACACATGAAGGGCTGTGTCAGAGAAGTTTTTGCTGAACACACATTCCTGTGCGAAAAACGAAACAGATATGCTAGTAAAAATGTACCACTAAACAGTCTTCTGTGCTTAGAGGCAAGGGAAATGAAATGAAATGAAATGAAATGGTTATGATTTATTCACGCCCTTAAGCTTCTTCTTCTTGTCCCTTAGTTTTTCTTTGATTTTTCATGCTATTGTTCCATTATCATTTAATTTTTCATACTTTTATAGCAAGATGTTGTTTTATGGTAATGATAACCTACACGTAATTGATTTTATAAATTAGTATGAAAGTGATAGTGTATTAGTTACTAACCAGTGATGAGCCATATTTCTGGTAATGGATATATCGTAAATAAACACTTACTATAGTATTATTATTATTGTTACTATTTATATAATTATTATTAGGCAATGGTTATTATTTTTCCTTCTTTATGAAAACAAATAAAAAACTTCTCTTTAACCTTGATTAGACTTGATGTAATGAACGGGTAAAGAAAAATGTGTTTACCTTGATCAGCCCATTATCTTTGCCATCATGGATGTTTTTCCAAACGCATTCCTTCCAGTTCTTAAAAGCCATCAGACCTGGATTCCCAGGGGTTCCTCTTAATCCACTCTCCCCGCGTTCCCCTTTTTGTCCTGGGGGTCCTTGGGCCCCGCGTTCCCCTTTAACGCTATCCTTTCCATTAACACCAGAGTTTCCGCTAGGTCCCGGAGGCCCCTGGGGTCCAGTCTTTCCTGGGATACCTTGGTCACCTTTGGCTCCCTTACGGCCATCTCGTCCGTCGCGGCCTGGTATTCCAGGGGAACCGGGTTTGCCATGCATGCCGGGAATACCAGCATAGTAGACGGGAGGGGCCTGGTAAATTGGAGGAAAAATAAACTACAAATTTGTCAATCGGCTTTGATGATATCATTACCTAAATTGAGCAGCTGTTACAATTCCCTTTTTTGCACGTAAGAACCGCACATTATAGATTTTCCTCAACGATATAACACTGTAAATAATACGATTTTGCGTTTTAGTAAAATTGTATACTTTTTGGATAGAAGTCTCATTTGCTGCGTAATAATGTATACAGGAAGAACTGTTGAACAATGATATTTGAATTAAGATTGTTTATTCAATGCGCCAAGTTTTCATGTACATCGTCAGAAATTTACATATATTTTGTCTGACTTATCACAGGCAGTTTCTGTGTCACCTACCATGTTGTTTGATGGTTGATTGGTTTTGTTGCCACTTGTTGCACAAACCAAGAATAATATGGCTAACGACGCTATCAGACAAAGCGACATCTTAAACGGGTAAGTTGCCATTTTTTCGTCCTTTCCTGCGAACAAGATTGAAAACATTATAATACGAAACTCAAAAGAGTTGATATGTAAAATACAACAAGGAGAGAAAAAGTCCTCTTGCTTGAGTAAATAAAAGATATCTGACGGGCCGCGAATTTAAGTTACGCCAAAAAATAAAAAGGCAACTGATTCTCGCCCTGTTTTTTGAAGAACAGGCGGACTTTCGTTAGTAAATATTTATACCAAACGTGTTTTCTTTGGATTAATTTAAAACCAGTGATGAAAGCTATTGCATAGAATTTTACTAAGAAGTTTATCTTCTCTAAAGATTTTTGATTTTTTTTTTCTGTTTAGTCTTTTCCTAATTCAACAAAACAAAGACTCCAGAAACCAACGTAACCATGAATTCTAAACGCGCTACAATTCGTTTATGGAAGAATGACTCCAAGATTGTGGATTGTGATTGTGATTATTTGGCATTGCTTTTCTGCTAAAACTACCATTCTTATTTTGCTTAAATCTCCTTATTTTGAAGAACAAGAAGATGTTATCAAAATATCATCTGCTCCAAAGTATCTCTCTCCCTTCCATTTACAAAAGTGGGCACACATATCATAATTCAGTAATCACCAGACTGAGTATATTAATCCACGATAAACGCCCCGCAAAACGACAGACTTCCAGTTCCATTTCTTGCTCCCAGAACAATGGGAAATCAATTATTTTCCACGACGCAAATGATTTCTTGTTCCGGGGCTTTCAAACACCAGAGACTGGCGGATTTAGCCATTAGAAAACAGTTTGCGAAATGGCGAGTGCCCGCATCCGCAACAGGCTGCTTCGCAGTTTCTTCTAAAGAAATGTTTTTGAACTGAAGTGCGACCAAAAAGCTATTTCAGTTTAGAGCCGTAACTGACTGTTTTGTATTCTGTGATTTCAAATTTAAGAGACTCGTGAACAGAGCTGTTACAAAACTGACAAATGAGAGGGCTGCGCGCTCGTATGGGGAATAGCTGTTTCTATTTTAAATTTAGGCTGAATTAGTAAAAGTGGACGGGCGACTAAACTTCAGGCTACTTCTACTTCTACTTTTGTTTTGCACGACAAAACACTAAAGAAAGAGACTGTAAGACATACCTGCAGAGGAGTAGAAAGTCTTCTTTTTCGTCCAAGAACTCCTGGAATGAACAAACCGCAGCGAATGAACTCCTTTTCATCATTTTCCATCTTTTGTTGACATTGTTTGATTCGAGTTTGAACAAGTTTATTGTTGACTAGGGCCGCTGAAAAGGAAGTTCCTTCAAGAGCTTTGTTGTTGACCCTTAGGACTTGATCGTTATTATAAATTATCCGATTATTCTCTTAGTTAGTTACATTTCAAAATCATAAAATTATCTTTTAAACAGAAAGTAAGATTTGGCATAAAGAAATGGTGACATTTTGGCCAGGCTGACCCCTTTGCAATTGTGGAGTAACATGCAGTCAGCTCTCATTGTTTCTACTGAGGACACTCTTGTATTCTCTCTCCTGGCCCACCCTGCTCGAGAATCTGATGGGCTGTTTCCAATAGGCACGTCAAGGGAAGTAGTAGTATGTGCTTGGATCGCCAATCGGCAGACAAATCCGCAAATTGACGCGAAATAAAGTAATCGGTGATTCAGGAATACAGTTGCGCTCCTTGTTGCAGGACAACTGGCCTTCGTTTAAAATTCGGTACGCGCAAACATTGTTTCTAGCAATTTATGTTTACAAGTATAAACGCCACATAAAAATGATCAGCTTTATCTCAAGTGTTTGCGTTGCATTAACAGATTTTAACCATAGAATGATTTAACCGTAAAATAGGTAGTGGAATACTGCGCACTATTATGCACTAATTCTATTGTCTTCTTTTGTTTACCTCTCACTATTTTTGCACCATTTGCTAGTATCTGTTTCACGGTTCAAGTAAAGTCACTCTAAGACCCTCCGTGACGCGTTTTCTTTTTTGCTTGGAGACTCTACATGTCAGAAGTACATGATCGAAATAGAAAACAAAAAATCGACTTTCTAGTTGAAATCACCGAGATGCGCAATCAACCAGGACGATGTTTTTATGTATTGGAATTAATTTATAGCTAAAAGCTGTGTACTTCTACTTGACTGTGTAATGAGTAACAATAATCTGTTAAATAGTTTTACAAAGTAACTCTGGGCGTATTAAACAGTATTAAATTCCATTTATCCCAATATCTTGGTGTTGTAAAATCAGATCTCAATATTTACCACATTTGATTGTGCAGTTAAATTAAATGACAAACGATAACTTATTGTTTTTCTGTAACAGATGCAAATTTTTGGAGCTTTTTATGACGTTAAGTAATAAACAAAATTCGGCTGTAAATCACTTGCCATATGTAGACTACTGTAGTACAGGGCCGGCAACTGGGGGCCAAGCTTCCAAAATATTTTCTCTGTATATCGGTTTAGTTAGACATATATCGCAGTTAATTTGTTAATTTGATTGCGAAGTTTTTGTACATAATATATAAGAATCACACATTTCGATACAGTGCAATGGCAGTAAAAATTGACTCTACGGCAACCAAAGGCGATAGAGAAACACACATGTTTCTTCATATATATAATGCCGCCTCATTATTATTCTTAATAATGAAATTTTGTTTTCAAAGCGGAATTTCCATATTTCTAAATAGAAAGAGCTAAGGATGAAATTTGTATTTATGTAAATTGTTTACATATCACGTTATATCAAAAACCGAACTCGTTTGTATACATCTGAATTGTTTCTTCTCAATTTGTAAAACTTTTACTAGACGGGTTCTAAAAAGTATATCCACAGCTTTCCATACCGAAAATAAAAACAACGAAATTGTCATGAAAAATATTTGAAAATGCCACTGTAAAGGATATCGACGTATTAGGCTTTTTGCTACTATTTACATAAAAACCTACCAACTTGTAGACGGGAAAACATGAAATTCTACATCGTCTGTAAAGAGGACAAAAGTAGGCAGAATGACTCGATAAAATCGCTCTGAAACTCCCCAACACAAATGACGCTATCGGAGAAATATGACTTTCAGGAATATTCTCCATCATTTTGAATTCTCAAACAAAACCTTTGATCTGAAACGCGTTACGCTGTCGATAATTTCCTGTGTTGAGATGAGAAGAATTCGCTATTTGCACATCTCCCATAATACACCTTGTTTCCCTCCATCCCCACCCGCCCTTCCCCCTAAATAAAAATATTGTGTAACCTTTGTTATTATTATTTCTTCTGTGCATTGCAGCTTTCCCAGGAGAAACTGAAAACAATGTTGTGCAAAATTTGGGGGGCAAACAAGATGCATTATACTTGAGAAGATGTGAAAATTGGCGATCACCCACTAGTCCCCAAGGTTTTCTCGATTTCAAATATGGTGGTGACCGGCAGCACTAAAAATCCGTACTGTTATGTCGCCCAGTAAAACGAGAAGACTCTGGGAAGAGGTTTCGGAAGCATCGTGTTATAATTAGCCGCTAATAATAATCTCTTTTTCATGATCAGTGTACAGCCTTTCTGCTTCTGTTTATTTAATTTCTATTTGATGGTTTTTCTGACAAGGCAACATTGATGTTAGAATAACGTTTTTAATCCATTCGGTTTGGCTTAAAATGAATCGTACTTTTGTCCGTTTTTTTCTCACAATATTTCCAACATTGAAAACCTATTACATTGTGATTGTCTGAAAGATTTTGGATAATTTATAACTTATAAAATTCAAGCTTAAATGTATGAAATCCGAAGAATAGAAAGGAAAAAGAATGGAGATTGTATGTACGGCCTTTTTTAACAAGCCTCTGTTTACACGTTTACACTTTACGGTAAGCTCTGTTACGTTTTCCCAGAAACGCGTAATCCGAGGGGTAGGGTGGAATTGAGCCACGTCTTCGCGTAGGGGTCTGGGTGCCGCCGAGAGTTCAAAACCCTGACCTTCCGCTACTGCAGTTGGAAAGGTCGTTCGGAACGAAGCATATGGAATGACTCATTACAAACAGGTTGAGCGTGAGGGCATGAACAGCGGGAGAAGGTGCATCCTTGCTTTTAATGACCCACCAGTCTTTAATTTAAATGACGAAAATGAGATTTAAGTAGGAGACGGCTTGATCATGTTTAGAACAGAGAAAAAAACTGCAAAAACTACCAAACAATATAACCTTCTTCGGACCTTTTCTTAGCTTAGCTTCTCTCAGCGGAAAATGGGATTTAGTAAAGCCCGTGTTTATTTATTTATTTTTTATGCATTTGCTTTAAAGCTGAGCTGTAATAACCATCAAACATTTTCTTTGGCTGCCTCCTGCAACTTGTTTATTATGAGCAAACTTTACACAGCTACAAAGCAATTAACCGTAGTATCCCACATATGGAAGCGCTATTATTTACTGTCCCTGTTTGGTTAATATGCAGGAGGGTCTGTCTTCTCTGAAAGTCTAAGCTTGAGCTTTTGGAACCTCCTCTACGAATATGCGGGACACAGAACGATATCCTGTGTAGGCGTCATAGTTTCCATGACTGTACCCTTCGCATTTACCAACCCAGAACCCCACGCGCACCTTTCCTTTGTGAATGTTATTACAGTAGCCTTCAATGTGACGGACGCGATGAGGGTCTTGAGATTTGCTGACCACGTAAACAATACCTTCAATGGGTAGGGGAGCGGAACATTCTGCACCGTTGAAAGTGAAGTACCAGCGTTTACAGCCACCATTATGATAGACTCTAAGTGTACCAGTCCAGTACACATGAAGGGCTGTGTCAGAGAAGTTTTTGCTGAAAACACATTCCTATACAAAAAAGAGAAAGAGATATACTAGTAAAAATGTACCACTAAACCGTCTTGTGTGCTTAGAGGCAGGTGAAATGAAAACTGGTCATGATCTACTCACGCCCTTAAGCTTCTTCTTCTTGTCCCCTAGGTTTTCTTTGATTTTATTTTCTTTTTATTTTATTATCATTTAATTTTTCATAATTTTATAGCAAGATGTTGTTTTATAGTAATGATAACCTACACGTAATTGATTTTTTAAATTAGTATGAAAGTGATAGTGTATTAGTTACTAACCAGTGATGAGCCATATTTCTGGTAATGGATATATCGTCAATAAACACTTACTATAGTATTATTATTATTGTTACTATTTATATAATTATTATTAGGCAATGGTTATTAGTTTTCCTTCTTTATGAAAACCAATAAAAAACTTCTCTTTAACCCTGATTAGACCTTGATGTAATGAACGGGTAAAGAAAAATGTGTTTACCTTGATCAGCCCATTATCTTTGCCTTCATTGATGTTTTTCCAAACGCATTCCTTCCAGTTCTTAAAAGCCATCAGACCTGGATTCCCAGGGGTTCCACTTAATCCACTCTCCCCGCGTTCCCCTTTTTGTCCTGGGGGTCCTTGGGCTCCGCGTTCTCCTTTAGCGCCATCATTTCCATTAACACCAGGGTTTCCGCTAGGTCCCGGAGGCCCCTGGGGTCCAGTCTTTCCTGGGATACCTTGATCACCCTTGGCTCCTTCACGGCCATCTCGTCCGTCGCGGCCTGGTATCCCAGGGGAACCAGGTTTGCCATGCATGCCGGGAATCCCAGCATAGTAGACGGGAGAGGCCTGGTAAATTCAAAGTAGAATTGATAAAGTTCATATTTGTCAATTGACAGGCTTTGTCAGGTTGACATCATTAGTCAAATTGAGCAGCTCCACAATTTCTTTCCTTGTAGATTAGTGCCATTACATTTTGAATTTTATTTCAAAGCTAAAACACTGAAAGGAATACGATCTGGCGTGTCCGCTGAAATTTAGACCTGTTACCTTAAAAGTTTAAGTTGTAAAACAGGAAGTACTGTTAACAGTGAGAATTTGAACTAAGACTGTTCAATACGCCATTTTTTCATGAACATCTTTAAAAAAATTTACATACGTTGTCGTCCTTATTAGACTGAGACGCATAACCAAGTCACCTACCATGTTGTTCGATGGCTGTTTGGTCTTGTTGTCACTTGTAGCACAAGCCAATAATAATATCGCAAATAACGCTAACAGTATTAGCGACGCCTTAAACTTGGAAGTAGCCATTTTCATGTGATTTTCGATGATATTCTGCAATATGATGAACAGCCTATGAAACTTACAAATAACGTGTTGCATTAACAACAGGGAGAGTAAAATAATCCAAGTTTTTCCCATGTGGTGATTATACTACAAAACTTGGGAAAATTTTTTCCATGTCTCAAATAACGTGACTAATCACTTTTCTTGAATTCCCCGCACCCAAAAAACTGACAACCAGAAATGCGGTGCGGGATAAGCAGACAATTCTTAGCCCATTTATTGAACTAACCAACTAATCACAAAACAAAAACAACTGTTTACACTGTTTAGACACCAAAAAATTAAACAAACTCTATACGTTCGATCAGGCCAAAGTAAATTGAATAAACAAAACCACTTATAATGACTGTCAATCATCAGGAAAGCACAACTAAAATCGTTACGAGGAAATGGATTACAGGATTTCAACCAAAATATAAAAAAGAACAAAATTTAACTGTCCGCTTGTAAAAATCCACAATGAAACTTGTTTACTGTTCAGCGAATATATACTTGCTAGTTTACATATCACACTTTCTTCCCATAATCTCTGTAATCTCACGCCGGCACTTAAAACACACTGCCGACAAATGCACTTGTGCTTGGGAATTCAAGAAACCATTTATCTTTTGTTTCATTACGCTTCGCTACATTCAGGCAAAGATAAATGAACAATCATCTTTCACTCTCATTTACGTTTTTCTACATACTGTACTTCGCAAGGTTTTGCAAGGCTACGTCTTTTCTGATGGTTAAAATACTGAATGCAAATTTCTTTTGGTACTTTATATTAATGCTGTGCATATTGTCGTTAATAAATTGTTTGAATTTTAATTGATTTTAAAATTGTTCAGTGAATTAAAACTTTAGTCAGTCGGTCGGGTTTCTAGTATTTTCACTTGTTAATTTTGGGGTTTCTTTTGAATTTTTTAGGTGTGTGAACCTTTATTTACTTAACTTATTTGTTACAAACTCGAAGTAAAATTACTAAGAAATACTCTGTTCTCTTTACTTGAGGAGTTACGGAGTACTGTTTCGTCTTGACAAGTGGATACGATCAACTGAAAAATGGAGCGATTTCTAACGAAACAGCGATTGAGTTTTAGTGATTATTTTACTCCGAGAACAAGCAAGGAAATCAAGTACAAAATAGATGGATTAAGTCAGAGAAAATATCTAAAAAGGTCAAGAGCCTAAATCGGCAAAAGTGGCCGATGATATTTATGCTGAAGATTAGAGTTACGACCCTGAATCCACTATTTTCGACGAGAAACTAATTATCTAAAAAAGAGGTAACTAGACGTACCTGTAAAGATAAAATGACTTCTTTTCCTTCCAGAAAACGTGAACAAATGAAGCTGCATTGAATAACTTCCTTTTTTCCACTCTCAGGCTTTTGTTTACATTTGATTCGCGTTTGAGCGAGTTAAGCTGACCTTTGTTATCAATAAGCACATTATCGCTACAGCAAGAGCATTGCTAAATCTGCCTTAGGCAAAGTATTATTACATAAATAAACAGTTAGTGTTTCGCAAATGAAAAGACAGTCGATTTTAGCAAAGCTGAGACTTCCGCTGAGTTTTGTGCAACCAGTTATCAGGTCAAATTCTAGCGGTGTTTTTTTTCTCAGTCGATCAAAATTCAGTCGTGAACTGAAATTAAACTTGATTGGTTATCCACATTAAGTGCATCATGGAAAGCAGGAGAGTTTTTGTGTTTGATTGCGATCGTCAGGAAACGAATCTGTGAAGAATTACATATCTAAAAATTGTTAACAGTCTCTGATCATTTGGTGATATATAGCCGTATCTAACGAGATTTTCCCTTCGGTTTCTCGAGCATACTTCTCACGGGCAAAAAAACGTCCGTTCTACCACTTTGTATTTGAAGAATAAAGACTGTCACGGAAGCTAAGGAAACTGAAAGTACAATGATCACCGTTATATAGGTATGGGCTTTGGGTGAATAGATTTACCAAAAGACAGCCATGAATGGTCTCAAACATATTTTTTTGCCACTTTTTTCAGTGCAGCTAAATTAAATGACACGCGAGAACTAGATTGTCATATAATCAAATTTGCTGCTTCTTGCACAGTTAAACCTCGTTAATACGGACACTGAGGGACCGTAGATAGTGTCCGTATTAAGCGGGTTGAATGTAAAGAAAATATAAGGATTTCTTTCCCCAGGGACAAAGCAAAATGTCAATAAAAATGAGGTGCCGTATTAAGCGGGTGCCCGTAAAGCGAGTTTTGACCGTATACATTGTATCTCACTGTATGAACACCCACAGAGTGAGATAAAACATTTGCTTGTTAATTAATCACTCGCCAGATAAAATAAGGACAAAAATGCACTCTCTGTTTATAACTGAGACAAAGACTCCGGAAATATTTTCTTCGCGAACAGAGTTCAAAGGCCTGGCCATAAAAAGAGAAATATTGACTTTATATACCACGCTCGATGAAAAAACTTGATTCAAACATTAAAAAATGACGATTTCTTTTGCTCTGTGTTTTTAGGGAACAGATTTTTAATATCGAGATTTCCCAATTTATTTAGACAGACAGTTGACGACAAAATATTCCTTTACGTTCAAAAGTTTGTGGACTTTTGTCGTTTGTGAATATTTACTATGTAAAGGGCTGTGCATATTTATTAACCTGCTGTAAAACTTTCAAGTCGATTCAAGGGGTATTTCGATAAAATATCACATGATTTCTTTACAGAAATTTAAAATAGGAGAAAATAAGGAATAAATAAATAAAAGAATTGCTGTAAGAAATACTGTAGAGGCCAACGCGCGGATACTGGAGGCAACGAAAGATATGCTAAGTTTTTTAGTATTTACAATTACAAATCAAACACACTAACCTGCCAACAGAAAAACATGAAATTGTCTATGTCGGGGAAAGACAAATGTGAAAAGAAAACTCGCTGAAATCGCCTAAAACCGCCCTGATACAAGGTGGTAACACTTCTAATAATGAATATAACATATTCCGCAAAAAATTTCTTCTTCAGGTCCTTCAGTTGTAATTCTCAATAAATGAGCGATGAATATTCACAAACCCACAAAATGCACGCTGCACAGATTGGTATCACAAAGTCAATACTTCCGACCTTGGGAAGCCTGTGCTGGAATGAATAGCTGAACAGGCGAATGAAGCCTAGAGAATCCCTTGTATCAGATTAAAAGTATAGTATGCGTTATTGACCAAGCTTGTTCCGTCAGGATGACCAGACAATAGCCAAGTTCATTTTTCCTGTTTCTTTAGATCAAGACGAAGAGTTAGCCATATGTTTTTTTTTTTTCAATTTTCTGAGCGATTGAGAGGGGAGCAAATATAGAAATTTATATTCACCAATTCGTGATAAAACTAGAAAATTTTATTCTTATTTTTTGTTTAACATGAAGTCTGATCTGTCCACAGTGTTTTTTCTATGTTATAGTTAAACTGGTATAGGATAATGACCATAGAATAATGCTCTATAAAATCACCTCATAGTTATTTGTAAGACGATGAAAGTGACGTAAATGTAAGGCCCGGTTCAGACGCCGAACTTTTCATGAGCCGAACCTAATTCGAATTAAGACCGACCCAAATTATTTAGACCGGCTAAAGTGATTCAGACGCCGATCTTAATTCCAGCCGAACTAAATTCAGAAGGCGAAAAATGCGCATTTCGGTCAAACTGCTTACAAAATACGTTATAAGAATTTTTGCATTTGGTTCGGTACATGAAAAGTTCGGCGTCTGAATCAAAGGCGTTCCAAAGTCGATCCAAAGGCGAAATTCCCGGCTGGGCTAGGCGAAAAGAACGGCTGAGCCGTTCCAAATTGAAACAGGCGTTCCTAATTGATTCAGACGCCGAACTTTTCATGTACTTAATTCAATGTATTAGGCTCGGCTCATGAAAAGTACGGCGTCTGAACCGGGCCTAAGAGAGAATAATTGTTCTCTCTTGGTAATTGACAATTCCCTTTGAAATCCCGTATCGGTTAACGTGTAAAAAGCAAGCGCCGCGTCTCTTGACGTTGCCATGGAGACTTGCAATCTTTTGACTATGTGCACTCTAAGCACTTTTTATACCTATGAAGGTCTAATAACAAACAAGCAAACATTTCCTTTTGAATCGAAGCCTCCTGTCGTTTATTTAAGATCAGCAAATATTACATTGCTACTGACAAAGCAATTAACTATACTATCCCTTAATCAAGACAGCACTATCTTTTATTGCATGTCCCTGTATGCTTTACTCAGGAAACTCTGTTTCAATTCGAGGTCTAAGCTTGAGCTCTGGGAACCTCTTCTACGAAGATTCGGGACACAGAATTCCATCCCGTGTAGGCGTCAAAGTTTGGACTGAAGCCAGGGCAAGTACCAACCCAGAATCCCACGCCCACCTTTCCTTTGTGGATGTTGTTACAGTAGCCTTCGATATGGCGAACACGATGGGGATTTACAGTTGTACTTCTCACGTACACAACACCTTCAATGGTCAGAGGGGCTGAACATTCCGCGCCGTTGAAAGTAAAGTACCAGCGTTTACATGCATCTTTCCCATGGGTTCTAAGAGTACCCATCCAGTGCACATGAAGGGCTGTGTCTCAGAAGTTTTTGGTGAACACACATTCCTGTGCAAAAAATAAAAATAATAATAACAACTACAACTACAACAACAAAAAAACAGAGCTAGAACCAGGCTCATTATTCGATGTTTCCCAGCGTTATCTACTTCAAAAAGAAAAAATGTTGAACAAGAATTACGAAGCCATATTGCGATAGTTACAATAATCCCTTGAATCGTAATATGAGAATGCCTGCTCTTAACACTGTGCTCCCTACCTATTGTACTGAAGAGAAGAATTTGTTCAATAAAGAACGCTCCTTTTACTTGCTGATCAGTTCCTTTTTCTCAAAACCCTCTATGTTGGATTAGCCAGTTTAGAGAGAATTTAGACGTTGTTCACTCTTAAGAGTTCAAGGGTTAGAACATGTAGGATAATTTTGTCGGTTAACAATCTTCGAATAATGCGAAAGATACCCAAAAATGTATTAACCTTGATGAGCCCTTGATCTTTGTCATCATTGATGTTTTTCCAAACGCATTCCTTCCAGTTCTTAAAAGCCATCAGACCTGGATTCCCAGGGGTTCCACTTAATCCACTCTCCCCGCGTTCCCCCTTTTGTCCTGGGGGTCCTTGGGCTCCGCGTTCTCCTTTAGCGCCATCATTTCCGTTAACACCAGGGTTTCCGTTAGGTCCCGGAGGCCCCTGGGGTCCAGTCTTCCCTGGGATACCTTGGTCACCTTTGGCTCCATCACGGCCATCTCGTCCGTCGCGGCCTGGTATCCCAGGGGAACCAGGTTTACCATGCATGCCGGGAATCCCAGCATAGTAGACGGGAGAGGCCTGGTAAATTGGAGGAAAAATAAACCTCAAATTTGTCAATCGGCTTTGATGATATCATTATTTAAATTGGGTAGCTATCACAATTCTCTCTTTTGTGCGCAAGGGCCGCACATCAAAAAATTTTTCTCACCGACATAACACCGTAAAAATACGATTTGGCGTTTCAGCTAAAATATACACTTTTTGTCTTAGAAGTCTCATTTGCTGCGTATACAGGAAGTACTGTTGATCAGTGATACTTGAATTTAGATTGTTTATTCAATGCGCCAAGTTTTCATGTACATCATCAAAAATTTACATATATTTTGTCTGACTTATCAGAGGCAGTTTCTGTGTCACCTACCATGTTGTTTGATGGCTGATTGTTTTTATTGCCACTCGTAGCACGAGCCAAGAATAATATCGCAAACAACGCTATCAAACAAAGCGATACCTTAGAAGGGTAAGTTGCCATTTTTTCGTGCTTTCCTGCGAACAAGATTGCAAACATTATAATACAAATCTCAAAAGAGTTGACATGTATCATATTTAAGATTTAAATAAAGATTTAAATGTTTGATTTAAGATTTATAACATAAATAACGTAGGTAATACCAAGTACTCATGTGGGAATACTGAAATAAAGTTGTTGTTGCCGTTGTCATATAACAATGGGAGAAAATGGCCTCTTGCTTGAACAAATGAAACATATATGAAGGCCCGCGAATTTAAGTAATGCCAATGATAAAACACAACGTGATTCTCGCCCTGCTTTTAAAAAACCGGCAGACTTTCTTTGGTAGATATTTATACCAAACGTGTTTCTTTGGATGAATGTTAAGCCATTGATGAAAGCTATTGCAAAGAATTTTACTGAGAAGTTTCTCTTCTGTAAGGATTTTTGATTTTTTTTTCTGTTAAGTCTTTTCCTATTTGAACAATAAAAAAGACTTCAGAAACCATCGTAACCCGTATTCTATACGCGCTAGAATTCGTTTATGGAAGAAAGATTATTGGGGCCGTTGTTATTTGGCACTGCTTTTCTACCAAAAACTTAGTTCGTGCCATTTTTGTTTTGCTTAAATCTTCTAAATTTGAAGAACAAGAAGATGTAATCAAATATATATCTTTTTCAAAGTATCTCTCTCCTCCTTTGACAAAAATAGGTATAGTACACATGTACACAGATCATAATTCAGTAATCACCAGTATATTCATCACGAAAAACGTCCCGCAAAACGACATTGTTCCAGTTCCATTTCCTGCTCCCAGAAAAATGGGACATCAATTATTTTCCACGACGCAAATGAATTTTTATTGCGGGGCTTTCAAACTTCAGAGACTGGCGGATTGAGCCATTAGAAAACAGTTCGCGAAATGGCGAGTGCCCGCATCCTCAACAGGCGGGTTCTGTCAGTTTCTTCTAGAGAAATGTTTTTGAACTAATGTGCGACCAAGAACTATTTTAGAGCCGTAACCAAATTTTTTGTATTCTGCGATCTCAAATTTAAGAGACTCGTGAACAGAACTGTTAGAAAACTGACAAATGAGAGGGCTAAGCGCTCGTATCGAGAATAGCAGTTTCTGTTTTAAATTTAAACTGAATGGAGTAACATTTGGAGTGGAGGTGGCGACTGAACTTCAGGCTACTTCTACTTCTGCTTAAGTTTTGCACGATAAAACACTAAAGAAATAGACTGTAAGACATACCTGTAGAGGAGTAGAAAGTCTTGCTTTTTCGTCCAAGAACTCGTGAAATGAACAAACCGCAGCGAATGAACTCCTTTTTCTCATTTTCTATCTTTTGTTGACATTGTTTGATTCGAGTTTGTGCGAGTTTATTGTTGACCAGGGCGCTGAAAAGGAAGTTCCCAAAGTGCTTCGTTGTTGACCCTCAGTACTTGATCGTTATTATAAATTATCCGATTATTCTCATAGTTAGTTACATTTCAAAATCATAGAAGTTATTTATTAAACAGAAAGTAAGAAATCGCAAAAAGAAATGGCAACATTAGGGCAAGGCTGACCCCTTTGCTAATTATGGTGTAACATGCAGTCAGCCCTCAGTATTTCTACTGAGGGCAATTTTGTATTCTTACGCGTGGCCCACGATTGGCTGTTTCCCGCAGTGAATAGGCACGTCAAGAAAATTAATGTAGTGTGTGCTTGGATCGCCAATCGGCAGACAAATCCGCGAATTGACGCGAAAGAAAGTAATCGGTCGTTCAGGAATACAGTAGCGCTCCTTGTTGCAGGACAACTGGCCTTCGTTTAAACTTGGGTGCGCAAACATTCTTTCTAGCAATTTTGTTTACAAGTATAAATGCCACCTAAAAGCGAACAGGCTTATTTTAAGTCTTCGCGTTGCATTATCAACAGATTTTAACCATAAAACCCTATGACACGTTTTCTCCTTTGCTCGGAGACAATCAGAGGAATGATCGAAATAGAAAACAACAAGTCGAATCTCTAGCTGAAATCACCGAGACGCTCAAACAACCACAGGACGATGTTTTATGTGTATCGAATTGATTTATAGCTAATGGCTGTGTACTTCTACAATTTGTGTAATGAGTTATAATAATCTGCTAAATAGTTTTACAATGTAATTCTGGGCGTATTAAATTCCATTTATCCCAAGATATATCATTTGTCCTACTTTTCAATAATATTATCTTTATTATCTTGGTGTTACGACATTTGACTGTGCAGCTAAATTAAATGACAAACGATAACTTATTGTTTTTCTGTAACAGATGCAATTTTTTTTAGCTTTTTATGACGTTAAGAAAAAAAATTCGCCTAGTCTAAATCACTTGCTATACGTAGTATAGGGCCGGCAAAAGGCCAAGCTTTCCAAATATTTTCTCTTTATATCGGTTTAGTAAGACGTATATCGCAGTTCATTTGTTAATTTGATTGCGACGTTTTCGTACATAATATTTCGATACAGTGCCGTGAATGGCAATAAAAATTGACTCTACGGCAACCAAAAGCGATAGAGAAACACATATTTCTTCACATATTTAATTCCGCCTCTTCTTAATAATGAAATTTTGTTTTCAAAGCGAAATTTCCACATTTCTAAATAGAAAGAGCTAACGACGAAATTTGTATTTATGTAAATTGTTTACATATCACGTTATATCAAAAACCGAACTCGTTTGTATACATCTGCATTGTTTCTTCTTTTGTAAACTTTCACTGGACGGTTCTAAAAAGTATATCCACAACTTTCCATACCGAAAATAAAACAACAAAATTGTCATAAACATATTTGAAAATGCCGCTGTAAAGGATATCGACGTATTAGGCTTTTTGCTACTATTTAGATAAAAACGTACCAACTTGTAGATGGGAAAACATGAAATTCTGCATCGTGTGGAAAGAGGACAAAAGTAGGCAGAATGACTCCATAAAATCGGTCTGAAGCTCCTCAACACAAATGACGCTTTCGGATAAATATGACTTTGAGAAATATTCTCCTTCATTTTGAATTCTCAAACAAAACCTTTGATCTAAAATGCGTTACGCTGTCGATAATTTCGACTCGGGGTTCCTGTGTTGAGATGAAAAGAATTCGCCATTTGCACATCTCCCATAATAAATGCACCTTGTTTGCCTCTATCCTCCCCCGCCCCACCCCCCAAACAAAAATATGGCGTAACCTTTGATTTTTTTTTTTATCTCTTCTGGGTATTACAGCTTTCCCAGGAGAAAATGAAAACAATGCATATGCAAAATTTGGGGGGCAAACAAGATGCATTTTACTTGAGAAGATGTTGAATTGGCGATCACCCACTTTGCCCCAGGGTCTTCTCGTTTTCAAATTTGGCGGTGACCGGCAGGACTAAAAATCCGCACTATTATGTCGCCCGGTAAAACGAGAAGACTCTGGGAAGAGGTTGCGAAAGCAGCGTGTTATAATTAGCCGCTAATAATAATCTCTGTTTCAGTGTACAGCCTTTCTGTTTGTGTTTATTTAATTTGATGGTTTTTCTGAAAAGGCACAGTGACGTTAGAATAACGTTTTTAATCCACTCGATTTTGCTTAAAATGAATTGTACTTTTTTGGCTTTTTCCCACAATATTTCCAATATTGAAACCCTATTACATTGTGATTGTCTGAAAGATTTTGGACAATTTATAACTTAAAAAATTCAAGCTTAAATGTATGAAATCCGAAGAATAGGAAGGAAAAAGAATGGAGATTGTATGTACGGCCATTTTGAACAAGCCTCTGTTTACACGTTTACACTTTACGGAAAGCTCTGTCACACTTTCCCAAAAACACGTAATCCGAGGGGTTAGGGTGGAATTGACCACTCCAGAAAATACCATAACATACCATAATACTCTTCGTTTGTCACCCCAAAATTTTGCATAAGCATTGTTTTCAGTTTCTCTTGGGGCCTTTTCAACTCCCAAGAGAAACTGAAGACAATGCTTATGCAAAATTTTGGGATGACAAACAAAGAGTATTATGGTATGTTATGGTATTTTCTGGAGTGGTCAATTGACCCACGTCTTGGCATAGGGGGTCTGGGTGCCGCCGAGAGTTCAAAATCCTGACCTTCCCCCCACGGCAATTCGAAAGGTCGTTCGGAACGAAGCATATGGAATGACTTAGTGCAAACAGGTGAAGCTTGAGGGCAGGAACAGAGGGAGAAGGCGCATCCTTGTTTTTAATGCCCCACCAGTCTTTGCGCGGAAATTTAAATGACGAAAATGAGATTTAAGTAGGAGACAGCTTGATCATGTTTATAACAGAGAAGAAACCAAAAAAAACTACCAAACAATATAACCTTCTTCGGACCTTTTCTTATAGCTTAGCTTGTCTCAGCGGAAAATGGGATGCAGTAATTAAAAGTCCGCGTTTTCTTTTATTTATTATTTTTTTTCTACACTTCATGCATTTCCTTCAAATCTGAGCCGTAATAACAATCAACATTTTATTTGGCTGCCTCCTGCAACTTGTTTATTGTGAGCAAACTTTACACAGCTACAAAGCAATTAACTGTATCTCACAAATGCCAACTCTATTTACTACTGTCCGTGTATGGTTAATATGCAGGAGTGGATGCACCGCTTAAGGTTCTAAGCTTGGGCTTTGGGAACCTCCTCTACGAAGATGCGGGACACAGAACGATATCCTGTGTGGGCGTCATAGTTTCCATTGTACCCTTCGCATTTACCAACCCAGAATCCCACGCGCACCTTTCCTTTGTGAATGTTATTACAGTAGCCTTCAATGTGGCGGACGCGAACAGGGTTTACATTTTTGCTGCGGACGTACACAACACCGTCAATGGGTAGGGGAGCGGAACATTCTGCACCGTTGAAAGTAAAGTACCAGCGTTTACAGCCATTGCTTGCATAGGTTCTTAGAGTACCCGTCCAGTATACATGAAGAGCAGTGTCAGAGAAGTTTTTGCTGAACACACATTCCTATACAAAAAAGAGAAACAGATATGCTAGTAAAAATGTACGACTAAAACAGTCTTCTATGCTTAGAAGCAAGGGAAATGAAAACTGGTCATGATCTATTCACGCCCTTAAGCTTTTTCTATATCTTTTGTCCCTTAGTTTTTCTCTGATTTTTAATGCTATTGTCTCATTATCATTTCATTTTTCATTGTTTTAGAGAAATGATAACCTACACCCGATTGATTTTTTAAATAAGTATAAAAGTGATAGTGAGTTAGTTACTAACATGTGATGAGCCATATTCCTAGTATTGGATATATCGTCAATAAACACTTACTATAGTATTTTTTTGTTTTTTAGCAGTTGAAAGAAACTTTTGAATCTTAGAGGTTGACAGTTTTTTTTTTTATTGAAATGAAATGTTTTTTAATTCGAAAAAATTTTTCTTAGTTTTAATTAACTTTTTTTTTTAAGCTAAATTAAGTGCTTTTTAAATTTTATTATTAGTGTTATTATTTATATTATTATTATTAGGCAATGGTTATTATTTTTCCTTCTTTATCAAAACAAATACTGAAAAAACTTCTCTTTAACCCTGATTAGACCTTGATGTAATGAACGGGTAAAGAAAAATGTGTTTACCTTGATCAGCCCATTATCTTTGCCATCATTGATGTTTTTCCAAACGCATTCCTTCCAGTTCTTAAAAGCCATCAGACCTGGATTCCCAGGGGTTCCACTTAATCCGCTCTCCCCGCGTTCCCCCTTTTGTCCTGGGGGTCCTTGGGCTCCGCGTTCTCCTTTAGCACCGTCATTTCCATTGGCACCCGTTTTTCCGCTAGGTCCCGGAGGCCCCTGGGGTCCAGTCTTCCCTGGGATACCTTGGTCACCTTTGGCTCCTTCACGGCCATCTCGTCCGTCGCGGCCTGGTATCCCAGGGGAACCGGGTTTGCCATGCATGACGGGAATCCCAGCAAAGTAGACGGGAGTAGCCAGGCAAATTAAAAGTAGAATCGATTAAGTTCATATTTGTCAATTTACAGGCCTCGTCAGGTTGACATCATTAGTCAAATTGGGCAGCTCTACAAATTCTTTCCTTGTAGATTAGAGCCATTACATTTTCAATTTTATTTCAACGCTAAAACACTGCTACGTACTAAAATAGGAAGCACTGTTAACAGTGAAAATTTGAACCAAGATTGTTTATTCAATGCGCCATTTTTTCAAGAACATCTTGAAAAAAATGACATTTCACCCTTTTTCAGAAATTTACATACTTTGTCGGACTTATTAGATTGAGACGCATAACCAAGTCACCTACCATGTTGCACGAGGACTGTTTGGTTTCGTTGCCACTTGTAGCACAAGCCAAGGATAATATCCCAAAAAACGCCACCAGAATTAGCGACGCCTTAAACTGCGAAGTAGCCATTTTGATGGGAGTTTCGATAATTTCCTGCAGTATGATGAACAGCATATGAAACTTACAAGTAACGTGTTGCATTAACGACAGCGAGAGTTAAATACTCCTAGCTTTTCCCATGTGGTAATACAAAAATTACTCCTTTTTGGAGAATTTATTTTAGTTGCCTCACGTTCATAACATGACGAATCAAATTATCTGTCTCACTGAAGATTTTCTCTATACTGTACTATACTGTACTAGGGTTTTCACTCTTTAGGCTGTCGTCTTTTTGACTGTAGCAAGTTAAGAGATATCTGAATTCAAATTTATTTCGTGACTACTTGTATTTAAGCTCTGCATTTTGTCCATAAAAATTGTTTGAATTTTAACTGATTTTAAACGAAATAAAAATTTAGGCAGTGTTGGTTTCTGTTGTTCTTTAGTATTTTTAGTTGTGCGAATCTGAGGTTAGAACCTATTTGTTACAAACTCGAAATGCGATCAAATGAATTACTGTTTTGTTACGGAGAGTTTCGTTCAGACAACTGGATACATGCAACTGAAAAATGTTCCGATAACAAACACAGCGATTGAGTTTAAGTGATTAGTTTACTCCGAGAACAACAAGGAAGCAAATCAATTATTTTCTGAGACGAAACTAGAGAGATTAAGTCAGTTAAAAGAGCTAAGAAAGTCGGGAGCCTACATCGGCAAAAGTGGATTTTACTTATATAGAGTAACGAACCTGAATCCACTATCTTCGACGAGAAACTAATTATCTAAAAAAGGAGTTGCTAGACGCACCTGTTAAGGTAAAATAACTTCTTTTTCCTTCCAAGAATCGTGACCAAATGAAGCCGCATAGAACAACTTCTCTTTTCCATTTCAAGCCTTTTGTTGACAATACTTGGTTCGCGTTTGAGCGAGTTAAGCTGAGCTATGTCAACAGTAGAGCACGTTGTCGCTACAGTAAGATCATTGCTAAATCTATTTTCTGCAAAGTATTATTAAATAAATAAACAGTTAGCGTTTCGCAAATGAAAAGATGGTATTTTAGCAAAGCTGAGACCTTTTGCTGAGTTTTGCAAACCAGCAATCAGGTTAAATTCTAGCGGCGCAAAGCTGAGCTCTTTTTTTACGCAGTCGATCAAAATTTGGTCGTGAACTGAAACTTGATTTGCTGTCCATAATAGGTACATCATGGAAAGCAGGAGAGCTCTTATAACTGTGTGTGTCTGGTTGCGATCGTCAGGAAACGAATCTTTGAAGAATTACATATCTAAAATTGTTAAAAAGTCTCTGATCATTTGGTGATATATATCCATATCTAACGAGATTTTCCCTTGGGTTTTTCGAGCATACTTCTCACCGGCAACAAAGGTCGGTTCTACCAATTGGTATTTGCTGAATAAAACCTGTCATATAAGCTAATCAATGAAACTGAAAATATAATGATGTTATATAGGTATTGCATGGCGTTGGGTGAATAGATTTACCAAAAAGACTGGTGTCTTATCTTCTTTGCTTGTAAAGACAGCCATGAATGGTCTCAAATAACTTTTTTTACCATTTTGCTTTCACGGCAGCTAAATGAAAGGACACACGAGAACTAGATTTGTCGTATAATCAATACAAATTTGCGGCTATACGGACACCGTAGAAAGTGTTCGTAAAAGCGGATTCAATTTAGAGAAAATTTAAGACCTTTCTTTCCCCAGGGACAAGGCAAACTGTCCATAATAACGAGTTGTCCGTATTAAGACAGTTTCCGTATAACGAGTTTTGTCCGTGTACATTGTATCTCACTCTATGAAGACCTTTAGAGTGCGATAAAACATTTGCCTGTTAATCACTCACCATATCGTAAAATAAGGAAAAAAATGCATTCTCTGTTTATAACAGCGAAAAATACTCGGGAAATATTTTCTTCCCGAACAGAGTTCAAGTCCTGGCCATAAAAAGAGAAATAGTAGGGCCATTTATACGAGGAAAAATAAGACGCGTCTTACATAAGACGCGTGTTAAATAAGACGCGAACTGTACCATTTATACGAGCATGTCTTATCTAATAAGACGCGTCTTAGCTAAGCCGCGTCTTATTTTAGACGAAATGTGCCGTTTATACGGAAAGTTCGCGTCTTATTTAAGACGCATCTTATGTAAGACGCGTCTTATTTTTCCTCGTATAAATGGCCCTATTGACTCTATATATACCACGCTCGATGAAAAGACTTTCGATTCAATCGTTTAAAAATGGCGATTTTTTTTTTGCTCTGTGTATATAGGGAACAGATTTTTAACAACGAAATTTCTCAATTTATTTATAAAGACAGATGACGACAAAATGTTCGTTTACGTTCAGAAATTGGTAGACTTTTGTCGTTTGTGAATATTTACTATGTAAAGGACTGTGCATATTTATTAATCCGCTGTAAAACTTTCAAGGGGTATTTCTCTAAAATATCACATGATTTCTGTACAGAAAGTATTTAAAATAGGAAAGAAAGAATTGCTGTAAGAAATAACGATACTGAAGGGCTGAAGCTTAAGGGCAACGGCATGCTAAGTTTTTTAGTATTTACAATTACAAATCAAACACACTAACCTGCCGACAGAAAAACATGAAATTCTCCATCGTCGAGGAAAAACAACAATGAAAAGAAAACTCGCTAAAATCGCTTAAAACCGCCCGGATACAAGATGATAACACTACGAATGATTAATATAACATATTCCGGAAGAATTTTCTTCTTCAGTTGTAATTCTCAATAAATGGTCGATAAATATTCACAAACCCAGAAAATGCACGCTGCACAGATTGGTATCACAAAATCAATAATTCCGACCTTGGGAAGCCTGTGCTGGAATGAATAGCGGAACGGGCGAATGAAGCCGAGAGAATCCCTTGTATCAGATTAAAAGTACAGAATGCGTTACTGACCAAGCTTGTTCCGTCAGGATGACCAGACAATGGCCAAGTTCATTTTCCATGTTTCTTTAGATCAAGACGAAGAGTTGGCCATGTGTTTTTTGGTCAATTTTCTGAGAGATTGAGAGGGAAGCTATAGAAATTTATTCACCAATTTCATTTAATCAAACAGCAAAAGAAAAAAAAAATAATCGTGATAGAACTAATGATTTTATTCTCTTTTTTTCACATGAAGTCTCTCCACTGTGTTTTTTCTATGTTATAGTTAACCTGATATAGGATACTGATCATAGAATAATGCTCTATAAAATCACCTCATTTTATGAATCGCAAATTTACGGAAATTTGCTAAATTATTTCATAATTCAGCTCTGGCACGTGCTACACAATAAGTATTGGATAACATATTTCGGCTATGATTAGATACGGGACAGACGTATCAATATTTGTGATAAAGTATGGATATAAAAAATGATAAAAGAGCATGGATATCAGGAGCCGTCATTACCCGGCTCCTGTGGATATATATTTGTTTTAGCTTTTTGCATATTAATGATTTTCTGTTTACACATATGGAAAGCCACACCACTTAATTATCCCGGAGCCACGAGTGGAGAAATACCCACTACCCCTCTTCCCCTAGGGGTAAATTTGGGCATAGGATTATATTACCGCTAGGGGTTTCAAACCTTATCTCCTGTGACCCTATAGGAAAACAGGCTCTTTTATAGAGCCCTGTTTAGAACAGTGAACAAAATACACGCTTTGCTTTTTCTTCACGAAAACTTGGATATTGGGAAGTGTTTTAATGGCAATGGTCTTGCTTTCCACCACTGTGGAAGAGGAGTTTTTATGACTAGGCTACAACAGACATGACATGACTCGAAATTTAACCATCTTTAAAACTTTGCTGCAGTTGCATAGAGTACACCATGTTTATTAGACTGTGCAGTTTATTAATTTATGTTTAAATATTGAGGGCAACACAGTATTGAAACATGTTATAAATAAAAATATTTATGCTTAGTGACTATCCTGTATTTCAAACTAGGGTTTTGAGCTCCCCCCAATTTTTTTTCACCCCAAAGCCAACCTGGTACCATGATTAGCAAGCATATAACATTTGTTAACACCCTTTCTCTTACATTTAATGGTAATAATAGTATCTTATTGTCCTGAATCTAGAATTGCGAAACATCCCTTCCCCAAATAAATGTTCTCATCCAGTCAAAAGGTACCTGGAATCTGGCTCTCCAGCTTCCTAGCTTTGTAAAGTACACCGATCTCCAAAGAATCCATGATTTGAAGCCTTGCAATTTGCTGGTGGGAAAATCAGCAAGACCTTGATAATCGCCCACATATGCCAGCATGCCAAGGTTCTTCCAGGAAAAAGGCTTTAATTCAGAAGCTTGTCCCATTGCTAGAAGACCCAAGCAACTGGCGACATAGCTGCCCTCTCTCTCTGCAACTTGTGCAGTGCAAGGATAAGGGTTCGCTTCAATACAGGAACAGTCTCCAATGGCAAATACTGAGCCATCATTGATACCCTTGACTTTTAGATATTGGTCAACCAGGATCTGACTGTTAGCATTCTTTGGAAGGTCCACTGAAGCTTAAAAATTTAGAGCAATGCATGAATAGTATTCATATAACAATTGCCACTTACATCTGTAATAGAACTGTGTAATTGGCCTCAGTCTCAGCAGGCAATAGGTAATGTGTTGCAGCAACACACCCCCCAAGAGTATACTGATGCCACAGCAGCCAAAATAAAGGGTAATTTTATCTGTGCGACCAGTCGCTCAGAATCAAACCATGCAGTCTGAATTTATGTGGTCTCACTGGCGATGGTTTGTATGATTTGGACCAAAGTTTCATGTCACACAACATGATGGTATGCATATGTGAGAGCGCAGTCTTGAAAAGACCTATTTGGTGACAACGACTAACATTTTGATAACTCATGTGATGTCTTCTTCATAGTTAAAGTGAGTTAGGTTTTGACAGTTAAGGGCACTTAACTCTGGCTATTGACCTGATTGATCAATTAAGCCCCGTTGTTATTGACTGTGGGTCAGTTGAGCTGCGAATTGTTATTGGCTGTGAATGAACAAGCCTGAATTTTTCAGGCTTTTATTTTTGCAACTGCAAAAGTTACATGTACAACTTGGCCTGAGTAAAGAGCTGACATTTCACTTCACCACCAGTTTCCCTGTGATATGATGATGCATACTGATGATGCATTACTACCCCAATCTGGGTAGTACTTCTTATTGGTTGTTTGCTTTACCCAATTAGAAGCACCTACCAGATTGGGGTAGTCACATGTCATCAGTAGGGAATTTCTGCAGTCATTTTTCAGACATCATTTCATGGAGAAACCAGTGATGGAGTTGTAAAATGTTACCTGCATTCTCAGGCTATTTATAGCTGCAACAACCTTTCTTCATTTAAGTAATACCTAAATTCGTTGTATCGCGCTGCACGTTTGCAAACTTCGAATGAGTTTTTCTGTTCTGTCAATCATTTGAGTAGGCGCAGAGTTAATGCAAATCACAATGCAACACACTTGCCCTGCTTGGCCTGCAAAAACAAAACTGAGAATGACTCTAGATTGCTCAAGAATAGCGAAGGAAATCGTGATGATGAGTGGACTTTTGGTCGAGGGTAGGAGGCAAACATTGCTTTACTCTTGCAAGAGACAAGAATAAGAATGATCAGAAAAATCTTCGAAGAAAACTAGTCAATTATTGCCCAAAACAGGGCGATCACAAGAATGAACCTTGAAACACAGAAACAAACAAAGTGGATCGAAATGCACCAATCACAAGTAAACATGTGTTTCCTAAGAGGTCCGCTAAGATGACTGACGGAACAGAAAAACCCAAAATTCATTTGAAGTTTGCAAAATGCACAGTGCGATACAACGAATTTGGCTGTGACAGCCTCTAATAAAGGAAATAGCAGACACCTTCTTTATTTGAAGGATCTAGTCAGGTCCCCCAAGACTGACACTGGTTATCTTACCTGTAAATGGTCTTGGAGCCAAGCCAGTTGACCAAACAACCAAACTACAAGGCATCACTGTCCCATCTTGTAACTTGATATGATCACTATGCACCTCTGTAACACTGCTTTGAACAAGTTCAAACTGCTCTCTCTGCCTCATCTTTTTTTCCGCAAAATTACGAAGTTTCTCATCAAAGGATGGGAGGATCTGCCTGGCTTCAATCAGTGTTACACTGACCTTGCTTTTCTCATGCACATAAAGCCTCGTTACATCTTGTTTCACAAAATCATACAACTCTGCGCCAAATTCAACTCCTGTGGGGCCACCTCCGACAATGACAAAATGCAAGAGGCGTTTCTTTTCTTCTTCAGAAACGCCCGGCTGCATGGCCAGCTCAAAGTTTTTGAGAATTTGGTTTCTGATCTTCCTAGCATCTGCAATTTCTTTAAGGAAGAAAGCATTCTCGTGGACTCCAGGAACACCAAATGTATTGCTGACAGCACCAACACCGATGACTAATTTATCGTATTTTAGAGGGTATTCGTCATTGTTCAAGGAGCTCCTACACAGAACGGTGTGTTCATCTGGAAGCAATTTCACTGCCTCGGCTAACTGGAAGTGATGCTCATCACGAAAGCCTGTGTTTCGAATAGGCTCAATAATGCTGCGAAACTCTAGCGTTCCTACAGTAGTACTGCACAATAAAGGCGTAAAGAGGAAGTGATTTCGTGGGCTAATCACAATCACATCAAATAGTTTTTTGTTGATATGTTTAAGAACACTATAGCTGCCCCAACCTGTTCCTAAAATTACCAAACGTTGCCTTCCAGTTGCTTGCGTGTAATTCTGTCGGGAATTGATGGTGGTTTGAATTCCTCTACTTGTCCACAAGCGAAAAATACTAGGTCTCAAAAACATCCTTGTCTCTAAGTTAGAGATCATGGCCATCTCGTTAAAAATTTGGAGTGATTTGGAGTAGAACTTTTGAGTGTCGAGTGAGCCTGCGTAAACCCCTCCTCAAGGAAAGAGACTGGGTTCGAAATTTGGACTAGTCACGCAATCCTCTCCTAGAAACGCCTTGACCATTTTAAAAAAACGTTATCTGTCAATTTCAACACATAGAAAAACCTTAGTTACTTAAAATACCTTTCATATAAAAATTTCTCCATGGCGATCAGTAAAGACTTTGATCTCGCGAGACTTTGCGAGTTCATCTCGTGAGCGCGTTTGACACAGAGAAATACCGACAGAATGATTGACAGTTCCAAACCAGTCAGACGACCCGTATGCGGAGAAAGGTGAGTCGTGCTGTTTTCGAGTGAGCATTACGGAGGTACTTTCGGTCACTTTCAGCATCAGGAAAAAAGATGTCAAAGAAGTCCTTGTCGCCGTACATGGAATAATAAGTGAATTCCTTTGAGGATATTGTGATAAGAAAACGCTGATATTTTGATGTTGTGAGGGTAAGTTCATGGTAGTTCTTGGCAATCACGAATCTTCCGGCGCAGCGATTAGTTTTTCCACGGATGCGGGCACTGTCAAATTTACGTATTTAACTATCTATTGAGCTTTATTGACAAAGAAAGTTGCGTAGACGTTTTTCGAAAGTCACCTCCGGCGATTTCTCAGTCAAAATACTAAAGATAACTACCATACGATTTGTTAATTTCTTGGTATTTATCATGAATATTTTAACGGCATCAATGGATAGATTAGAGCGCTTTTGATGATCAATTTCATATTAAATCTCTGCGTTATGAGTTTTTTATTGAAAATCTGATTATTTAACTCGAAAAAGAACCTTTAATCCGAGTAGGATGCGAGGGGTTTGATAAAGTATTGACGTCAGCTGTAACTTAAGAAACCATTTTCTCTAAAAAAATAAAAACAAACGAATTAACAAAAGAAAGTCAGATGCAGTAAGGTTATTTGCATAATTAACCTTTTCACAGCTTGAAGCTTTTCAGTTTTGAACAATGATTCCATTTTATCACCTTTTTTCCGCAAGAAGTGTGACTTTCAGGCGAAAATTAAGACTAATGGATGTGTTAATCTCAGTTGCCTTGCTTTAATTTTCGTTCGCAAGATTGAACTCAGTAAACCTAAGCCTATATGTTTGAGTCTAGACATGTTGGGTCGAGCGTTTTCATTAGAACAGTTTTAAAAATGGTTATTTACCCTTGTCTACTCAATTTAGTACCTCTGGTTACCTATGAAACTTACATCTCAGCAGGTATGCATTTAAAGCGGAAATTGAAGAGTCAAAATATAGTGAAACCAGTAGTGGGCATTCAAACTTTAATTTTATACAGAAACACAAATGCACCGAGATAGACATGTACCAACACTGTTCACTTTGTATATGCTTCTTTTCATGTAATCCCGGTTCACGCTTGTGACTTGCAAATGCGAGCGCAAGCACAATCACAAATGCAGGAAATAGAAAATGACAGCACTTGTAATATACTTGCATTTGCATTTGCTGTGAGGTGTTTTCTAGTGATTGATACTGTTTGCGCTTGTGTCGCTCCGGTAAAGCAGCTCTCAGAAACACCAAGTCAACAGCATAACAAGTAGTACAGGGAAAAATACACCTTCACTTTTGTAATCAGATTCTTTTTCTGATCTTTTGGTAGGTGTCTGCATGCTGTAGCAACGTTGATATTATTATAGTTTATGTTGTGGCTGGTAACATATCCCTAGCAATGTCTGAGAACACAGACAGTGAAGCAGTTGTTACGGCTAGCCAGAAAGCTACATGTACTGTTGAGAATAGCCAAGAGGAACGTACACAGTCAGAATGCTTGCCTACTGTCAATGCGACTTCTGATGAATTGTTTGATTCATTCATGGAGATTGCAAATGATCCTAAACTCCATGATATTGACAATAAAAATAATGCACTAGGTGGAGCTGAAACATTAGGATCTACTGATGGCTCTGAAAACGTTGGAACTTCTGATCAGTATGAATCAACAGAATCACCAGTGAATTTCCTGGTGAAAGAAAGCAACAGTGGTCAAAATGGACAACCTGATCATGATAATGTTCCTCTGAATGATACTGTCGACAACAACGGCAAACCTGAGGAGAGTAGTTCTTCAAGAAATGGGGAATTATCAGACGTGAAATCTCCAAAATCTTTTTCACTAGATGGTGAGCCTGTTCAAGATGCCACAGATTTACCAACAGCAGAGGTAACGTCCCTTTCTGATAGGAATGACTGTAAATTGGAAGAAGTTTTGCCAACAAGTTCTGGTTCTGTTTCAGTGAGTGATAGTGCAAAACTGAAAGAACCAAGTTGTGAAACTGAAAACCCAGTAAAGAGTCCTGAAAACCAGGAAAATGCATCATGCGATGTTAATGAAACAGCGGATGATTTAAAGGAGCAAAGTGTAGTTAATATACGTGAATTGGATAGTGAAAAATCATCGTTGGAGAAAAGTGGTGATGGGGCACATGATAAAGAACAAGATTCCCAAAAAGAAGAAGTTGCCCATAGGCTGTCCAAAGCCGTAGAAGATCTAGCGGGCTTGGAGCAATTGTTATCTTCAGTTGTGTCAGAGTTTAAAGTTGCAAACAGTGAAAGAACAGTGGAAAAAATTGAGGAGGGTAAAGAAGGAAATTCTTTAGATCAAAAGGAGGAGAAAAGCATGAGTGATTATTCAGGGAATTTGAGTTTAGAGAAGAATGAAAAGGATGTGCATGGAATTGTGTCTCAAGGTTCTGAAGGAGAGGATGAGAGTAATAAAGGAACTGAAAAAGTTGTTTGTGATTGCAGCGAAGTAAAAGAGCAATCAGGCACTTTAGAATTCAAAGGTGATCAAATGAATAAAATTGCGGATTCAGCAGAATCAGATAAACAAGTACCTGATGATAAAGATACACAAGTGGAGGAAGATGCATCATTAGTAAGTGACTCAGCAGTGGAAATTAACAAAGAAGAATCAATTATGGACAAACTTATTGACAAGAAAACTGAACCCAGTGTGGAGTCTGAGTCTGTGGAAAAACCTGATGCCGAGATCAGTGCTGAAGAGTCAACTGAAAAAACACTTACTGAAGGAAATGGGATCACGGCTGATGCCAGCTTGGAGAAATCTGAGACTGTCAATAAATCTGATCCTAACATCTGCAAAGGAGAGTCAGCTGAAAATAAAGTTACTGAAGCCAGCTTGGAGAAGTCTGATGGCAAGGATAAAGAAGATTCGAATGTTACAAATGCAGATATGTCAGTACCTGGCATTGAGATTACCGTGACTGATGAAAGCGAAACTTCCGAAAATAAAAGTCTTGATTCTATGGACACTGAAGAAGATGGTCCTTCAAATGGTAATCCTTCGATGCCATCCACAGCATCTGATGAGGGGATTGACTCTGATACAGCTTCTGATTACGGCGATGATGATGATGGGGTGTCTGATCCTGAGAACCTGGGCACTGCTGCTAATGTCTGTAAGAGAAAATCTTGGTGTTTAGAAATCAATAGAGATCGCTTGTCGTCTGATTCATCTACCGTTTCAGAGAAGGATTTTAAAGAAACATATAGCAAAGGAGATAGTGCCGACGGGAAGTCCGTGAGAGAAGGTGAGGTTTTGACTTCTAGGAACCAGCCACTTTCATTTACTGTAGTGTAAACTTGTGGTGTAAACTTTTGACAGGGTTTGCACATGTCCTTAAAAAATAATCATACCCTCTGCGAAAACTGCTGACATCTTGCGACATCACCACTGGTTTCCCACACTGATGACATGCCACTACCTGCACATCTGGGAAGTGCTTCTGACTGGTTATGTGCCCAGGGAAATTTGCTTCAGCCAATCAGAATCAGTACCCAGATCTGGGTAGTGACGCATCTTCAGCATGGAATTTCTGAGTTCATTCCTGAGCCCATTTTATCCAACCCTGGACTCAAGTGACTAACGCGGTGCAATAAATTTTGCTCAAAGAATTTTTAAGCACACTGCTTTAGCAACACTGAACAATAAAGAGGGTTGTTACTGCCTTGATTTTGCACAGTGTTCAGTCCTTTAAAAAATAGAAATTGTGTCAATCGTTGCATGGGTGTAAACCTGTTTTGAATGAGACATCAAAGGCAGTAATTTTTCATGAAAGGATACATGCATTAATGATAACCAAATCTATATCAATCAAGGGGTCACCCTTAAGGAAATGTCAGTTAATTTTCTAGTAACATTTTGTGACATTATTTTTTTTTCACTTATCATAGATTACATCAGAGGGCATCTTCTTAAGATGGGTGGAACAGGACTCACACCCAAAAACTGGAGAAAAAGATGGTAAGATGATGTACATATAGGTACACTAAATGTATACGAGTCACTAATATGTATGTAATGTTTATGAGGGTAATTTTGAAGGAGCATTTTTCAGTGTGAACTACTTCAACGGGGCACTTGGCAGACAATTATCCAATCACAATGTTTTCTGAAAACAAAAGATTCTCAACTTTTTTTTTGCAAACAGACCAGTGAAATTCAAGGATCAACTATGCAACTGTTGAAAACTTTAAAACTGTTTGAACCCACCTGACCTCTCAGGAAACACCCCTCAGATTCATGAATGTTATTGATCCATTTGCAAAAAACTTGAGAATCTTTTGGTTTCAAAAAACCATTGTGATTGGATAATCTTCTTCTAAGTTCCCCGGTAGTTGCACTGTAAGTAAACAGCCAGTTTGAGAAATAAAGAAGATAAGCCTGCATGCTCAGTTTTTTCATAACTATATCACTTATTATATAAAAATTCCCACTCGTTTACACGTACTTGTACATGCAACAATTCCATAATTATTTTCCAGGTTTGTTTTACGAGGTGATAACTGCCTTTACTACTACAAAAGTTCAAAAGACAAGGTACCTTGTGGAGTCATCATTCTGACAAACTACTCTGTGTCAAAGGCTCCAGAAATAAACAAAAACCATTCCTTCAAGTTGACCAAAGGAGGAGCGAGAACGTACTACATGTGTGCGGGAAGTGAATCGGACATGAAGAAGTGGATGATGGCCATGATGGATGCAGCCAAGGTGTCTTCTACAGATGTATGTACAAAATTAAGTATTTTGGGATCAATTGAGGTGACCACCTACCCCTCCCCTAAGTCACAATTTTGCCCTAATTGAGTGGTGAGTGTTAATGTTGACTTAGGGGAGGGGTGGGTGGTCACTTACCCAGAAACCTCATTTTGCTATTAAATAATATTACTACAACCTGGCCTGTTTTCCATAGAAAAAAGCTAACATTTTTCCACTAGTTTCCCTACAAAATGACATCTTAGCTCCTGAATAAGCACAGGAATTCCACACAAATAACATGTCATCACCCCAGATCTGGGTAGTGCTTCTGATTGGCCATGCCGTAAAGGAAATCTGGTGTAGCCAATCAGAAACACTGCCCAGATCAAGGTAGTGACATGTTATCAGTACAGTATGGAATTTCTGTGCTTGTTGCTCAGATCTCATTTGTGGGAAAACCTGAAATGGCGTCCTGGCATGTGGCTGTTTTCTTAGGGTTCTCATTTAAGTTTGTCATGAGTTATAAGCACAAAGAACTATAAACATGACTCAAATCATCGCGAGTGAACCTAAGGGTTACTGTGAAGTGGTTCTTGCAGTTGCAATACAGCATGGCAACTCAGATGCAGATCTCTACTGATCCAATGACTGTGTGGTTGGAAAGGAAATGGAAAGGATTAATACACACAGTTTTTAAAACTTCTAGGTGGTTGTACACTATAGGTATCATATTTTAGCAGGGTTCTTCAGTCTTAACATTTTTCAGTCCACATTTATGAGCATGTAATTTTTGAGTTCCTTTTGTCGTTTTTCCTCTAGTCCAATCCATTCAACATTTTTGAAGGAAATGTCCACAATGTCAGCATTCCAGCACTGTCAATCAGAGATCCTGATTGCCATGGCTACCTGTACAAACAAGGAAGTAATTACAAGATTTGGCGTCGGCGCTACTTTGTCCTAAAGAATGGCTTCCTTTACTACTACACTGATATGTCCAACACAGTGGCCCTGGGCGTGGTCAAACTCCTTGACTATACTATTGCCACAGGAGATCACAGTGGAAGGAAGTTCTATTTCAGTGCCTCTTCTCCTGACAAATCAGTAAGGACTTATTACTTTGCTGCTGAAAGTGAAATGGACAGAAAAAGGTGAGGAAGTGTTGACTAGGACAACAATATCTCCCCCCCCCCCTTTTCCCCCATCTTCTATGCCCTTAGGGATTTCAAGGGTGCAGGCATTTGATCATATTCATATATTCATTATTCTGGCCGTAAAAAACGGGCATTTCAACAAAAACAGTTTTTTGCCTGTGAGGTGGGAATATGTAGGGTAGAGTGGGGTAGCTTGTGGTGGGGTGGAGAAGGGGCATGTGATGTGGGAAGGGGAGCAGCTTCAACCTAACAAAAATAATGATAACATCTTTCACTTTCTAATTTCATGCAATCAAAGCACTATAGTTGGAAAATCTCACAAGCAACCACCTCTAACCAAAACTCCATATCTTTGCATGTTGGTTCGCCAATGTTAGGTTTATTTGGGTGACTGTTTATATTAAAATATCAGTGTGACAAAACAGTGTGTTGGAAGCATTTGTTACTTAACTTTAATTAAATCTCACCTCTCTCTTTTGCTACCTTTGTGTGTAGGTGGCTATCAAAGTTGGAGGACTCTATCAAGAAAGGTTCATCAGCACATTGATTGTAGTATTTTAAATTTTGCTCATATGGGGCAGTTCATTTGAATGAATCACTCAAGAGGGTCTCACCCATAGAAATCAGAGAACCACAGAGTGCTGAGAGCTTTGTAGGACGTTTTTGATGAGTATTTTTAGGTAAAAAAACAATGTTTCATTTGAGCCGGTTTTGTTTAGGCAATTTTTCATAACTGAGCAATTACATAAGCCTTGTTTGCTTTAAAGGATAATTTCATATAAGTTCTAGCAGTCACTAAGTCTTAAAATACTACCAAAAATAACCAAAGGTTACCGAGTGTGGGCAACAACAATCAAAGGTAAAAATGGTTTTGCTCTAGTGCCATGCTTTGCATAAGTTTTAACTGACAGATAATCAAAACATGCGTGATCAGATTACAAGTGATAGAAGGTTCAAACACGCGTGATCAAATTGCATTCTGCGCATTCCACACATTCTTAGTGGAAGTCCAAACGAATGCTGGCTACATACGTGACGCATGCGTAATAATAACGTGGAGGATTGTGGGCTCCTCTTGTCACATGCAAATATCACCTTGCATATTTTTGTCGCTAATGGGGAGAATGTGTTTATTAATCAAGATTTTGTGATCATTTTCTATTTTCTTATGACCTCTGAATTTATTATTACAAGGAGATATTTTAGAAGAAATAATATTAGTGGTGGGATATCCACTTACAAATTCTGGTCATCTCCCTAAATGGTTAAGAGATCAAAAATGATCAGTTTTTTAAGTAAAATATGGATATTTTTAGGGAAAAATGTTAACTGTTGGGACTCAAGGTTAAATGGTTGGAGAAACAAAGTGGTTTGGAAGCTTTACTTCTGTTATATGACTAAGTCATGTTACATGTAAATAGCAGCTTTCTATTTTTCTTATTTGCACCCTTCTTACGTTTAAGGGTATTTTTGATAGTTCATTTTTTCTCATGTAAGTAGATGACTCATAGTTCAGTTCTATGGTGGAACATTAAAAAACTTGTTCATGTTGTTATCTTGAAAATATGTTCATGGAATGAAGTGATCACGACTATCAGAGAATATGGCTAAATTTGTAGAAACCCTCTTGATATTTATCTGGGTGTTTCTGTTGTTGTATTTTAATAAAAATTACGTAGATAAGGGTTTTAACAAAAAGCATGTTGGCCACAATAAAAATATTTCTCCAGAAAGAGATACAGAATTTTTCATATTATTACCATTACGACAACTCTCTCTTGACAGAGACCTTCATAAAGGCTGGTTTTCACTATTGACGGAATCAGAGTCTTGTAAGCTGAGTCATAAGAGCACTTATGTGAAAATCAAAAATTGGAGTCGTAAGCAGAGTCAAGGGCTACAGAGTTGGAGTCAGAAGAATCAAAACATTTCCATTTCCTTTTGACTCCACTTACAACTCCGTCATTTACGAACAAGTAAAAACCAGATTGTTGGAGTCCAAAGCAGGAGTGGAAGGATAAATTCAACCAATCACATGCACATTCCCATGCTTTTTGATTGCTTTACTTCTTCGGCTACTGCTTGCGACTCTGACAGCCTTGTTTTCATTTGATTGTAAGCAACAGGGTCATAAGTGGAATCAGAACGCTGTTTTCACTAGATTTTTAAGTTCTAATGCTTCTGACTACAACTCCTTGCAACTCCATTGCTAGTGAAAATCAGCCTTAAGACAGACATCTCTGTGAGACAGACACTTAATGTTGGTCCCTGCCTTTTTTTACACCCTTTTTTGAGTCTCTATAAGATGGACAGTTAGCACTTGTCCCAAAGGTGTCTATCTTAGAGTTGACCATTTTATAAATTTCTTATGACTTGTAACATGAGGCAGCTGTGTTATACTAGAGATGCATTATCTGTATGGAGTGAAAGAGTGTGTGGCTTTATTTACACTTAAAGAAATTTTTCTGGATTCACAAATTTTGAACATTATTTCCATATGTAGTACCACATTCATCTTGCCAATAACATGCAGATGCATAACTTTGAAATAAAAATTTTGAAATCTACTGGACAGTTCTCTACCAGTGAGTTTCTGCGATGCTTATCCATTGAATTACATTTATCCAGTAGGTAACGCCCCGAAACTTTGAGTATACAGGGCTGGCTGAGAAACTGTCTTAGCTAAGACAAAAATTTAAACATTCTGATAACAAATAATTGCTTTTGCTATTTCTGTTTTGTTGTTACATGTAATGTTTATATTTTTGTGCTGGCTGAGAAAGAGGGGAATGGGAGGGGCTATGTAACCATCCCTGAGGAACTCCAGTAATTACCTTTGCTATGTGTTGTCCAACACTGCGGCATGAGTTGTTACAAGCCAACTTCCCCAAATTCTTTCTCAGGATTAAAGTGCGAGCAGTCTCTCCGTTGCTCAAAACTCTGTGAGCAAATTCACTGCGCATGGTTTCACCACTTGCATACTCACATAATGCACTTCGCAAAAATTTTTGAGCAAAAGAGACTGCTCACAGTTTCTCTCAGAACAATAGGCCAACAACGTTTTCAATATAGCTTCCCGTGTACAATGTATTTAAGTGAAAATATCTACCTGAACCTTTAACTTTTCATCATTAAATATTACTCTCTTCTTCACTTTTCTTTATTTTTTGATGATACATACTTAATCTGACTTTTAAATGTATACTGATATCTCATTTTTTCAAGAGCTGCCTTTGACAATAATAAATTAAATTTCAATGATCCAATCATTGCATTTCCAAAGTGCAAGTCCAGCTTACTTGAAGTATCACAAATTCTGCAAGCAAAGTTGCGTATAATCCTTGTAATTAATAAGTTGATTCTGCAGTTGAAATTGTTGCAATGCAAAGTGCAAGTCCGGCTTACATAAATTGTCACAAATTCTGAATTTGTGGAACTCAGCTGTTTGGAACAGCGGAAATTTCACATGAATCAATAAAGCACAGTCATTCAATAATTTAATACGCTCTTAGAACGCTGGTACTCAATAGTAAGGTGCAATTGCATAGCTTCCAAAAAGCACGCAGTTCAACTGCCTCCAAATCAAAGAATCAAAGGTTTTTCAAATGATGAATGATGAATGTCGCAGTTCTTTCAGCGGAAGCTACTTAAAGCTAGCTTTCTCTTTATACGCTGTGGATCGACATTCCTGGTGAGTTTCTGGCTCGCTTTCAAATGATCCGCCCGTACTTTCAGAAGGTCTAACTTCACACCGCTTCCATTACGCTTGTCTTCCGAACAGTCCGGCGTCCTCAAAGAATCTTTCTTTCCATTGTTTACCTCTTTCATGTACTCAGAGACATCACTTGACAACTCTTCTTCCTCTTTTCTTTCATTTTCTTCTATGGGGAATATTAACCGCTTTCTAATCTTCGATCCACGTCTTGCGCCAGATGGAACATCACGAATCATCCTTCGATGCAAGCGCTTCTTTTTCGGGGCCCACAAAATATGCTGAGCGAAGGCTGCATTGTCTTCCGTCGGCGGAGTCACCTGAACATCCGCTAGACATTCTTCCATTTTCTTTCTTCCCAATTTAACGAGGAGAATTAGGCGAGTTCTGGGCGTTTAAATGAAGTGTAAAACTTTTACAACTTGTAGCTTGTTTGTTTGTTTGTCTTTGTGAATGACGCCGGAAAACAGCAAAAACAAATTTGCCGCGTGCTTGGACTTGCCGCGTTCATAGCAAAGCTCTGATTGGTTAGTTGCTGTTACGTTGCTATGGTTTTGACCAATCAAAATCTAAAAGTCACACCGTAACCACTGTTTTGTTTACTGCGGGCTCTCGAAGAATAAAAAATATGGCGGACGAACATGTGTAGATTTTCAAGATTTTCACAGTTTTGATTGCTGGTTTGTTCTGATATTTCCTTTAAGAAATTACGTGATTTGTAACTGCGATTGCCCCTTATGGCGAAGAAACGGTCATCTGCCTCATCTAAAGGCAAACCCAGTGGAAGTTTTAAGCAGAAAAAGGGCATCAAAGGAGGTAAATCGAATGCGCAGAATTTCAACAGAAAGAAAGCAAAGAGCAAGAAGAGTGAAGAATTTGATGAGGTTAGTGTATTGATTACTGATTGGAATATAAGCCGTGTAGGAAAATATAACATGTTGCAAGATCGAAGACACAGAAGGCTCTCTTCTGTCATTTTCAGAATAAACATGTCCGTTAGAGTTTTCAAGAAAGCTTTATGGAATTTTAAACTCGTTAATCACGATCAAAGGAAGGCCTAGAGTGTATTTAGTTTTTCGTTATCGTAGAGGACTTACTTTTCCCTTAACATGAAAGCAGGGATATCAAAGTAACGATCAATAAATTATTTGCTATGATTTATCCGTATTAGGTAGCTTTTTGATTCGGGGTGCTGGTAGTAAACCTAAATCCTTATGCAAAACCACTTGCCTGATTCCCTGAGATGGTCCGGGGTACCCATCCCTACCCAAATGAATTCCATGAGATGGGAAGCAAGGAGTTGGGGGGCAAGTATGTGGCCTTGAGCATTCTGGGCCATCTGAAAACAGGCTAAGTAACCTATATCCCAGTTTGCTTTATGGAAGTCCAAATGTCAATCCTCTCACCACACACATTAAGAGCCAAATGGTAAGCCCTTTTGCCAGTTCAAATGATCTTTTTTAACATGCCTGGTACCATTTGGAATAATATACACTGTTCTTTAGTGAAGAACATTGGTGAAGTTGTTTATCATAATCCCTCACAAGCCCTTGTGAATGGGAGGAAAATCATGTTACTGTTTCTACTTGTTACAGTGTAAAATGGGAAAAATCTCTACATGTAAGATCTTTAGAGTTTTGCATTTTTATAATCATCTGAATTCTTCATTCACCTAAGTATTGTTTATAGACTGTACAATCAAGCCAACTACAGGAGTGCAAAGAATTTTGCCCTGATATTATTCAGTCACTTTCTTTTATTCCCCTTAAAGGAAGATACCTATGTTAAACAGATGGTTAAAGCTGGTGGCAATGGCGTGCATATTATAGAGGGCTTACTGTAATTTTATCATGGTGATTTTCTGATCAAAAGTTGCCTTTGTTCCTACAACATTAGGTAGAAACTGGTGGACTATATAACCATGAAGAAGATGAAAGTTTTAGGCAAGATGATGATGCTGCTGATGATGCAGGGCTTGATACAAGGGGACTTGTTTCTGAGCACAATAAGAAAAAGAAGAAGTCAGGAGGCTTTCAGTCTATGGGTAAAGTAAACTTGTGTTCTTTTATTAAAAGTTGTCACATCTTCATGTACATGTACTGCGGCCTTAACATTTTCAATACAGCTTAACTGGTCAAATTTGATTTCAGGTTAATATTCTTTGAATTTATTCTGCTTTTGCTCAATGAGAGTTCACTATTTTTGTCTGAGATGAGCTAGAAAATATAAGAGAATTATAGTATCATGTAACTGTTTGCTTTCCAGGTTTGAGTTTTCCAGTGTTCAAAGGAATTATGAAGAAAGGTTACAGACTTCCTACACCAATACAAAGAAAGGTTAACATAGATTTATTTCCATTTGCAAGTATTAATTAAAATGGTAAAAACATGATATATTGATATTGATATATTGATATTAACAATGGATCATTGTTTCTGTTTTGCATAAAAGCACTAGGCAAATTTCCCAGTATGCTAGTATACAGTGTAGAGCTGTGTAACAAGACACTTGCTTAAATATAATGCATGCAAATACTGATTTGTGTTCTTTTTACATAGACAATACCTGTCATTATGGATGGTAAAGATGTGGTTGCTATGGCCCGCACAGGTATAGTATAATATATTATTATTTTTATGATAATCTGTTGAGGAGTGCCAAAGTCAGTTCTCAGGATGTCATTCTGAAGCTTTCTCTGTGTGGACGTTCATCTGTTAACAACACGGTACGCAGAACACTACTTTCCTGCGAGCAACTACTTTCCTTGTTAGATTTAAAAATAGTAATAAATACACACCCTAATGTATGTATGTAAGCTTTGATTGATGATTTTTTCAGCTGCTAACAGTTGTTTTTTTTTTCTTGTTAATGTCCCTTAGGTTCTGGTAAAACTGCAGCTTTTTTGATACCAATGTTTGAAAGGCTCAAAGCACATTCAGCAAAGGTAGAGAGATCTGCACCATGAACAATCTTCTGTTGATGATCATATTATCACAAGATCCTGTTGTCATAGTAAAAAGCTTCCAATTTCATAAATCTGTTATAGATATGATTTTTGAGGCGAAGCTTTCTATTTACAATATGGATGCAGGTCCCAGAACCCCAGGAAATCTGAAAAACTCAAGGTCTTTTTTTATTTTTTTATGAAAAAGTAGATATGGTATTTTCAGTGTTGCTTCTACCGTAGGTTCAATCTGCAAGGTATTCCATGTATTGTTTAAACCTCTTGAATTTTATTCTCACGGTGCAATTGGCACTACAATCTGATTGTGGCATCATTTTAAAATTTCTGATGAGTGTCAGAATGTCATGAAGGTTTGTTTTGGTTTTGTGAAAAAGGCGTATGAACCCTGTATGTACCTTTACTTGAAACCCTTTTTCTATCAGGAATGTAGTTAAGGAAAAGCTACATCCCATTCCATTAAGCTTTTTGCTTAATCCCTGCTCTATAATGAATGTGACTGATAAAATAAAAATACACTGTATCACGCCCTATATGTAGGTTGGTGCTCGTGGTTTGATCCTGTCCCCTACTCGTGAGTTAGCAATTCAGACACTGAAATTTACCAAAGAGGTAATCACTGAGACACATTTTGTTATATATTTTTAAAAGTTCAATTTAGTTATTTCAGGGTGATTAAAATATTCATGAGCATTGAATGATTGGGCATGTTGATCTCACTAAATGTATGTCCTGTCTTGTGTGAATCAAGCCAAGCAATAATCTTTTGATAATAATTTAAGGCTATCACTAAGATTTCAAGTTGCTAGGTACATGCAATGGGGAATTGAACGTCTTAAAAGTTCATTTGGTTATTTTTTCTTTTGTTTTCCATGAAAATAACTGGACACCTTGTTATTACAGACAGTTTGCTTTGTCCCTGGGGCAAGAAAACTCTTACATTTCTCTAAATTCAAACCGCTTAATACGGACACACCTTTAATACAGACTCTTTCTACAGCCCTCTAAATGTCCCTATTAACGAGGTTTGACTGTGTTCAGTAATCAATCTACTGGCAACTCCTGCTACTGGTAATTTCCATAAGATAACTTCATCATAATTTTATTCCCAAATTAACAGCTTGGCAGGTTCACTGGATTGAAGGCAGCTGTAGTGTTGGGTGGAGACAGGTATGATTTCAGGTTTTAATACAAGCAGGTGGAACGACAGTTTTTTAAGCCCTTAATGAAAAGTATTTGGGTTCAATTAATTCTGTCCTTAGAGATGGTTGAACTGGTGTTTGAAAATAAAAACCATGGGGGATTCATTTTCAGCTACATTTTGTAGCTCAAAGGGTTTGGGGTAGGTAAATAAGAAAATTTTAGATACTTGTTCTGTGTTCTGCTCTGTGCTTACTCTAATGTACACATAAAATTCATCAGAAAAAAAAGAAACAAAAGAGAAACATTAGTGGATAGGCTTCTTATTGACTGCATGACCCATAGGCTTGCTCACAAGTTAAATGTGAGCGGAGAAGTGGAATGAACACATGAAGACTGAGGCCGAGATGTGAGGAAGAATTCAAAAAGCAAAACAACTATGGCCACCTCTCATTGTTTCCCAATAGTGGTGACTTTTTGCGGGAGAGACTCGCACAATGTCCTTAGCTGTGGGAAGCAATGGGAGGCAGTTGTATTCGTACAATGTAGGTTAAACTTTAGGTAATATGATTTGACTCTAAATTTCGTACCTTTCACAAATCACCCTTTCGTGATTGTTACTTTCAGGATGGAGGACCAGTTTGCAGCTTTACATGGAAATCCTGACATGTGAGTCCCTTAGAACAGAAACCATAATAATAGGCTATCAAGGCGGAAGACAGTCACTTGAGTTTCACATCACTGAGTGATCAACAGAGTCCTGTTTCATTGGAAGTACAAGAGATGAAATTTAAAGAGGATGGTCAGAGCAAACATCTTACATAGCCTGTGAACAGGCTCTCTGTTCTTTTTGGAAAAAAAAAAAAAGACCAAAGGCCTGTTCACAGGCTACATTTACATAGCTCTGATTGGCTGTGTAAAATGCATTATTTTTCATGAAATCATTATTTTAGAATTTAATCCAGGTTTCTTGTTAAAAAAGATAAAATTAATTTAATAGCAATATTCAGATTTAGAGGTTCGCTGACCAACACAAAGTAATTTGAATGTCAAATTATCATTGGATTCCCTATTGACCCTGTCCCTTTAAAAATCAGTATTCCGAGTATATTTACCATATTGATTGTTTTATTGGTAGTATTGTGGCCACTCCAGGGCGGTTTCTGCACGTTATGATGGAAATGGACTTGAAACTAACATCAGTGGAATATGTGGTGTTTGATGAAGCCGACAGGTATGAATTCAGTGAAAAGAATCATTGACGGCACAGTGTTGAGAAATTGCCATTAATAATTAAATGTTGTGTGGAAAAATATATAGAGGATATTACACGGTGGCGCGAAGATGTGAATTTTATTTTCGAGTGTCAAAACTATGTTTAATCTTTTTATTATATAGACAAAATGACATCGAGAAAATAATAGAGGGAAATTACCAAAATTACGTCATCGATAAACTCACGTGTGAGATTATGGAAAATAAACCACTCAGGTCCCGGATGTAGTTTTTATGAATTTTATGAGTGTTATATTTTCCAGTAAAACACTCATGTCTTTATAATAAAACATTGTATTTGCATAACCAGTAGCTGTTGTCGAGTACCAAAGGGTTTTTATATATTTCAATAATCAAATTGTTTTTTGTTACTCTTAGACTCTTCGAGATGGGATTTGCTCAGCAACTTCATGAGATCATTCATCGTCTTCCAGATTCTAGGTAAGGTACCGAATGATAGAGAAATGGCTTCTATGTGATTTCATTTATTGATGAGAATTCAGGCAAGATTAGGAATATCTCACATTTTGTTGTCTGTGCCTTTTCAAGATACAGTGTGTATTACGGAAAAGATGCTATTTTGTTCCCATGCAGGCTGTTGCATAAGGGGTTCAATTGTTAATATTCAATGATGGTTCATTTATTCCCAGGCAAACTCTTCTGTTTTCTGCAACCCTTCCAAAGTTGTTAGTGGAGTTTACCAAAGCAGGTATCTACGTTATGTACATGTAAACTTCTTTACTTTATTAGTGAACTTATATTTTTGCACGGATGCGAGATTAAACCCATTGGACCAACACCAGGTGTCAGTCCTAGAGAGATGCCCGTCTTATAGAGGTGTCCGTTAAGACAGAATTGACTGTAATTATTTTTGCTCAGCAGTAACATATGTACTGTTCTATTTGATCATTAGGTCTTACTGATCCTGTTCTTATACGATTGGATGTAGACTCAAAGCTATCCGAACAGCTTAAGGTATGAACATCGGTAATAAACTCTGAAAATCGTTACAAGTTTTCGAAATACCCTCGGGTCCACTTCGGAAATCTTCGAAACTTCGGACGTTAACTTTAAAGTCTTCCAAATACTTCTGCTCATAGAAGGCGTTGTGTTTGCTCTTCTCTATCGTGCTACTGTCGTCCATTAAGAATCAATATTAAATCTTATTTTCTCAATCTTACATTTTTTTTCTCTCTTTCAAAGTTGGCGTTCTTTTCACTGAGATCAGATGATAAACCTGGTAAGAAACTGTACTATTCATCCTAAATTTATAGTTCTCTTTAGAACAGGAAATTTGCTTCAATTTGTTTAAAGCGAACTGATTGTCTCGAAGCTACAAAATAAGCGAAACGATTTCAGTTAAGCTCAGTTTCCATTGTTATAACTGAAAACAAATTATACGTGATCGTAATAAGTTACTTCAACGAAATAAATCTTTGTTACCGGGTAACGCATGAACCCGATCTTCATTTTTTGAAGGTTTATATTTTAAGTCTATTAACCCTGCATGACTTTCTTTTAGCTGTTTTGCTGCATATTCTTCAAAACCTGATCAAACCGTCGGAACAGACGCTCATATTCACAGCTACAAAGCATCATGTAGAATACTTGAAGGAGGTATTGTATAAAGTTTGTTAGTTTTGGTTTTGTTGTAATAGTTCATGTCGCTGTCGTTTTCTGGGCAAAAATAATTTTATCCTGTTTTATTTTACCGTGTATCGTATTATAGCTTCGGATATGGCACAAGAACTTGGTTTAATCCTAAAGTACTGTTAAAAATTAATGAAAAAAAAATAGTGAAATTACCTTGTGTACATTTTAGTGGTAGCAATTCCACTTCTAGGCGGGCTGGCAACAAGATTTCAAAGTGCCGGGCACATGCATTCAGCATCTGCGGGGAGTTAAACAGCTAAGAAGTTTTTTTATGGTTCCATTGATCTAGATCGATGAATCGTTAGATCGCTAGATCGATGGATCGTTAGATCGTTAGATCGATGGATCGTTAGATCGCTAGATCGATGGATCGTTGGATCGTTAGATCGTTGGATCGTTAGATCGATGGATCGTTAGATCGTTAGATCGTTAGATGGCTAGATCGTTAGATCCCTAGATCGATGGATCGTTAGATCGTTAGATCGCTAGATCGATGGATCGTTAGATCGATGGATCGTTAGATCATTAGATCGCAAGATCGTTAGATCGCTAGATCGATGGATCGTTATAGATCGTCAGATCGCTAGATCGATAGATCGTTAGATCGTTAGATCGCTAGATCGTTAGATCGCTAGATCGATGGATCGCTAGATCGTTAGATCGCTAGATCGATGGATCGGATCATTAGATCGCTAGATCGTTAGATCGCTAGATCGTTAGATCGCTAGATCGTTAGATCGCTAGATCGATAGATCGCTAGATCGTTAGATCGCTAGATCGATGGATCGATAGATTGATGGATCGTTAGATCATTAGATCGCAAGATCGTTAGATCGATGGATCGTTATAGATCGTTAGATCGCTAGATCGTTAGATCATTAGATCGCTAGATCGTTAGATCGCTAGGTCGATGGATCGTTAGATCGTTAGATCGCTAGATCGATAGATCGTTAGATCGTTATATCGCTAGATCGTTAGGTCGCTAGATCGATGGATCGTTAGATCGTTAGATCGCTAGATCGATCGATCGTTAGATCGTTAGACAGGGGCACCCAACCGCAATTTTCGGGAAAATATCTGTTCGGAAGACGATTTGAGATCTAGAATTTTCGGAGCATTTGTTGTAAAATTTCTTGCTTGCCTACCTCTCCTAGGATTTTCGAACATCTACAAAATGGTATAATTACCCATTTTTAAGGGATTTTGACCCTAAAAAAGGCCACCTAGAATTTTCGGGAGCCTTTTCCTGGCTGAAGTTTTCGGGAAGGTAAGTTTTTATCCCTATAATTTTCGGATCACTAGACTTTCAGCTAGGAAATCCGAACAGATGAAAAGTTTTTAGGGGATAAAAATACGCCTATATCTACTGTTTCAATACTAAACTACGTTCAACAATGCTATGTTAAGTGGTTTTGAACTATATCCTCGTTGGGTGCCCCTGGTTAGATCGTTAGATCGCTAGATCGCTAGATCGCTAGATCGCTAGAGCCCTAGTACCATAGATCGTTAGATCGCTAGATCGATGAACCTTTAGATCGTTAGATCGCTAGATCATTAGATCCCTAGGTCGATGAATCGTTTGATCGTTAGATTGCTAGATCGATCGATCGTTAGATCGATGGATCGTAAGATCGCTAGATCGATGGATCGTTAGATCGTTTGATCGCTAGATCGTTAGATCGCTAGATCAATGGATCGTTAGATCGTTAGATCGCTAGATCGTTAGATCGATGGGTCGTTAGATCGCTAGATCGCTTGATCGATGGATCGTTAGATCGCTAGGTCCATGGATCGTTAGATCGCTAGATCGATGGATTGATAGACCGTTAGATTGCTTGATCGATACATCCCTAGATCGATAGATCGTTAGATCGATGGATCGTTAGATCGTTAGATCGCTAGATCGTTAGATCGCTAGATCGATGGATCGTTAAATCGCTAGATCGATGGATCGTTAGATCGTTAGATCGTTAGATCGTTAGATCGCTAGATCGTTAGATCCCTAGGTCGATGGATCGTTCGATCGTTAGATTGCTAGATCGATCGATCGTTAGATCGATGGATCGTTAGATCGCTAGATCGATGGATCGTTAGATCGTTTGATCGCTAGATCGTTAGATCGCTAGATCGATGGATCGTTAGATCGTTAGATCGCTTGATCGATGGATCGTTAGATCGCTAGGTCGATGGATCGTTAGATCGTTAGATCGTTAGATTGCTAGATCGATGGATTGATAGACCGTTAGATTGCTTGATCGATACATCCCTAGATCGATAGATCGTTAGATCGATGGATCGTTAGATCGTTAGATCGCTAGATCGTTAAATCACTAGATCGATGGATCGTTAAATCGCTAGATCGATGGATCGTTAGATCGTTAGATCGTTAGATCGCTAGATCGTTAGATCCCTAGATCGATGGATCGTTCGATCGCTAGATCGATGGATCGTTCGATCGCAAGATCGATAGATCGCTAGATCGTTAGATTGCTAGATCGATCGATCGTTAGATCGTTACATCGATGGATCGTTAGATCGCTAGATCGATGGATCGTTAGATCGTTTGATCGCTAGATCGTTAGATCGCTAGATCGATGGATCGTTAGATCGATGGGTCGTTAGATCGCTAGATCGCTTGATCGATGGATCGTTAGATCGCTAGGACGATAGATCATTAGATCGTTAGATCGTTAGATCGCTAGATCGATGGATTGATACACCGTTAGATTGCTTGATCGATACATCCCTAGATCGATAGATCGTTAGATCGATGGATCGTTAGATCACTAGATCGATGGATCGTTAGATCGCTAGATCGATGGATCGATGGATCGTTAGATCGTTAGATCGCTAGATCGTTAGATCGTTAGATCCCTAGATCGATGGATCGTTAGATCGCTAGATCGATGGATCGTTAGATCGCAAGATCGATGGATCGCTAGATCGTTAGATGGCTACATCGATGGATCGTTAGATCATTAGATCGCAAGATCGTTAGATCGTTAGATCGCTAGATCGCTAGATCGCTAGATCGATGGATCGTTAGATCGCTCGATCTTTAGATCGTTAGATCGCTAGATCGCTAGATCGCTAGATCGCTAGATCGCTAGATCAATGGATCGTTAGCTCGCTAGATCGATGGATCGTTAGATTGATGGATCGTTAGATCATTAGATCGCAAGCTCGTTAGATCGATGGATCGGTATAGATCGTTAGATTGCTAGATCGTTAGATCATTAGATCGCCAGATCGTTAGATCGCTAGGTCGATGGATCGTTAGATCGTTAGATCGCTAGATCGATGAATCGTTAGATCGTTAGATCGCTAGATCGATGGATCGTTAGATCGCAAGATCGTTACATCGCTAGATCGCTAGATCGTTAGATCGTTAGATCGTTAGATTGCTAGATCCCTAGTACGATGGATCGTTAGATCGCTAGATCGATGAATCTTTAGATCGTTAGATCGCTAGATCGTTAGATCCCTAGGTCGATGGATCGTTCGATCGTTAGATTGCTAGATCGATCGATCGTTAGATCGCTAGATCGATGGATCGTTAGATCGCTAGATCGATGGATCGTTAGATCGTTTGATCGTTACATCGTTAGATTGCTAGATCGATGGATCGTTAGATCGTTAGATCGCTAGATCGATGGATCGTTAGATCGCTAGGTCGATGGATCGTTAGATCGTTAGATCGCTAGATCGTTAGATCGTTAGATCGCTAGATCGATGGATCGTTAGATCGTTAGATCGTTAGATCGTTAGATCGTTAGATCGCTAGATCGATGGATCGTTAGATCGTTAGATCGATGGATCGCTAGATCGCTTGATCTTTAGATCGTTAGATCGCTTGATCGATGGATCGTTAGATCATTAGATCGCTAGGTCGATGGATCGTTAGATCGCTAGATCGTTAGATCGATGGATCGTTAGATCGTTAGATTGTTAGATCGTTAGATCGATGGATCGTTAGATCGTTAGATCGCTAGATTGTTATATCGTTAGATCCCTAGATGGTTAGATCGCTAGATGGTTAGATCGCTAGATCGTTGGATCGCTAGATCGATGGATTGATAGACCGTTAGATCGCTTAATCGATCCATCCCTAGATCGAAAGATCGTTAGATCGATGGATCGTTAGATCGTTAGATCGCTAGATCGTTAGATCGCTAGATCGATGGATCGCTAGATCGATGGATCGTTAGATCGCAAGATCGTTAGATCGCTAGATCGATGGATCGTTAGATCGCAAGATCGTTAGATCGCTAGATCGATTGATCGTTAGATCGCTAGATCGCTAAATCCCTAGTACGATGGATCGTTAGATCGCTAGATCGATGACTCTTTAGATCGTTAGATCGGTAGATCGTTAGATCGTTAGATCGCTAGATCGATGGATCGTTAGATCGTTAAATCGCTAGATCGTTAGATCGTTAGATCGCTAGATCGTTAGATCAATGGATCGTTAGATCGTTTGATCGCTAGATCGTTACATCGCTAGATCGATGAATCGTTAGATCGTTACATCGTTAGATCGTTAGATCGCTAGATCGATGGATCGTTAGATCGGAAGATCGTTAGATCGCTAGATCGATGGATCGCTAGATCGCTAGATCCCTAGTACGATGGATCGTTAGATCGCTAGATTGATGACTCTTTAGATCGTTAGATCGCTAGATCGTTAGATGGCTAGATCGATGGATCGTTAGATCATTAGATCGCAAGATCCTTAGATCCCTAGATCGTTAGATCGTTAGATCGCTAGATCGTTAGATCGCTAGATCGATAGATGGCTAGATCGTTAGATCGCTAGATCGCTAGATCGATGGATCGTTAGATTGATGGATCGTTAGATCATTAGATCGCAAGATCGTTAGATCCCTAGATCGATGGATCGTTATAGATCGTTAGATCGCTAGATTGTTAGATCATTAGATCGCTAGATCGTTAGATCGCTAGGTCGATGGATCGTTAGATCGTTAGATCCCTAGATCGATGGATCGTTATAGATCGTTAGATCGCTAGATTGTTAGATCATTAGATCGCTAGATCGTTAGATCGCTAGGTCGATGGATCGTTAGATCGGTAGATCGCTAGATCGATGGATCGTTAGATCGCTAGATCGTTAGATTGTTAGATCGCTAGATCGTTAGGTCGCTAGATCGATTTATCGCTAGATCGTTAGATCGCTAGATCAATGGATCGTTAGATCGCTAGATCGATGGATCGTTAGATTGATGGATCGTTAGATCATTAGATCGCAAGATCGTTAGATCGATGGATCGTTATAGATCGTTAGATCGCTAGATCGTTAGGTCATTAGGTCGCTAGATCGTTAGATCGCTACGTCGATGGACCATTAGATCGTTAGATCGCTAGATGGTTAGATCGCTAGATCGATGGATCGTTAGATCGTTAGATCGCTACATCGTTATATCGCTAGATTGATGGATCGTTAGATCGTTAGATCGTTATATCGCTAGATCGATGGATCGTTAGATCGTTAGATCGCTAGATCCATGGTTCGTTAGATTGCTAGATCGTTATATCGTTAGATCCCTAGATCGTTAGATCGCTAGATGGTTAGATCGCTAGATCGTTAGATGGTTGGATCGCTATATCGATGGATCGTTAGATCGCTAGATCGTTCGATCGTTAGATCGCTAGATCGTTAGATCAATGGATCGTTAGATCGTTTGATCGCTAGATCGTTAGATCGCTAGATCGATGAATCGTTAGATCGTTAGATCGCTAGATCGATGGATCGTTAGATCGGAAGATCGTTAGATCGCTAGATCGATGGATCGCTAGATCGCTAGATCCCTAGTACGATGGATCGTTAGATCGGTAGATTGATGACTCTTTAGATCGTTAGATCGCTAGATCGTTAGATGGCTAGATCGATGGATCGTTAGATCATTAGATCGCAAGATCCTTAGATCCCTAGATCGTTAGATCGTTAGATCGCTAGATCGTTAGATCGCTAGATCGATAGATGGCTAGATCGTTAGATCGCTAGATCGCTAGATCGATGGATCGTTAGATTGATGGATCGTTAGATCATTAGATCGCAAGATCGTTAGATCCCTAGATCGATGGATCGTTATAGATCGTTAGATCGTTAGATCGCTAGGTCGATGGATCGTTAGATCGCTAGATCGATGGATCGTTAGATCGCTAGATCGTTAGATCGCTAGATCGATGGATCGTTAGATCGTTAGATCGCTAGATCGTTAGATCGCTAGATCGATCGATCGTTAGATCGTTAGATCGTTAGATCGCTAGATCCCTAGTACGATGGATCGTTAGATCGCTAGATCGATGAATTTTTAGATCGCTAGATCGTTAGATCCCTTGGTCGATGGATCGTTCGATCGTTAGATTGCTAGATCGATGGATGGTTAGATCGCTAGATCGATGGATCGTTAGATCGCTAGATCGATGGATCGTTAGATCGTTAGATCGTTAGATCGTTTGATCGCTAGATCGTTAGATCGGTAGATCGATTAATCGTTTGATAGTTAGATCGCTACATGGTTAGATCGATGGGTCGTTAGATCGCTAGATCGCTAGATCGCTAGATCGCTAGATCGCTAGATCGCTTGATCGATGGAGCGTTAGATCGCTATGTCGTTGGATCGTTAGATCGTTAGATCGCTAGATCGATGGATCCTTAGACCGTTAGATCGATGGATCGTTTGATCGGTAGATCGCTTGATCGATGGATCGTTAGATTGTTAGATTGCTTGATCGATGGATCGTTAGATCGTTAGATTGCTAGATCGTTAGACCGATGGATCGTTAGATCGTTAGATTGTTAGATCGTTATATCGCTAGATCGATGGATCGTTAGATCGCTAGATCCATGGATCGTTAGATCGCTAGATCGTTATATCGTTAGATCCCTAGATCGTTAGATTGCTAGATGGTTAGATCGCTAGATCGATGGATTGAGAGACCGTTAGATCGCTTGATCGTTACATCCCTAGATCGATGGATCGTTAGATCGATGGATCGTTAGATGGCTAGATCGATGGATCGTTAGATCGCTAGATAATTAGATCGTTAGATCGATGGATCGTTAGATCATTAGATCGCTAGATCGATGCTTGGTTAGATCGTTAGATCGCTGGATCGATGGATCGTTAGATCGTTAAATTGCTAGATCGATGGATCGTTAGTTCGTTAGATCGCTAGATCGTTAGATCGATGGATTGTTAGATCACTAGATCGCTTGATCGATGGATTGTTAGATCGCTAGATCGTTAGATCGATCGATCGCTAGATCGATGGATCGTTAGATCGTTAGATCGCTAGATCGATGGATCGTTAGATCGTTAGATCGCTAGATCGATGGATCGCAAGATCGTTAGATCGCTAGATCGCTAGATCGTTAGATCGCTAGATCGATGGATCGTTAGATCGCTAGATCGTTAGATTGTTAGATCGCTAGATCGTTAGATCGCTAGATCGATTGATCGCTAGATCGTTAGATCGCTAGATCAATGGATCGTTAGATCGCTAGATCGATGGATCGTTAGATTGATGGATCGTTAGATCATTAGATCGCAAGATCGTTAGATCGATGGATCGTTATAGATCGTTAGATCGCTAGATCGTTAGGTCATTAGGTCGCTAGATCGTTAGATCGCTACGTCGATGGATCATTAGATCGTTAGATCGCTAGATGGTTAGATCGCTAGATCGATGGAGCGTTAGATCGTTAGATCGCTACATCGTTATATCGCTAGATCGATGGATCGTTAGATCGTTAGATCGTTATATCGCTTGATCGATGGATCGTTAGATCGTTAGATCGCTAGATCCATGGATCGTTAGATTGCTAGATCGTTATATCGTTAGATCCCTAGATCGTTAGATCGCTAGATGGTTAGATCGCTAGATCGCTAGATCGTTAGATCGTTAGATCGCTATATAGATGGATTGTTAGATCGTTGATCGTTAGATGGATGGATCGTTAGATCGCGAGATGGCTTGATCGATGGATCGTTAGATCACTATGTCGATGGATAGTTAGATTGTTAGATCGTTAGATCGTTTGATCGTTTGATCGCTAGATGGATGGATCGTTAGATGGTGAGATCGCTAGATCGATGGATCGTTAGATTGTTAGATCTTTAGATCGCTAGATCGATGGATCGTTAGATCGCTAGATCGCTTGATCGATGGATTGTTAGATCGTTAGATCGCTTGCTCGATGGATCGTTAGATCATTAGATCGCTAGGTCGATGGATCGTTAGATCGTTAGATCGCTAGATCGTTAGATCGATGGATCGTTAGATCGTTAGATCGCTAGATCCATGGATCGTTAGATCGCTAGATCGTTATATCGTTAGATCCCTAGATCGTTAGATCGCTAGATGGTTAGATCGCTAGATCGTTAGATCGTTAGATCGCTATATCGATGGATCGCTAGATCGTTATATCGCTAGATCGATGGATCGTTAGATCGTTAGATCGCTAGATCCATGGATCGTTAGATCGCTAGATCGTTATTTCGCTAAATCGATGGATCGTTAGATCGTTAGATCGTTAGATCCATGGATCGCTAGATCGTTATATCGTTAGGTCCCTAGATGGTTAGATCGCTAGATCGATGGATTGATAGACCGTTAGATCGCTTGATCGTTACATCCCTAGATCGATGGATCGTTAGATCGATGGATCGTTAGATCGCTAGATCGATGGATCGTTAGATCGGTAGTTAATTAGATCGTTTGATCGCTAGATCGATGGATCGTTAGATCGCTATATTGATTGATGGTTAGATCGTTAGATCGCTAGGTCGATGGATCGTTAGATTGTTAGATCGATGGATTGATGGATCGTTAGATCGCTTGATCGATGGATGGTTGGATCGTTAGATCGTTAGATCGTTAGATCGTTAGATCGCTAGATCGTTATATCGCTAGATCGATGGATCGTTAGTTCGTTAGATCGCTAGATCCATGGATCGTTAGATCGCTAGATCGTTATGTCGGTAGATTGATGGATCGTTAGATCGTGAGATCGCTAGATCCATGGATCACTAGATCGTTATATCGTTAGATCCCTAGATGGTTAGATCGCTAGATGGTTAGATCGCTAGATTGATGGATTGATAGACCGTTAGATCGCTTCATCGGTACATCCCTAGATCGATGGATCGTTAGATCGATGGATCGTTAGATCGCTAGATCGATGGATCGTTAGATCGCTAAATAATTAGATCGTTAGATCGCTAGATCGATGGATCGTTAGATCGCTAGATTGATTGATGGTTAGATCGTTAGATCGCTAGGTCGATGGATCATTAGATCGTTAGATCGCTAGATCGATGGATCGTTAGATCGCTAGATCGATGGATGGTTAGATCGTTAGATCGCTAGATGGTTAGATCGCTAGATCGCTAGATCGATGGATCTTTAGATTGTTAGATCGTTAGATCGCTAAATCGTTAGATCGCTAGATCGATGGATCGTTAGATCGTTAGATCGCTAGATCGATGGATCTTTCGGAGAAAATCCCCACTCCCTTGCCTCTAGTGACCACCTACTTTCCCTTCTTAACTTTTAAACCCTCTGATTCATTAGGGACGGCACTGAAAAGCTTTGTAACGTGAAGTGTTGTTGTTTTAGTATAGGTATGTGATGCATGCACTTGTCTTTCCCCGCTACGACCGTAGCTTTGCAGCTATTTGCGGGGCAAGCTGTTTAACTGCTAGTACATGCAGGAATGAAATTGTTGTTGTTGTAAAGCAATTTAGCTATGATTTGTTGATCCATTTAACACTACGTAAAACATATTATATATGCAAATTAAGAAAATATTCCACACTGCCATCTTTAGTCTTTTTATGTATTGACTGTTATTTTACTGGTAATACTAACAGCATTGTGTGTTTTGCCTGAAAATCTTTATTTCAGCTGCTCGACGCTGCTGGAATAGAAAGCTCGTATGTTTACAGCACACTCGATCAAGCAGGTCAGTATCTTTTCTGGGTAAAATATGTTCTTAGGTTAAATCAGTCTAACCTAGTTAATTACCTTTATACACGAGTGCTAATTTCTTATCGAAGACGAAACAAAACCTGGTTTCAACGAACGGATTTAACCAAAAACATGTCCAGTTGGTGTTTTGTAAGCGGCTTTGTCTTAATTAGCCTGCGAGCAGGCTCTCCGTTATTGGGCAAGAGAACCGAGCCGAGAGGGTACGCGCTAGCGTTTCCTGTTTTGCTCGCTCGCTCCTCCAACTGGAGAACGTTCTCGCAGGCGATATCTTGAGTGGTGAATTACTCGACTTCAGCCTGGCTGTTTTTCAGTAGTTGTAGAGAAACGGATCAGTACAGAATATTTACACCTGGGGGATTTGCGGTGGAGTGCATTTAACTTGTATCCTCGTAGATGAGAAAATTAACTGTTTCTAGTTATCACGGTAGATGATGATAGCGTCCATTCAGGAAGCGCTCGAAGTGAACTTAAACGACGGTAAAACGGGCTACAAAAACGTGCATCTCGTTTCGAAACATTGCTACAAAACGAGTTGAAAAGCGACGTTACGCGTTGTACAACCCACGTTTAAACCTTTTTCGTACCAAATCATGCAGCAGGGGCACCCAACGAGAATATAGTTCAAAACCACATAAACATAGCATTGTTGAACGTACTTTAGTATTTAAACGTTAGATAAAGGCTTATTTTTATCCCCTAAAAATTTTTCATCTGTTCGGATTTCCTAGCTGAAAGTATAGTGATCCGAAAATTATAGGGATCAAAATATACCTTTTCGAAAATTTCAGCCAGAAAAAAGGCTCCCGAAAATTCTAGGTGACCTTTTTAGGGTAAAAATCCGTTAAAAATGGGCAATTATACGATTGTTTTGAAGTTCGAAAATCCTAGGAGAGGCAGGCAAGCAAGAAATTTTTCAGAAAATGATCCGAAAATTCTAGACCTCAAATCGTCTTCCGAACAGATAATTTTCCGAAAATTGTCGTTGGGTGCCCCTGATGCAGGTAGCTGCAAGAAGCAAATAACTTGCGAATGCCACTTTAACAAACGCTTGTTTACTTTTGCAGCAAGGAAGATTAACATTGGCAAGTTTCAACATAAGAAAACAAACGTTATGGTGGTTACAGACGTGGCTGTAAGTAAAAGAGTATTGTTTAGTTGGTAAAACGTCGAAGAAACGCTCCAGATTGTCTTAAAAAGTACTCTGCATTATAGAGAGTTTTTACGTCCTGCAAAATGAAACAGTTTCCCTTAATTTCATATACATGTAGTGCCCTAAAATTACACATTTCCACGATGTAATTGTTGGAGCCAAAGGATGGTTGTTCACTCGCATAATTTCTCAGAATTTGTTATTCTTTAAATAAAAGGGAGAAGATTCATTGGTAGTGAACTGTTAAGTTAACATTAGTTTAAGAGGATGCTTATTTAGTAAAAAGGCTCAATACCGGATTGCTTAATTGTCTACCAATGTTGAGGTTTATTTTTGTCTTTGTTTTTGTCTTTTTTTTAAAATTTCCTTTTATATCGTGCGCATGGTAAGGTATGACATTGGTTTACAAGAAAAGAAAAAAAGATTGAACCGAGGATAAAATTTAACCACGTTATATGCGACACTCTTTCTTTCCGGGCCCCCAACGGGTCGAATTCACTAACTCCCTTTTACCATACTGCCGCTTTCATTGCAAAACGCTGACGTGCATGCGCATGCATTTGTCATCAGGCCCGTGGAATTGATATCCCAATGTTGGACAACGTGATAAACTACAATTTTCCAGCCAAACCCAAACTTTTTATCCACCGGGTTGGTAAGTAACCTTTGTTTTCTTTATATCTCTTTATTCTATTCTTTGAAACGAACTACCACTTGAAAGACAACTTTCGTTGCTTGCTTATTCTTGGTTGTAGTATAGCGTATTGTTATATCTCTTGGTGCTCGGCCCAAACAGCCAAAATAAACCTAATGGTTTTTTCATTCATGGTGTACTGCGTAGTGGAGTCGAAATTAACCGTTTGCTGAAAACGTCTGATGGAGGCGAAAACGTTACTCACCGACGATTGTTGTTCGAGCGAGTTCGATAACCGAACTTTTGATCGGACAAGTTAGCTCTAAAACAGAAAATGGAGTTGTTCTAAGGGAATAGAACACTGCTGAAATGTGAAAAGTTTGATTACCGGTTTTAATTTTTTACTATTATTGTCGTTGAATTCTTTTTAAAGTTACCTTATACAGTAAAAGGCCGATAGTAGAGAAACCGACGCTAGAGACCGAAATAAAACACGAAAGTTCTAGAGTTTGCCCCTTCCCTTATCGTCTTCACAGCCTTAATGATGACAAAACTGTTTTCATTTGTTCAAGGTCGAGTAGCAAGAGCTGGACGGAGTGGAACAGCATATTCTCTTGTTGGTAGCGATGAGGTAAAATTCTTACGATTCCTCTTAGATTTACATTAATCACCAATTTTTGCTTTTTGATTAATCACCAACTTTTTTTTGCGGTTTCGGTTTTGATCTTTGGCGACGATTCTATTGTTGGGCGCGCTAAGTAATAGACTTTTCAGGGCAGCGGACAAAACCGCCGGTTTCAGGGTCAAGTGTTTATAGTGACTCTTGCGAAAATTCTGTACCCGTCGTCAATATCGTCGACGATGTCAACATATTCCAAAAACAAACTACGATGTCCAAAACAAGGAGCTCTGGCATTAACGACAGCGATGGGAGCAAAAAAATTGTGGAATACAGCAACCTTAACTTATTGCGCTGGTTTATAGTACTTAGGCAGCGTTCACACGTAAGGTCCGGGGTGCTCGTGTACAGTACTCACTAGGAACTAATGTGAACACACTTTTTTCTAGTACAGTACCCAACCTAGAATTAAGGCACAGTGTCGGTACTCGGGCACAAAAGTGGACAATGGGTGCCTGTGTTTAATCATTTTTGTTAGTTCTGGGGCAGTCCACTACTTTGTACTCGCTGACAAACTCATGTTTCCAAATGGCGTCTGACATGGAGACGCTATGTACACAGTAGTAGGAGTAGCTATACTGGTACCCTGCACTGGTTCCGGGCCAACAATTGTGGGCAGCCCGTTAGTCGTTCTGTTGCTCACACAACAGCCTTTCACTTTTCAGCGACTTGAAAAGTCTTTTAGGAAGCCACGTGACACAAGCGTGCGTGAAATTCATTGTGGAAGGTATCCTGCCAATTTCCTTCCACTCTTCTTTATCGCCATCATAATATTCCACAATCCCATTCGAATAGGTTCCACCGAACACGAAGATCTTTTTCTTGGCTTTGCCCACTGCCGCGTTGGATCGTGGCACGTTTAGCTCTGCCTGGAGTGGACTCCACATGTCCGTCACGGGATCGTAAAGTTCGCAGTTCGAGAGCGGAAGAAAATAGTTCCCCGTTCCACCCACGACCAAGATTTTGTTCCCCACGACAGCTGCACTGGCAAAGCATCGCTGTTCGTCCATCTGTGCGACGGCCTCCCATTGATCCCTCTCAGGGTCGTATTTTTCAACGCTGTTGAGCCCCAGGTTTTGAAGCCCATCATGGCCGCCAATCGCGTAAATATATCCGTTTAAGGCCACAGCGCAAAGCCCTCTTCTGACAGAGGCCATTGCGGCTAAATCTTCCCAAGAACTGTCCACAGGTTTGAAACACGACACGCCATGTTCCTTGAGCACATAAATACAACCCTCGATCGACACAGCCGCCATTGGTCGATTACCGACATCCGACAGTCTTTCCGACCACAGGTTCTTTCGCGGGTCAAATTTCTCGATCGTGATGCGATCGTCCTCCCAGCCGATTGCATAGATAAAGCCTTCGCAGATTGTCAATGCTCGTATCTCGTTATAACTCGGTAATCTAGCCAAGTCGATCCATGCTTCTGTCGCAGGAACATAACATGAAGCACACCCGTTCTTGCTGACTAACACAATGCTTTCCGTAACACCTCGCGGCTCATCACGCTCTTCATCTGCGACACTAAGCACCTTTGTGACCAAACTGTGACATTCGTGACTGCGTGACACAAACTCGTCACGGCTGATGACGTCCAAAATGAAATTAATTGACATGGCCGGTAAACGAACGAAGCGGAAAAGTTCATCGAAATAACTCTCTCTGTTTTCAAAGTCGTGCTTCACCCACGCTTTTATTCCTTCGAAGACTTCTTCCTCTCCTTTTTGTGTTTTAATAGCAAGTTTTTCGCCCGAAAAAAGTTCCTTTACTTCCGCAAAATCTAAAGAAACAAACTCTTCTGTATGCCAAAGGGCGCTGAGATTGTTGCATATGTAATCAGTGGCTGCTTCAAAAAGAAGTTCGTGACGGTAGCGATCGGCTAACGTTTGGGTCGATAAACAGTTGGATGGTTTAAGGCTAATAATTAAAAACTCTGCACACAGTTCTTTGAGGTTGGGGATGTCAAAATAATCAGCCACTACCATCAATTCTTCGGCGTTTGTTTCAGTGATTCCAACTTCCCCGGTGTAAAGAAAATTCAAAAGCTGTTCGATGCTGTCAGGATCAAATTCCGGCAGATTGACCTCCAACTCCTTGCTTGCTTTTTCTTCAGTCAGGTCACTCGTAAAGGAAGCTTTAAAGAACGGGCTACTCGCCGCGAGAACAACTTTGTGAGCTGGAAGACGGCGGTTTTCAACAACGAGAAACACGTCGCAAAAAGCTTGCGACTTTCGAAACGAGTGCATCGTATGAAGCAGAGTTTGTCTCTGGCTGGATTTCCACGAGCTTTTTTCAGATTCCATAGTTGTGTTGAGCTACAAAATCTTACCGCACTTATCACCCTTTTTCTCGCTACTCTTGAGATGTAAACGGAACTTGGCGAAAATAAGGCAATAAACAAAACAGGAAAATCAGTAAAGCGTGTCAGCGGTCATAACAGTCGACACGTAAACAAGATTGGTTTGTGTTGGTTCGTGTCAATGCTTTCACGCGGTCTGGACTTAACATTCCAAATATTCCGACTGTTTGGAGGCAAAATTGAAGGCTTTTCGAGAAAATTTGAAAGAATCTTCATTATTTTTATTATTCCTCTTTTTCTCTAACACCTGCTCCATGTGCTTAAAATCTAAAATGTATGCAAATCGGCCTATGCATGAAGAATTCAGCGTAACGAAAGATGTCTACGGTGCAGTGTTTAAATATTTTTTGTCCTTTTTCCAAGTAAAAATTGTCCATAGCAGCTTTCTAACTGATTTCTGCATTATAATTAAATTTCTTCTTTACTGATCATAAAAATTTACAATCACCCTGATTTTGTAATCATAACTCGGCCCGCCCATCGTAATCCCATTGCGCCATAAAATCTAGTCTTCAATGTACATCACTGAGGTGTGAGATAAAATTGATAGGCTTTTAAATGACATAGCTATTTTTCACAATTTCTACACAACCTCGGCGGCGAATCCAGGATTTTTCTTAGAAGGGGCCGTACTACTAAGGAATGGCGAAACTGACTGGTGACGTAAACAAATTTTAAAAGCACATACGAAGAAGAAGGCTTTTGACGAGGCAATGACATAATGTAAACTGCTGAGAATACATATCGTACATATCTGCATATTTTGCAGAATACCAGTTGTATTAGAAAGCTGCAGGTCATCTCAGGGGAGGGGGGTTCGCACCCCCTTGCACCCTCCCTGCAGATCCGTCCCTGAACCTTAAAATTGATTATTTGATGTTATTTTAGCGTAATTTGGAGAAAGCGGTAGAGAATTCTCCAAAGCTCCGAAATGAAGCCTGGCAGAACCCTAAGAGTAAAGAGAGATCAGCATCAAATTTCTCTAGCTTTGTAATATCAATGTTTTTTTTAAAACAGAATGACGTGAGAATTAAAGTTATGATCACTCAAGATGAATTTGTTACATATTTTAACAAGTCCTCCCCAATGCTTCTATAGTAAATATATAGGAGCAAAAAAATTACAATTTTTATTTTGGCGCAAGGTTTAAAGGGTTAATCTATCTTGAAGTCTGGCTATTTGAATACTTTGCCACGCTTTATTTAAAAAGTTTGTTGAGTCACACAGTCTTATCTTTTACAACACTTTTTCCTGATTACTGAGAAGTATCTTCTGGGCTGATTTTCTCTTGTATTATTAGTAACTTACCAGGTCGAGAAAAACTCGGCCCAGGTCTATTCTTTCGTGTAAATTTCTATCCTTTAATCATTTTCTTGGTCACAAAGCAGCGTATTACTTTTCAGCGACTTGAAAAGTCCTGTAGGAAGCCACGTGACACAAGCGTGCGTGAAATTCATTGTGGAAGGTATCCTGCCAATTTCCTTCCACTCTTCTTTATCACCATCATAATATTCCACAATCCCATTCGAATAGGTTCCATCGAACACGAAGATCTTTTTCTTTGCTTTGCCAACTGCCGCGTTGGATCGTGGCACGTTTAGCTCTGCCTGGAGTAGACTCCACATGTCCGTCACGGGATCGTAAAGTTCGCAGTTCGAGAGGGGAAGAAAATAGTTCCCCGTTCCACCCACGACCAAGATTTTGTTCCCCACGACAGCTGCACTCGCAAAGCATCGCTGTTCATCCATCGAGGCGACGGCCTCCCATTGATCCCTCTCAGGGTCGTATTTTTCTACGCTGTTGAGGCCCAGGGGTTTAAGGCGTTCATGGTCCCCAATCGCGTAAACGTGTCCGTTTAAAGCCACAGCGCATAGCCCCCTCCTGACCGAGGTCATCCCAGCTACATCTTCCCACCAGTGGTCCACAGCATTGAAGCGGGACACGATCTGTTCTTGGAGGACATAAATACTGTCCCCAATCGACACGGTCGCCATTGGACGGTTTCTTCTATCCCATAAAATTTGCGACCAGAGATTATTTTGTGGGTCGAATTTCTCTATTGTGTAACGATCATCCTCCCAGCCAATCGCGTAAACAAAACCCTTGCAAGTTGTTACTGCTCGAACCTTGTTATAACTTGGTAATCTAGCCAGGTCGATCCATGCTTCGGTCGCGGGAATGTAACTCGATGCACACCCGTTTTCGCTGACTAGCACAATGCTTTCCGTGACACCAAGTACCGCCGCGATCAAACTTTGACAGTCACAACTACGTGTCACAAGCTCGTCATGATTGATCAGATCCAAAAGAAACTTATTGGACATAGCCGACAAACGTACACATTGGAGCAGTTCAGCGACGTAACTCTCCCTGTTTTTTAGATCATGCTTCACCCAAGTTTTTAATCCCTCAAAAATTTCTTCCTCTCCTTCTTGTGTTTTAATAGCCAGTCTTTGGCCCGAAAAGAGTTTCTTTACTTCCGCAATGTCCAAGGATTTAAACTCCACTTCTTGCCAAATAGAGTTTAGGTTGCTGCTTATGAAATTTGTAGCTGTTTTGAAAAGAGGTTCGTGATGGTAGCGGTCGGCTAACATTTGGGTTGACAAACAGTTCGCTGGTTTAAGTCGTTTTCGTAAAAACTGTGCACAAAGTTCTTTGAGGTTGGCGATGTCGTAGAAATCGGCTAAGGCCAGCATTTCTCCCACATTTTTGTCGGTCATTTCAATTTCCCCGGTATAAACAAAATTCAAAAGTTCTTCAATTCTATCGAGACTAGGATCAAACTCCCGTAGTTTAACTTCCAACTCGTGTCTTTCCTGTTCTTGAGTCAAGTCACTCGTAAATCGAGTTTTGAAGTAAGGGCTGCTCGCGGCGAGGACAACTGTGTGAGCTGCCAGACGGCGGTCCTCGACCAGAAGAACTACGTCGCAAAATGTTCTCGTTTTTCTAAACGAGTTCATCGTATGCAGTATGGTTTGTCTCTGTCTAGAAAACCACCTGCTTACGCTTGGGCTTTTTTCAGGTTCCATAGTCGTGTCGAGCTACAATTTCTTAACTTATTTGTAACTCTCGTTTCTCTCTCTCTTGTTGCGAAATTATGACCTATATATAAGTTGACCTTTTTCCTGAGAGGTTTGACTTTTCTCATGTTACTGTTTGTTGTTTTGATAGCTGGCTCACGTGGTCGATCTTCATCTCTTCCTCGGTCGACCGCTAAAGGAGGCCCAAAAGGACTCGCAGGCTCAAGATGACGGTCTTATAGGCACGGTTCCTCAGCAGTTTGTGGATGACGAGCAGAACTTCCTGAAAGCAGCGCATGATAAGTCACATGACCTTGTAAGTGATAGAGATAGGATATTTCCGAGTTCTTCCAAGCCTCTGTTCCAAAGCGAGGCGCAAAGCAAAGCCATTGATGTGAAAACGGTTTTTAATTCTCATGGGATTAAAATTCATTTTCACAAGCAAGAATTTGCACTCAGCCTTGATTTTGGAAACTGTTCCGTGCCAATTACTACAGGCTAGCAATCCACTCGACTCTTTGTACGATTTTGTAAACTCTTTGTGGGGAAAAAGGTTTGTCCCTAAAAGTTTATAGAGAATTTCAGGGAACGTAAAATTTGCATTGACCGTTAACAAAAAGAGAAATTCGTTGACGACTCAAAAATGGAGCTGTCAAGCTAACAATTTGCTTTGTATTGTGTCCAGGTCTCTCTCCGCCAAGTAGCAGCTAATGGCTACAAACAGTACATGAAGTCCAGACCCTGTGCATCTTCAGAATCCGTCAAGAGATCCAAACAGATAGACACCACCACTCTGCCCATTCATCCGCTATTCAGTAAGTGTTAAAAAGGAAGTCGCTGGATGTTCATTTATTTCTGTTTAACGGGGTATTTTCCGTTTTGGTTAGCTCATAGGTCAGGAAGAAAAACTTCTCGCGCCTTCGTCGCTCAAAAAGGTGTGAGCGAATCCATTTGGCCTGTTTTTTGTTTGGGGATGCCCTCCACAAAAATGACGTCATCATCATCATCATCATCATCATTATCATCGTCACGCACGCAATGAAAACCAAAAAAATTGGTTCGACGTTGCCATGGCATTAAATTTTATATTTGTTCTGATGTTTTTAGAATCTGATAATGTAAGTTCCAGCGAGGCGTCTGCCACAAGAGTTGACATCATGGATGGAGTAAGAAACTTCCGGCCGAGGCAGGTAAGAACAGTTGAAAGGGGCTTTTGTTTTTAGTCCAAAGGATCGCTTGCAGATCTCTTGCAGATCTCTTGCAGATTAAGGCAAACAGTGCTAGAAGTACGTAGAAGTCATTGTTTTCGACTGCTTCTATACACTTTAAAAGTATTTACGCCATATTTTCGTGTAAACGACACTTAACAGCATGTTAATGCAGATTTCTAAAGATCTCCAAAGACTGTTGATAATTTTACTAACACCGTGGGATTTTAAGAGACGTGTGGTTGTCGTGATGGGCTTAATCAATATGATAAACAGCTGTAAAGTTAACTTGCTTGTTTGTTGGTTTTCGTTTTGCAGACGATTTTCGAAATAGGATCAACGTCAAAATCAACGGCGCAATCAGTCATGATGTCAAAACGGTTTGTAAATCATCTAAGAAATAATTTTTGTTGTTGGGTTTTGAATTTCCGCGATCTTGTTATTTCTGCTAATTAAAACAAGTGACATTTGCGCGCGAATTAATCTGACCATTGGTACAAATGCTGGAAGTTAATTTTGACTGCAGTTTTCCCATATTTTTTCATACGAATTTCGATGGAAGAGTAGTAATGTAATTGTGATTATTATGAATAGTCTTACTGTTATAAGGTAACACTAGTACACTTCTCGCTGCTTGGGGACAGTCTTTGAAATGTTGTTACTTTCGTTGGGTCATTTGCATTTATTGTTTTAAAGGAAACGCCACAGTGAAGTCATTGAAAAAGCACAGAGGCTCAAAAAAGACGACTCCTTGACTATCCAGGGGAGGGGTGGTAGCAATAAGCGTGGAGAAAAAGGCAGTGACGCGACTAGTGATGAAATAATGGTGAGTTGTTACTACTATCTCGACCATCAGTATTGTTGCAGTGCTTGTGAATTTCTTCGACCTTTCACTACAGACCCGTGGAAACGTATTTGCCCTGCGGTTAATACCTGCAACACAGGTCTGTAGGACCGGGTTCAAGCCTCGCTATTCCATTTCATTCGACAAGAGCCCTGCTTCACTACCTTTCTTTTCACTGAGGTATATAAGTGGGTATCCTGTGACACACTGTTGAGAGTGTAGTCCTGTGATAGACTCTCATCTCATTGAGGGAGGGGGAGGGGTAGCAATACGCTACCGAGTGCTTCATATAACAGAAACCGTGTGAAGCTCTGGCTATGCGGGCCTTATTGACTTATGCACTGGCGCCTTAAGACCCTTGGAAACCAACATTGGGGAGGGAGTAATAAGTGTGCGTATCCAAAGACTTAGGGTATCTTATGTTTTACAAATTGTTTTAACTAATTATATCCTCTATTGAAGCGCTAACTTTTCGCCGAATAGTGGGGAGAGTTAAACTCAAGTATTGAGGTTTACCGGAAAATGGTTACTTTCCTTTTTCAGGGCGTTTTTGCTACTGTAATTGATCCCACAGAGAAAAAGAAACGAAAGAAGGCCAAATCAGACTCTGAAGGTGCGTTTATCATCACTGTTTACATCAGCAAGCAAGGTTCAACTTAGATCGTGTCCAGTCGAGGTTTTAACTATCAGAAGAGTTAACGATATAATTTACCCTGGCTTAGACGTTTACTTGTTGGATGTGACTTTGGCGAGGGCTTTATTTCTTAGTCTTAAGAAATGCTCTTTGTGAACTCATATGGTTTTTTTTTCTGTCGATTGAACAGATTGATCGCGAATTCGTGAGACAGCATCTGGATTTTACTCCCTGTTTCAAAGTCAAGATGGCTGCCTCACGACTACTCGGATTTAGTCAAACTTAATGATCAATCTCTAAAGTCTCGCCGAAGAGCGATCTACGCTTTACGCTTTTCTTTCTGTGTTTTGTCTTGCCAGGTCATTCCACGAAAAGCTTCAGAGACGAGAACTATATTCCCCACACCGCCTCTGATTTTTATGGCGAGAAAGGACTAGGGTAAGTGTGATGAGCTAGTATTTGTTGTTGGTGTTGTTGTTTGTCTACCTGCTTTTCCAATTTACCTTGATCTTTTGCAACAAACCCTATCACAGGGAAGTCCACCCAAAATAAGACCTTTCGATTGAAGGTATACTTTTAATTATAAATTTAAAGATTTCGTCCACAGAAAAACATTAGGGGAAAGCACTGTTCAGTTAACATTTGTCTTTATGATTCCATCTTCTGGATCAAACCCTCGCGTACTGTGGTTATGGTTTCTTTTAGGCTTGGTTTAAACTCGTTTGAGAAGGATGTGTCTGGTGCTGTCATGGACATAGAGGCAGACGAGGAAGAAGGAATACGGACAGCGAAAGCAATCAAGAAATGGTAGTGAAAAAGCTTATGTCGATGGAGTCAGCTAATTTGTTTTTCTGTTGTATTACGCCATTACCATCTGACGAAGATGAAGTTTGAGAAATCATGACCTTTTCTATTTACAAGAGTGATCAAAATAGTCAAATATAGAGAAACAAATTGCAGCATATAACAGTACTACCTGCGTGGTCATACCACAGGATTTTTTCTACTACCCAAAAGATAAGGCTATGTACTTAGTAATTAGCACCATGTGAAAGTACTGCTGAAACTGAAAAAGTTTCATTTGAAAGGTCACACCATAGGATTTCGTTTGTAGACTTAGAAGCTCAAAGACGAGAAGTAGGGATTCTTTTGTTATCCAGATACCCACTCAATGATTCAAGCGACCTAACGTGTTTTTTTTTGTTCGTTTGTTTGTTTCGGTTTTCAGGGATCGAAAGAGGAAAAACTTTGTTGGTGAAGATGGCAACACGAAGAAAATAAGAACAGAGAGTGGAGTACGTATTCCTGCTACCTACAAGAAGAACATGTATCCTCTTCAAACTTCACATATGCTTATCATTTTTTATCATTTTTTATTTCTTATCAGTCTAGTTATTTCTCCTTAAACCATTCTGCCTCTTTCTCGGAGGGCCTCTCTTTGTCGTTGGTTGTCGTCGTTCAGTTCTGCGAAAGTTTTTCGTACATGTGTCTGCTTCAACTTTCAAGGGTTAGCTTTTTTCTCGAGTTGCAATCCCGGTACTCAAGTTTGAATACTGATTTAACCTTAGAACAAATTTTACGGACAAAATTAACGCGTGCTTCCGTAGTAACAATAGTTAGAGGTTGCCGGATTGGATAGCAAACAAAGGGCGAGTTATTTAAACGTTTTTTGAAAAGTTTAGCCCGTGTTTAACAGAACCACGTTCTAAGCCATTTTTAGTTTGCCCAACGCTTTTATCTAAACACCATTAATCGTGAACAATTTTAATAAAGCGTATAGCGTAGACAGGAAAAGCACTTACGTCAGGCAGCTGGCAATGAAACTTATCCCTCAATCTTTCATAGGTAATTCGTTTTCTTCTTTGTCTGAACGCATCTTAAGTCGGTGAGTATATGGTTAGGTGCTTGTTTTTCGATTTTCCTTCACTATCGCAACACAGCTATCAGGAATGGCTACGGAGAAACAGAATGGATGTTCCCGGATCTGACGACCGAGAGGAGAATGGAACGAAACTAGGACACAACAAAGGAAAGAAAGGTGTCAAAAATATGACTTTCTAACGACATTACTGTTAAAAAAGTGGAAAACTGGGCCTGGTTAACTTTCGCAAAGACTTCTGGGACTGTCACTGGGGACAAAGAAAAAAAAAATGGCCAATAGCTGACCGGCGCGTCCCCATCAACGATCCCAGAATGCACTCTCATTTGGGCCTACAAGTACACGGGGGTGGAGGAGCTGGGAGTCTTCCTGTACCGTGCATTCCCGGCTCCCGCCTCTTTTCCTTAGCCTACTCTCTTTAGCCCGTTTTCAACTGCTAAATATTAAGGATTGTTGCGTAATTTCCCCTTATATTTCCCCTTCCCACCCGCCTCCAGTACCACCCACCCCCTTTCCTCCCCCACTACACTTTGGCGGAACATTCAACTGAAAACGTGGAGGGTCCGTCTGCGAATGCGTGGTCACATATGGGCGTTTATATAATGAGCTCCTAACTTTACTTAGTATTTTTTTGCCGGGGGAGGGGTGGGGGCGTTCAGCAATTTTCACATGCAAACAATCATTTTGCATGCAGCTCCTGCTGCAAATAATTTTTTGTGTGTCTCCGTCTTCCTGCAAACACTTTTATTTACTTGTATACAATTTATTTCAGTGTTTACAGCCCTGCAAACAATTTATTTTACAATTTTCCAACCGCCCCCCCACCCCCTCTCCTTCAAAAAATAATGGTCCGCCCCTTAAAATTAAACCATGTAGATATTCTGTACGAGCTGTTTTTTTGCTCTCGTCTTTTGCTTCAACAGGAAAAAGCTTTGGCAAAAAAGGTAAAACCGCACGCGGAAGCGAATTGAAATCCAAGGAACAGATCTTAAAGGCACGGCATAGAAAGGAAAAAATGATGCAACGACAAAACAAGGGTCGACCAAGAGGAAAAGGCAACAAGGGAAAATTTGGCAGAAAAAAGTGAAGATACTGAACACGTGAAAATATAACATTGTCGAAAACACCCGAAGATAAACCGATCATTGCCGAGTACTCGTTCGTTGTGCGCTTTCACGTCATGTCACTTGGAAAAGCCCCGTACTAAACACTTCGGGCTTGAACGTTTTGCGAAAAAGAGAGGAACTTCTTTTCTTGAAGAAGTAAGTAATGCCGGCAAAGAATGATTAACCGCAGTTTTGTTTAAAGAGAAACGTTGTTATTAAGTTTTGACAGAGAGCAAGTGTATTTTACCAAGCTTGGATATTAAACTTCCGAAATGGACGAACCAGCCTACTTATTGTGTAAACTGCTACCGAAGCATTATTTAACGTAAGAACAAATAAATTTGCTCGGTGTAGAAAGATAAAAAGAAAACCTCGTTTTTAAGCTAGTTATTGCAAGAAAAAAGCAGGAATTATAGGGCGACTTGCGAAGGATTCATTCTCTGTGGCGCTCATTTCAACTAACAAACTAGTTGTTAATGATGTAATAATAATAGTAATAATAATAATAATAATAAACTTCTATGATGCACACATTCACAAATTGTCCGTTGTGCTTGCCGAGGTCAGAAAGAATGAAAATATCTAATGATAAATTAGATCTGAAAAGGTGGACTTCTAAATGTTAAGTGTGCAGACACTGTTCGATTTCCGAATAACTGTAGGAATATTAACCCACAATCTAGGGGCACAATTAGAAAGAGTTCTAAACCATAGATTACCATTAGATTTCTACAGCCGGAGTCCTAGAAATTTTACAGTTTTATTTACGATCTTGGAAAAAAGGGAGAAAACCTTTACCGCGAATTCTCCTATGTAAGGATTACTCCATGTCAAAATTGTGATAATGATTATTGTGGAAAAGAAGAACTTTGACGAAAGCGGTATAACTTGACTGCAGTAACGCCCGAAGCGTGATAACTAAGAACGGTATTTATTTTTGCATTCGAATGTTGTTTGACCTGAATTTTGATTTCACGTTAATTCACACAACTTTCTGGAAAACTATAAAAAAATTGGACAAATTTCCCGGTTTCAAAACACACAAAAATCGCCCATCGGCAAACTTCAACTTCCGCAAATAATTTCGCAAGCGTCGATCAGACCATGTATGTGGGTGGCAACGCCCCTCGCCCCAAGGTCTTGCTATGGCCACGTAGACAATATTCGGTGAAACAATTGACAGGAGGAAAGTCGTCAGAAGATATATCAGCTGTTTACCCCTCCAGGGCTTTTGAATGGTTCTAGAATTTCCAGTTTAAATGTGAAGCCTCCTTGAATTTGATGCGTTGAGAACTTTCCGGTCTAAGTACCTCAGTTTTCGTTGATCACAAAGCATTTTTGGCCGATATCACAAATGCTGGCGTACTTGTGTAAAACTGATCGTCTGATAAACATCGGCTCCATGCAAAGTGATGCCAGTTGAAATTAAATTTCCTTTAAGTAAGGATATCCAAAAATTAGGGAATCTAACAATGTTTTTTCCCCAGAGAAATTAGTGAGCTATGCAAACTTCCCCTTTGACGATAAAAGCTCCAAGACGGTTGTAAGACAAAATCTCCGAGTCAAGACAATCTGAGTCAATTGACTACGCAGATTTCAAGCGCCAATATTTCCCTGTAAACTTGTTTTTGAAGAACCCTTTGCCGTGAACAACAACAGCCGGCTTTATTGTTGTTCACTTGTTTAGTCGATAAATTAGCTTGCATAAATAACAATTCCGGCCTTTTGATCAGATGCGACACTTGATTAGTAAGATAACCTCTTTTAGTCTTCAACTTTGCCGCCAAATCAAAGTGACCGGAACTCATCGCTTAAGAGATACAGTGCAACGAAAAACCGCCGGTTATATATCAAACTGGCCCCCTTTAGAGCTTAACTTTGCCAGAGAGCTTTTGAACATGAAAAAAAGAAAAAGTCGCGCGTTTTTTTCCTAAAAAAGACCCATTATTAAACAAGCATTGTTTAGAGAGACAATGAGTTCTTGCGTTCGCGCAAGCAAGTACCTTCCATCGAGTCTTTTAATAATATTCAATATATAGTTGTTGCATTGTTCCTTTCTTTCTTACGTAACTTTTATTTTACTTTGTTTCATTTGTCATTGTTTTGGTACGGAAATCTTCATGTCGAAGATAAAGTCAATAAACTTGTTGTTGTTGCTATTAAATATATACCCACGTGTTGTTTTTAATTGATGACTCTTTATTATTTCGTTTTGTCGGACTGTTTGTTTTTGTCTTTAGCCAAGAAACAGTTTTTAACATGTACAAAGGAAATACTGCGCTAATATTAAATTTTCCTCGCTCTGTCATGTTCTCTGAAAATAACAAAGTTATAGGTAGTGCCCGACATGAGCGAATGATTTCGTAAAGACAACACGCGCACGAGCTCGAAATAATTGAAACCGGCATTTCTCCTATACATATTCATATTGATACTTGTCTTTTGTCTTGGGGAAAACAAGTTTAGGTTGGTCGGACTTATTTGCATTTGTCTCTCTGATGTACTGCTTAAAATATAAAGACGGCAAACAATACTCCTACGCGTCAGTCAAATCATTTGCCTAGAGGCTTCGAGCGGGAGCCGAATATTCTAAAATAGGAAGAGGAAGTCGACTTGATTGTGAATGGCCTTAGTTCTTTATTGTAAAGTGAAGAAAAGCTATATAATAAACATTTTAAACAATTTGATTGATATTACAAAGCACTTTTGAGGTACATAGACAAAGAAAACAGGAAAATACAATCTTTCAATAAACATTGCTTTTCCATTTCTTTTTTCTTAAGTTAGAATTCTTTTTAGTTTTTTATTGCGACAATTTGTCAGGAGATCTGAAACTGTTCTCCTAGGCCCTGCAAGAATTTTCCGTACCCAAAATGCTACCACCAACTTTTATTAAAGAAAAAAATGAGTAACATTTAAAAATGTTATTTCTATTCATCTCTTCCGGGCCATGTTGGCAAACATGAACTTCACTGCAAGCAGTTTACAGCTTCGTGTCCACTTTTCCACGACACTGGCATGATCCGGCCTTGGATATAAAAGTCAGCAGCTCATGTTATCGACTTCATAGTCAGCGTTATTTCATAAGACAGAAAAAAATTGATGTTGAATACAAGGAACTTTCTAGAACATTGAAAGGATGATGTCGGTCGTCAATAAATTTAACGATAATCTCGTTTATGATCGCGCGAGATAACGACTGCTGTTATCACGCACTTGACAGCGCGCGATATTTTTTCACGATTATATTACGGAGACTGGTACCGATTGGTAGTGTGCGGATCTTGTGTAGTAAAGCCAACTGACTTGTTGTTGATTGCCTTTCGAATCAGTTCTTCAAGCTGTTAAGTTGACTTTTAAGCGGAAAAAGGCTTCTTAAAGGTCCCAAAGAAAAGACAAAGAATTTATTAAGCACAGGATCGACTCAATCAGCTCAATCACTCGATCGGACGCTAAAATCTGGCAATTCTCTTGCAAGGATTCGGTTACACAATACCACTATAGCTGACTCGTTGCCTTGGAAGTTCGAATAATTTGCAGCCTTCTTGTAGTGTTTCTATGGTTCTAAGGCAGCTAAATACCATGAATGATGGTGAGGTCGTCAAGGAAGGACATCTAAAACGACTGAAGGTAGGAAATTTATTTATTAAAATGTCCATTTCGACTTCTTCCCCAGCTATCATTGACGACATAAATGCTTGAGAGTCGATGATTTAACTTTTTTCCTTGTAATAAAAATATTGGACCGATTTTTATTGATTTGAATGCCTTCTTTATCAGAATCGCTGCTCACAATTTTTTAGCTCTTAGAATTAAAACGTTGCTGTATTTGGAAGATCGAACTGCATTTTAAAACTCATGTTTGGCTAGTTTGTTGTTGTTTGCGTGCGCGCGCTCCTATTGCAACACCTCCTTGAACATTTTGCGAGCAGTCTAAACTTGCACCCTCCGATCACACGTTCTTAAGCTTCTAGAACGTTTACGACTTATTTTGAATAATTTCAGGGCTTCCCTCTTTATCACGATCGTGAATAAAAATCTCGATTGTTTTCTAAAATGTAACATAAACTCAAGTACCCGTTTTGTCACCGGCGAGTGATTCATTTAGCGGATTAAGCATGTTTTCAAAAATACAATGTTGTTTGGATTAGGCTAGACGAATTTGCATCTTCACTCGAGGTGCCCTTTATTTCAATTGTGTTATGTTTTGCCATGCCTTTTAGCTTGAGGCTACATAGAACAAACTAGGAAATTGGAAAAGTATTCGTGCGAGTGAGCGACAAATTGAATGACAATGTCTTCTTATTCGTGTGACGTGAAGCGCGGAAAAGCGAATATTGAATGGTAAATGCAAATGTTTACGAAATATTCATTTACTGTGGAAAATTGCAGTTTTAAAAAAGCTGCAGACATAGGGCATTTCAGTTGATTTTAGCAACAATGTTGAGACCTTTTAAAAATTTAAAAATAAAATAAACTACGTATTTTGTGCTAGATTTATCACTATTGAGAAAGTTCAGTACATAACACGATTTACAATAACATTGATACTGAGTACGATGTGATTAGCTTTCGATTTGTTTCTTTTTCTCATTTTGTTAACAGACTCACAAGAAACGCTACTTCGTTCTTCGCTCTTCTCCAAGAAAGGGGAAATCGCGGCTGGAATACTATGAAAGTGAGAAGAAATATCGCCAAAATAGTTCGCCGAAACGTGTCATATACCTCGCGAACTGTTTTAATATTGCTAGGAAAGAAGATTCGAAGCACAAATTGGTCTTCGTCTTGTTTACACACGAGGACAAGTTTGGCCTCGTTGCTGAAACAGAAGATGACCTAAATTCATGGCTAAAGAGTTTGAAGATTGAGCAGAGAAAAGATGAAATCTTAAATTCCTCGGGTGGGTAATTTTAGCGTTATTCATTAGGTAATAGTCTATTAAAGAAAAAGCCCCAGTGGCCAATCTTTTAATTAGAAGAAAGTGCGTCATTATGTTTTCAATAATTGTGTTCCCATAACACCATAGGGGTGCCTTCCGCCGAAGAATTAATTACGTCTGGATTTTCGGAAATCAGTAAGATCCCTAAAATGTATTGTTTTTTCTAATGAATTTATGTGCGTGAAATATTGACATCCATCTCAAACAAAAATCTTTATGCACAATATACAGTGGAACCCCGCCTTACGGCCACCTTGGTAATACAGTCATCTCGTTATTACGGCCACAAAAACAACCATACATTTACCTGGAAAGAAACCCCCGTAAATATTGTCATCTTTTTATTGTGACCAAATTTTTTTGACCCATTGGTGACCGTATTAACGGGTTTCCACTGTGTCTCCTTTTTGGGGTTCATGCTTGATTGGCTTTTAAATCGTATTGAACTTAAGGCGGGTTTTCATAACACCCAAGCTCGGAACACGTGACAAACCCCTAAGAATGTCTGCGTGGGAGTGTCCCAGATTTGAAGTTATTGCCACGTGAGTGGCAGTATCCTAGGTGGTGACTGATCAAGTTATTGTAGGGAAGGAAAGGTTGCAGACCATTTGCACAAATCTTGGAAGCAAGTCTGTCTGTTCCTCAAAAATGCTTCTTTTGTTCTAGTTTCCCCCATTTGTCCCCAGCCATCCCAGATGATCAAAGATGTCTATGATTTTTTGCATTCTTTATTGCCTGTCCCTCCCCTCCCTCAAACATATGGATCTGGTCGGCAGGGATTTTGAAAACCCGACTTTAACTGACCGGTCTGGTCTTTTCCCTTTCAACAGTCTCAACATGGCATGTGTCCGTCAAACCCAGAGGACTAGGTACTAGTAAAAATCTCGCTGGTCAGTATGATCTGCAGCTGACTAGTGACTCGTTAAAACTGGTGATTAAAGATACAAGAGATGCAGCAGTGGAACTTAAGCTTGTCAACATTAGACGGTGTGGGCATACAGACTGTTTTTTCTTTATGGAACTTGGTCGATCTGCAGTGACTGGTGCTGGTGAGATGTGGATCCAAGTGGATGATCAGGTTATTGCACAGAACATGAATGAGGCTATACTGGGGTAAGTAAACTCTTTGTTTTGTTTGGGTAGCAAGGGTGGCACAGTGTGAAGAGCACTCATCTCCCACCAATATGTGGGTTGAGTTTGTTGTTGGTTCTCTCCCTTGCTATGAGAGGTTTTCCTTAGGTAATTGTCTAGTTTTCCCCTTCCCTCCAAAACCAACACTTTGAAATTCCAGTTTGGTCTAGAACACACAGACAGGTGTAAAGAAGTTCTTAAGAACTCCTAAGTGCTTCATGGATAAACAGTTACCAAAAAAAAATGTTTTCATCTTGTCTCTTGTCTGCTTTATTGTCTGTGCCAACTTCTGCTGACTTAAATTTAGAGATTTTCCATTTTGTACAAATTTCAGCAGGAAACTGTAACTTGAATTTTGGATTAGGATAATTTTGGGAAAATCTGGAATTTACATGTCAGCTATTTAATAATACACAAAAGTTATGTCAGGAGTTTTTCTGACCCATTCAGTGGGATATGACCGGCCAACTGAAAGCTCGTCCCCATAAATGGTCACTGTTTGTGTACAATTAATAATACACTAACATATATTACTTGCCATTACATCCTCTAGGGTAATGCAGAATATATCTGACATACCACAAAAATCCAGACGCCGTTGTGCTAGTGAGGGGAAAAGGGGGAAGGGCCGGCCACGCCCTGTTTCAGCCGTCCTTTACCCACCCAACCGTGTCCGCGCAGACACAGAGCCAAGTTCCCCGCTGTCATCATATCGTGTTGGCTTGGCAAGTTCCGCTAAAAATTTGTCACTGAGTGAGAGCCCTAAGAATAAACCATCGCCTGGTCTGAATCGCTTCCTACCTCGTCGAAAATCAAAGGATGGTAAGTTATCATTGTGTGTCCAAGTAATGCAAGTGATATCCAGGTGATTGGCATACTAGACCGTTCACAGTCCCCTATTTTTTCGTAAGATTGTCAGGATAGAGCGCTTCCCGGTACGGACGTCCATCTTAGTTTCCTGTGTACCGAGGGGGCGGGCGACGGGGTTTATAGCGGTGGGTGGTGGGAGGCGAGAAACGCCTCCTCCCAATCCGTCCTCTGCTCCCTTATTCGGCACTCATTGCATCCAAGATTGCCGTCCGTCATGCAAAGCGCTCAATGTCGAAAGTCTTACGGAAAAATAGGGGACTGTGAACAGTCTGTTAGCATAGAAAACGACCCCAACCCCCCAAAAAGGGTTTGGGACAGCCATCACTGTTTTATAAGAAATTTTTGTCTTTTCAAACAGTTTCAAGCGTGGATAGCTCAAACAGTAATCAAGAAGAGACAAACTCAGATTTCAATGACAAGGTGTTGGTCAAGCCATATTCAAGCAGTCGTCCATCATCCGAGGAAAGAGATGTTCAACCAGGTACTAGACACAGAGCGTGCAAATGCCAGAAAAATGCGGTCTGTCTAGGGTGCCGTCCACACGTATTCGTTTTTCTTTGAAAACGGAGAGTTTTCAGTTTGACCTTCCGTCCACACGTATCCAGTAAAAACGGTCACCCAAAGCGCATCTTTTGAAAAACGCTGTTCAGAGTGTAGCCAGCGCTACAGACGAAACTAAACTCTGGTTAAGTCCGTCTGCGAAACAGCACCGAAATTCTTGTTCTGGGCCCGCACCTGTGTACCAGGATTTGAGTATGTGCCATGATTGACCCGTTTAAAAAAGCCATTGTCAATTCGCCAATCAGGATGAAAGGATATACGAAACGTACTTCCGGTAATTCGTTGAGTCCGTTGGGGGCCTAGAAAAAACTGTGGGCGCTGTTCTGTAGACGTTACTAACCGAGTTTAAATGACGTCTGCAATGCAGGCTATCTAGACTGTTCACAGTCCTGTATTTGTCCGTAAGATCGTCGAGATCAAGCGCTTTGTGTTACGGGTGCCATCTTGCATGAGTGTCAAAACTACTTAGTGGGCGGGGGCGGTTTCCCCTCGGTACATTTGAAAATCAAGATGGCCGCCATTGACGGTAAGACGGGCGATATCTCGACGATCCCACGAAAAAATAGGGGACTGTGAACAGTCTACAGGCTATCCAGAGTAGAGATTTTTGAAAACACCGTTTTGTACCCCTGTGGATGGATTAAAACGGACGATTTTAAAAACGATCACGTTACGGTGTTGGGTACTAAAAAACGCGCATGTCACGCCCATCAAAAATCCCGGATTTTCAAGCTCCTTTGCCTGTTCTTGTGGAGAGACAACAAGTTTAAAAAAACGCAACATGTGGACGCGGATGTTTTTGAAAACGGAGAAAAGAGCATCTTTTTTCAAACAAAAACGGATGCGTGTGGACGGCGTTTAATCGTTTCACTCTCAGTCTTGTAAGCTGGTTCTAACTTTTGAGTCCGTGGACACTGTCCTCCGGTGTGACCATTGAAATGTTACCTCTTTGACAGTACTTTCACTTGGTGTCATTTGTTTTTCAACATTTTACAAAATGACAAAATGAAGTTTTGATTTTTTTATTTTGTCTTGTCTGATTTTGAAAGTGACTTTCGTTCTGTTTGCCCGTACTATTGCACTTTCCCAAACAGAATTTCTTTTTTAAGGTTACAAATGACTTACAAGGGTTGTCTTTCTACAGAGTATGTGAACTTTGGAGCAGAAAGTATTGAAGACACACTCAGTTCTGAGGATTACATGAAGATGGCGCTAGACAGGGTAAGCTTAAAGGAGAGAGTCCCTCTTTTAATTGGGTAGTTGAATTGCACGGTTCTTGCTCTTACAGGGTGCGTTTGATTTGACCGTTTTCCGGAATAAGACGAGACCGAAATTTTGTTACAAAATTCAATTCAGAACAACACTTTTGTACAACTGGAATTCTACATGCATCTTGATACTGTATTGCAACCCGGTCTGCAGTTGTTACGATGTGATAAATTGAGAGCCTGAGTAAAAAACAGGAAAACCGTCTCTAAGCTTTGTCGCGATTATTCCAACTTGTTAAGAATCCGCAAGTGGAATTTTTATGACAAATTCTTGGGCACCGAACCTTATATTTGAAAAGTTGAAACCGGTTTCAAGTCACTTTGTTTGCGGGGCTTCGTCCATACGAGGCCGCACACAACTTTTGCAAATGTTTACGTCAAAACGATATCCACATTGGAGATTGTTTACAAAGTGGTATGTTCACGGTCATTTCGGCGTGGACGAAAGCCATGCACGCGTAAGTTAGTATGAGGACGTAACCTAAAAGTGTGGAGTCTCGGTTTTGCAGAAAAATTGGTAGTTAGGCAACTGTAGCTCCTTACCTGAGACGGCTAGGGCGTCAAAAACAAATGATTCGAAACAACATCCCTTCACGTGCATCACATTTTGAGCCTTAATTTGCACGTGCGCCGCTTTTGCACGTGCATCACACTTGTTTTGTACATGGCTTTGGCGTTTTTGACGTACAAACAAAGACGAATTTCTCTTAATAGTTTTGGATGCGGATGTAGACCCGCTTAGAATTCAACTCAAGGAATACTTCAGCCGACGTTTTTATTGCATGTTGGGCCTGCTTAAGCTCCCCAAAGCTTCTTTCACAACATGGAGTGAATTTTACCACTTTGCGTCCATGTTAAAAATATAATCATGATTTTTGAGTAGAAATCCATTGTTTTTAATCTACTTCGTTACTCACGTTTCGTTCTTTATCAATTAATCATCGACCGACCTATATTGTTATCTATGCCTTGTTTTACTTAGAATTATTTTAGACTCCGGGATATACAGTCGACTCCCGATAACTCGAACCCGCTAAAACTCGAACCTCCCGCTAACTCGAAGCAATTTTCATTTCCCTTCAGATCGTTTTCTATATAATTTTACCTTCGATAACTCGAACTTTTTTCTATTTCCCTTGAAGGTTCGAATTATCGGGAGTCGACTGTATATGAAACACAACCCTGATTTTTGTTAGCTTATACATACCCGGGCGGTGCAATCAAAGTTTGCGTTGTATTCAGTTGGCTTTAAAAAATCCCCGGCATTGCCGTTTATGGGATTTTGCTATGGTAACGTGGTTGTCAATAGAGTGACTGAAGGCCCCAAGAATTACTGCGTCGTTGCTTGTGGTTGCGTGCCAGTGTGATATTGTGCACAAAGGTTCACCAGGCGAGATCCAGACGTGGTCACACTGCACGGCATTTATGCGCAACAATTGTTGAGCGGCCGCCAAGCTTAGGATATGCCACATTTTTGGTCAGCGGTTAAACTGGATATAGAAATTTGATTGGCTGAACATTGAAACTCCAGGAAAAATTTACTACATCGGAGAGTTAAGCTTTATGTTTAAACAAGAGAACACGAACTTCGACAGTTAATCCTGTGGATGTATTAAAATGACCATATAGTCTACTGAAGGCTTATCGACCTCTTTTTTGAATTTTATCCCTTCTTTTCCAATAGCGACATAGCTGTGACTCATACCTAGACATGGACCTGTCAAAAGCTAAGGCCATGAAAGCGGCGAGAGACCAGGATTCACAAGAAACGACAAAGTCGACACAGACCGCCCGTGAAGGGGGATACATGGATATGACGTCACCAAGACAACAAGAGGAGAACCACGTGACACCAAAGCTTCAAAACTCGGGCATTGTACGTCAAAAGAAAACTTCATCACCTAGGCTACTGCGGGCCAATGAGAGCCCCCTGCCAAATAAACCAGACATTCGTGAGTTTGTTTCTCTGAAGAAATCGCCTTCTTCATCTCGAAGGAATTCAAGTCAAGATTACATCACCATGAGCCCTGTAGGAGTACGAAAAGAACAGACTCCAATATACATGAACTTTGTCCCCCCGGGTCAGAAACTCTCAAGAAACTCGTCAAGTTCAGAATCGATCACCAACGACAAGGAGCACCCTGTGTATGTGAACTTTACACCTGGAGAGAACCTCGAAAAAGCGGGAAGGCGGCTGGAATCTCACAGCCCAAAGAAATGTCCTGAAATTTCGGTTGATTCTTCGCCTTACGAAGAAATGCACTGTTATGTTAATTTCAGTCCCTACAAAAAACGCGATCAAATTTCTGTGCCCAACAATTTTAGAAAACACAGCTTGGAATCCATACTTACCGAACCGTCACGTGAATATGTCAACGTTGATCTCAGCGGTATCGCAAAAAGCAAAAGCGCAGTAGACATGCCTGAATACGTGAACTTTACTCCAGGGAGGCGATTTGAAAACGGTAAAAGGGACAGCGTCGGATCTAGTGGGGAGATAGATAGCAACGTGCAACAAGAGGTCGATTACGTCAATTATTCACCAGGTAAACTTGACGTCAAACATAGCAAATGGCGTAGGTCCCCTCGTTATGGAAGACGGGAAAGTGAGCCAGCGTTGTTACGTCCAAGTAGTCGTGATTTCAGGTCGGTTGCACATTCAGCTAAAGAAAACGACGAATCTGCTGAGCTTCATTACATAGTGCTTGATTTAAGTAAAAACGAGAAGGATGGCTCAGATTCGCCTTCCCGTCGAAGCTCGCGGCCGCCAAAAATTGATTTAAGCTCTTGTAGCCGCGCGGCGGCGCCTGGACCAAAATCTGCGCCCTTGGTAAGTCCTTATGCTGAGGTAGATTTTACAAAGTCTCATGGGATCAGGCAGGCGAGGCAAGAGATGAGAGTGCCTGCCAACACAGCGGTGTAAAATTGGGGGTCAAGAGTGGAGTGGGCTATATTTTACGACAGGAGTGGTCTAGGCCATTTACCGAGATTTATTTCCACTGACGCATTCAGCAATAAACTATGGCGTAAGCTATACATAGAAAGGAAGTCATCCTGCAGTTTTCATTTGAATGCCCACGCCAGAGAATTTTACGCAGAGGATCAAGAGGTAAAACCGCCTTGTACAACATGATAAACAGTACTTCGGGAAAGAACTGCTCAGTGCCTTTCATTTGAATGCTCACATCAAAGGAAACCTCTCCTTAGGAAAGTGCTGCTTAGTAGCCCTCATTTGAATGGTCACACCTAGTATTACATCCACAAAATCAATGGCAATGGTTTGTTGGAGACGCACTTATCCCTCCCCTCTTTTTTTTCTGGTCTTACCGACCGGACCGGTATTCCCTTAGTGTTTCGTACAGCCATTATTTGACTTATTTGAGTTGTCACGCAACGCCCCTCAGCTATTATTTCTTGGGGACGCGTTGCGTTATTGCGTGACGACCAAAGTAACTCCGCGTTAGAAACTATCGCCTTAGCCTATGACACACGAAAATTTTGCTGAACTGCTCTCTCACTATCAATTCTAGGAGCTTGGGACTATTGTTTTTCCCAGCTCAAATTTCAGGTTAAGAACAGTTTTGATGGCAGTTATAACTGGTTCTTATTCTATGTAACGCATTGATTTTCACATTCGAGGAACATGATTTACTCGTTCCTCATATCTCTAATTTTAAGGGGGTAATGTTAATTGTGTGGGATGTAATGAGCCTAGCATCCAGTTTCACGCGATCAATGTTTAAAATTTTTTTAGAAGAGGAACTGTAAATACTTAAGAGGAATTTCTCAAATTTATTATTAAAGATAATTAAGGATGGGATAAGCACGGGGATATATTGAAAGACTGCACAATTTATTCTAAGAATGTGTGAGTGAAGATTATGAGGAAAACACTTCTGAATTGTTTTTCGCTACTAAGGTTTTTTTTACTGACACACATTTTCATACGTTCACAGGCACGGTTATAATTTCTTTATAGCTCATAAGTTGTGAAATAGTTAATTGACCCACACTTGCCATAGAGACAATTATTGAATTTTAATAATTGTATAAGTTATTTTGTACAAACATAATGCTGATGTAACTATTTTTTAAAGTGGCTGGTGTAAATTTAAATAAAGATTAATCTCAATTTTCCCACGTTACTTCTCCATGCTTTGTCGTTTTTAGCAGTTTGAAGTGTCACCTTATCTTTTAGCTACCTTCTCTCTTGAATAGCTAACGGGACAGAAGGCAGATGAATCGAGAAAAATGAGGGAGGAAGGTGCGTAGGGAAGAAGAAATGAGATCATTTTATGTTTGTGGGAAACTGCCCACTTACCCCTCCCCTAAGTCAACACTAACACTTCTCACTTTGGGCAAAATGTTAGCTTAGGGAAGGGGTAGGTGGGGAGTTTCCCAGAAACTTATAATGATCCAAGAAATGGATGACAGAGGGATGGGGTGATGAATTGACACATGAGGGACAGGATAAGAAAAAAAGAAATGAGGCAGAAAAAGGCGTGGCGAATTGAGGAAACAAGGAAAGAAGGGAAGAAAAGGAACTGAGGGAGAGGGAATAGGGTGATGACTTAAAACACGAAAAAATCATACTCCTCATAGTTTCTCTTTATTCCATATTTCTTTGTGCAGTTTCAAATGAATACTATTTACAATAAGCCCCTTGCAGTTTGCGGTCACATGACCTACTTAACGCATAAATATAGGATGTAACTTAACCCTTGAAGCCCGAAAAGTGATCGGCATGAAATTTTTCCTAACAATATCAATGCTTTAGAAAACAGAGTGGTCATGAGAATTGAGTACATGATCAGGGAAGGGATGGAAAATGTATAGGGGAATTTTATTTTCTTTTTCAAATGCCTTATCTTTTACAAGTGTTTCATACAGTGTTTGGCCCTTACATTTTGCATACGTTGTCGTTCTTGCGAATAAACAGTCCTCCCAGGAAAGCTTGAAAACAGTAGGCAAAAAAGCAATAGGTTTAGATTGGTAGAACATCAACTCTGCACGTGCATCGGGCTTTTTTGTACATTTCTATGCCGTCGATGGCGACTGCAACGTGAAGGTGCCTAATTTCGTTTTGTCGAGGACGTGACTGAAAACAAAACAACAACTTTCTTTTTCTCTCCCTGAACTTTGATAATTTTGGAATCCAACTACAAAACGATTTGCCAAAATTTGACGAATACACGATATGGAACAAGCGCGATAAAGTTTGAGGCAATGAGAATTCACTTTTTAAGTGGCGTTTTCGACTAGTTTTTCAAACAGAGTGCTCAAACAAAGTGCCCATTTTAAATTGATTGACCCACAAGGCTAAGATTTTATGGTTGTTGGAATGTATGCAAAATTATAAGGTTCTTGGAGGGAAAAAAAATACTGGTCCTGTGCCGGACTGTAAAGCGCGAGGTCTTGCGACCTTTTCAATTGATATCTTTAATACAGTTTCAACGTTGGTCAAACCACTTTTAGTTAAAATCGCGCTAATAAGAGTGAAAACTCTAAACGTTCGCAGACCCACTTTTTGGTTCATGCTCTTTTAATGCGTCTTTAGGCTTGTATCCCAGACAGGTAGGTCACGTGTCCAAATAGGTCACGTGTCCACAAACTGCTCAGGTATGACAGAAATTTACAGAAACTAAAACTAGGAAGCAATAAATAACTCGTGATTTTCAAACTAGCTGTTCAATACTTTATCTACTAGTAGTAAAACTAAGTAAAACTAACTACCGGTTGTTAAAGCTAGTATGTGCGCTAACACACTAAACGAACATAACTGGTAGCAGCATATTGAGCCTGCGATGACCAGAAAGGTACTAATCAGCAGCGTAACTAGGAGAAACCAGTATACATATAAAACAACGGTATTTTATACCCTTAAGAAGAAGGAGCCTCTATTTTAATGAAATCGACGGGAGGGGTAGTAAAGTACCATTTACCAGTAACCAAATGGAGTGTCTTGCCTCTTCCCCTCCCCCTGTGCATAAACACTGAGCTGCCGCGGAAGGAATTTAACTAATAAAGCAGAGAAGAGCTAGGCCATTTAACTGAAAAAATAAAACTGAAAAAAAGTACTGCGAAACGACGCAAAATGGGAGGGATTTTTCATTTGCTAAATTTGTTTCACTACATATACACGCAGAATTTGTCAATAAATAAAACTGCTTTCACAAAGCAGAAAAAAAAAACGTTTTCTAGCGCTATCGTCTCTACGTGCCGCCCTACTACTGCCTCAAAAGTTGGTAATGATATATAATTTCGATACTTTGTAAAAATAAATTTTCATTTTTTTTTCACATACGAACACAAAAAATAAGCCTTCTTTGAAAAGCATACAACTCCCGAGTGGAGAAAAAAAGGGGGGGCTGACTATAAATCTGTTCTTGCACTATCTGATACCCCCAATAAGGAGTCTGTTAGTACAGTAACACTTGTGAAGGCAAAACCACAACGATAAACCAGTCTGTTAGTACAGTGGTATTCCAGGGAAGCCCACTGAGCTACTAGGCTGGTATCGAATCGGATCTATTCTTCGAAAACTAGAGCTAAAGCTGATGTTACACGGGACGATTCGCAACGAAGATTTTTAGTGCCACATAGCGTTGCAATGTTGGAGCAATGTCGTAACTATTCGAAACGATGTCGCAACGATGTTGCAACGCTTTGTTGAGCTAAAAATCTTTGTTCCGAATTGCCTCGTGTAACGTCACCTTAAAACTCCTGGAGAAAATGAGAAACCTGCCAATCGCTTTCTTCAACGACGGTTTCTGAGAACTAAAGTCTAAAAAGAACCCTAAGAGTCTGTAAGATAAGAGCTTGTATCGAGACACTCTCGAGCGATCATACCATGTTAAAAAGAAATAACTGACCGTTCTCCGTTCAATTAAGGAAGACGTAAGTGTCATGTGACAGATGTCATACAGCCCCATTTCCCTGATATACAGATTCGATTGTCATTGGCCAGCTATTGATCACGTGCTCTTACACTAATTTTACATGTATTCCGCGCAGTGGCCAACATCAATTTTCTCCTAATAATATCAATACAAATTATTAAACAAAAAAATTGGGAGAATTTATTAACTGATCGTCTGAGGGCAAATGCTTTGATCTCCTATCAAATTCTCTCAACTATATCATTAAGGAAACGTATGGACATCAGTTTGAAGAATTTGTATGTTGATAATGGGGTTTGAAGGGTTAAGCAACCGCTGCCCCCTACACCCATTGCCGTGACCAGCTTTGCTTATGGTGATTAAAACGATCAATAAAAATACGAGCTGTTTAAAGTACTGCTTGTTTCTTTCTGCGGGATATCAATCTCAATTCGAGGACCCTAGGGACGAGGTTTTGGACCCTCGGGAAACACAATGGGAACCGACGATGTAAAAATATAGTTTTCCGGGGGTGGATACCAGGTAACTTAAATCTAACGAGCCTTTGGGAAATTGGTAACAAGGTTATAAAAAAACAATTAAGAGCGTTTCTGGCTTGCTAATACATCGAAAAGTAACACCCTTCCTTGGGTTTTAGTACAAGGACGAGCAAAACTTTTCTTTCGCCTTCAAAACCTGGCATGTCAGGACCCAGTAGGCCACTTTGTTAAACAGTTTAACAAACTGCTTCAGTTCTGAGAATTGTTTCTAAAAGCTGCGCTTTTAGCAGCCGTCTCGAACGACTTGTGTAAATGGGATATGTAACGCCTTACATGTTACATTTTCCCATGTCTTTTATAAGCTCTCTCTTTACATAAAATAAAACATGTACACTTATTTAAATATGTTAAATATTTTAGCCTTTGCTTTAAGCAATGCTATGCCTTGATCTTCCACACCTAGAAGTGAAATTCAAAATAGTAAAAGAATTCACATTCCCCTCACAAAAGAAAGATGGGGGAGGAAAAAGGGTGAGAGCCAGGGAGAATAGGGGACCGGAGGGGTACAGGGGGTGGGAGGTTTGGATCCCCCTCTCCTCTCCCCAGCCCCCACCAGGAAAGGATTTTGGGTGTGCGCATGCGTGAGTCATTGGCCTGGAGATCGTGGGAAGAAAAAAGGGCCTAGTTGCTAGTTCTATACTTGGGGTCTGTTTTCCATTTATCAGCCCGGGGACCGGACAGACCAATGTTGTGGAGCTGGAGAATTTCAGTGTTTAATCAAAACTATCCAGCTAGATCAGTGAAATGACTAAATAGCATGCAGCCCCAATAAAGGCGATCATGGCTGCCACTGCCCGGGTGATAGTGTTTCAACAAAACTCTTGGAAAAAGCATTTTTCATGGTAAAAATGACTGGTCTGTATGCTCCTTGCTTTACGTTTGCCCGAACCTAAAGCCCCGAACCTAAATATTGACATCAGAATTTAAAGAATACAAAAAAGGGGCCTAGCTAACAAACCAGTCCACTTTGATTAAACTGATGGTTTTTTCGCATTATTTAAAAATGATTGAAACCTCGATGTTACGTGTAAACACGAGAATTTTCCGGGCCCTGTAATTACTGGGAGTTTCGAGAAACGGGTTCTCGCTCGAAGAGGTTTTTCGGCGGCTTCTCCAGTTTTCCCCTTTCCGAAAACCAGAAAGTATAATGTACTTGCAAAGATGTTGTAAAGTTGTTCTAAATTTCTCTACTGAATTCTTACTTAAAGTAAAATAGTACGAGATTTTAGGAAATTGTACCTTTAGTCTAAAGCCCAGCAGATCAGACATGACTCCTGAGAAAAGAGACAATACTACCACTCGAGTAATGTTGTACAACAATGGGTTCATCGACAAACCAGACATCTTGAACGGGCTTTCGATTTCCTGAAAAAAATAAAATAAAAAATAAATACTGCAGCAGGCCTAGCTCAGTCGGTAGAGCGCTTGATTGCAGAGCGAGAGGGCGCGGATTCGATTCCCGGGACCGGACCATATGTTAAAATACCTCAAAAATGAAGGCGGGAGTACGGCCTTTGCCCTGCAAACGGCTGAACCTTCGTGCGGCTCGGATGACCAATTATAACAACCGTCCCGTTTCCAGTAGGAGACGTAACAACAGCGTCCTCAATGAGTACGTTAAATACATTGACACTCGAATAAAGTGAGCATTTAAATAAATAAATAAATAAATAAATAAATATAATAACCAGTAAATGTATAAATAAGCAGTTAACAGTTAGCAATCACTATCATGATGCGAAAAACACTATGCTTTTCTTTCCTGAGAAATTGGTTCTTTTTATATCTACGGGGTATTTGAGAAAGATTACTTTTGTTAAAAGTCCTCACGGCTCAACAGAAATCCATAAGCGTTGAGACCTGAATCTAGACGCCCTTGAAACAGGCGATGTCTCATACAAAAGACCTTTTGACCGTTACGGCGACTATTTTGAATAACGTAAAATTCCGAAAATAAGCCCCTCCATGTATAAGTCCCTACAAATATAAGCCCCCAAAGCACAGCAGTAACGCAAAAAACTCTCCGTTAAATCGCCCCTCCAAATATAAGCCCCCCGGGGGCTTGTACTTGGAAAATTGCCCTCAAATACAAAGTAAAACAAAGCAAAAACTTTAAATTTACTTCCAACTATAAGGCTAGCCCTATCGATTTTGAAACGCAAATTTTCCTCCGTAGATAAGCCCCTCCAAAAATAAGCCACTCAAAAAGGGTCTTTGAAAAATATAAGCCCCGGGGCTTATTTTCGGAATTTTACGGTAAATTTATAATCCTTGTGCAATCCGTGTTTAACCCTTAAAGTGATACCTTCAGTAGTTTGGTGGCTAACTTAAGGACGTGGTTTGCAATCGTCAAATCTTCTTTTTTGTGAGGAGCTTTTTCCATCTGAAGATAAAGGTTGATCTGTAAAGAGAAAAAAACTTCACTTATTATAATTTCCTCATGAAATGATTGTAAGAGTGCTTACTGAATTTGCCGCTCTCCTTGTTCTCGGCGGAAAGCCTATTCGTTTTCCGTTAACATGATACAAAGGGATTTCGCCTCTACCCAAACTTCCCTTAAGTACCCCCAAGCCTCCCCGACTTTCCTTGATCCCGGCGGGAAGTTTACACGTTTTCCACTAACATGATACAAAGGGATTTCTCCTTTGCTCACCTGTTCTGTGAGTAGCCCTGAGGTGTTAGTGAATTTACTGTTGATTTTGGAACCCAAGGTCATGAAACGCAGAACATATACTGATAACACAAGACACCTGCAATGAAAAAGCGCATTAAGTAACAACAAAACACAAACACAGACAACTTAACATAAATAAACACAAATTATTATTATTTGTAGTAGTAGTGGTAGTATTATTATTATTATTATTGTTGTTGTTACTATTATTATAATCAGCAAGTTTTATTTGGATAACACATTATTGATGGGCTTATTTTGGGAATTTTACGGTATATTACTCACCATATTGACACTTCCCAGTTAAAAAGTATGGACAAAAATCTCTCCTTTTCGTTTCCTTTTATGAGCTACAAGAAAACAAAAACCTGGATGAGCCTCTCCTTTCTGATTACAGAAACCCCTTAACTATTTTCGATCGCTTTTGCCGGTTTCCACGTTCATTCTAATTGAGAAGTCATCTTATCTTTAGACAGCGAGCGGTCTCTTATTTTCCTTTTGAGTCACAGTAGATCGGGAGCACCTCTCTTCTATCTCCACCCCAATCTATATTCCTTTTTACCATAAATTTACATAATTTAACTTTTCGCTCCCCAAGCGTGGCTCCGACGAAAGAAGGACGACCACCCGCGGTCTACCTTATCTTCCACAGCCGTTTAAGTCCGCACTAGTCTCTATTGGTGCAATTACAGCGTTGAATGTAAAATCGAATCTTAAGGCCAATTAAAGCAGACGCAAAATCTTTCAGCTAATCTGCTCTCAAACTCAATTAAAGTATTTTTAGTCAATTCATCGGACTGTCTGGAAAAGAAAACTATCACGTTACCTCGTTTCGATTTCCTTGCGCCCTTGGGAAATCTTTAACGGATATCTAATGCCTTTTAATTTTTTTTTCAATAGTTCTTACTAATTTTCGTCCGTTTTGTTTTTGTTTTAACGCACCTAATTTTCGTCCGTTTGAAATCATTTCATGTACAGTTTTTGTTTTAACGGAGGTGATCGCTTACAAGAATCGAACCACAACTTAGAAAGATCCTTTAAGTTACTATGTTTCTCTATGATGGTTCTTCGTATATTCTACGATTGAAACCGAACATTCAGAGAATGCGTAAATGTATGACAAAATTAAAAAACGCACACTGAACTTTCAAAAAATGGCAGATGGTCGTTTACTAGACATTCCAACTGTAAGTCTTTGACTGGGAAAGTTTTGGTGTTTTGGATAGGCGGTCGTTTATGGGAGGTGCTCGCTTAAGAGAGGTGGTCGCACATGGAGATTCGACTGTATAAAAATTGAACGCACTAAACGTTCAAAAAAAATGGCAGATACGTTTACTTACCTGAACACACATCAGTATCACTAATATCATTCCAAGGATGAAAGATGATGACACAATCATGTCTACAGACCTTTGAGGACCTCGTCTCTGATAAAAATTAAAAAATGTTACTTTTAATCGTCTTTCTAGCAATTTTTTTTGATACGCGCATTCTGGAAAGAAAACATTGTATATAATTACCTTTAGCAAGGATCTAAGAGACAACCATGTCTTTATATTTCGCACTTTATGGAGACGAAAGTGTGGCAGACCAGCACGGCGAGACTTCCTTGACGAGGTCAACCAGCCAAACAACTTGGCATACAGGCAACGCTGAAATGAAACGAAAAATAAGATGATGATCGCAGGGTAGGGATTTAGAATACAAACATGACAAAAAAAATTCATACAGCGCTCATAAGTAAGCTAACTCGAAGCTAATCTCCAGGGTCTCCCTGAAAGAGATCCTGGAAACTTGATCGATCCAAAGCGTTCATCTCTCATAAGGACTGGGAAACAGCAAGTTACATTTAAGGGTTATTGATAGATTCATTTTTTTCGCGTCATGAAACATTTCAACCACCCCCCAATAATAAAATTAAAAAGATAGGAGGAATGTAGTTGGAGAAATATCGGGTAAGATCAGCGAAGGGTCAAGCGAGGTAGGGCGACAAATTGAGAGCAACTTGGGGGAGAGAATCAAGCTCACGTTGTATGACTTCTCACCTCTCGGTAAGATTTTTCTGCAACGCACAGCAAGAAGAAAAACGAGAAACTCAGGAAGAATCTCTCCAACATGCTGACAACAACAATCACACGAGACCTAAAAAACAAAGGATATATGTTAGTTGGAATATTGAGATTGATCACGTTTTCAGCGACGGCATAAGAGAAAGTCTGGCTATAGCTCTGGTTTGATTCCTACATTTACCAGACAGACTAACTGCTGAATAGCTACAATTAGGCGAGTCTTAAGGCGGAACTCTGAAACAAATGCTGAGAGATAAAGCAACAATAAATACAGGTCCATATCACGTTGCTGACAAGACAATGGGATTATAAGACCTTATAAGTCATATTTACTAGCCAGTAATGTAAACAGAACAAGAATCGAAAAGAGAGAGGAAAAGCGTAGGCCTGGTCATCCATCAAAGAACCTATACTTGACAAGCATGGCGTTCTTCAATCTCCGTCCGAGAAAATGAAGAGCAACTAGTTGGTCGACAGTTCTTCCTGATTACATACAGGTCTAAGTATATTTTTCCTTCTCATCTCCTAGCATCTGGTTGAATGAAATTAAGACTTTTGACTCCAGCATAAGTAAGCTTATATGCAGGGTTATGAGTCGTCGAAGCCGTCCTTTGTGTCGTCACGCAACGCTCCTCCCCACTTGTGGGGAAGAGCGTTGCGTGACGACACAAGAAACGGTTGCCTAAGAGACAAGGATACGAAACAATCAGAAACCAAATGAATTAAACCGGCACTCACCAAACTGTATATCCAAACATTGTACACAAGAGTTCTGGAGTATTACTTCTCCAAAGATTTCCGAGCTTTCCCTGGTACAAAGAGAAAATATTTAATAAAGTCGAACCTCCACTAGTGAACGGCCGCCTTCTTTTGACCCAGCGGACAGTCCATACATTGAGCTCTTGTTTAAACCTCTCTACAACGCAACGGCCACTAGAGCATGTCGTCAAATGCCAAAATAACCTCTCGACAATGGCCAGTTTTTTTTTTCAGGGACTGATGACAAAGTCAATATCTCTCACGAAATTTGATCCGTATGGCGCGTAAATGCAGTACCATATTGTAAGAACCTTTTCTCAGTTAGAACATACCTCAGGCTGAGAGTCAGTTAACTACGGCTAACAGCAAGCATGAACTTGACACAATAAACATGTTGGACTCCCAGGAAAAAAGACAAGCGTCATTTCACACCCCTACCTCCCCATAATTAACGGCCATCTCTCCAAAACGGCCATTTCTTCTGTCCCTAAGGTAGCCATTGTGGAGAGGTTCAACATTAACCTTAAGAAAATCCTAATACGACTAGAAAAGAACAGAGTGCTCTCCAGAAAACGAGATTTCAGGTAACCTGACCCAAAAGCAGAAAATATTATAATACTTACACTTGTATTGTAAAGACGAAAGAGTAACGGTATAAAAGCCAGCAAAACAGAGACCACAATGGCAAACTGCGCGTAGCCGGTGTGGCTTTTGTGGGTATCCTGGAAAGGAGCAAGACACAGGAGTTTGAACTAAGTAATAGGACGTTTTTTAACAACGCACGACAACCGGAAGTGGCCGATTTGCATTCTTTGGCAGTGGTTTTGTCCCGAAATTACCACTAGCAAATTGTTTCTATAAGAGTAAAGAAACTTAGCAAAACAAATTTGGCAGCTTCATGGCTTCACTTCCAGTTGACGCGCAACGCTCACAAACACTTTTGCTTGAGAGAAAAAGACAAAAATGAAAATCCACCGCATCTTGAGGGACTTACCACTTTATTCTTAATGGCAGTGCTTATTTCCATGAGAGTCAACTGAGCTTTTTTACATTGGTTTCCTTCCCAGATTGAAACCATAACTGAAAAGTATAAAATCAGTGATAACGAATGATGATTTCGTTTATTATAGGGAGTCTGAGCAAACTTAACAACGACAGCAAAGGACACGCCACCTGCGCTTTTTCCAACTTCATCGCGTTTATTTAATCCTCGCTCAATTCATCAAGGGTGGGTGCAGCTTGAATTTTTCAGCGGTTAGAATTCTTAAGGACTGTGTCCAGTTTCAAAGAGAGGGAAAAACATCGTCGTCGTGTGTTCACGTCCTCACTTCTCACGTCGTAGTAGGGCAGTTACGTCACAGAAATGAATCAAAAAACGTGACGCACGTGCAGATAATACCAACTAGCTTTTTGCTTTCTTACTGCTGTTGTTGTCGTGGTAGCGCGAGGTCGCGAGCTCGATTTCAGGGGCTGGCACACGACTCGGTGAGGGGCCCCTGCTAACATACGATACCCTAAAATCACCGTTACAAGTCCTGGGTTTTTACAGTTTCCTAAGGTAAAGTTCAAGCTGTACGTTACCTTTTTCTGCAGTTGGTGGAGGAGTTGGGTGTTCTTCCAATCCAAGAGATCCGTTCATCTGAAGTGCAATACAATTTGTATTAATAACACGGATATATACTCAGTTACCATCAGACAAAACGGTTACCGGTCATTTCGCCCCCAAGTCAATTCGCCCCCACGTCATTTCGCCCCGGTCACATAGCCCCCTATTTTACCGGGGCGAAATGACCGGTTACCAAATAAACACAAGCGCCATACCTGTTTATCCCAAGCAAACGGGTCTTCATTGTTACTATCCATTTCAACATCAGACACATCACTCTCCGTTGTAGAAGATGTTGTTTCTCCGCTTTCGCTCATTTCTTCTTCTGTTTTATCGTTGTCCGCATCCTTTGCATTCTCTTGTTCAATGTTTTCCACTGCTTCACTGTTATACTTGTTATCGCACACTGATAACAAAACAAAAGTGTGTCTTCAAAATGAAAGTCTCTGGTCTTTGATCTGTACAGTCATATCTATGTCTAACGGCACGTACAACTTCATCAGTCATGGGTAAAGCTTCATCAGAAATTAAAAGTCTGAAAACTTATTGTAATATTCAGCACCGATCTACATGTATTGTAGAGTCTAGTGAGGAAGTGGGGCAGGCCTTTGTGGGTACATGATGCTCAGAGTCGGGAGAGGGTACAGCTTTTCCGTTTTCTGGCCTGTCTGTCTTGAACCAATATAAAATTTTACGCAAAAATGCCCAGAACAAGGTTTTCAGCCAAGCATGCATGTTTTCTGTCCATTTTTCAAAACAGGGTTCTAAAACAGAGAGGTAGCTGGCCTATACAACCTGTAAATTCTTTAGGCTTTTCTTTTGTCTTACTTAAAAGACAGCATCAAAGTTTCACCCCTCTACCAACTCAGTACGTTCCCGGCTCTCAAATAGTAGGGATGACACGCAAGCGTAAAGCACGCGAAAACGTTTCGAGTCAATTTAGGTTTCTAGGAAACTGCCCACGTACCCCTCCCCTAAGCCACCGTTTTGCCCTAACTGAGAAGTAAGTGTTAATGTTAGCTTAGGGGAGGGGTAGGTGGGCAGTTTCCCGAAACATAAATTGATCTGAAGTTTCCTCCCGTTTTATTTTCGTGTTTGCGCTTTCTCAATTTCGCGAACCCGACTATCTCGGAGCCTGGATCAGGCTACTACAAACTTGGGTCATGGCCCTAGAGGTAGGATGATGAAACTGTTTATGATAACTTTAGTAGACACAAAAAATAGCCTTTACCAGGCCCTGATTCAGCAGCCTGCTGGGTTTTTCTTTGCCGCACACCATTTATAATCAGCCCGTTATGTGATGCTGTTCCTCCATTTTCTTGTCCGCTGCCTTTTCTCTTCTGTCTTGCAGCTGCTCTTCCTCTGTAAAGCAAAGATTAAATATATGAGTAGAAGACAGAGTAAATACGTTATAAACAAATACATTGTACATGTAAGCAACTGCCAAAAAAATGGAAATTTGGGTTGTCGCCTACCGAAGATTCTAAGCATTTTTTGTGTCCATGGCGCTCTTCTTGAGAGGAAACATGGTTCCCCAGAAAATTGAAAGCAGGAGGAGAAAAAATAATAGTAGGCAACAAAAGATTATCGATTATCTACTGAGAGGCATGTTGGAGAAACTTCACATGACAAAACCACATATGTGGGGGTAAGTATGGAGGGGGCCACACCCTCCCACTGGGGAATTCTACCAGCTTCAACAGCTAAGATATTAAAGCTGTCTAAAGTATTAATATGAATTTGTCTATTCCTACAGGTAAAGTGTACTCACATCTGGTCATCGTATCTGATTTTGTCCAGTTAAACAAGACTAAACCCCTCTGTAGTGATGGAAAATGTGGTTGTTGTCAACAGGTGCTATTAGTAAAAGTTTGATGTTGTAGTTTCACTGCATAAGCTCAGATAAAAACTCGGCTTTATACATGTACCTTCTGTGGATGCTTTTGACTTTTCTTCTCCCCGAAGAACTGGAGTAGTCTGTAGAGACCATGTACATATACAACACCCCTAACAACACCATGATCTAAAAAATAAAACAGAATTATTATTTATTTTTATCACAGACTATCGGAGAAAGCAGTGTAGCAAAGCAGTTTTAAAAGGCTGGTTTTCACTAACAAAGAAGCGTAAAGCGTTACTGTATGATCAAGTGAAAAGAGTGGTCTGATTCCGCTTGTTACTTTGTTGCTTGGTGTACATGTAGAGTAATAATGGACATTCTTTCAAATAAGCAAAAAACAGATTAAGAATTAAATTGAGAGTATATAAGGCGGGGTAATGCACTGGTCAGAGAAAAGTGAATAACAAACAAATTAGATGCAACGGAAGGGAGATATGCCGATTGTGTCAAATCTTTACTGAAGTTTGCTTTATAGTAAATGATCTTCTTTTTTGGGGTGGAGAAAATTTATAATATAAAACTCTTACCAAAGCTGGTCCACAAGCCTCTGACCATGTTACAACCTGAAAAAAAAAAACAGCAGTTATTTTTTGGGAAATGGCATACACAAAACAGATCCCACAAACAACACATCCTTAAATTTTAGTGAGAGAACACAAGAATATAACTTGCGTCCAAGACATAATCAACCCCTGTTAGTAAAGTCTGTGAAGCAGTGTCGATATCCTTGTTCTGGGAAACCCATTGATAGGCAAAATGAAAATGGCATTTTTAAAGGGCCAATCACGGTGCCTAGTCAAATCCCGCTACACAGATGGAGGCCCAGAACAAGGATTTCGGCAGTTATCTTCAGACAGACTTAACCAGAAGTTTTGTTCCGCCTGTGACACAGGCTAACAAGAATACCAAGAATACTATTACTCTCACCTACACCCACAGGAATCAAAGTAAAGTACATCAATATGCTACTAAATTACTTACTTTCCAATGAGATTCCCATTCTCTCAAATAAATAACAAGCACCAGAATTTCACATAAATACAAAAACAAGAACAGGAACCACAATCTGGGGGACAATTGCTGGGTCCACCTGAAACAAGAGAAACAGAGAAAGAAAATCTTTAAGCTCCGTGCAATGTCTACAAATGTATTAAACACATTATACTTGCACTTACTGTATGGATTTCAATGACCTTTCAAGTACAAAGGCATTAAGAGCCACCCAGCTTAAGTACTGTTATGGCCATATACAATTTTAGCAGGAAATAGTAAACATTGAACAAACAAGAAAAAGGCTGGTAAGCAGCTGCCAATGGAGTAATTTATTCTTTGTACTTGGCTGGTAACTGCCTTGTAATAAAACCACTCGATATATTACGCTCTGATCACGGCCAAATTTTAAAATAATGTGCATCCTCAATAACATTTTCCTACTTGCACAGGATTATATTGATAGGCTGCAAATCCAAAAGGCTTGGGCAAGATAATTATGGAGTAAAATCATGGAAATTCATGTTAGGCTAGGGTCTACACTGATCTCAATGCATTTTCATGGTACATGTTTTTAGAATGAAAACTAGTAATAAAAAATCACCAGACTTTTATTGTTGATGAACATTTCCTTGTGATTCTCACAACCTTCATGTTTGATTTACGGTGATAATCATAAGGAGAAATTAGATTCTGATCACAGTAAAATGTTTTTAAATATATTGGTTGCCTTACCATGATCGAAAGAAAGGGAAGAGAAGAACTCGGATTACACCTTTCTGGGTGACAGCTGACCAAGTGTGAACTGGTTTTGTCTTGGGGAATGTGGAGCCTGCAAGAAAAATAAATAATCCATGGTTACCAGGACTGAGTGGAGTCCAATTTGGTCTGTAATCATACGAGTGATTAACAAAATTGGACAACCATGTAGTAGGAGTCTGATTTGTTTGACCACGAAGATGATCACAGAGCGAATTGGATGACATGAAGTCCTATTACAAATTAATCATATCTATAACAAAATTTGTGATATTTTAGGGTTTTTAATGTAAACATAAGAAATTCTGAGAGTTTTTCGTTAGCAGTGAAAAAAGCCATTTAAGTTAGAGCGTGCGATGGCACGCATTGTCCGGTTGCTTAGGCATGAAGCATACTGTTCTATTTCACTGTCCTATCAGTGCTGAAATCAGGACAGTTGATAGCCAATAGGATTTGCGAATTTTGTTATACACTGTAGTTATAATTAAGTTAAAAATTATTTTTAATAACTAAAGGAAACAAATTCAAGCCATGACCTTGACAAAGACCTTCCCAGTCTACACCAAAATCAAAAGAACTTACTGGTAGACATTCATTAATTGAAAGGTTTTTCTAAGCACATACCAATAACAAGATCAACATCTATAAGTTCAGGCTTCAGACCACCGGGCTTTTTGGGAACATCTATAAAACCCTACAAATTAAAGCATATGATTCAGGAAAGGAATTTAAAAAAGGAAAATGCTTCTGATCACTGAAAACAGTTATCGAAATTTGTAAGTATGAAGGAGACTAGACCAGTCAATGACGACTAAATTCTGATTACAAGTAAGACTGACCATATCGTAGGTACCACAATCTAGTATCTACAGTGGTATTCTATAACAAAATGTGGCTAAATGTAATTTAGGCGAGGTTAAACATGAGACAATACTGGCCAGTGGTCTCCACCAGTAATCGCATGTGGGGTGGACTTGGGGTTTAGCAGGGCCTTAGTAATTTTACAGCGCTGTTGCAGGAGTCAATCATTTTGCTCATGTTGCTTTTGCATGCAGTAGTTATAGTTGTTTATTGCCCCCAACCCTCCCTCCTCTCTGGATGCTGTTTTGGTAAGTATCTGTGCCTCTTTCTAATGAGGTTCTCAGTGTGACGGTGCCCGGTGGGTGCCGCTCTCAGGGTTGTCATGGTCACCTTCTAGGCTTGCTTGCGCCCCACTTCTGTTTCATCAGGCACCTTCCCCACACCCACCTATTATTGATTGGTTTAATCAGAGCTTGCATGGGAACACGTACTGTAATTTACTTAGTAGTTTTTTTCTTCCACTTTTGCTTTCAACTCAAACAGTCTGGTTTTCACAAGATCACGAGTGATGTACATGTATGTAGTCATAAGCATAATCAGAAAAAAATGGAAATGTTCAGGTTCTTGCAGTTCCAAAGCTGTCATTACATGACTCTGCAAGGCTCACAACCCAGATTTCTTTTCTGCACAAGGTCATTGAGCTGATGACTATGATAATGACCTCAATCCTGACTCATTCAATATTGAAATGAGCCTTTTCAGAGTCAAACTGGTCCTATACATTGTACATTCTTGTTGTTTCATCGCAGCATCTTTTTAGCTTGTGAGTCTAAGAGAAAATTCATCATAATATTGAACATAATAACAGAAATAATATTGCAAATATTTACAGTTTCTTGCTCTTGCTCCTCAAAAGTTCTTTCCCATGAAGCTTTATCATATTTACCAAGCTAGAAAACGAAAAACATACACTATCAAAGCAGGGAACTTTCTATCTAGGAGGGAAAATTCGAATCAAGGAAGGGATCTTTCTATCAAGGAGAAAACTTCTCCATCCCTGAACGGACCTTCTTTATCCAGGAAGGGACCTTTCTTTCAAGAGAGGGGTCTTTCTATCACAGAAGGGACTTCTCTTTCCAGGAAGGGACCTTTCTATCGAGGAGGGGACCTACTTTTTATAGAAGAACCTTTCTTTTGAGAAAGAAACTTTTCTATCAAGGAAGGGACATTTGTTTTTGGCAAGGAATATAACTTTTCATCAAGAAAAAGACCTTTCTGATACTGAGACAAATTCCCCATGCCAACCACTTCATGATAAATATCTCTGTGATAAGCTTTTAAAGTTCCTATGCAGGAAAGGACAAAATTTTCACATGTCATCATAGGTAAAAGTGCAATTTTTAAATTAAAATGCAAAATTCAGTTAATTAACCAACATAAACAATCATGTTTAATTTAGTGCAAGTTCAATTTGGTTGGCAAAGGCCCAACCATCTGAGTAAACTAAATGCCAAGCTATGTAAACAAACTAGCAATAATCAACTATTAGCGAGTACACTCTAATTATTCTTTTCAGCTTTACCTCTGAAAATGATGGACGCGTGGCCGAATTCAGAATTTACAATGCCAAGTTCACCATCTATTATGCTTAAGAAATTTTATGAAAATGGCTACACACAACTTAAGTGAAAAATTATTCTATTTGTAAGATCTAAGATATCACTGAACCAGGCATCGACAGAGTACAAAAATCTTTCCTCTCCAATTTGGTTACCCTCCAACTTTGGAATGCAATGCCGTTTCATTTTGCCTCAAAATACCACAGCAACCTGTGTATTTCACATACATTTGGTTAAACCCCTGAGTAAACAGCAGGTTTAACATATTAATGCATCCCCCTTGGAGAATTCCAAAATACATTCCTGGGGTCATACAATCAGTTAACTATATTAATTATGCATTTCCTAGAGGCCACATACATGTATTGTGTTTAATAAATTATTCCTTTTGGATTGTGAAATATAATTTGAACTAATTTGGCTGTTAAGATGTGTTTCATATATCATTTAGCCCTTTCTTCAGTCTCAGAGATGTTTTTTATAAAAAATGACAACAACAAAGAAGGAATTCTGTAGGAGGAATGAAGTATTGGACAAGTTTCTGAAAGAACCAAGGTTAATACTTTAATATAGAAATATCTTCAGACAATCTCCTTGCATTTCTTCAGAAGACATTATTATTTTCCAATTAATAAGAACAAAATAATTTTTAAACGCTTTTAAACTTATCAGCCGTTTATAGACAAAAAAAAGTTTGAAAGAAGTATGCAAATATTTTCTCTGTTAAGTGATAAATTATCCACTAGGCTAGACAAAATAATAAATCATAAAAGTTAAACCTGGAAATATGGGTTGAGTAGAAGCAATTCAGCTGAAAATATTTGCATATTAGCAAAAGTTCCTCGGGCTGTCTCGGAGCCTAAAATCGTGTGGCTATCATGACCAGTAATTGTAAGAATTAAAGGACGAAATCCGAACGCCAGGCTCATGCACGGCTTAACCATTAAACCGGTAACATTTGCTGTAGAAAAGTATCTTGTCGTTTTCGACGTGAAAATAGAGATTTTAAGTGGCTTGTTTTTTTGTATGTTACTTTGAGAATGTAAACGCAAAACGATCATGCAATCAGCTGAGAATTTTTCCTCGCGTTTCTTGAAGGAAATAAACTATGGCTAGATAACAGGGCTTTTTAATAAGGGCAAAGCGTACATGTTATTACCAAAACACGATCTAAATCAAGGTTAAATCTGACTTGGTGTCTTTAAAGTCGACCAGTACAACATTCAGCAAAGCTCGAATGTAAATATTGAATGAACTGTCATTCCAAGGAAACTAGTAAATTTTGTTAAGACTCGGCTATTTAAAAACCATTAGGGACTTAAGCTACCTTTATCGAGCAACAATCATCGATCTTACCTTCTCCTGAAACCAGGATATGCTTTGGTCAAAAGCCATTCAACTCTCGAGCGATCGAGAGAAAGAAATCGCAACAACTGATGCCGGTGCGCGAGTCGCTATTGACCTTCTACAACACAACAATACCAGTTTGTATAAAAAGAAACTGTGGGTATTTCCTTAGCAATTCAAGTCACTAAGGAAAGTGCTTTTACGCCGCTGACTTTTGTAGGACTTTCTTCAACAGTCAAACCACGTTTTGACGACCAGAAAAAGTGGAAATCCCCGTCGTTTGTCTTTTGACGAGTACTTTTTGACGGCTAATCTTTGATTTGCGCGCGGGCTCATCGATACCTATTATTAGTTCCCAGGCCAAACTTCCGTTCACACCGGAAGTAGTATTACACATTAACAACAAAAATATATCTTTTTTTCCTATAAATGACATGCAAATTGCAAATGGCCTTTATCATTTCTTTTATTTTAAACATAAATGTCTTATAGCAGTGGATTTCTCATTGAGCTAAAGAGCTAAGACCATTTCCGGAAATTCCTTGATAACGACTAATAATCACGACCGGAAATAAGGTTTCCTTGGTTTGCATTGTGGAGAACCATTTATGAAACAATAGTAAAACTATAAAAGAAATACACATAAGCTAAAATGTAAAGAAATATTAAAACACATTGAAAGCTGCCTTTCATTGGGAAATTTTATTACATAGAACCGATTGATTTAGCCAATTTTTAAATCGGAAAACCTGGAAAGGATGCACACTCCTCCGGTTTCATATGACAAAAATATTATGCTCTAAATGTGCGTTACTAATTGCACGCTTTTAGAACGATATCAACAATATAATCCAGTTATGCTCTCATGTTCACTGCACGCTTTTACAAAGAGGAAAATTCGTGCACTACAGTTTTCTTTTTGGTCTGAGAAACTGATCTAAAACGGTCTCAATTTCCTCTCTAATATGACACTTTTAGACCAAGAATCTACCAAAATTGGTTAAACACTATGCTCCACTTTTTCCCCAAAGTTACAGGCTTTTTCGTGTACTTAAGAATTTTTTAGCATAATTTATAAGATTTATAGGTGTAGTATATACTTTGTCGCAAGAGTTCACTTTAGGAGTATAACATAATATTGAGTCGACCAATAGGATATTTAGACGCGCGCACGGCAATATCTTGCTTTTAACTTTGCTCTTTGTTTTTGACAAGGTCTGACTTGTAAAAGATTATTATTGCAAAAGATTATTATTGCAATGTCAGATGCCTAAAAATTCTCTTAAATGAAAATTGAGAGGTCTCCAATTATTTTTCCTAAAATAAATTTAATAAAGTAAACACCTTTTAATAAATCTCCAGTCCTTTTAATAAACTACATCAGTACTATCACGTCATGAAGTCTATGAATAACTTTGTGAAGTTAAAAAATATGTATCGATTTCTTTCCGTTTAAAGCACCTGTACCAGAGGTGCACAAAAGTTATGATTTACATCTTGTTTAACTTTTAACATAACCTTTTTTTTAAAATACTTATTGTGAAAATAAAATGTGTCAGATGAAGTTTCAACAACAAACCTCTCTTGGGTTTTGGCAACATTTTGTTGCTTTTTCAAAATTTCTCAGGATCTAAACGGCTAAAAGTTACGAACGCGAAGCGATTTTGTGATTGTGACCGGGTAGCATCGCTGCATTTTCTGTAATTCTGCAATGAATTGTGATTGAGCGATGAACGATGATGTAATGAACCTCTCTGTCGATGTCTCAAAAATTGAGAGCGTAGTCGTCGTGATTGTCGAAGTGGTCACCTAACTGTAACTCTATAACTAATGTTATACTACTACAGGAGAAATATCTGCAATTTGATTGGCTTAGAGCAGTGGTATTTCAGCTTAATTTGAAATACCTACACGTGAAAATTACAAACCTTTTGCGGGTAGTAGTAAAAACAAATAGTAGCATGATTTGTACGTGATATTTGGCATACCGGTAAATACCACTAGTGATATTTCAAAATTGTCTCAAATTACGTATAACAATTTAGAAATATTACTAGTCGTATTTATGCCAAATATCGCTACAAATCATGCTATTACCTACACTAATAGCAAAGGTCTGTTCGGTGATAGTAAGGTCACCTACAGAACCAAAAGAGGGATATACCATCCAAAACATTCATTTTGGTTAGCCGTGGTTTTGGCTTTCTGAAACCCCACGAGGATGTTGCTGTTTAAGGACAAGCCACACTTAAATCAGTGGCTTTACCCCACAAAATGCTCCTGTGAAGTTATAAAGAAGATCTCAAACAAATTTCATCGGGAAGCACTAGACATAATGTTTTGTTTTGGTGATTTTTGCAGGGCTACCATTAAAACCCGCCCAAATTTTATGTTCATATTTGTCATCCGTAACAAGAGACGACAGAAACTGAACGATTCTTTTTGGAATTCAATTGGCACGTGAAGACGCGTTTTAGCTTCTTCAAAAGATAGCAGCTAGAGTTACCACTCTAAGTAAATTTCACTTCAAAATCTTAGACAAGGCCGCCTCTATTTAAAATTTGAGGAGATGAAAAGGAGAAATAAAACCCGTGCAAGAAAAAAGTTCCCTACGGAGATAAGGAAGCTTTGTCTAATCATGGAATGAAGTATGGTTACGAAATTGAGTGACTTGTGCAAAATTTATTCCCCGACGGGCAATAGGTTCCTTTCCCTGCAAGGGAGAGGTTAGGAAAATTTTGCACCCCCCCCCCCCCGCCCTCAACTACCCTAATTAATGAAAGCCCCGTAAAATTTTGCCTTTTCACAAATAAAGGTAAGATGTTAAAATTCAGCTATTACTAAAGTCCAACAGGACCCTGTTAGTGTCTGGTCAAAACGTAAGGCTAAACTTTCTCAACTCGCATGTGACGTCACAGCCGTCAGAAAGTGCCTTTTGAGACAAATCCACAACCGCTGTCCCGATTAAATGATTCCGCGCTCGCCCAATTTTGAATCCTCGATCACTCTTTACAGCGACATCTATCTGCATGGTTCGTAGCTGATCAAGGCCCACGATGTACTCGAAAGTCTCGTTCAACACTCCGTTTAAGGTTCCCGAAAGCTCCTTGGTAGCTCGCCGGGTGCGTTTGGAACGGTCTGGAAGCAAGTACAGACGGACCAGCGGATTGGTCTTGCTGGCCGGGTCAGGTGACACAAGATCTTTGAAGCTTTTGACGGTGACATAAAGACGGTTCTTTAAAAGGCTATACCTGAAAACAAGAGGACGTAAAAGCTTGCTGAAAGGAATAACAGATAAAAACTCGGCAAAGAAAAATTTAGCTGGTGTTCGATTTTCATTTTAGTGTTTGAACATCAAGAATTTTCGCTAAAACGACCAGAGGGTAACGTCATTGCGAGAGATGAATTGAAAAGATCGGGAAGGAGGGAGGGGTGGGTGGGCTGAATGACGCACTATGGAGCCGACCATTTAACTTTTGAGGGAAAGAGGGGTGGGTGATTTCAGAGAAAAAAATATCCTGTAAAATATATTCACTCCATATTGACTCTTGCAAACACGCGAAATGAATGACTCATTCTTTTCCAGGCTTTATGACTGAGAAAATGGCAAGAAAACTTTCTGGTTAAGTGATCTATTTATATTTAAAAGACGGTGCATTTACAGCAGTTAGGGGTACCATTTGTCAATAAAAGGTATACGAAATGGGTACCTTTCAGTCAAAAATGGTGTATAAACAGGGTAAGGGGTTGGACCTTGGAGCGGAGTACCCACTCCGAGGTGATTAATCCCGCCAGCTATCCAGCCTAAAGGAGAGTTTAAGCGTACCAGTTAATTTTTTAACATGCCTCTCCTTCCCATGACACCGAAATGAGCTTCCTCACAGGCAAACAAACCACTTACTTCAAATGAAGATCGATGTGCCCTTTGCTGGACAAGTCTTCTGTCGAGTCCTGGTAGCTGCCAGTGCCATATACACTTCCGTCGTACACACTTCCGGCATCTGAATTTTTATCGTGTTCGTCTTTCACTTCTGGTTGTTCATCTGCACTCACTCCGTTTATGACAACTTTTGGTATTATTATGGGTTGCGACAAGGGCTGGGTTCCAGAATCAACTTCTGTGAGTTCACTTCCCGAACTACAACAAGCAAATTGTTATTATTATGAAAATTACGTCTCGATTTCGCTAAGCTTTTTGTGTCAAAGTCACAAAAAAAATTCTAGCTAATAATAATTGGATAATTCGTCTTTTACAATTCTTTGAATCTGGGGACGAAATCCTATGGTGTTACCATTCAAATGAAACATCTTTTGCAAATCGTTTGCATGGTAGGATTTATCTCATGATTTCACGACACGAAACTTGACATTTTTTGTGACTTTGTTTGCTCTGTCACCATTACGAATGTACTCTGGTTAAGGAAGTCAAGCCTCTAAAACATCTCTCTCCGTTTCTTTTTTGCCACTAGCCAGCAGAGAGACTAAAGAGAGACCAAAGTAACCTGGTTCCCAGCGTCCTCTCCGTTACTCGCCCCTTTTCTCGCTCAAGGGAAAGAGCTAGCTGGAAAAGACCCTCTGGGAAAGATTGATTCCACGACTAAACAAAAGAAGTCGTGACTAATCATTTCCAAAATTCAGCTTTCGGCCGGACTGCACTGATCATGACCTAGTTCGAGGAAGTGTTCATAACATTTACCAAAGTCTTGACATTAATACGAGGCAAACCTCGTTTGCACGTCTTAGTAGACAAAAGAATATTTAATCCCTGGCCCTTACAAGCCCATACCCTTTTTCCAGTCCTTTATGAGACCTGTTTATAACTGGGCGGGTCAAGGGCTGCTCCACATTTCTCACTCAAATGTCACGTTTAGACATCCCGAGCGCTCGATGGAGAATGTATGACATTAAGAAAATTTCTGTCATTCTTTTCGTCACCGGAACATTGCAAGAAGAAACACTTATTTCTTCTTTCTTCATTCATTTTCGTTTTCTGTTGCAACGATCATAATTATGAAACAAATCGCCAGCAAGGTACCTCCCAGGGTATAATAGTAAGGAGGTGTTTGTCCGCTAGATTGTGACGTAATCTTCCTAGCATAACATCGCTTATCAAAGCTATAATTAGCGAAAGCAGCCTCGCAAAGCAGAGTTAGTGCTTGTTATCATCAGCGCATCAATGAAAAGTTAAAACATTCTCTATATTCAGATTGCGGGTTATGTTTTCATGGCATAGCACCATCAGAGTAGAGAAGAATCTGCATGAGAAGAGGGCAAGTTTTTTTTTAAAAGGAGAGCAGGCAATCACGTTACACGAAATAATTGTTTGCACGAGTTACACAACGATATTAGAGCGAGCAAACATACAAGTGGACGGAGAATCACCTCCCTCGTTTCGCGTGTACTCGCGAGAAGTTTTTCGCGCGCGTTTCCCTCGCACTATTCCCTTTGAGACCAATATAAGCGGCCTTTTTAGTTTTTTTTTCTGCAGAAAAATCTTAAATCTGGCACGACAATTTTTGAAATTTAAAATTCTAAGAAAACAAATTCACGAGTGTACCTCACTTTCCATTTCTCCATGCAAACAATGTATTTCGTGTCCGTTTTCCAGAAAACTCCGCTAGGATAGTTTAAATTATCCCATTTAAGTTAAAGCCAAGACAAAGCGACAAGAATGAGAAGTTCAATTAATTTAATGAGGATTTCATTACAGTAAGAATCTACAGATCAACCACTCAATTAGCTCTTTAACATTTAAGCTTGGTTACAAGATCGTACAGGTCTGATGGCTTTGTTATAAAGGTCCATTACCTGCTGGTTTGCAGCTTACGTCACGGCGGACATGATGTTGCTGAGAAAGCATTTCCCTCCGTCGAGAACTAGAGCCTTCCCTTGTCACTCATTCATTTTGTTTGTTTGTTTGTTTGAGACAAATTCTGCCAAAAAATGTCATGTTTTGACCTCAGACATGGCCGCCTTGTCACGTGGTTGCAAACCAAGAATAGCAAAAAGAAGAAAAAATACAAATTTAACCCACAATTTAATTAACTGCCCATTTGAAATTCAAATAATTTCACTCTAGCAGAATCCCAGTCCGAAAGTACAAACAGTAACGGTAAATGCGTTCTTGACACAATGAAAAGTTGTTCTCAAATAGAAAAATAGAAAAAGATTGTTAGGAATATTTCGTCTGGTAAAATTCGAACAAAACGGTAAATGTTTTGAGAAATATAAATGCGCTGACTGTATCTCGATTTTTTGTCATTTATGATCGAGTTTGTTTCGAAGTGTATCATAAATTAAACTGCAAGGAAAAAATATCAACGAGAAAAAGTATCATCTTAATTGTCAATGTTATACAAAATTGTACGAAAATATTCAATGTTATCTGTTACAAAGTACTCTGGAAACTTCACCATATGTGTCACTTTTTAATGACGAATAGTATTGAAAGGGAGAAAAAAGTTCCATCATTGGTTTACCTCGTTTTAGTCTGGCTTGATTTGAGAATCCTCAGAGTGAATCGGCATGTCAAGGTACTCTTTTCTCCGGATTCCTCCAGGGGGAAAGCCTCTTCCACGGACAAACCGTCCTTGTTCAGTAGCTTACGGATACTGAAGGACATTCGGCCCAGCAATTTAGTACCCTTGGCCTCGATGACTTTCACTTCCGCTTCCTGTCCCCCGAGATCGCCCACGAAGAAGCGCAGAGCATGTTTCCACTCTGTTTTCTCTCCAGTGCACTGGAAGGTCTGAAGGGTGGACTTTCCTACAGTGATCTCACAGTAAACGCTGCGAAGGGTGTCCGTCTTTCCACTGGTAACTGGAAGGGCTGCTGCTGAAATGGGCTTCACAATGAGGGCTGCTACAGACAGGCCCTTCTCCGGGGGTGGTGCCAGATCAAAGGATGAGGAACTTAGAGGGAACCACAGGAGCTGAAGGTGGATTCTGCCCTGTTTTACTCCCTCCAAAGGAAGCCAGAGATCTCTTGATCCCGTCTCCACTGTAGACTTAATGTCGGTACCTATGGTGCCAATCTTGCTGTCTTTAGACGAAGTGTCTTCATCGTAGATCACTGCTTCTATCTGCTGTCCTTCGCAGTTGTCTATGAACGCTTCAAAGGTCTCGTTCCACTCAGGGTCGAGGTCATTTTTGACGACTTTGGTACGAAAGCTTTGAGCTCCAACGCGAACTATGGTATAAGGATCTGATTTTCCCTTCTTCAAAAGACCTATGTCCTTGGCGATCAAGTTCTTCGCCTCTACGACTTTCACACGAAGAACACCTTCGGGGATCGGGTATTGCAGATCGCTGCCGTCTACTCCAGCGGCCAGAGGAATAGCGATGCGGTTTGGCAGCACAACGAAGGACGCAATGACATCATCCGTGATTCGGCGCAGAGAGCTCTTGAGCCCGGGAAGATCTAGAACGTTCAGCAAATTTGTCAAGTCGAATTTCAGCTTGGGTCGATTCAGGAAAAACACAGTTACCCCACCTATAGGGTTGTATTCAGAAACCAGAGGCTTGAAAATCACCCTCAAAACTCCGCGCAGCTCGATATTTGACAAACCTAGCTTGACATTTTTAACTGCCAGCTTGATTGTCGCGTCGCCATTGTAGCATAAATCCATGTCGAAGATAAACTCAGACTTCTTGTGGTCGGCCCTAGTGTCGTAAGACTTCACATTCGCCACGTGCGGAGGCTTGTTTCCAAGGTCGATAGTTTCGAAATACAGCGTGTTCAAGGCCTTGGGCATGTTTTTTTGCATTTCAGGTTCGACGCTTTCTTTCAAGATTTTGTAGACCATCCCATCGACGTAAGGCCACATCTGATCAATGATGCTGTTAACCCACTCGGCTTGCTCTTTTTCAGGAAAATACACCCACGAAGGCAGATTTTCCATTTTGTCGATAAACGAGGACTTAAGTGCCTTCTCCATGCGCTGTCTTCGCTTGTTCTTCTCCTCCATCTGATACTCCCAGCTCACAAAGATCATAAGAATCATGATAATCCAAGCGAAGCTGAAGTGAAAATGGCCGACGAGCCACAGCGACATGGAGAGAGCGAAAAACAGCAGTAACTCTTTCCTTTGATCGGCGGACATGTGTCGTAAGTTATGCCATATTCTCTTGTGAGCTGGTTTAGGAGCGGCTGTTGTCGCTTGAACGCTAGCGCTGTCCGCCATCTTTCAAAATAACTTCTCCAAAATCTGATTTATTTGTAGAAAGTTCTCGCTCTTAGATACTGGATTGGCTCTCAACCAGACTTCAACAATTTTCCAAACAGGGGCAAACCACATAAATCAGCTGGCCAAGCCAGGGTGTTGAAAATTTAGGCACTGGTTACAGCAAGAATTTACAGCAGAGAGCAAATTCTCTCCCTGTAGACGCCTACTACACGCTTTCCAGGCTAAGTTTAGACGAGAAAAACACTCGCGATATTTGTTCAAGGGTCAAATCAACACTATTGTTTTTTCGGAAATAAATATTTTAATTAGCCAATCAGCGTACGTATCTATCTTGATTAGTTAAACATTAAGTGACACGTCGATTCATTTGAATTTCAATTTTATACGAAACTCACTGACCCGTTTCAACTTACAAAACAAAAATCTGTGCATTTTTTTTAGAAAAATTTGTAATTATCCCGCTAAACGTTTTGAAATTCTAGAATGGTTCCTAAAGTATTTGTTATAATGACACAAAAGAGAGGCTGTTACAAGGTATCACCCAGAGCCCAACTGCGGAAATAATGCATGGAACTGGACTTATCTTTAATTGGACGTGACAGACTTTTAGACAATAAACAGCCCAGAATCTTCTTAACCAAAAAATTTAACCAAACTGCCAAGGGAAAAAACGTAAAAAGAAAAAAAGAAGACTGGGAAATAATTTCTAACGGATCTTATGATCTGGCAAAAACAGGAAATAATTTATAGGTAACGGATTTTAGGTGATCTATAATTAATGGCTGGCGTGGTCCTTAGAAAACTTAATTGAATTATTCACAGGAAAACACCCGCCTAAACGAACATTTTTTTTTTTATTCTAAAATGCTGTACATCCAATGTCACCTGATTTTTATTCTTTAGTCCTCAAATAGGGTTAGGGTTCACGAACCTTCGCGGCACACCCCTATCCAAAAGGAACGAGCCTATTTTCCTTATCGGTGAAAAATTATCAGTGAAAAATTACGATAGGTAGCCTGCATAGCAATCCCCTCCTAAAATTTTATGCTCCTTTTAACGAAAGCCGGGGGGGAACTTCAGCTTTCGCCCCCATGTAGGGGAATACGGATTCGGCTCGTGGGATTCCAGAATCCGGGAAAATTTTGATTGTGGATCTGGAATCCTGGACTTTGGAATCCGGAATACAACCCAATAAATCGACATCCCGCCAATGATTGAACTTGTGAATCCAAGTTCCACTGACAAAAAATCCAGAACCCAGTCCTTTCTTCAGCTATCCCTTATTCACCATATGTTCCTTCGCTTTGTCTTTCTATTTTTTGTTTCTTTGTTTATCTTTCAAAAGTTCAATCTCGACTCCAGAGCCTTTCTCTATTGCGCGTGACTACGGATGAACAGAGCCGAGTCAAAGCAAGAGCTCTGGGGTTGAGATTGTCGTCAGCTTTCCAGGTAAGCACATGCGCACTGGTGTACAGGTAACTACCCTTGCTATTTGTTTTAGGTCGGGTTCGTCACGGCAGTCTTCACGTAGTCTCAGAAAAGACTGTAAGAAAAACTAGAAAACCGCTCCTAAACTGAAATGAGCATAACGCGCTCAAGACCAAATACAAAACAATATTATTTCGATTTTTTACGAAAAATGATACAGTCAAACTTTGTTAATACGGACACTGAAGGGCCATAGAAAGCGTCCGTATTAAACGAGTTGAAATTAGAGAAAATTTGAGAGCTTGCTTACTCCGGGACATGGGAAAATGTCCGTAATAACGCTGTATTCGTAAAGCGAGGTTCGACTATAATTTGTTCAGTGTATCTCGGCAAAAGTAAGATGTAAGACCACATAAATACAAAACAGTGTTATGAAACTGTACGGGAAAAAAGAGGAAAATGAATTGCTGAATAATTGTCGCACTGGCGCTGGTCACCCTTCTTACAAATCAAACATTAGATTATATTTACGTTTCCGCCCGTCTAGGTAAGACTCTTATACGAGTCTTATTCTGGTTTGTTTGGCGAAAAACTAAACCAAAATATATTTGGCTAAACACTAATACGCGGACAACATCCATCACTGAATTTAAAGAAATGTCAATTTTTTCTTTGTGATGAACAATGAAAGTAAGAATTTCCATGGAAAATTAGTGTTTACTTTTAGCATAAGAGTTTAATGGTTTGAATTAATTTTCTTAGAAAAAGTGGGAAAAAATGAACATGGCCACATGCTGTAATTTCTTCCAAAATGTTTAAACTAAAAGACTTTTGCTAACCGTTTATACTAGGTTTTTATAAAGGCATATTATCCGCATTTTATCTAAAAAACAAAATTTTTATCCAACAAAAACAGACGCTTATTAATAATTAATCAGGCTATAAACTGAATAGAAATGATTCTTGCTGATCTCTACACTTCTGACTTAATTGAAGTAATGACCACAACTGGAGACCAATAGATCAAAACAGTTTCGTGATTGGTTGACTTGCGAAATAAAACCATTGTAGTCAATAGGCTGTTTGGGCCACATCTGCAATCCAGCCGAATAAAATTAAAAATACAAATTATGAACATATGCAAATACGACGCTTTTCAAGCGATCGAGTCTTTTTTCAAAAAAACTTATCATTGCTGGCACAATCTTTAATTCTGAGGAAGAAGCGTGCAGGCAATTTCTGTGGTAAGAATGATACCATTTTAGGCTGATATACGTAGTATTTTTCAATGTTTTATAAACAGTTTCCTCACCCAATATCGCAACTACACCTTACAGCTTTACTAGATTGATTTATTCCGGTCCTTAAGAGAGACTTTGAATTACAATTTCATCGCTTTCTGTGAAATAAGTGATTTTCTGCTTGATCTGTTTATAGAGTGGAATGAAGAAGGGAGCAAACATCATGGCAGACGAGGCTCACAGCTCGATCTCAAGCAAAATGTTTCAAATCATTTTAAGAAGAGATCGACGAAAATACCTTATTTGTTTTATCATCGCTTCCATGCTGTGGCTATTTGGGGCATGGAATATTAGCTTTGCGTGGATTATTTTATTTATTTTTGGGCATGTGTTTGGAGGATACCGCTCAGCGTTCAGTAAACAGAAACGAAGAAACTTCCGTGAAGTTGCAGATGAGATGAATCTGTCCAAGTTCAAATCATTTTCGGTAGCCGCAAAGTATTTATCTCAAAGCGAGAGCGCAACATGGCTGAATAACATTGTTAATAGATTGTGGCCCTCAATCGAGGCAATGACGCGAAATATTATCAAAGAAACCATAGAGCCCGAGATTCAAAAGAACCTTCCACCTGCGTTAAAGACTTTGTATTTTGAGAAGATTGAGCTCGGTGAAAAAGCACCGTTTATTGGAAATATAAAAACGTATTCGGGAAATGGTACCGCTGCGCCTTCAGAATTTGTAATAGACGCCGATTTGTCGTACCATGGCGATGCACAAGTCAAGCTATCCGTCAAAAATGTAAAACTGGGCATTTCTAACTTCCAACTTTACGGGCCACTTAGAATTATTCTTAAACCACTTTCGTCAGATGGAATCGTGGTCGGCGGAATAACTGTCTTTTTTCTCAAGAGACCAAAGATTTCTCTCAATTTGACAAATTTGCTAAATGTTTTAGATATTCCAGGATTGAAGAAAACTCTACGCGGTATCGTTGATGACGTCATCGCCAACTTTGTTGTCTTGCCCAATAGAATTGCGATTCCTCTGGCGGAAAGTGTGGACGCCGGAGACCTGAAGTACCCAATCCCCGAAGGCCTTCTGCGCGTCCAGATTCCGGAAGCGCGGGAACTGGCAAAGTCCGATTTTTCGCTGATTCGAAAGGGATCTCCAGATCCTTACGCCGTTTTGGAAGTAGGAGCTCAAAAGTTTCGCACAGAAACCAAGAAAAACCAGTCAAATCCTAAATGGGATGAGATATTTGAGGCATTTGTAGACAATTCTAAAGGGCAGGAATTGGAAATTTTTCTTTATGACCATGATCTAGCCTCAAAGGATTCCAAGATCGGCAACGTTGACATAAAAATCCGTTCTGTTGTGGAAGAGGGTATGCAGGACATCTGGCTGCCTTTGGAAAAAGCGAAACGGGGAAAAGTTCATTTAAAGCTGGAGTGGTTTTCTCTTAGCAACGATCCACTTCATTTTAGATATACCAAAGAAAATGAAAGCGTGGCCGTGCTGATTGTGAAGCTGATCAAGGCACAGAATCTCCCAAGCCGCAAGAGTTCTGTGTTGGCCAGAAACGTTTATTGTCGAGTGGCAGTGAGTAATAGAACGCTTACTAGCCTTTGTGCGCAGGCGCAAGGCGACGAGTTTGAATGGCAGCAATCACTCTTATTCTTACTAACCGATCCACACGAAGAAGTCCTTATTGAGGTAATGGAAGGTAGTCACTGCTTGGGTTTTATGGTATTCACTGTTCGAAAGCTCATCGAACAGCCCGACATGTCACTTGAGAATTCCTTCCAGCTGCTTAGTACTTCCGATGAAACCGGAACCGGAACTATCGAGTGCAAGCTATCCCTGCGTGCTTTGAAGGCAGCAGACACAATCGCTGAGCCGAATTTCTTGCAGATTGGTCAAAAATTCAATGCTTGTTACGACGAAGAAGGTATTCTACAGCGCCAGGACACTCCGACTCTGATTTCGGAAGTAAATGGTCAAGACTATCCTACGACTACCAGTAACAGCAACGAATCAACTGAGAAGACGTCTACTTCCGGTTCCACTTCCAGTTCCGGTTCCGGTTGCGAGTCCTCCCCAAGCGGAAGCATAGCAGATGACAGATCAAACGAGCAAAGTACTGAAGGCTCAAGTCACGATTATTTATCTCGAGGGGAGTTGTCTTTGAAATTAATTTACGATCATCGACGAAACCGACTCATGGTTACAATTTTGAACGCCAAAAACCTTTCATCAACAGAGCCGGTTTCTAAAACGAACACCTACGTTCAAATTAATCTGATACCTTCTCGCTCTAAGAAATCGATACGCAAGACTTTCTCCTATCCCGGCAGCCTTCATCCCGTTTTCAATGAGACCTTTGATTACGTTATCGGCCTTGATCAACTGGCTGACAAAAAACTGTACGTGGTTGTCAAGAACGAGAGGATCGTGCAGTTGCCAGGGAAACGACGTGACGTTATTGGGGCTACCTCTATAAACCTTTGTGAATTGGATTTGTCTGCTGGTGTAACTATGAACTGCGAGATAACTAATTGAAAACTTTTGCTAGAGAGCAACATCTCTAGGGCTTTTTGGCCAGAAAGGAGAGTTTAGTTAAAGAATACCAAATGTGGCAGACTGACAAAGAAGGCTCGCTTACAGTGCGGACTGTTAAGAAACCGGAAACATTGGAAAAAAGATTGTTCAATGACAGCAATTTCTAAAAACAAAAGATTCTCGAGATCTTTTGCAAACGCAGGAACAACAAAATTCAAGTAGAATTATGCAACCGTGGAAAACTTTAAACCGTTTACTTACCTAACCTCTCAGGAAACAGCCCTCATATTTATGAATGTTATCGGTCCTTTTGCAAAAAAAAAATTGAGAATCTTTTCTTTTCAGAAAACGTTATGACTGGACAATCTTCTTCCAAGCATCCCGGTTTGAGTATCCGCACTGTTATAAGAGCTTCAACAAAGTCTCGAGATGAGACTGGAAAGAAGTTATTAAAAACTCCTCAGCGGAGCAAACCTCAAAATCATGATTACTACGTACAAAACATACGAAAAAACATGAAACATGGTTCCTCCAAAAGAGACATACGAATTGAAATTAAAGTGCCTACTTGTGTATTAGTGATAATAGCAATAAAATATTGAAATTGGGTAGAGAGGTCTCCTCTATCAGAAACACTTGTGAAGCAAAACCACAACGACAAACCAGTGAGAGTCATCCGGATCTCTAGAGTAGACATTGTTCAGTAAAATCTTGAGACCAAGTTTTAAAATTAAAACAGTAAACTGATCCTTACGACAGGAAGAGTGATGGAAAAAACTAGAAAGAAAAGAAAAATAATTTGGTGAACTGTATTTGTCTCCTCTATGCCTACTGTACCAAAAGTTGGTGGGTGCATATATGTCAGACATGACATTATGCTTAGAAACTATCAGTGAGTAATAAACGATAATACAGGTTATTTTTACTGCAAAAGTTGCATTTTTTGTACCTTTTTGTTGCTAACAGTTTTATGTTCTCCTTGGCCTTGGCTTACTAAGCTGTAAAGTCTCAGCCAAAACTCTCGAAAGTTTATTCTTCTGTTCCTACGATGAAATTAGGTTTTATTATTTAGTTAATTTTTTAAATTGAGTTTACGTTCAGTAATATCCTACTATGTAATCATGTATCCTCTTTTTTCTCTTTTTTCTTCTTATGTATTTTGGTTACCAATTGAATGTAAATGTGTTATAATAAAGCACTGATGAATAATAATAATAATAATAATAATAATAATAATAATTTTTTGATGTTTTAATTTTCATACCTGCTTCTGCTCTCGATGATGGAACCACTAAGCCATGAAAATAACTTTAATTTAGTCGTTGAGCGTTTTAATGGAGTGTCCAGGTTATCGAGTACAAGTTATAGCGGAGCTCTCGCGCGCGAAGCGCGCGCAGCAGAGCATCATGGGTAACAAAATTTGATAAACTATCCATCCAAGCCGGACAATTTTGGTTCTGAGTAAATCGTCCCGTACGGTGTACGTCCGTACGTACGTCCACTCCTTCATGGCAGCCGGGGTAAAATTTTGCATTTCAAGTACGCGCGCGTTTCGGCAGTAAATCGCATAGCCACCCGGACTTTTAGAGATAAAAAGCAACAACAACGAAACCGATTCTTTCTTTCGACTTAATTTTTACATTGGCGTGGATAATAGAGAAAAAGCTAGAGCCAGAGATAAACAAAGGAGACCAATTTTGTTTGAAGAATAACATAAAAATTTTATAGCGGCTGTGAGAAAATGAGAAATGCTAGCGGTCACCCAGGTAAAAAAGAACGGCGGCAAAAAAAAGTGAACAGGACCGCGTAACTGGGAAGTTTCTGGAAGTTTCACGTTGTCGTCTTGCAAAACAACGGCAAAGAAATGTACAAAAAAAGTGTGCTGCACGTGCAAAGTTGTTTTTTTTTTTTTTGCTAATTAGACCTATTGTTTTTTGTTTTTGTTTTTTTTGTTTGTTTTCAGTCTCACTGTTTTCTTTGCCGTCACCGCTTGGTTAGCACGATTTTATATTTGTTTCAGTAAACTATAGATATTAACGAGAGCATCGCTTTTAGCCTTGGCTAAATCAATATATTAGAATCTAGAAAATGACCAAACTATTTTTCGGCAAAAAGGTAGTCGCATTCATTTAAATTACCGTAGAATCCCGGTTATAAGGCCCCCCGGTTATAAGCCCCGCCGATTATAAGCCCACCTCTCTGCTAATAGAATTTTCCTCCCGGTTATAAGCCCCCCCGATTATAAGCCCACCTCTCTGCTAATAGAAATTTCCTCCCGGTTATACCTCTGTTATACCGGGTACCGTATACATGATTAAAATTTTCATTTTAATAGAACGGATTTTAGACGTTTTTTTCCTCCCTATTATAAGCCCCCCGGGTTATAAGCCCCCCCCGATTATAGGCCCACCCAAAAACCCTTACGAAATTGTATAAGCCCAGGGCTCATAACCGGGATTCTACGGTATTTTAATGGGAGGCTCCCGCCTAAATGGAAACCTTTTTTAGGCTTCTGGTGTGAAAAGGTAGAGCTAGATTTCACGAGCTGAAGTATATGAATTATTATCGTTCATTAGCTTCATTCTTCCAAGGGTTGAGGAGTGTTTCAATCAAAATCAGAGAGGGTAATCAGATTGATCCCTTTTAAGAAGATTCCTATCAAACATGGATTAAACACACTGAATTCTGCAAAGCTGATCGTACCACGTGAAAATTAAATTTGCAAGACATCCAAACGACACCGAAAGCGGGGTAGTAGCCGTGGACAGCTGTTTCGCCCTTTTTTAGTGCTCGTCAGTACGGTGCAAGGAACAGATAGGCTCTGCTGGTCCTACTGTAAAATTCCCGCAAACTCTGTTTTAGAGCCGTGACATTGAACCTGAACACTCACAGAATCACGCCATATCACGTGTGCCTGAGAGGGCAAGAGCACGATGAGCCGCAAGCAGTAAAATTTCTGTCCCGTAATTTAATCAGTTAAATCATCAAAGTTGACAGGTCTTTCTGATGATCAAAGCGACCGTTCGGTTTACCATTTACACCTTCAGTGCGAAGACTGTCACGGGAACATTAACACCTTCAGGATAATTGCTTACCATAACAGTGGTAGGTTGCGCGCGTCTGGCCGATTTCGAAGAACGTGATCGTGACTGTTGTTTTTATTCAGTGACTGTGCGCGTTGATATGCCAACTTTTAAAACAGACTGCAACATTAAATTTTTGTTATAAAAGCAAAGAAGCTGCTGAGTAGAAACTAAACCGTCCCAGACTTATTCCGTTTCATTCGTGTACTTTCATTTTGATGGGGTCTGTATGATGAATTTACTTCTGCCTTCTAATCAGGCACGTAAACAACATAGAGATAAAACATTTCATTTTGCTTTTGTGGAGTAGAAATTAATCTTAAAAAAGTTAAATTAGTGGACCACTTTCTCCGCGTACTTGTAAAAATAGGTATTTAATATGTCGCGCTACAGTGCGAAAATCTTCTTGTCGTGGATTAGATTTCAGTATACATATTCTTCATTTCGCGCCAGAATAAATTAGTTTGCGCGCAAAGGGCTTCTAAAAAAAGATCACAGGGTTTGTCCCACGTCGAGTCCTCCTTCTGGAGAACTTGGAGATACGCCAGCATGGTATCTGGAATACATTGCCGAGGCGAAGATCTGGCATTTTTTCCTCCTCGTCTTTTTTTCTCCGCGACGTTTGTTTATATTTGTAGTGAGAATGCCGCGCATATCGGTGGATTTTACTTCAGTCAAGCGGCTTCAGTTTCTGCGGCTTGCTACTCATCATAAAGAAGAGTGCCGGAATCGCTTTGTTCGCCTTTAACGGATTTGTTGTCGAATGCAAGGTAAAAGAACGGACCACTGTAAGGTAAGAATTAAAGTTTAAATTTGTTTCTCGGCGAAAAATAGTGCATACAACTCGTGAAACCCGTGAGTATTACCTCTGTTTAATATACCGGATGTCATGCGATGACCCCTCGCTTTTACGATGGATAGGATGGATACAAACAATAATTTCTTTCGCAACGTTTAGTATCATTTATTTAATATGGAGATCATCTGAGGACGATTTTTCGTTATATATGCTTCATTTCTTGACTTATTCCGGCTACGTACGAAGAATTAGATGACAATGTTTGTGCGCTATAATTATACCGATAATTTCTTGCACCTTGAAACTCATGAAAGCCAAACTTGTTTAACCCTAGCAAAAAAACTCTTTTAATGGAGAAACTCAACCTGATAGTTGCACTAAAATCTAATAATTGTTACTGCATTTGCATGCTCTCTGTAACCTCGTGGGTAGAACATACCTGATGGTTACATTAATAATAATCACTGCATTTGCTCTCTGTAACCTCGTGGGTAGAACATACCTGAAGGTTACGTTAATAATAATCATTGCATTTTCTCTTTGTAACCTCGTGGGTAGAACATACCTGATGGTTACATTTAAAATAATAATCACTGCTTTTGCTCTCTGTAACCTCGTGGGTAGAACATACCTGAAGGTTACGTTAATAATAATCATTGCACTTTCTCTTTGTAACCTCGTGGGTAGAACATACCTGATGGTTACATTAATAATATCACTGCATTTGCTCTCCGTAACCTCGTGGGTAGAATATACCTGACGGTTACATTTAATAATAATCACTGCATTTGCTCTCTGTAACCTCGTGGGTAGAACATACCTGAAGGTTACGTTAATAATCATAATCATTGCATTTTCTCTTTGTAACCTCGTGGGTAGAATATACCTGACGGTTACATTAATAATAATCACTGCATTTGCTCTCTGTAACCTCGTGGGTAGAACATACCTGAAGGTTACGTTAATAATAATCATTGCATTTTCTCTTTGTAACCTCGTGGGAAAAAAAATTAATGCCTCTCTCCTGGAAATTTTGCCCTGTCCTTTGAGCATAGTGATCTTTGGGTAGCGAATTCACGAAAACAGGTAAAACGCTTTTTTTAAAAACAGCATTTATATTATTTGGCTTTTTGAGGGAGGTTAAACATTAATGGAATAGAATATAAAAAAAGCTGATAAAGCGGAAAAAGTTATCTTTACAAAATGCGCTTTGACAATGTCAAGGAGTGAAATAAGCTGAAGTTTTGTAGTTAGCCCGAAGAAAACCGGTTCCTGCATGAAAAGCAGTTCTGATTCCCTTCTCTTAACTAGAAGAGATGCATATCCCTGTGAACCAGTTTTTTAACTAGGAGCGATTCCCACTCACTTAAGATACTTTATTGACACGAGTTCCTATTTCAATGTATGTCTAATTCAAGCTTAGCCGCGTGATAGCTCTTCGTTAGCGAAAAGGTCCAAGTGATATTTTGATTGACGTGTTCTTTTGGATCCTGAGGTTTTTTAACACCTTTTCTCTAGCTTAACTGGCGAAGATATTCTAGGAATTTGCCCTTCAATTCCAAATTCTTTGATGTGCCGCCAGATGCCGTGCAAAAATATCACCTCTTGCGGCTCCTCGTGCAAGTGTCACGTTGATGTCTCACACCGCTCACCGCTCACAAAGAAAATATAGGATGGACAAAACCAACATGGACTTATCTTGACTGTGTGTGTGTTTTATTATTTTTTCTCAATATTTTTTTTGTTTTGTTTTGTTTTGGTTTTTTGCTTCTGGAGCAATTTGAAAAAACGTTTTAGTAAGTTCTGATCTGAGATCATACGTGTACCCTGGTAACCATGCCCTGCCGCTCATAGAGTTTGGGTTGCCTGTGTTCCTCCCCGTGGAACGCCTGGTCGTTTTCATGTTTTTCTTTCAACTTGCAGAGTCATGATGTTGCGATCAAGCTTGCTTTTGTGCTCTGCTGCTGTTTTTGCTCTTTTCTTTACGTCGTGCACATCAAAAGACGTTTATACTGCTGCAGTCTACGAGCATGTTACATTCTTTGTCTTTGAAAACAGATCGTTTACTCGCCAAGAGGCCTTGGACATAATGAAGAAAAACTTAGTCGTTTTCGACGCGAAGGCGAAGGAAGCAAAATCTCAAGGGGCTGACATAATCGTTTTTCCCGAAGATGGTCTCTATGGTTTTGACTTCACCCGCGAACACATCCTTCCTTTTCTGGAGATTATTCCGATCCCTTCCCAGCTACAGAAAAGCTGGAATCCATGCCAAGACCCCAATCGCTTTGCAAACACCGAGGTCCTGAGGGAGTTGAGCTGCATCGCCCGTAACTCGTCTATTGTAGTGGTCGCTAACATGGGGGATGTTCAGTATTGTAAGAAATCGGATCCACAATGTCCCAAGGATGGCAGATACCAGTTTAACACTGATGTAGTATTCGAGTCAGACGGGACATTGCTCGCCAAGTACCACAAACAGCATCTGTTTCATGAAAACCAGTTCAACACCCCATTGGAAGTAGAAATCGTTACTTTTGAGACTTCCTTCGGGGTTAAATTTGGGGTGTTCACTTGTTTTGATATGCTGTTTCATGATCCAGCGATCACGCTTGTTGAGAAATATGGCATTCGCAATATTGTGTTTCCAACAGCCTGGATGGATGGCTTCCCTATCTTGGCTTCAGTAGAATATCAACAGGCTTGGTCAAGATCGACATGTGTCAATCTGCTGGCAGCCAATCAGCATCAGCCCCTTGCAGATATGGTAGGAAGTGGAATTTATTCTTGCGGAGAACCTTTGTCTTATGTTTATGACATGAAGACGTATCAGGGCCATCTTTTGGTTGCCAAACTGCCAAATCTGGATCTGTCACATCCAGAGCAGTGTATTGAACCAACATGCCAGTCAGCTAAAACCTCATTGAAATCTGTTGAAAGTAGCTTCAAACAGCTAGCATTACCATTGCAAACCAACAATAAACCATTTCATTCTAAGTTACTAAATGACATTTACACTTTTGTGAAACTTGAGTCTTCTGAGGGCAATGTATCAGTTTGTTCGAACAATTTCTGCTGTCATGCAAGTTACTCTGTGGACAGTCAACAGCCTTTCAAAGATGAATTGTTTGCATTGGGGGCTTTCAGTGGCCATCATAATCCAGAAAACTATTTTATCCAAGTTTGTGTCTTGGTAAAATGTTCCAGCATGCAGGAAAATTCTTGTGGCTCACCTGTTTTTACTGCTACAACAATGTTCAACTCATTTACAGTGATGGGGGATTTTTCATCTCAGGCTCATGTGTTCCCTGCAGTTCTATCAAGCGATGTTGAGCTAATCTCACCTAAAGTCTTTTCATGGTCTGGGCCTGAAATGTATGTGCCATCTTTCAAAAAACCTCTGGTGTCAGCTGTTTTGTTTGGGCGAATTTATGAACTAGACATTACTGAACAGTGATAAAAAAAAAACTCTTAGTATATCAGTAAATCATCACCACTATAAATTTTTCAAGTAAGTGGATCTCTGCAGAAAGTAATTTCAAAGTTTTCCAGGCTCAAAAAGTGTATTTTTTCTTTGAGGGATGTAATTTTATATTATCACTTGAGCTTTTTTAGGTTCTCCCATACATTAAGAAGCATTGAGCCATGTCAGCACTATTCCTGACTGTCCTGCAAAGGCTTATTTCTTTTAGTAATTTTTTTTGCAAAAAAGACCTACCCTTTACCAATTTCATTGTATGTTTTCATCAAATAAATGGTAAATGAGGGAAAGGACAGGGATATGGTGCAATAGTGTTTGGCTATTATTTCTCTAAAACTAGGCTTCTTCAGTGTCTCCCTAAAAATAATAATAGTAAGTAATGGTAACAGGACTGAGTGGAGTCCAATTTGGTCTGTAATCATACGAGTGATTAAAAAAATGGGACCACCGCATAACAGGAGTCCGATTTGTTTAATCACGAGTATGATTACAGACCGAATTGGACGACATTTCTGTCACCAATTAATCATAACTTAAACAAAATATGTGATATATAGGGCCCTTTTTAAAATCAAAACACAAGAACTTCCAAGATTTTTTTTACTAGCAGTGAAAAAAAAAACATTTAAGCGCTCGCGTGATGGCACGTACTGTCCAATTATTACTTAGGCATGATCCGTACTGTCCTATTAAACTGGCCTATTAAGGATGAATTAAGGGCAGTTTATAACCAATCAGATTTGAGAATTTTGTTATAGATATGATTATAATAATAATAATAATAAATAGTATATATTCAGCCAGAAGGTATCTATATGTACATTATTAAATCAGGAGCAGAAACTAACTGTGGTTAAAAACTGTATTTAGAACTGTTACATTACTACACTTTACTTTGCTCTATTAAAATAGTGAAGGTCTGTTTGGAAAAAGACCCAAAACTGGTACAAAATTTGATTGGAGCAGGTAGGGAGTTGAAAAGTTTGGACGCACAGTCCTGGAACTGCGGTACCACTAGGTTTATTGTCTCCCAAGAGCGTAGCGTCCTAGAGTGGCTAATGTTTCTAAGTTCACATTTCTCTTCCAGTTTTCATGGTACAAAGCCTTAAAAGGATGCTGTAGCTTAAAGCAGGCGTTCGTTAGCACGCCCTAAGCATACGAAGGGGTCAAACGAAGATATCTGCCGCCGCTTTGATAGTCTGAATACAGAAATATCAGTTACCTAGGCGGGGGGGAGGGGAGGCGACTGACATTTCAGACTACCGCTTAGAGGTTTCTTCACAGTTTCACGGATACCGTGGGATCTCCCTCCAAAATAAAATACTCCGCTTTCTTAGGTGTCAAGAACGTCAAAGGACTATCGAGACTATTTGGAGCTAACATGATGGAAATTAAGGTCGCGGAAATTAACGCTCCTCTTAATTAATGGCGCGGAAATTCGCCTTTTAAAATATACGCGACTTAAATTATCGCGAATTTCCAAAATTGGCGTTATTTCATGAAGCGTTTATTTCCTGTTGTATATAAGGTAGTATCTCAGACATTTATTTACTTCTATTTACTTTGCTTACCACGTTCTATTTGACTGACTGTATTTGACGTTTGTGTTATTTTACTGCGAAGATAGGTCGAAGTGAAAACAACGCTTTCACGCTTTAAACCATCCCAGCTTGCTATCCGCGCGTTGTTTAACAAAAAAATATTACAAAGTTAAATAAATTGAGGCAAACTTTGCTTTTTCGATAATTATCTTTTATAGATTTACTTTTCTATAATATTATCGTTTTTATTTTATACTGTGCTGTATTTTATTCTTTGCACTTTCGACTTTTTCTGGTACGTCTCGTACCGTCCGTCTCATAGTTAATTGAGTGGAATGGTTATGAAACCCGTCAGACTCCTTTGTTATATGTTTTTGTGGACCTGAAAGTGCACAACGTTCAAAAGAATTCCTATCATTTTGATTGTATTGAACAATAAAAACGTTGCATTAATTTATTCCTTAACAATTTGCCAACAGAAAACAAAGGATTGTGCACTTTCAGGGTGCTTCCAACATAAGCTGCAGCACTGTTGTTTTTATCATTGATGTTTGCCGCTTTTCATAACCAGCCTCCTCTAATAACGATGGGTAACTACGCCTCTGGGCTTGTATAATTGTAAGTGTTGAGAAAAACAAATGGTATTACTGTAATTGTTGACAATTGTTGATTCAAAGTCTTCTTTCGCTATTTGAGAAAAGCCCTGGAGACCTGTTGCTTTAAATGCCGAGGAAAACATGCCGCCGGTGTACCCCCGAGAGTTCGAAGAATTTGATTCTTCTGAGTGTTTGCTATTCTATCGCATTCACTTTAGCCTGGGTTATTGTCAGTTTGTTCAAATATTATGCATATTTTTCTCGTAATTATCTATTCTCAGCGTCCCCTTACGTAATCGTGATTGTAAATTTTCGTAACTGTTTTAGCTCTATTGTTGTCCTCAGTTAGGTATAAAAATTTTCTTCTTCGCCCATGAAAATCAGTCGTTGTATTCCGAGTGGCTGCGTTCAGATCTTGTAAGTATGGTTTTCCTGTATTTTTTGCTTCGTAATTTTTCGATTTGTTGCGCATTTTAGTTTTTTCTTTTGCTAAACTTTTTCCAGTTTGCGTTTATTTGAATTCTGTAGTTTCCTTTTTTAAAATATGTTCCTCTTGGTGAATCGTTAAGGAACGAAAGAATTCAATCTGTACTTGGAGTTTGATTAGAGTAGCATAAAACTTTCCCTGTGTCTTAGCAAAAGTTTTAGACGGACAGGTAACCATTAATATCATGTTTTTGGGATTCATTTTGAAGAGTTAGAACAATCCAACAGCTCATTCACTATTTTTTATCGGGAATGAAGCGCTTTGGTAATGCGACTTCTCTTGAAACTTTATTCTAGTTATAAAATGTGTGTTCGTCCACACGTATCCAACTATTTTTGAAAACAGAGAACTTTTCCGTTTTAGTCTTTTGTCCACACGTGAACGGCGCAGCTGGCAGCATAAACACAGTTTTTAAAAAACGATCCCCAGAATGGATTTTTGCGAGCATCATCCTTGATTCATCGTTAATTGTGGACGGACGAAAAACGGAGGTTTTCGAATTCGATAATGTCATACATCATATTCTAATTGCGTTACGTTTTCTCTGTAAGGGATGCTATCGTAATTTTATCGTTTTAGCGTTTTAATCTGCTTTTTGTTTTGTTTCGTTTCAAGTATTTTTAATCAACACAAACCATTTCACAGGTTTTTTGAACTTGCTATTCTGTGTGGAGAGACCATTGGCCATAATGATATGTTTAGTGCTGTTATTGCTGATCCCTTTGTGTTTCGCAAATGATGAAATCAGTAACAATGAGGTGAGTTGTTTGATTAAATTTTAAGAGCTCCAGACATTCTTTTTTACCTGCTGATTGGTAGGAAGTTAATTGCATGCAATTACCTATAGTAAGTGCATGAAATAAATTAACGAACGTATTTTTTTTCAAAGTGACACATATGAGAAAATGACAACACAGTCAAATTCCGTTAATACAACCACTGAAGGGGCAAACACTTTCTAATTAAAGTCGCTCACAGGCTATAAATTACTACACAACTCACTTGATTCCAAAATAGTCTTGAAATGGATGTCTACAAATATATCATCCTATCCGAGGTACTGTAGCGCTGGGAACATCGACATGCTGTCAACTGAAGGGTTTTTTTTTTTTTTTTCAAAAAAAGATAAGTCTATAACAGCACGCAGTTGATAATAAGGTGCCCGCGTCAGCAAGATTGCCTTTTTATGAAAGTTTGTTGATTGGGCAAGAAACAAGTGTCCGTTTTTCTTATTACTGCGTGTTCGTATCAAGCGGGTTGAATTTAAAGAAAATGTGAAGGCATTACCATGGGACAAAGAAAACTGACCGTAATAGAGCTAGGTGTCCGTATAAATAATAAATAAATAAATAACAATAATTCACCAAAGTGGCGATGGCTAGTGGTGCAATTTTACTGAGCCGCGAAAGCACTGAATCTATATACCGAGGTTGAGTAGCCAATCAGATCGCCAAAAAAACTATCCACTGTTTTAGTATATACTGAACAAATTTATTTCAGTATGCTAACCACACACAACAAAAGCTGGTTTCCAGGTAGGGCGTCGACGAACACGGATTACAAACAAACAGAGGCAAATGGAAGCAAATATTAATCAGGTGACCGTGTAAAAACAATAAACGATGCATTTTTCTTTTTATTTCTTCGTTTCATTTAGAGCAACCCTAAGCAGATCCTTGAAAATGGCTCCTGTAAATACACTTCGTGTTGTGCAGCTGGAATTCCCGGCATCCCTGGAATCCCGGGACCCGCGGGTCCAGCGGGATCACCTGGAAATAATGGACCTCAAGGACCCAAGGGTACACGTGGATACAAAGGTGAAGCAGGTCCTCCTGGAGCGCAAGGCCCCGTTGGCCCCAAGGGACCACAAGGACCCTCGGGAAAAGCTGGAACGAAGGGTGATACAGGTGCTCGAGGTTCCGAAGGTCCAAAGGGGGTTCCGGGACCGTTAGTACGTAATTGGAAACAGTGCGTTTTTCCGAAACTGGCCGACGGCAAGGACACTGGATTGATTAAGGTAAAAGCTAAGAGGGCACCACCACAGACATTCGTACTTCCCGACTAGCACTTAAGTATTCCAGTTTTTGAATTAATTAAATTCTATAGGGAATACTTTTATACGTTTGTGTCCTTTTAAACATACTTCTAAGTCAAACTGTACGAAAAATTCTAAACTTAAGTTAAAAATATTTTTGCAGAAACTAAAAACGTTACGATGAAAGTTTCCAATGTAAAACCACAGGAATTTGTTTACAGATGCAAAACGAAACTTAAAAAAACTTACCACCTTTCCTTGGTGCTGTTGGTAGCATAATAAACAGTAGCATATGAAAGCCTAGTGCTGCTGAAAAGCCATCGTTTTAATGGCCATATTCAAAGCTTCATTTTATTGGTAACAATACAAGAGTTTGTACAGATGCAAAGCTTTAAATAATCTTGTACTGCTGACAGCATAATAAACAGTACCGTATGAACTGAGTCTAGTGCTGCTGAAGAGCTACTAACTTTTGAATCATTCAAATATTCAGTACCACATTTTACTAGATAAGAAACAAAACCACCGGAAAGTACAGCCCAGTAGCTGTCCGAAGCCTGAAACTGTAACATCACAGGATTTCGTCCAGAGGCTCTGCAGAGAGAATTTCGTCATTACACCGCCGTCATTGTTGTTTCTGTTTTTTTTTTTTTTCAACAGGATTGTGTTTTTGAGAAGAGGTCAGACAGCACAAGTCTGCGGGTCTACTGGAGTGGCCAACTCCGCATCTATAACTGCGACGCTTGTTGCAGGCGATGGTATTTCACTTTTAATGGCGCAGAATGCTCGACACCTGCAGCTATTGATGCTACAGTCTATATGTATAAAGGATCTGGCAGCAGAAAAGATAATTTGCACCGTCCACGTCACGTCGAAGGTGTCTGTGATAAAATCCACAAAGGCAAGGTGCGCGTGGGATTTTGGGTTGGCAACTGCGCAGGGTATGGAAATGCTGATGCGTACACAGGCTGGAACTCAGTGTCCCGGATTTATGTGGAAGAAATGCCTCCCCCGCAAGCTGAAAATTAAAGGAGTGGACTCAAATGTTCGGCAGTTTTGGAAAATTCAGGGTGCTCGATAGAGATTCAACCATGAAAAGAAAAATTTCTCGTCACTTGTGGTTTTGAGATGCTAAGCCAGCAGGGTAAAGAACATTCAGATATCTGACAAACTGTAATGTAAATCTGCGTATGCAAATAAAAGATAGTTTAATTTATAAATGAGTGTGGTGTGTCGATACGTTTGAGGTGCACTCTCCCATGATGAGATCAGGTCACTCATGCACTGTAAAGCACCGCACAAAATCAATGATTAAAACAATGGTAACATTTCGATTATGGCAGGCACGGCTCTAAGAACATTAACTTGACAGCAGCCTGGCGTAGTACAGTGCAGCAACTGCATGTGGTTATTCTTTTCCTTAGTGATAACAAAATTAGACTGAAATTAAGGGAGCTGCCTCACAAAATTTATGAAATTTCAAACAGTGAGAACTGCCACTAAATTGAGTGAAACATAAAAATAACCGCTGAAAACATTAAAAGACGGTATAAATATCACAGCGAAGACAAAAGAAGGCAAGGACGGATAGTCTTTTTCAGAAAATTAAAACGGATTGCAATTGTGGTCTTTGAAAACGTGTTAACCTAACAGTTTTTCAAATGACGTTCATCTTGTTTGTTTGCAACAGTTTCATATGATGCTTTTGGAGAGATGTTTGTTTTACAAGAAGCTGTAATGTTGTCAGTTACAAGTAAATTCCTTGCTAACGTTAACTTCCTTAGCAAATTAAGACGCTTTACTGGTAACCCAATTTAAATTACCAAAAGTTTTCTCGTGCTTCAATCGGACACCATCGAAAATCTCTTTTCTTTATAATTTTCCTTCTCCATAACTTTAACGCAGCTCTTATAAAGCGCTTTCAGAAAAACCGATAGATTCAAAAGTTACACTTGCAAAAATCGTGGTCATGATTATAATCTTGTATTAGTTCGACTCGCAATATCATGTTAGTGGTACATTAGAAACCGGTTAGGCGCCACTTTACGGTTGCCTTAAAGAGCCTTTTCAGTCACGTGACCAGCAGGAATAGAAATTTATTGCGACAAAAGTCTCCAGCAGGCACATGAAAAGGTTTCAAAAAAATTATAATTAACCTATCCCACACAAAGAAACAAGTTCAGTGACCAATGAAAATGTTTGCCGACTGACGGACGCTGCATTCTTAAGCCTCTCGAAAAGCTTAAAAGAACTTCATTATCGTGTCAAACGTCGCTCAAGTACCACTCCAACAACTGAAGATTCTTTGCTAATTCAGCCGTTTGAACGGCTTGGCCATCCTCTTCTGAAACTCTATGTTTACAATGACCATGACCTTCAATTTGCGCAATCAGTTAATTACTTTTACGATTCCTCCGAGCGATGTCTACGAAGTATCTACGAGGAATAGCGAAGTCCATGTAAGAGTCGTGTGAGATAGGTGTACGTTATTTTTGCGCGATAAATAGAGAGATTAAGGGCCTCTTCACACAGGCCTGGTTTCCGAGATCTCGCTTTACTTATAAATCCTTTGCAAAATTTTCGATATGATGTGTTCGTATGAGAGGGCGGGCTGGCTCGGTTTCCGGGATCTCGGTAAGCGGGCTGGAAATTTTGCCATATGAACACTTCAGCCCGGTTACCAAGATGAAAGCGGAATGAATAATTCTGGCAGTCCGGATGACATCGTCTTGCATTCCTGCTGTATTGTCCACATCATAAGCATCCCATTTAACTGTTATACGACATAAACGACTGGCCCGAAGCTTGCATTGTTAACCTTAGAAATGATAGAGTAGTGATTATTTCAGTGGCAAAAACGAACGCAAGAAACTATGGGTATGATTTCAAGCCATGGACCTTAGCTTATGAGGACCCTAAAAATTGGTTTACAGGAGGCAAAGTTTAAAATTACGTAGACTACGACTAGTGCCCATTTTTCCTAAAGGATAGTAGAGGGAGCAAAACCGAGCACGCGTGAAAATTATCCCACGCGAGAAAGGCGAGGCGCGGTGGGGAGAGAGAAAAATGATTTGAAATGAAAAATGAAATAAAAAATCATTTTTGTCTCTCACCGCCACATCTCGCCTTTTCTCACGTGGGGTGATTTTTTCACGCGCTCGCGTTTCGCTCCCTCGACTATCTCTGACGAACTGAATGGACTACTCGCAGTCTTAAAATTAAGAGGCGGAGCGTGGTTATGCTGAAAGAGAGGTTAAAACGTTCTGGGATATGACAGATGTCTTTTGTTACCCAGCTCTCGAAAATGATAAATGTGAAGTCTTGGAACAATATCGTTCCATTCCCAGGGGGATCCAGTGATAAAATTCTTTATTTTTTTGTTCAGTCCCGTACGCTTACTAATCAGTACAGATCCTGTTATGTCCAAATTTGTGCCAGTGACTAGTACAGTCTTCATTAATATGTTTCCAATTGACGTTTACTATTCTCAAGACATACTAAAAACGTAGATACTGCAGTCGGCTGCTGGTTGCTCTTCAATAGCGATGAATATTTTTCCTGTCGAGCTCCGAATCAGAGAGCTGCAAACCGCCCCACCTGGGATCAAGAGCGTTTCATCGCAGTCATTAAAGAGTAAGTTAGCAAGAATAGTTCAACATTACCGTGGAAAAGTCAGTTAAGTGAATCACAATAAAGAAAACTTATTGTAGGACTTGGTCAATTGTTTTCTATGACACAAAGGGAAAAATTACATTTTATTAAATTGGACCCACTCTTGACGAGGAACGTAGACTGTGAGCATCGTCGCGCTTTTTCTTCTTATTTAGTTAGTGAGGGGAGTGCACGCGTGCGCGAGTGTCGAGCGGCGAGGCCGCGAAAGCCTCTCTCCGTCTTGTTAGTGCCTTCAGTCACGCGTGTGGTCATTTTTCGTCTCTCGCGCAATTTGCTTGACAGACTAAGAAAAAAGAGATCAGACTGCTCGCAAACTACGAAGCCCGAAGCTCATAACAAAAAGCCAAAAGGTTATAAGCTTTTTCACCAAGTTGATAGATAACAAGGAAGTATATTAGACATCTATTTACTTCTATTTACTTTGCTTACCACGTTCTATTTGACGAACTGTATTTGACGTTTGCGTGATTGTACTGCGAAGATAGGCCGAAGTGAAAACAACGCTTTCACGCTTTAAACCATCCCAGCTTGCTATCTGCGCGTTGTTTAAGAATAAAATATTACAAAGATAAATAAATAGAGGCCAACTGTGCTTTTTTGATAATTATCTTTTATAGATTTGCTTTACTATATTATTGTCGTTTTTATTTTATGCTGTGCTGTATTTTATTCTTTGCACCTTCGACTTTTTCTTACTTCTCGTACCGTGCGTACAGGTAACTACGCCTCTGCGCTTGTATAATTGTAAGTGTTAAGAAAAACAAATGGTATTACTGTAATTGGTGGCAATTGTAGCCTGCGAAAACATCCGTTTCTCCTCGCTCTTCGCCGCTGGGGACATTTCGCGCGGAGGAACGTCCCCAACGGCGAAGAGCGTGGAGAAACGGATGTTTTCGCAGGCTATGGCAATTGTTAATACAAAGTGTTCATTCGCTATTTGAGAAAAACTACAGCACTGATTACTATCTTTTCCATCTAAAGTAAACGCTGGCGGCACGTCACGTTTGAAACAATCTTGTGCCAAGGGCTTTCCTTTAAAAATAGGAATGGCGGGAAAAGCCCTGGAGACCTGATGCTTTAAATGCCGAGGAAGATATGCCGCCTGTGTAGCCCCGAGAGTTCGAAGAATTTGATTCTTCTGAGTATTTGTTATTCTATCACATTCACTTTAGCCTGGGTTATTGTCAGTTTGTTCAAATATTATGCATATTTTTCCTGTAATTATCTATTCTCAGCGTCTCCTTACGTAATCGTGATTGTCAATTTTCGTAACTGCTTTAGCTCTATTGTTGTCCTCAGCTAAGTATAAAAATTTTCTTCTTCGACCATGAAAATCAGTCGTTGTATCCCGAGTGGCTGCGTTAAGATCTTGTAAGTATGGTTTTCCTGTATTTTTTGCTTCGTAATTTTTCGATTTGTTGCGCATTTTAGTTTTTTCTTTTGCCGAACTTTTTCCAATTTGCGTTTATTTGTATTCTGTATTTTCCTTTTTCAAAATATGTTCCTAGTGGTGAATCGTTAAGGAATGAACGAGTTCAATCTGTACTTGGAGTTTGATTAGAGTAGCATAAAACTTTCCCTGTGTCTTAGCAAAAGTTTTAGACGGACGGGTAACTATTAATATCATCTTTTTGGAATTCATTTAGGAGAGCTAGAACAATCCGACAACTCATTCACTATTTTTAATCGGGAATGAAGCGCTTTGGTAATGCGACTTCTCTTGAAACTTTATTCTATTTATAAAATGTGTGTCCGTCCACACGTATCCAGCTATTTTTGAAAACAGAGATTTTTCCGTTTGAGCCTTTTGTCCACACGTAAACGGCGCAGCTGGCACCATAAACACAGTTTTTCAAAAACGATCCCCAGAATGGAGTTTTGCGAGCATTATCCTTGATTCATCGTTTAATTGTGGACGGACGAAAAACGGAGGTTTTCGAATTCGATGATGTCATATATCGTACTTCCATCGTTTTAGCGTTTTCGTCTGCTTTTTCTTTTGTTTCGTTTCAAGTATTTTTAATCAACGCACTTCAATTCACAGGTTTTTTGATCTTGTTATTCTGCATGGAGAGACCATTGGCCATAATGTTATGTTCAGTGCTGTTATTGCTGATCCCTTTATGTTTCGCAAATGATGAAATCAGTAACGATGAGGTGAGTTGGTCTGATTAAATTTTAAGAGCTCCAGACGTTCTTTTTTACGTGGTGATTGGTAGTAAGTTAATTGCATGTAATTACCTAAAGTAAGTGCATGAAGTAAATTAACGAAAGTATTTTTTTCAAAGTGTGACATGTGAGAAAAAGACAATACAGTCAAACCCCGTTAACACGACCACTGAGGGGGCAAACACTTT